ATACCGCTATACCGCTATACTGTTACAATGTTATAGCGGTATAGCGGTAGCTAGATGTCACGTATCCCTCACAGAGACAGAACACACTAAGAGATAGAGGGCAATCATTTCTATCACGTGATACTGTCAAACGATTTTTCTTTCTTTCCTGTGAAACACAGATTACATTTCAAAGCGATTAAAAATAGATGCATTATCATCTATATGCTCATTTATTTGTTTTCTTAATCAAATTAGTTTACCATCAAAGGAAGATATTCAATCTTCACCATTTTAACGATTATTCATACGTCGATTATTTTCTAGTGAAAAATGTATGTCACTAGGTTATTGAATAAAGAATAATTTTTGTCATATTTCTAAGTCATTCTCATTAATGAAAAAATTAACTTAAGCACACTTATTGTCAAGGGGAAAACGGCGGATTTTCGGGATTGCCAATCCATGAGCAATCCGAAAAAAATCCCAAATTTACCAGCAATCTCCTCTTGTAAGCGAAGGAATTTCGAGCTAAAATTTTTATCATATGTAGACCTCATGGTCCTTAGAATATCCTAAAAGTTTCAGCTCTAACGGATGTTTTCTTCTGAAGATAATACGATGTAAAAATACTCATATTTTCAAGGGCGAAATGGCGGATTTTCGAGATTGCCAATCCATGAACAATCTGAAAAAAATTCGAAAATCCGCAATCCGCCGTTTCCCCCTTGTTTATTGTACTGTTTTAAACGAGAGGCAACAGCACGGATGTTAAAATTGTTAGTCTATTTTTACTCAATAAACAAAGATTATTGAAATATGTTTGTACAACATAAACTATTTCATTATAGATTTGGAAAAGTAAATACAAAAGATCAATGGAAATGGAAAAAGTTCATTCGGAATAAAATAATCTATATCGACTACCATGTTATTTTCCATTTCTTCAAAAAAATATTTCAGAATTCACCAGGTTATTTTTTATTAAATAGCTATTCATTGTTTAGATTCAACTTTTGCAAAATCAATATCTAAGGAGAAGAGATATTTTCAAGCTCAGAATATATACACCTCTATGCAGTTTGTATGAATTTATCTGATGATTGTTCAGTTATTTTTGAGAAAAATTTTAATAGAATAAAACTACAAAGCTGATGCTTATCTGGTTATCCGTCATCATCAACAAAAACTGGCATACACTTGTTGTCATTGAAATCTCATGAAAAAGTCAATCCGACCAAAAAAAAACTTATGCTAGACGACGAGAAAGAAACGAACGAACGAACGATAGGTGCTGAGAGTTCTTTGCATTTTGAAATAAAAAGTTTTGCTCTTGTGGCAGCTCGATCTTTCCATCAACCCGCTATTTTTCGTCATTGCAACATGTATCCGATCATGAGAGATCTTTTACTGCTTAGCAAGTTGTAAATGGCATGTTGCGAAATCTTTTTTTGAATTATAAATCTAGGATTAATTTAGAACAATAGAGAAGAGTTTGAACTACTGGTTGATGAGAAAAATCATAAACAAATCAATTATGAATTTCTCAAAAATTTTGTTCTACAGAACACAGAAAATAGGTGACCAAAGCTTTTTTTAAATACAAAATAAAATAGTTATAGCAATTTTTCTGAGACAAACTGAATTCCATTTTACATTTAGCCTCCAGTGACTTAAATCATCGATTCTAGACATTGTTTTCCTCCAGTCAGAAGAGTAATTATAAACAAAGAATCCTGTTAGATTTGAGAAAAATTTAACAGTATCGTCATTTTTTGTTTTGTTTAGATAATTGTTGCTTTCAATATATGTGTACTCTTATGAGTAATGAAAATAATATTGACATAACACAAGAGGAGTGTTCCATCAGGTTCGAAAACGAAATAAAGTTAATTAGAAGTTTAGCAAATAATGAGATTCCAAAATTAATAAATATATTGTTATAGTTATTTTGATGTTATTGTCTCCTGTTAAGTTAAATTTATTCATCTATGTATGTTAAAAGAAATAAAACTCATAGTTGTTTTCAAAAATAAGAAAACGAATTATTCCATCGAGCATTATATGATATTTTTATCATGTTTTTTATTTCGACTACGAATATTGTCTCAATAGTATTATTTCACTTGTAGACTGAGTAAACATTACAATTTGCCATCTTTAATTCAAGTTAATCAAATCATTGTTGTTATTTAATAAAAAAAGATAACCGAACAAAATGTAACTTTCAGATTTTGAATCCTGAATTATTTCATCTTTTTTTAATATCATATTTTTTGACACTCATTTCAAGACTCACAGATTGGAATAGGATGGTTAACTTTATGGTACTCGTAAAGTAACAATTCATCAAATGTATTCACATTATAATTCAATAAGATATTACTCACAGTCATTAAATAAATCTTCTCGTGAAACCTCGATCAGACATTCTCTGTAAAAGAAAACAAATTACTTTTTGAATAGAAAATGGTTTGATGATACTATGAGTTCATCTCTCTGTACATTTGACAATATCCCTTGATCACAAAAGATCTAAGATCTAATAATCAAATTCGAATGAGATATGTACGGTCCATTTACAATATTTCTGTTTTCTATTTGTATTCGTTTCAATTTTTTTAGTATCAATCGAATAAAAGCTTTGACCTAAATATATAGGATTTCATGATATTATTTTTATTGTTCTCTTGAAAAGGAATATAAAAGATGTAGATTCATTTTACAAGCGTATCAGAAGTGAACAACAGTGAAACTGACTGAATAATTGATTCTTGTTTTTTTCTCCTGACACCTCTAAATTCCCTTTCGTATGTAGTGTTGAAGAAGGTGAAAGTATTTAGATTAATACTTCCTCGACGTGGCAATATAAATAATCAAACAGCTATACTTTTATATTTGACGAAAAAAGGCTGATTATTTCATGCGAGAAGATTTCATTCCGAAAAGTATTAAAAATACAAATAATATAGATCTTGCGGAATCTGTTTTTTGTAAAAATATAGTAACTGTCCAGGTAAATGAATCCGATGTTGGATCCCATCGGATCTGGTGGGATCCAACCAGCCGACAATATCCGGTGGAATTCCTGGTTGCAGAATCAGTGACGGATCCAACAGTTGGATTCCGATGAATATCTAATGATATACGACTGCAGTAACCGATGGGACTTCCGGCACTAAGATTCAAATAAGATTTCAGTCGGATCCTATCAGTTTCTTTGGAAATGGCTACACTGGTCTATATGCCTCTCAAAACTTAGTTATGGGACATACTACCACTCAACTAATAAGATTCCTCCTAAATTATTCCCAAAAAAACAATGTCACTAGCTATTCCACAGAAGCTACACGCGCTATCACCCAACACAATCCATCGCAACATATCCAGAAAAAAGAAATAAACGTATGAAAAAAAAAATCTATTACCACATTTCTCAGAAACATACTTCCATTAAATGAAATCAATCACATCAACTTCGCTTTCCAAGACAAGAGCATTAGTCAGAAAAAAGCTGAACATCAGAATCTCAGTAATGCTGCTGTGTTGAATATGGAGTAGAAGATATTTTCAACATTCCCGAGCGCTTCGAAGAAAGTGGAAGCTCGTGATGTTGCTAGTTGGAAATGAAGCTGGTAAACGAAGATGACATGTACAATCGTATAGACTTTTAAAATGCACATAATCTCCTGGTGTGACGTTCGAAGTAATCTTTTATGGTTTTTGGATAAAACCTTAGCTAGTTTTTTTCGTGGCATGAAGGAGTAGTGGCTTCAGTGAGATATCTCGTCAGGTTGCATGGTTCGTTTGGAAACTATTTTATGCTTTTTTTTTGGAAAACCGTTAGACACGTACTTCAGGTGGATACAGGGGAAGAACCTTTTAGTTTTTTCGGTTTCGCTGAATTTGTTTTAATTGTATTTGCCACTCAATTTCTTTATAGTGTATTAAATTGTGTACTCATCATTTGGGTCTATTGTTCAAATTAGCAGCTGCAATGTTTTTTTATTTCTTATTCTTTAGATGTTGTGTGGACTACCATGGCATCGGCGAATAGCCTACCCTAAAGCATATTATCCGGTTTTTCATCGGATCCTTCGAGATCCTATTGAAACCCAGGGGATCTGATAAGAACCTAGTGTAGGAAATCTGTTGGGATTATTAGTGTTTGAACCTGAGTTGCCCCATTGGAACATGGTGATATCTGGTAGGTTCTTATAGGAATTTCGTAGGACTGTCCGACCCATGGGACCCTACTGAGTTCGTCTATCGGAAATTATAGGGTTATCATCGATTTCCCACTCTTGGCATGAGAAGTTCATGATAACTGTTTCCCATCGAATGCGTGAAGTAAATTTCCGTCGGATTCCGACACTGAGGATCCGATTGTAGGTCCTGAACCAGGATTCCGATGGGATCGTACGGGAACTCTATCGGATCTGATCGGACCCTATTGTCGGATTGAGTCTACTGGGTAGTATCGAGTGTTTGAAACTCTGATTTCAAATGTGTTCTCAACCGAGTGTCATAATCTCGTCAAATTTTTCTCATTTGAAAATAATAGTAAACGATGGCGAGCATGTGGTTGACTTGAATCATGACTCACGCGCTTATAAGAAAAAGACCAGTCACTTGTACGAAGAATTCATCATAGCAACTAAGTTAGGCAAACGCAATCAGTCGTCTATTGTACTGTTTGTATCAATCCACTTCTCAATCGATCGGACAAAACGGGATTTCACAAGGCAACTAAGAGCAAATTTAGGACGGGTCATCTTGAAAATTTTCGGCACGTGGCAGCGGGTATTGGACACATGAAGAATTTTGTCGCACAGGACTCTATCACGCCTATATTTAAAAGATCACCGTTTCAGCATGAAAAAAATCTTCAAAAAACAAATCATAGACAATGTACACTTTGTAACCACTTTTTTTGAGAACAAACTGGTATACGAGACTTTATTTCTAATTTTTCTACACTACAAATCAAACTAAACATTATAATAAGTTCAATTTATATGTCAATCCTCATAATTTCTATAAATAATTCGATCGTGTATTGGTTGTACTGGCCGATAAACTTTTCGCATTACATTATTACGTAGTAAATTTAAACTTATTTCTGCAATCGGAATTATATTTGGAAATATTGTCCATATGATACCTTCAGTGCACGGAGGCGTTGTTAAACTGCCAGTATAACGAAAAAATTGTCGACCTTCGATTTGCATAAGATGGCTTAAATCGAACAAACGATTAAATGTATCGCCAATATTTTTCAAATGTGTAGCACCATCTGCATAATGTTGCCATTCAACATTTTCTTCATGCAGTGGACCAGCTATGTCGAAAAAGAATGCAAAAACAGCCACTTGGTTATTTTCAAAATTTTTATGAACAAAATGTGCTTCGGACGGAAATTCACGTCCATCAATTTCATGTTCAGATCCATGTCTGTCATTGCTACCCCAATGTAAATGAAAATTAATGAAGTGAAACTTTCCATTTAGACCACCACCAGTAAACCATAGATCGGGCTGATCAACGGTGTTTATTTTAGCTAATGTAACGGCAACTTGATGACCCGTATTCTTCATTGTAAATAACAACTTATCCTTGTAATGCGAAGAAAATACAAATGGTGGATAGTGTTGACGAACTGTTTCATTTAATTTGATATTAATAGGGGATTGAAAGCGGCCACCGGCAGCTGGAAATTTTTCATGCCATGTATTAGGATTGTCATAACTCCAGTAGTCGTCAGATGCAGCGGCACACGACATATTGATTAGAACGTTTTATAGCTACTGAAACGATTAGCTCGCTGGTAATTGATAATCAAGCTATAAAGAAAAAAGAAGCAAAAACAATAATATATAACTGGTTCGTGCTCAGCTCATCAACTAGACAGTACGGACATGCTTTTTTGTTCTATATTGTGGCACAGATCCTCATAATTATCAATCATGGCACCGAAGACATTAGTAAATGATTGTCCTTTTCTCTTCACTATTCTATCGTTTCCTATATTTTTGCAATTAGGTAATGCCATGGTAATATCAGTAAGAACCAAATTAATCATCGAACATATGTATATTTCTCTTGTGTTCTTCCACGTGTCGATCGGATGATTTCTTGGTAAATGCGAACGATAATGAAAGTAAAAGGGATTCCATAATGCACTACTGCACCCATTCAAGTGGTATTTGGGGGGAAAAGACTCGATCGCTAACCTTATCGAAGTAGGAGCTCTAATCGCCACCTCTCGTCGATTCTTACCACATCCTATTGTTGCGCCATTCAAGATAGTTGCATTTATTGACAATGTATAAAGATTTAGCGTTAGAACTGACTTACGTTTTCGTTGCATGATATTGACAGCAGAGTTAAAAATAAATAGACGAAAAAGAAACAATTAGATACTTAAGGAAATGTGAAAGAAAATAGGCACAACTTTACTAAACAAATATGCCAGATAAAAAAGAAAATTTCAAAATTAGTGTGCTTCGTTTATAGGGATTGTCGCGATCATAACTTTTCAATCGAGCTTCTCACTAGTCGACGATCTTGAGTTCGATCTGTCCAGATTCTTGTTTTTCTTGAATACCAGACAAGATTCTTTGTAATCATAATATTCATATACAGATGTTTGAATATTATATCTTTTTTCTCTAGATGACGCGGACGAACTATGACAGATATATTTTTTAAATAGACAGTTTTGTTCAAGTGTTTTTCGTTTCTTTTTTTTATATTTTTCTTAATTTTTTTATACGCGCTATGAGCTTATTGTATATTTCCTTGCACATGTAATGTACTTTTCTTGTATTTTTTAATTTGAAATTAAAATATAATAGGACCGAAAGGAGGCAACCGTATGGATGCCTAAATGAAATTCATTTGTGTTGCAAGAATTTTTTCAAAAATGGCAAGAATTGCAAGAAAATAAGAATCATGTACAGAAGGAATGACAAAAGAATCTTGTCTGATGTTCAAGAAAAACAAGAATCTGGACAGATCGAAGTCAAGATCGTCGACTAGTGTTATATCTACTAAACAATGCGCATATGTCAATTAGAATTTTATTTTTAAATATATTGTAACTTATTGAAAATTACATAGTGCAAAGCAATCATATATTATTCTTATTCCATAACTGGAACTGTCAGCCAGAAGTCAGTTGATGAATATAAGACCCAGAATTTCTGGAGACAGGAAATGGTACTTTAAAACAAAAGTCATCAATTCTCGGTTTCCTGTATTATCGTTACTTGCCTAAAATTCCGGAAAATCAGTTCTACAAGAAAATTCTAAAACTTTTAGATACAATTTATCTCAATGATTTATGGAGATTGGATTTACTGAGAATGGTCTACAGCTTTTATGTACCCAAAAATATGGAGATCATTCGAAAAACAGTTGGTTTTTTTACTTATACAAATTTTGTAAAATGTACTGCAATCCACGAAAACAATATTTTAAACAATACGCACTGAAAATCGTGTCATTTATCTGTAAAAAAATAGTTTCTGTTCAATTGGCTATACTGTATTCCAGAAAAGAGAGAAACTTATTATTTTTCTCTAAAAAGATTGAATTCGAGGAAAATGTAAAACGATCAGAATCTTCAGTCCTGTTTTACTCAACGCTTACATATCGATACTATGAAATCCAGTATTAAATCACAAAGAGCATTCTTACTACGAAATAATGTTTTAGTTGGAAATATTTGATATGTGTACATTTATTTCGATCAGGGTCTCTAAAAGTCGTTCTATTTCAAGATTTTATTAGCAATCAAAAAAACTCAATTATTCATTGCCGACGAATAGAATCTTTCTGATGTTATTATACTACGTAAAATAATTAAATACTATTTGACACAGCTTGACGTATCATAGACATTACGGATAGACTTATAAAGAAGCTATATGACATCAAAAATATCAATTATTTTAAATAAATTATACTTATAAATAGGTTTCTTTTAGATTTTTGTATTAGTAATTCATGTTAAATATTATATTCGTAAACAATTCTTTATTTACGTTATAAGTATAAATAGTCACTGAAAAAGATCTAATTGTAATTATGTGGCATAATTGTTAACATTCCGTACATATCTGTAACAGGAACGACGGTAAATTCAACTAAGATGTATCAAAATATCGGTTAGAGAAAGCAATCTTGTCATAAAAATGGTTCCGATAAGTAATCCATGCTAAGTCTGATCAACACGTACGAAATCCTCAATTTTTGCACTGCGTTTCATGTATCATAATGTTTCAATACTAATAGATGTCTTCTTGAAATACAGAAAAATTGAAGATTCTTACCATATATGAACGTCACTAGTTGAATTATATTTGTTTACGCATGCAACCACCATATGCCAAACAATGCACTGAAAAAGGAAGCAGAATAGAAAAAAAAGATAATGGATTGCACGACTGAGAGACTGACAAGAAGAACCATTGTTCTACCCGTTTCTTGCCTAGATCCGATATAATATTCTTTTTTCTTTTCTTTTTTTCTTTTCTTTTTTTCTTTTCTTTTCCGATTCGTTCACATTCTGTTGAGTGTCTTGGGTGACATTTCTTTGGGGATTTTTGTGCTGCAAGAAATAGCGAAATCAAATCTTCAAAACAACAAAACAGTCATTCGGGCTTTATCTATTTCTTCCCAAGCTCTCGTTGAATGTTAGTGCTAATGACGATCACATAGGCGAGTTAAGTATTTCAAAATAATTGTCAGATAAATTTCTCAGAATGTACTGAGCTCATAGTAAGCTATACTGTTAGTCGAATGTCAAAATTCATCAGTGGTATTTCGATGAAAATGTCGTGTCAAATTAAAATAGAAACGCTTTGGTCTCTCCAATAATATAGCAAAACGTACTGTAGTAATAAAGATATTTAATTTATTGAAATATAAGTGTTGCGATAATTTGTACACAGATACCACACAAGAAGTATCCATTTGATAGGATTCACATGGAAAAATTCTGACGAAGACTCATGAGAAAGTTAACACGCATTCACAAGAAATGCAATGTTGTTTTGGAAAATCGTCCATACTTGATAAAAATAATGTTGAGTCACTCTGCTCGTGGACACACAATATCTGTTCGAAGGGTGAGAGACGGGGTGGCAATTTTGAATATCCCGCCTCAATATTTGTCAAAACTATTTTATGCACGAGTAGCTAGAGTCAATTGACAAACATTGCCGATGGAAACTAGCGTCCCCACAACGTAACCTTTTTATACAGCTAACTCGTAAAATGCGTGCTCTTCCATCGTCTATGCTATCTGAAGTTATTATAATTTATAATTATGGTTGAAAGCTCATTATATGTAGGTTAGAGTAGTGAAATTGTGCACTTGTCGTGCTGTGAAAAATATGATAGTTTTAATGTTATATGTCCATGTGTATATGTGGCAGTAGAGTTTAGAATCTAGTTGAGATTGGAATTGTTGATTATTCTATAAATGTTATGAGAGAGTGATTCATAGAAATAAAATTTTATCAGTGAGTGATATGAGATAGTTTGATTGATTATGTAGATTCAAAAAACACGTTTTTGTTTCCAAGATTAATTGTGTCAATCTTTCATGATTGAAGAGAGAGAAATGAGAAAGATTCTGAAAAGATGTTTGTTTTAAAACGCGGGACATAGGGACATTGATTTTTTTCTTTCGTTCTGTATTCGAAGAAAATACAGAAAAAGATTTTCGCTATATTTCTAAGAAAAGAAAAAGGGTGTGGGTGTGAGTTTCAATGCAGTTTTAGGGAGCATCGACACTCACACCCACACCCTCAAGGTGTTGGATAAGTGATAGTTCAGCGTCTCGCTATCGGTAAGAACTTTAAGTTTAGTTGTATCACTCATTTAAATATGAATACATAAATTGTCGCGATTGATTTATTTAATTATCAATACGATTATCAATATCTTTACGGATGTCGTTCATGTCAGTTTTTCATCTTATTCACGCTTATATATGAATACCAAGGAGAATGAAATAATCAAAAAATACATCGATTAAGTTACATTTTGTTTGAAAGCACATCGAAAATGAGTTTGACCGTCCGATTTCCTCTCGAATTGAAAAGAATTTTTTTCCTTTTTGTTAGCCTTTATTAATCGCTTCGATTCAAGTGGAAATTAAAACCAATCAGACCCGTTTATTTTCGAGGTGAGAAAATATTCTGCACTTTTTTCTGAAATCTTCATTGATTATCAATAAAATTCTTACTCTGGATGAGTGTTTTGAGAAATCTTTGGAGTAAGATTTGAAAAAAAATGATGATTCTATTTTTGATCAAATATCTAACAATTTATTTAATAGGTAAATGAGAAAACAAAACGATGAAACGATGATATTAACGATAAAGGAAAAGGAAACAGAAAATCTAACAAGAATGTTTCTCAATGTTTTGCTATTTCCACGTTGGTATGACAATTCGGTTCAAGTTCGGCTTTATCCAATAATCGCGGTGGACAAAACTCTTTTTCATTTTCGGACATCAATATATCTTTTAATTCTTCAAATCTGTAAATATTTAAAATATGCAATATCATCATCATCCGAACAAATCTCGGTTGGTTGCAAACCAATTCTATTAATACCACGAATGATTATTTCAGTTTGAAATACATTTGTATTATCCGTGTTGAATAATTCATCAGATGCATATGATAAAGATTTAAATTCAATACGTTGATATGATACAAGCACATGTAAATTGTGGTTGAAGAGCAGTAAAATGTAGATAAGAAAATAATGAGTATAAGACTGCTACGAAGAACATTACTTGATTTTTAACAAAAATCACATTTATTTATTCGAGCCTTCGATAGGTATCTCCTATCATCATCAGGAATGAGGGTGTGTGGGTGTGGGTGTCGATGTTCCCTGAAATTGCATTGAAACTCACGCTCACACCCGCGGCACCTGTCCATGGGACTTTGGGTAGGAAACGTGACATTTTCTCGGAACTTTGCCACTGCTGTAAATATGGCGCATTTTTTTCTGTTGTTATAGATGAAAGCATTTATTACAAATGAGAAATCTTCAGAAGAAAGTCTTTTTTCTTTATTGGAATTTTCAAATATTTGTAAAAATCGACGGAAAGATAAATGTCTGTTCAATCTGTTTTTTTTCACTTCTGTCTCAATGTCGCAACATTTCATTTTCTATTTGGCTATTTTAAATATATGCTTCATGGCAAGAAAAAAATCTACAATTTCAAGAAATGTTATTACGAGCATCGTACAAATGAGAAGATAGTGGAAAGAACATGCGACTATCGTTCCACGACTATAGAGAAGATTTTCGTTTTTTTTCCAGAAGAACTCATCAAAAAATCTTGTCATCTAAGTACTACATTGTATACACGCATACTGTATCTTCACTAGAAACAGATGATTTCAACGTCACTGCTATCGAGTGAATTGAGTTTCAATTCAAAGTTAGACATGATCGGGCCGTTTCATTCGCTGGGATTGAAGCAATCATAGTTTTAGCAGATCTCCTTTGTTTATTCGCTAGCCTTAGTCGTTGTCTGATCGTTGGCAACCCGATCTAGGCTAGAAATGGTGATGTGGAAGCTGTTAAATATGGCAAACAATGAAGAAAATGAGTAATAAACTAGTCATAAAAAGATGAATCAAAAACGTTTTGCACAATTATTATAACCACCCAAGGCATCCAGGCTATTAAGCTGATTAAATTGATAGCTAATAGTTCTATAATCATTCGACGATTTCGTCTCAATGTGTTGGAGATCGATAATGATGTTAATGCTCTTCGTTTCAGGTTGATAGAACAACCAATCATTAAAAAATATTATAATGAAACAGGGTAACATTGTATCGGCAACTGTATCATACATAGTAGCTGAGATCTGGGCAAAAAGCATGCACCACCGCCAGCAAATTCTGACAGCCAGTGCATCATTTGAATAATGTCATTATTTCTTATGTTATTTCTTATTGCTGATTATAATAAAACTCTTTTGTGTCTAGAAAAGGGCTTTATTTACAAGCAGTTTCTATATCACAAAATAGAAAAATAATCTAGTTTCAAAGGGAGTAAAAGCGACTTTTGTCAATATTTAAATTAAAATTTTATGCGAAGACACTACGATTTATGATGAAAAGTTATTTATGACATGTTCACTGTAATTTAATTAGATTTTTAGTTTAATTAGAAAATCAATTATGACGTCAAATGCAATGAAAGTTAAGCACATAATGCATTTTCAACCATAAATTAACAAGTATAACATTAGAATGTCTGGAATTAAGCAAAGCCGAAGGCCAAAATGAATTAATTCATACTCAATTAATGACTAGAATTATACAAAGTTACGGTAGAGAAAAATCATTTGAAAAATTTCACTGAAACTTGACTTCGTTGAAAATTCATCCGTACCAAATAATAGTCATCTGATAAAATCGTCTAAATCATCAGTTTATAAAAATTATTTTGAAATACCATTTCTTCAAGATACAAAACAATTTTATCGTCTGGAAGTAGATCAAGTTCAAATATATTTGCAACTGTCAACATTAGAAGCATTGATTAAAAAAGAATCGAATAGGTACCTATTCGTGATCAACTTGAAATTATCTATTCTGTAACAAAATCACTTTTGCATCACGGAAAAATATTTATGTAAGCAGGTAAACGCTTTAAATGATTAATATTGTTCTATCCAGTATGAACGCAGTACCTCTCTTGAATTATACCCCTAATGATCGACATCTTTTTTTAATTCTATGCGATTTATTTCGTAGTATATTTGGTATTTCTATTCAATGCGATCAGTCGAGTACCAGATACAACCTGTTAAATTAAGAGATATTTTTTGCCAACCTTCATTGTCGAAACGGGTAATGATGCTACTGAAAGAGTCGATGGAGCTGCATGTGTAGGCATTGTGGCTCATGTTACCTACACCCACAAGCAGACATCAGAAAGAAAAGAAGTTAAATGCCGAATGATGCATTATACGTTAAAATAATATTCTTAGAAGAAATGATATTGAAAAATATCTGTCCTAATTATTTGTTAGCCTTTATTTATATAATCAAGATAAAAGAAAACAACAGCAAGAATGACATGAGAATAGTAACAATAAATGAATGTCATGGCTACACAAATGGACGTGAAAAAAAATGTCTTCCAGAATGTGAAACTATTACCGCAAAGAAAAAGAAAATTAAAGAGAATACAAAAATCTAGATTCTCGGTTTCATATTTGTTCATATTTAGTGAATAGTAAAAAAAAGTACAACATTCAATAGTGTAGTTAAGAAAAAATGAAATGAACATATCACATGTTGTGATAATAATCATAAATGCTGAGGATTTTTTCATTTACTATTCAAAATTTTAATTCATTTCATACGTTGTTCATCATTCGATGGTTGAACAATGTCTGATAAAATATCAGGATGGGTTTGAAGTATTCTGTGAAAAAAAGGTTACAAAAAAAAATATTTTCAAAATCAAGTCAAAACTTAGAAAAACATACCGACGAATATCTTCAAGAGCATATTGTTTTTCGAGGTTCTTTATTCGATCATTAGTTACTGGAGAACTTTTAAATTGTTCAAACCATTGAACAACAAGTCGATCTTGTGCACATTGAAAATTCTAAAAAATTGAAAATTGAAAACACTAACAAATAAATTTATTTCAATTATATTACATTATCCTGTTTATCTTCACTAAACCATTGCTGAAGATAATTTACTGCACCATGATAGTTTATAGATGGATTAGCTGTTAGAATAGTTTTAATTGCATTATCTTCTTCTAAACGACGTTTTAAACGCCAATAAAAAAATTCTCGACTTGTTCTCCAATTCAAAATATCCTTGTTTTAGTAAAATAAACAAAGTAAGAATTGTCTTTTATTTCTAATAATTCAATTAACTTACTTGAATAACACCTTTTTCTAACATTCTACCTGGTGTATCATGTAAATCACAAAACATAGTAGCAGCTTGTTGATAAATTGGTAAGAGGTTTTTTTCTCTTTCAGCCAATTGCCTTTCTAAATCTTCTTTCGTCGTATTTGTTGTACACGAACTTATACTTTTTATTAATTCTTGACAAATATCATCAACACGATGTATTGTACGTATAAGATCTTTAGTACGATATTTTATTTCAACAGTACCTTCTGCTTCAAGTACACCACCACGACTCATACGATCAGCGTACATTTCCATATAACGTAAATTAATGGTTGGATCAACAACAACCCAAGCTCCACCACGTAATTCACCATATGGTGGAATATAAATAAAGACAGGATGGTCATATGTACGTAAAGCATCGACAATGTAAGCGCCAAATTTTATGATTTGATCGTACATATCTTTCATTCCACCACTAAAACCACGCCAATTAGCAAATATCATCAATGGTAAATTTTCACGTTTAAAATCATTTATTGCTTGTGCTGTTTTAAATGCAGAATCAGGAAACCAAACTTGACCAGCTTGCTGAATAGTACGCGCATCTGAGTCAAAGTTAGCTGGATCAGCTGGTTGTTCTAATTCAATTGTACGAGTTTCAACAGCAATAACACCCATAGCTTTAAAATATGACAATAAAAAAATATAGTACACTTCAATAACAACTACTTACGAATTCCGCCAAGACGAGCTCGGCCACAAACAACAGTCTTTGCCCAACCCTTCATGATTTCTATAAATGAATCTCGATCGAAAAAGCCGGATTGATATGTTGTCACAGGCAATTCATCTGTATCATTAGTGATTTGTTGTACAGAAGTAAATTGTCCTCCTTGAATCATATGTCTTGGATCATATGCCGCTGGTGTTGGAACGAAATCTATTTGGCGATCAATTGGATCATTTAACTCGGATAATACAGGTGGTAAATGAAGCATGGTTTCAGGCATATAAGATAGCCACCGAAGTACAAGTAAACATCCATCAAAATCATCTTTCACAACATCGTGTGTAACACCATTATTATACATAATTTGTATACCACCTAATTGATTATTACTATTGTATACTTCTCGACCAAGAACTTTATTAAGTGCAGCAGCACCGGTTAATATTATATGAGAATTTTCAACTTGTATAACACGAGAACCTAATCGAACAAGATAAGCACCAATGCCAACTGCTCGGCAGGTTACTAGACTGATTGTTGGCTAAAAACACAAATGTAACATTTTTCTTTTAATTCAATCTTACAAAAAAAAAATAAAAAATTTATAAATACTTACAATGAGATTATATGCATATGAAGTTTCACCAGCAATCATACCTGATCCGCGTAAATTTTCTACACCTAGACTATTTTCTTTTCCAATAATATCAATAATTTTATGTCTAACTTCGCCATTATCAAGTTTGATAGTTTCTGTTCGTACGCAATTCATATGTGATACACGTGAATAATCATCTGGTGTGAGATATAAATATTGAATACCTTTATCAATATCTGTGGGATCATTCCATGCAATACGATAAAGAAATTTAAGTTCTTCAGCGAGACCTATACGTGCACCACTATTCGCAGATATATAAATGCGTGGTATACGTTCTAAACGTGCTAATTCTGATGCACGTTGAAATAATAAATCTTCCTCAATACCAAATGAACCTATTTTATATGTTATATCATTGGCAATAACAATTATTGCACGACCATTTGGGCACTCGGGTGTTTTCATACGAATACGCCAAGCAACAATGCCACAATCGTTTTCGGCCGGTGAACGTGTACGTGTTAAAAGACCACATTGTTTAAGATGTTCATTCGACTGATCCGTTTGATGTTGTGATGTTTTCATTGAACAGAATATGGACGAAATCATAGCTAGTAATTATAGAGATGATAAAATACTTTCAAATAATATATTCATAAAAATATTATTCAAGTAATCTTCGTAGGATAAAAATATGAAACACAACAAAGCTACGTTCTGTAGACCGCCTCTCATGATTTAGAGAGGAGAACTGAAGATTTCTAGACTACATACTAAAACATTAGTTTGACATCGTGTTTCAAGAAAACTATTAATTAGTTGAAATAAGAAAAATCTAAAAATTTATTTTTCTTTTTACTTTGATTTGACATGTCGAGAATAAGTTCTTCATAATTAAAGACATCTTTTAGTACGATATGTGCTTTAAGATTATTTCGCTCGAAATATTGTTTCCATAATAATAATAATGCTTGTCGAAACATTTCAGGGAAATCATAAACATAAGTTGTATTATTTGATTGAGCAGTAAAACGCTTATATTGTAAATGATCTTTAGTTAAATATGGATCGTGTAATGCACGACCATCTAATGGGCCTGTTTTACCGAGTGTATATGTTCGAAATATTGTTTGTCCTGTTGCCTGATTTGTTTCTTCCCGATAAAGAGATATATCAAGATGATAACCACTTTCATATGTTAAAAATACTCGAAATGGTATTCGTTCCGAATCAGGTGTTATACGTATCGTCATTTTTAATTCAGCTTGCAGAATGCGAAGCTTCCACAAACGAAGACCTACAGAATCAAATGAAAAAAGTACAAGTTAGAATTTATGAATATTTCATGCTCGAATAATTTCTCTATGTAATGATGAGAGTATATGAGGCGATCAAGTGTTTCAAATAAAAATAGTTGATCAATGCAAAAAGTCATAGTGAAGTCCTATAGTAATATTGTTTTATGTAGAGATATAATAAATCGTAATCGAATGAAATCATGTCTCGAAGTGATCAAATATTTTCCCTATCAGGTTGGTGCCATCTGGTAGACTGTAGTCACAGAATCAGAAGAAATAATGGTCTTTCTATTCTTTTTACTATCGTTCTGGTCACTTTATTAATTCAGACTATTTGTTGAGAAAGTTGTGATGGTGTCCTATTGAGCGCAAATAAACCCTTTGATCTCTCTGTCAAACACGGCGAACTTCTTCCGATCAAATACTCTCATTTCATGCGTACATTTTTGAAAAGCATCTGAAAATTCTGATTAGCTCATAAATATTTAACAGCAGGAAAAAACTTTTCATTCAAATGATAATACAGGCAATCCTTTCGACGTAACTATTGAACAATTTAATTCTAGATTACACTATTTAATCCAATGAAAATTAGCAAAAGAACTATTATCCAATTTTAGATCATATAAATCAATATGGACATGAATTTCAAATAAAATATAATATGAAAAACTGAATAATATTTCTTATTTATAAGAAAAAAGATACGCAAAATGAAAAGCCTTTTGATTTCAACCTACCGTAACGAAGTACCATAGTACGAACACTTTCTGCTAGTTTAGTTGGTTCAATACAAACAGTTGGTACGAAACACAGAAAAACATGATTACAATCAGTTTTATTTGCTAATGGATGAGAAAATGCTATTTCTAATTCATCCATTGCTTCAAGTAATGTTCGTTCAGCTTCATTTTCTAAATATTCATAACTTGCTTCTTTAGTTACAAAATCTGAATGGCGAATGATTGAACGTGCGAAAAATCGATAATCAATCGCATTATGTTGTTTATTATGAACTTTTCCTTTGCCTAAGTAGATATGCGTTTTATGATTTGATGTTGGAACAAATTCTAAATCAAATGAACGTAAACGATAGACTTCAAGTTGATAGGCAAGTGCTGGTTCTAAATTTCGATAAATTTTATCTTCTTGAAACTAGAAAAGAAAAAAGGATAAAAATTTCGAAAAACAAAACGTTAAAACATTTCTCTTTACATCTAATCGTTTTCGGTACGTATAATAAACAGGAAATTGACGCTAAAAATAATAAAAATCAATTGGTTAGCAACTTAATTTAGAAATTTACTTTGGCACCAAGTGAAAAAGTAATGCGACGAATATTTTTTGCTGCACAAACTTCACGCTAAAACAAAAACGATTTGAAACAGTGTTTAACTTTCTTGCTGAATTTATAAACAAACTTTTGATTGTACAAAATCAAGAAATACATCTTCAAGTTTTAAATTCTGTTGAAGATTAATATCATCTTTAATAAATACATATATTAAATTGATTGCTTCATCAATCTAATTATTAAAAAATTTAATATTTATTATTCATTGAATTGGAAAATTCTTCTTTTACTTTATTGTTTTGTATTCGCATTGAACTACTATCGAATGAACTTTGTCGACTATGTGCACGATTAGATTTATTGTCAGTAAATGATGATAATTCATCAGAATCTATTGGAGAAAATGGTGTTAACAATTCATCGAAAGCACTAAAATTATAAAATACAATATAGATATTGTTTTATTTTGCTTTGAATAAATTTACCTTTTTGCACGTTCCCAACTATCAAAAGCAGCAGATATACCCATACGTTGAAATAGATTTGAATCGATTTCATTCATATTCACCAGTTCATCGCTAATACTGCCAACTCGGATCATATTCTCATGTTGAAATAATCTAAATCAAATCGAATTAGAAATTGAGTTGTATAAAATCGCTGAGTTTCATTGGATACGATGTAAAATTTACTGTTAAAAAAATGCAAGGTAAGAACTGGAAATCATTCTCTTTTCACAAATCTTGAAATATAGTGAATATAAATGATAGACTCTTCTTTTTTTTTATTGACGATCAATCAATACGCTTTCACAATATCCTATTACACATGTAGAGGATGAATTCAAAATCAGACAAAGATATAGGTCCCAACATAGATAGAAATAAACGAATTCTCGTAATTAGAAAGAATGAAAATATCGTGTTTCACATTTTAATATCATAGGGATTGCATTAACAATCTTTTTATACTCGTACCGATTAGGATGATTATGTGGAAGATGTAATGCGAATTGAACAGCACAAGTACCATCTGAAAGAAATCGATGTTGAATACTATTCAAGTCATATGATACATAAGAACGCCGAACATAAACCTACAACAAAATTTATATTGGTTAGTACTAAATAAAATTGAAGTGAAATTATTTTTCTAATAAATACTTCCAATGCTGCTTGGCGTACTTGAACATTTGAATGGAAATAAAAACTATGTAAAACATCAAGTATACTTGTTTCCGACGATATTAATTTCTGAAAAGAAAATCCAGACAGTTTAGAAAATTGTCTACTCTTCTATTTCATTATATTTTACTTGTATGTTTTCTTGACACAGCTTATGTCCATACATATCGATAGCACTTAAAAAAATTGATTCCATTTGGTTATGTCTTAATTCATAGGGTGGTTGTTGAAATGCAATTAAAACTTGTCTTGATTTTAAAACAACTTTAGAGTTCGTTGCGTGTGTCAAAAGAGCTAATTCAGTCAATAATGCTGTTAATTCATCTGTTAGTGTTGGATCACGTTCAAATAATAAATCAATGAGCAGAATAACGAGTGCATTTTTTGCATTATAATTTGCATGCGAAAAAACAATTTCAACGACTTTCGACATATCAATTTTATGTTTATCACGTAGTTGTGTTAAACATTTATCGTATTGTCCATGTTGAAATAATGTTTCAATGTTAAGGTAGTGTCTTATTAAATCTGTTATAACTGCTTTCATATATCCTTTTATACCATTACGATAGCATTGCACTAAATGTAGAAGACTTTGCACAGTTGTAAAAAAGGTGTCGCGGTCATTTCGGTGCTCTAATTTTGATGCATAACTATCAATAATAGATGCAATAGCTTGCGATGGAAATTGTACCAAAACTGATGTTAAATTACTGTGATAGTTTTTCATTATTTTTTTAATTTCCTTATCGACTTCTTTTGGTATTCGTTCGGATATATTCGATAAAATATCTTCAACTTCAAGTAATGGTAATGATGGATCACGTAAAATTGAAAATAATGTTTCGACATTGGACTTAAGTCTTTCACGAAAATATGGTTCTGGATACGTATAACCAGCAAGAATATTTTCTAATGAACCTTTGATTATTTGAAAGATTTGATTTAATTTCGTACTTTTTGATTGATCGAAAAGTTGAAACGTAAATTTTCCATCGTATAATTGTGATTGTTGAACTTGTTGTGAATCGTCAAGAATTATACGAGCAAGAACGCATGATGCATCGAGAACAGCACCAGGACGTTTATTCCATTGAAGACTGAAAATAGAATATTGGTTAAAGCAAAGTTTGCAGTCCAATATTTACAAGATCACTTAATGTTTGACATACGTATGTTCACTATTATTCGATTCTTTAATTATATTTAGAAGGCTGTGAAAAGACAAACATTTGATAGGATTCTCAAAGAGAAACGATAAAACTTAACGGTTACTTCCTAGTTGACTAGAAATTGTTTTTAAATAAAAATATGTTGTAATTTGTTTTGTGTATTAGAAAAAGTATAAAATAAATAGGCAAAAGTATGATACTGTTTTTCTGTTAATCTTTTTCAAATTCTTCCAATTGCATTAGTATCGAACAAGAGTGAGAGCAACACGTCCTAAGGTGAGACGAACATAGATGCTTCGCAAGGTGGGTCAGTGTAAGGTTAAGACATTTCTTTTTCATGCAACGTGTGCAGTAAGATTTGAAAGAACTCATTCGGCATCTCTCTAGCAATTGTTTTTGGCAATTAGTATAGAAATGTTTGCTCGTCGTGTCTTACAATTGAAAATCAATAATGAAAATTTACTATTTAAATATTCAAATTTATTAATTCCTTACTATCCTTTCGACGGACATCGAAGTTCAGTAACCATTTTCATCACTTCAATTTCAGCATAGATTTGACCAGCTTCTATGGCACCACCATCTTCTACAGTATAGTGAAGGAGTTTTCCTGCTGATGGTGCTCTAAAATATAAATACATAAATATATATATATATATCAATCAAAAGTGTTTCTACAAAAATCTCTATGTCAAACCTTAATATTGATGGATCATTCTCTTTTTGAAATATGCAAGTTTTATTATTGACAATAATTCTGTAATTATCAACTTCTTCTTTCATAAATGTTAAATAACTTGAACCATCTAAATTAATCAATATTCCACCGTCTTTCATTCGATGAGCTTCTAATTCTACATATGAATCATTCATGACAACAAAAAAACTGCTCGGACCACATTTTGTAACCTAAAATGTAGTAATCATTTTTTTCAGATTGAAACAAAAATTCTTGTATCTTTCATTACATGTAATTTATATTTAATATATTCATAAATAAGTTCTATTTGACGTGAAATTGTCAAAGTACTCATGGGTAATATCTGACCACTAAGAAAAACAAGCAAAACAGATTCTTTTATATGAAATCAAAACTATGTATAAAAATTTTACCGTTCTAATGAGGATTGAAAATTCTGAAAATTATTTCGGAATATTTCATCTGCTACATGTATAGCACCACAAACAATTGCTAACATAATATCCGGCTTGTCAGTTTGAAAATGTTGTGCAATTAAACCATCGAGCCAACTTGTTTGTACAGTATTATTAATGAAATCGTCCGTTTCAAGTAGACGTATTAAAATTTCAACTAAGAAAAATAAAGTTATTGTTTTTATTTTTTATTATTTTCCAATACATTCAATAAAACTATAAGGCTTTACCCGTCGAATGAAAATCTCCACGAATCGATAGTTCTTTTAATGCAACGGCAAGATTTCTAGAAAGTAAAATAAATTTCAAAATAGAATTCCAGATAAATAATTCATTCAACTAACTCTCGGGCATCTTCGCGAGTTTCACCATGCGAAAAAACATGCCCAAATTGTGAATCAGCAAATTCATGCAAACCACCAGATGATGATATACTAAAGTAACCCCATACATTATGTCGACTACGAAAAGTTAATTCTTCGACCGTTCCGGAACTTGGCTTGAAACCCTAAATGATTTTCAATGGGTATTTTAAAAAAAACAGCTAAATTTCGTTTTCATCATTACTCACTTCGTTAGGATTTTCACTCGTTATACGCGCTGCAATAGCATGACCATGTGGTTTCGGTTTTATACGAGGATGAGCAAAATCTATTTCTGTTGTGTCAAATGGATCTTCACCATATAATAAACGAATATCTTTTATGCGATGTAAACATATGCCCATAGCAATCTAACAATAAAAATATGTGCATATTATATTACAAATATTTACATGAGAATAATTTAATTATTTGTGCTTCAAGAAAAGGTAAACGTACATAAGAATCATTGAAGGCTAGAAGTTATAAATGTTTCTTGTTTTTCATAATATAGCATAAATCTTAGAATCATCAACTCTATAAAATATCAATAGACTCTCGTCTTCGTCTATCAATAATCTGTTGTTCAATAAATCATTTAAAAATTAACTAGTGCTTTTTCTTGTTGATCAATCAATCAATTCTCTACTTAAACTAATCATTCTTGATTTTACCTATGTATTTAGTTTTGATTTTTAACTTAATCTTTCAAGTCATCAAGTCAAAATTGGCATAGATTCACCAGCTCCTGTTAATTATATCAATATTTCATTTCCATTAGCAATGATTCTAGCCAAGATTACCGAGTTACATCTCGAAGACTTACATACACAGATATTCATAGGCGGACTTCTTTAGTTAACACTCATAAATCGCAATTACAAATAAATAAAAGGCAGGTTAATTGATTTCCAGCGGTCAACATCACTTCGACTGATTAAATATTTCAAAACAATGCATGATACCTGTAATTGACATGCAGGTAAATTAATATCTGTAACCATTTCAGTACAAGGATGTTCTACTTGTAATCGTGGATTGAGTTCAAGAAAGAAGTATGTTTGATCATTTGGATTATATAAATATTCAATTGTACCAGCACTAAATCAAATTTGAATAATGTTTTCTTCGAATTTAAATATAAATCAAAATCAAACCAACCTAACATAGCCAACCATTTTTGTTAAACGTACAGCTGATTTTTCCATTTGTTCGAGAATTTCTGGTGGTGCTATTATTGCTGGTGCTTCTTCAATAATTTTTTGATGTCGTCTTTGAATTGAACAATCTCTACCAAATAATGATATAGCTTGTCCACTTTGATCAGCAAGAATTTGTACTTCCAAATGTCTACAACTATCTGCATATTTCATTAAGAATATTGGTGAACCGGGCACTTCAGCTTGAACCTAAGTTTGCGCAAAAGAAAAAGAAATTCAATAAAAAAACAAAACTTAATTAAATTTACTTGTCGAAATAAATTCTCAAAATCTTCGCGATTTGTTGCTTTTCGTATTCCTTTTCCACCACCACCTTCAGATGCTTTAATCATCACCGGGAAACCAATTCGAGTAGCAATCTAATAATTAAATGATACATAAACATAGATTTTCCCTCATACCTGTGATAGACGCAATACAGTGAAATCGTAAGTGAAAAATGCATTAGCATAATTCCTGTAGCATGAAAATGTAAAATACAATCAGGTTGTTACTTGTAACGTGAAGGAAAGAATTATCAAATCTGTGAGAGGAGTAAAATGAAATTTTCATATCAAAATTCCTACTGAACTATATGTTTTGGAACTGCGTTGCGAATAGATTTTTCTTTTATTCATATTTCCGCACAGTAACACCAAACTTTTCATATTTTTTTTTATCAACTCATTTTTATTTTCTATATTGCTAACATATGAAAGAACTAGTGCCACATCCATATATTTTTCACCTATGAGCTCATGCCTGAAACTAAATTTAAAAAAATGACAGCAGAGTACCAACAAGTATTCAGCATATGGTATATGTAACTGCATGATGTTTGCAAGCAAAACGAAGACGAATAAGAATATTTTGAATAACACTACTTGCATCATCTTACCTCGACACCTTTTGTTGCATCCTTAATACAAGCTTTTTCGTATATATCCATTGGAACACGAATATTTTCATTACTCTCTCCATCCCATTCAAGTTTAAGATCTGAAATTTACTAATTTCCATCAGTAAAAATTAATAAAATGAGACTCATCACTAACGAGATCCACTCCATGGAAATGTTGGTATATCAGCACTTTGTGCAATAATTGTGGAAGCTATTTTGTCTCCTAGTGCCCACATTGCTTGTTCTGGTGGACCTATTCAAATAAGAAAAATATCAAAAGTTCAATTAAATAAAAAAAAGAATCCGCTAATCATTTACCAATAAATATAATTCCATATCGATGAAGTAGTTCAGGTAATTTCGGATTTTCTGATGCATGACCCCATCCGGCCCAGACAGCTATGAAATGAAGCATTTATTTATTTGTTTGGTTTAATTTTAAGAAACAAAAATCGAAGCTAACCTTCAACAGAAAAACGTTTAGCAATATCAAGAATAAGTTCACAGTTGGAATAATTCATATGTGATGGACCACCTTGAACATTAACATAATGATCAGCATATCTAATATATTCTATGATGAGAAAACAGAAATGTTAGAATTGAATATGATTAATAAAATGAAGCCCAACCAGCATTTGCTTTCATATCTTCTGGTGTGACCATAGCAACAAATTTTACTGCATGTTCATCTCGATACATTTCATACGACCAACGTCGAATTGAACGCATACATTTAACAGCTGCAATGCCATTATTTGCAATAAGAATCTTTAAATAGAACATTAATAAGAGATTTAATAAAAGACAAAAACAAAACTAACTTTATTGATTACACGTGATCCACTTAATAGGTCACAGAGCTCCTTTGGTGTTGTCATATTTGGTGATCGAAAACCATTGGATGCTATTGAAAGACCAGACATTTTCCTAAAGAATATTTGCTGATATCTTCTTTTCTATTTCAATATAATTACCTTGTACACTGTTTTGCTATTGATTGATATTCGTCGTTTGATAATATTTTTGCATGAGTTGATCCATTTAATGTGGAATGCTTTGATGGCGAAGAATAATTATTTGAAGGAGCTGAAGATTCAAGAATTTTATCTAATGATCCATGAGTATCATCGATATGATGAGAATTATCAAGACCAAATTTAACTTTCGATATATGATGATGATTTCCATTTGGTATAATTTTCGACGGTGACATTTGAGCTTCCCGAACAGAAGCCATTAGGAAGAAATTTAATTAATTTTTCTAAGAAAAACAAAATATCTAGAAGTAAAGAGTAGAGAGAATTTTCATCAAGAAAATATCCCACATATACATATTGATACATTGATTCTCGTGAAATAGAAAACCAGCAATCAAATGCTTGTCTATGATTTTCTTCATTTCTTTGCGTTCTTTCATCATCGCATTCATAGTTATAGATCGACCACTTAGCGTCAAAGAATAAAACGTGCCATACATGTTTCTTTTTACATTTCTGCCACGTGGATGTATATATTCAAAAGATATCCGAAATACAAAATAAGTCTTGTATAAATGTTGATTTTGTATACGCGAAATTGATAAAAAAAAATCAAAATATTTGTTGTGTAATGTAACTTGCTTAAGAGTCTGTCATTTTTGAAAAGTCTAAAGTATATTAATCTGAAGGAAAAACTAACACTAAATTAAACAAAAAATGTAAATCTTTCGATGAAAATCTTCATTTCTTAAATCCTATCGGATCGATATATGCATATATATTTTTTGTTTACACTATAAACAAAACAGACAAACAAATATTGCTTTATATTTTGACAAAAAAAAACAGCAACAGGCAAACAGATTGTTAAACACGATTTTCATCATAATCAAATTGTTCCTGTTTAAAAGAGTGAATATTCATTTGACTCGTGTCATCAACATTATCATCATCGTCGTCGTCGTCGTCGTTGTTGGCATCGTCAATGCCATTATAATGATCACTTTCGTTTAATGATGATTGTATAACAGCCCAATCTTCAATAATATCAATGTCTGATAGTTGATAGAAAATAGCCAAATTGTCTTTATCCATTGTTTTAACTGAACCATTAAAATAATTTATCTTTCGTTGTTTTTTATTTTCTTTTGAAGATTCGGGTGAATCGAAACGTTTTTTATTTGGTGAAATTAATTTTTGTTGATTATGTGGAAACATTTCTTGTAAAATATTTGAACAAACTTGTGTTTTACTTTTTAATGTTTCAAGTTCATCAATTTTTCTTTGAATATCTTCATTCATTTGATGATATACAAGAAATTTATCATTTTCTAATGTCTGTTTTAAACTTAATAGTTCAGCTTGATAAGAATTTTCTAATGATTCCAATTCGATATGACGTCGTTGTTTAGCTATCTCTAAACGTAGTTCCATATCATCGTAAAGTTTTTTTAATTCCTCTTTATATTCAGGAGCTTCTTCATTCTGTATGGAGAGTAATTTCTGATCAATTAATGAAACACTTTCATCATAGAGAATGGTTTTTAATTGTTCAAATTGTTTTTCAACATTCATTATTTCAAACATAATTTCATAACGACGCGAATCAAAATAATCAATTGTTAATGTTGATGCATCATTGTTACCAAATGTTTGAAGAATATGTTGAATATCATCGATTGAATCAAGACAATCGTCATCACCATCATCGTCGTCATCGATGTCATCAAGATCATTTAAATTTGAATATTGAGGATTTATGTAAGGTGATGAACATGTTCCTTGTTGAGGAGAGAGATTTGCTTGATCATCGATAGGATTCATTATTGTTTGATGGAACTTTAAAAAAAATTTCCAATCATTAATGAACGACCGAGTTAATTTTTTTTACGTTTTTGACTACAACAACAGACCAATCAATAAGTAGTAGAAAAGAGCGACATCTTTTCTGTTAATATTGAAATATATATATATATATAGGCATGTTTTCTCTTCTGTCCTGCTTTTTGCAGATTGCAAAAATCTCATATATACCTATTGACTGAAGCAGCATTAATTTGACGTGAAAGTGTATGCGTAAAAGTACCCTTTTTTGTAAGAAGCATAGAAACAAATTCAATTGATGACTATATGCCGATGCCAAAATGGCAAAGAAAACGACGGAACAAAAAAAAGAAGCATTCCGGTGCCGGGGATCGAACCCGGGCCTAGACGGTGAGAGCGTCCAATCCTAACCACTAGACCACACCGGAAGATATTATTTTGTTCCTAGTTATGCGATAAAAAGCTATGAAAAATATTAACACAGCTGCAGGAAACTTGTCGAAACCATTGGCAAAGACTTTTGTGTAATTGTTTACGTTTATATCGCGTTTGGCACAAGTATTCAGGATCTAGAGAAAGTGAAATCAATGGTGTTTACCATTATTTTGTGTCATTTTATGAAATACAACGAAAAAAACAAAGTAAATCATGTTACTTACTGTATTATCAACCATTGTCGCCAAATATTTTTGTATATCGTTTCAATTTCATACACAAAAATCTACTTCAAGCAGAATAAATTTAGTATAGATAAGTGAAGCGTTTATCACAGTTGCGAACCATGCTCAACAATAAAATGACGGAAATCATTTTATCATAGAAGAGAAATATAGAAAATTAGATTAGAGAAATTAGAAATACTATGAATTTGTCAAAATTGATGTGTTATTACTTCTCAGTCGATTCAACCAGCAAGATACGAAAAAATAAAGCTCTCTGTGTATTTCATAGGAACTGCTCTAAATTTGCAAAAAAAAAGATGTATTGTAATAGTCATTCTCTAAAGTTCAACTTTTAACAAAAACATTAGTAGACATTGTAACGATGATTCATTATTTTTTAATATTGAACTAAATATGAGGAATTCTTTTTGAATCAAGAGAAAACAACAAATCTCTCATTCTTTAATATTGATGGATAACTTTCATTAATAAATGTTCTTTTCATCTTTGATCACAACAATATATAGACTATAGTCAAGATGTAACATGACTTCAATAAACTTGACTGTAATCATTTATTTCCTAATTGCTTGAGTTGGTCTTGCATTATTTGTTTGCAGCTCTGATATGTTATTACAATTATTTAAGAGAGAAGATGAATAACGCGACATTCATTCAACCAAAAATATTTTCTTTTTATTAATATTAGAGAAGGTATCATGGATAAAATTTTTCTTGGAAATTCATTTACATTTACAAAGCATAATATTCCTCTTTGCGACGAAATAATAAAATAGCAAATACGAAAGCAAATATTTCAATACCAACTACAACTATAAGACCAATGATAATATATTTTTTATATGAATTTAACAAATCGACTAAATCATCAAAACATCCTCCTGAATAGGAATTGACACCTGTTATTGCACATGTACTAGCTTCCGCCATATTTTTTGGTAGTTGACTCCAATTTTTTGTTGTATTTAAAGGACAACAAGTAAAAGGAACGATTAAAATCGTATTTCGCTTATATGGATTCGTTCTATTCCAATGTAGTGCATCCAAATAATCAGTTTTATTGATGGCACCACAACATTGCAAATTAAATTGAAGAAAATCCCACGATATTGATATTGGATTTGTGGATGTGACGTTATCAATGAGTGTACCAACATAATTGTATACGATTGATTCTTTAAGGTTATTAACAAAGTTTGACTTAAAACGATTTTCATAAATAGCAAAATAAATAACAAGCCCTATTTCAGCAAGGATTATTCCACCAATAATTATTGCATAAATAAGATGTAAAAATCGAAAAGTTTTTATTGCTCCACAACATCCTAAAAAATTAAATTAAACTATTTAATAAATTTAGAAGGAATTTTTTTTTACCTAGAAATCCAATTAATAATATAATACCACCAATACCAATGAATACAAAAGCCAATATTTCAATAGTAGATAAATTTTGAGAATCAGTTGTTGCCAAATCCGCATTAAATAATGGTCTTAATTGTTGCATTTTTGTATTTTTAACAAGATAAATCCCAATTACCAGTAATGCTATACCCACAACAATGAATATGATATTGAGAAGAACAATAAGAAATCGAATAAACTTCATGGTAAATGACATACTACCATGACCTAGTCCGGATGCCATTCTTTTTAATGAACTTATATCGGTATCAAAATAGATGAGTCTAGAAGAAAAAGAAGGAATCAATATGTAGTTATATTCATCTGTTCTGCAGTTGGTTTATGTAATCAGGTTTATATATATTTGTTCATGCGAATGAAGATGTCACAACAAAACGAAAAAAAAAAACGAAATTTTCTATTTGTTTTTCTATTCAAAATTTTCGCATCGTTGACATCTATTATATTCGAAGTTACTCAGGCATAATGAACAATATGTTGACATCGAATATCATTCGTTTTGCATCGATCATTTTTATTTTACTCAATGCTTTTTTTTTCAACCTTTAATATCAGACCAGCAAAAGTATATGTAGATTGAATTATTTTCATCAAGAATAACATATGGAATAAATGATATGGTACATTAGACAGTTTCTTTCAAAAGGATAATTAATAGTCCATACGAATTTCATGAAAACATTATTTTTCAAAAGAAAAGTCGTTAACATTATTATGCCAGTTGTTACCATTGGTGAAGTGTCAAAAAATAAACTGTAGCAATCCATTGACATAAGGAATATACTTAAATACATATGAATAATGCTAATCAATAACCTTGTCTACAATGATTAGTAATTTATTTTGAATAATTTTATTTAGACATGACAATCAAACTTCAGTTGCATTTATTTTCTCAAATGAAAAAAATCATGGAAATAATATGACTGAAAATATTATTATCATTCTCAGTCACTTTTATTAACAAGATTAATTAAAAAGAGCCATATTCAAAATTGAGAATACGATATACAAGATTGACACTTTCACCTATTTTGTAAACTTACATTTTTATTAGGTGACGATATTCAAAATTATACGATGACAATCAACCATCAGATACGAATATTTGCACATATTCGGATAAATAGAATGCCTATTTTGAATTACAAATAAGCTATTGTTAATTAGTTTGTTGAGATTTTGGTAGTTAAATATTTGAAGTAAATAAAAATGTGTATTTGGTAAAAACATTTAGCTATTGAATTGTCGAGTTTTATTATTCAATTATTTTTTACAAAGGCGTTCGTTGTTTTATTGGTTTTTTGATTATGATGATAGTGTTTTTTTATAGATGAAAAACAGTTCTATCAATATTGTTCGATACACACGAAAAGAAAACATTTATCTACTTTTCAAGAAGAAAAAAAAATCTGTAAGAGGCTGACTGCTTTACTTTTTAAAAGAATGTGATTAATATATGTAGGATTTAATCCGAAGACAGAAACGAAGAAGATCAATTTTAAATCTAACATAAAATCACACTTTCAGCCTTTTTTTTGTGCATCAAACAGAGCCGGTTATTACTATGCACCATAATATCAGCATAGTTTTATTCATCATGTGTATGCTTATCTCAGACGTTAAATTACAGAAGTGGACAGGTACTTACGCGTGGAATGATGAATGCAAGTCCAATTATTGTTGCTGTTATGCAGGTACACTAACTGTCGCTGCTTCTGGTTCCAATTTGATCTTTTCATCGGGTACCAGAGGATGCGGATCGTCCACATCTTCAGCTACATTTTCAAATCCAAATGCTTATTCATTTTCTACGACTGGACTCAAAGGTTCACCTATTACTTACACACTTAGTTCGGATAGTAATACAATGACTGTTGTAAATATTGGGTATAGCGCTTGTGGAGGCAAGGCTCGACGGACTTCAGTTGGAACTCATTTATATCCATCTTTGATGTCATTCTTCATTGTTCTTGCTACCATGTGTGTCTTGCTTTAAATATATTTTAATAAAAATTGTTCAATGATCAAATTTTCACTGATTTATTGCTAGTTACATAGAATTACGAGAGAAAAACACTATTGAAAATTTAATTAGTAAATTGATTAAAGTTAAATTTAGTTTGTGTATCAGTTCAAAAATACTTAACAATATCTAAAATTTACTCAGAGATTTTGATAGATAGTTATATAACGTAATTATAGTTGATTAGAATCTAAATATAGAAATAGCTTTGACATAAAATTGAAAGATGAACGAACGGAAACACATAATACAAATCGGTTCAATATTTTTCTTTCATAATAACCATTTTCATATTGTTTTATGCAAGAATTTAATCGAAATGTGACTTTCTGAATTCAATTGATTTTCTAGAGAAATTATTCAATACTTTGATTGCTATAAGCGTCATCATCAAAAACACAAAAACAACAATTGCATATATCGATGTCAGATACGATGCTAAAAGGTTTCAGTTTATTCGTGTCTCATAGTAATCAAATTGTAGGTTTTTGTCTAATACTCTTAAACATCATGTGCTACTCACTAGAAGGTTATTAAGGTAATTTTATATAAATATAATACAACGAAAAACACATACGATTTATGATGGCAAACGAACGTGTACGAATTGGAAATGTGCAAGTAGCTAAAATTCTTTTTGATTTTGTTAATGAAGAAGTCCTACCAGATATGAATATTGATTCTGATACATTCTGGTCCGGTGCTGAATTGATAATTGCTGAATTATCACCAGTAAATTTGAAACGTCTGCAAAAACGAGATTATCTGCAGACGAAAATTGTTGAATAGCATCGCATGCATGAAGGAAAATGCACAGATATTACTACATATAAAACATTTTTATATGATATTGGCTACTTATTACCGCAAACCAATGATGAAAATTTTCAAATTAACACTATAAATGTCGACAATGAAATTTCTGTTCAAGTTGCACCACAACTTGTTGTTCCATTAGTGGATGCTCGACGGTGTTCACTACATGATGCTTTATATAGTACGGATGCTATCTCAGACTGTGACAGTTGTGAAAGAACAAATGAGAATAATCAAAAACGAGGTGAAAAAGTTATTTCTTTTACTCGAAAATTTCTCGATCAATCTATTCCATTGACTAGTAATTTCTCGCATACTGATGCTATACAATATAGTATTGTAAATGGTGAAGTTAAAGTAAGAAATTTATTTAGACAGATAGGAAATCAAATAATTTCCTGTAAATAGATCACTTTAAAAAATGAAAATTTTTACTCATCGCCAATCTCGTGATCAATTTGTCGGTTATCAAGGTGATAAAGGTGTACCTCATGCCATTGTTTTTGTACATCATGATCTTCATATTGAAATTCAAATTGATCGCAAGAACTGTCGTAATGATATTGCAGGAATAAAAGGCGTTATTATTGAGTCAGCATTAACAACTATCGTTGATTGTGAAGATTCAATTGCAGTAGTTGATGTTTATGATAAAATTCAATTAAATAGAAATTGGCTTAGCTTAATGAAAGGTAATTTAGAAGCTCGGTTTATGAAAGGAAACAAGACAATCGTTCGAAAGTTACATCCAGATCGAATTTATAATTCAAAAAACAGATAATGAGCTACGATTATCTAGTCGATCTCTTCTTTTCGTTCGTCATGTTGGCCATCTATTATTTACTGATGCTATTTTAAATAATGATAATCAGGAAATTCCTGAAGGTATTCTCGATGCTCTTATCACAACTTTAATTGCTGTACATAATCTGAATGATAGAACAAAAGACAATATTAAAAATAGCCATAAGGGTTCAATTTATATTGTAAAACCAAAACAACATGGTCCAGGTCGCTTTTACTTTGCATCTATGTGATAGAATTGAAGATCTTCTTAAGTGGCCTCGACATACGCTTAAAGTAGGTATTATGGATGAGGAACGTCGCACTACAGTTAATCGTAGTGTATGTATTCGAGAGTCAAAAGATCGACTTGTATTTATAGATACAGGATTTCTTGATCGAACTGGTGATGAAATGCATACATCAATGGAAGCAGGTTCTTTAATGCAAAAAACTCAAATGAAAGACACAAAATGGTTTATGGCTTACGAAAGAAATAATGTAGAAAAAGGATTGAAATGGGGTCTATCAGGAACAGCACAAATTGGGAAAGGAATGTGGGCTCTGCCAGATATGATGGCAGCAATGATTGAACAGAAAATTTCTCATCTCAAAGCTGGAGCAACTTGTGCATGGGTACCATCATCAACAGCAGCTACACTTCACGCTTTACATTATCATCAAGTTGATGTTTTTGCTCGTCAAATTGAATTAATAGCGTCATGTTCATTGTCAAACAATTATTTAGATGATCTATTAACAATACCAATTCTTAGAACAACTTTAACATCTGAATAAATTCAACGTGAATTTGATTGTAATGCACAAGGTATACTGGGCTATGTTGTTCGTTGAATTGATTTGGGCATAGGTTGTTCTAAAGTACTGGATATCGATAATATTGGATCGATGGAAGATCGAACCACACTAAGAATTTCTAGTCAACTCATGGCAAATTGGTTACGACATGAAATCATTACAAAACAACAGGTAATACAAACGTTTCAACGAATAATTCAGGTAGTGGATCAACAAAATGTAGACAATGCAGAATATCGATCAGTGGCAATTAACCTTGATCAAATACTGCTTTTCAAGCTGCATTGGAGCTTGTACTCAATGGAGATAAACAACCAAATGGATGTACAGAACTCATTTTATATCGTCGACGACGAGAATTCAAAACGCGACAACAACAAAACGATATTAGTCAATGAATTTTCACTTGGCAATTTATTTTTCTTCGGATGACTCATTAAATTTTTCTCAGACACCAAGTTTATTTCAAATTTTTTTCTAAACCTATCTAATTGTATTGAAGGCAGTAATTTTATTTTGTTACATACTGTTGAGTTTTATTTTTATTCGTTTCTATTCTTGAAATGAAAGGAAGTCTTTTGAATTGTTTTCTTTTTGTAAAATATCGGGTTATAATTGATAATCCAACGTCATTTGTTCGTTTTCTTCAAAAAAGTGTTCGTCACAATTATTACCTGAACCTTCACGATCTACAACAAGAAAATCATCATCTTCATTGCCGATAGCTAATACAGGATGATGCCAAGTTCCACGACTATAATTTACACCTTGTTTTCCGTTAGTTACAAATGCACGTATACGTTCAAGTTGAGGTTTATCGTTATTGATAGAGTAGTCTGTTGGTGGAGCAACAACTAATAGAAAGGGTCGACCGAGTAACGGTACAAAAGCTTGGCTACCAAGTGGATGCCGTTCAAGCATACGAATAGTAAACGGCATCTTCGTCACTCGGGCTTGGAAAATACTAATAATAGCTCGATCACCATCAGCTGGATTCGCCGTTTCTACTTGACTCAGACAATGATACCGACGAGTAGATCCATTGTTTATCATTCTAAAAGGACGTTGATCTGTTTCAATAACATCACCAAATGGAGTAAATGCTTCTTGCGTTAATGGTTCGATATGTAATTTTTGCAAAGCCATATATTTAATATTGCTTTATGTAAATAGAGTAAATTATTTAAGTTATACGAACGACAATGATAATAGATAAGACACAGGCAGAGAGAGAGAGGCTTTTGCATTTTACTCACTTCGAACAGAACGAAAAAGAGCGAGAGGACAAGTTGAAAATCTAATCTACTACTTGCTTTCTTACTTATGTTGATTTTTCAATTGAATATTTATGAAGTACACTTTTATTGATGATAAATCTAGCAAAAATACTTATATTGTATTGAAATTGTTTCTATCATATTTTAAATAGATGACACCGATATTGTCTTACTTGATTTTATGCAGATCATGTAAATTAAAATCAATCTACATATATGAAGATATAATATAAAATACTAGTGCATCTAGAGATGCCGCTATTTATCGACTGATTGGATATACTACAATTGCACCTATGTTTAATTTCGTCGATAAATAAAGTTCTTATATTACAAAAAGAAATGGATGATTTGATTTTCTTTTTTTTTTCTATTTTTCACGAGAACTCCATGCTTACAGTATTCAACAGCTAAATATTCTTTTTCTTTGGAATATTTTATGTCAATCTCTGCGATACTTGATGTAAACTAAATTTCATCTATTTCGTTAGCCTGTCATATTCTTTTATACGGCACGAGTCAAAGGTGTGGGTGTGTGAGTTTTGTTCATTCCCTCATACTCTTATTCATACTCAAACCCACATCCCAGACATCCAGATAGTCACCCCCACAACCCCCACTCGCACATCCAAACCTACATCCAACCCGATACTTCTAGATCTCTAAAAACCATGCTTAAACTCTCTACAGACCATCCTGAAGCCCTCTGAACATTCCATCAGGGTACCTATTGAATTTTCAGTGGTTGATGGGCGTGCGGGTGTGTGCGTGTGTGCGTGTTCATTTTTTAATTCTAATTAATAATTAGCGTTTAATGCCTGTAATGTGGGAGGGGGAGCCGCAAAATTCTGCCCCTTAAACTTAAACTCACTATTTTCTTCAAAAATATACGTGAGTTCCACAAAACATCATTTTGTTGAAATAAAATAGTATAAGAATATCATTTTTGAATGCTATATATAGTCGTTATATATAGTTAATCAGAATTTTGTTTAGTAATAGCAATTATATGTGATCATAATTCTGCTTCCAAAGCAGAATTTTCATTCCCACATAGATCTAGAATTATATAACCATCCCACATCGTTTACCAATTTAATTTATGTGGCGAGTAGAATTCGTGTATTCTGCCACAGTTGATACGAAACAAACGTTTAGAGAATAAAATATCACGTAAACAACTAAATTTATATACTAGTACCTTAACAATACAGAATCTCATAGAATTCTGCTCTATAAGAATTGATTTCTTGAAAAAATTTGTAAGCCCACATTATTCTGAATTCTGCTTGTTTGTGGCATTCTGCAACTGCTGCCAAACCAAAGCCACCATGCAATTGTACATAATTATGAAAAATGAGAACTAATCCGTTGTTCTCTTTGGTTAATCTGGATATGTGCTCGATTCTGTGTAAAGATAGATTTGTGATAGTATACATGTAGGGTGTCATTTTACCCACACGCTCAAGATTTTTAATAAAAATCTAGAATGATATTTGTAGCACAGTCATATACTCTGTCTTTTCTAAAAATAAATCGTTGTTTTTTTAGAACTAAATAGTAATTTATGGTCAGTATTCTATGAATCCAATGAACAAAATATTCGTCGATGATAAAATTCCAAATCAATTTTCGAAAATAAAATAATGAAAACAGTAGACGTTTGAATTAAGACAAGTTAATAGAATTACTCTTCATTCGTAAGACTTATTTATAATTCAACATGAAACAATAGCGCAAATATATTAAATTTGATTAATAGCAAATTAATATAGTGACTAATGCTATCTTTTAATGAAAAATTAGTACTAGTCTTACATGAAAAAATAAGTATTAGTACACAAGAAAACTAAATACAAAGTATTAGTTGAGTAATATTTGATGGAATATATTAAAAGTATGAAGTAATCGTTTACGTAATAATTTAGATTATTAAATTACTATTGGTTCATCGTTCCTTGCTTAGAAATCATACTAAATTAATTTTATTAAGAAAACTTTTTGAAAAATCTATAAGAGTAGTTTCGACAGAACGATTACGTCGCAGTTTCTTCACAACATTGCATTTAGTGTTTTCGCTACTTGAAAGTACTTTAGATGACTGAAACAGTCATTGATTGACCCATAACTTTCTGTCCTTTTTAAATATGGACTCAGAAATTTTATAGCTATTATTGCGCCAAATTTTTTAGAGAATCTTGTTATGTATGGAACAATCAGTTTATATAGAGAATGGTTATATTTGTAGAACAGAGACTATTGTGTACAAATCTTCATGCCGAATTGTTGACAAAAACTCAATTTTTCAAAAAAATAATAAAGATACTACAATGAAAATTTTACTGTTGAATTTCGGCTTCTAATAGAAAATGTATGGAGTAGTTTTTGCACAAATTCGTTTGTATGATCTTTGAAAGCTAATTTCAATAATCATTAGCAAAAACAAATACAATGTTTTTGAGCTCATATTTGACAAATGCAAAAATTCTCGTTTTAATCTGTTGTTCGTTATTTTCTCGGAAGACTAACAGAACAAACATGTTCTCTCAAAATTTTCGACCCACCCGCCGTTTACTTTGTATATAATTAGTCATAATAGGATAAAGAAAAAAGAAAGAGTGTATACCAGCGTGATGCAGCGTTATCATGTCCCGTGATATAGAATTGGCAAATCGGTAGATACTCACGAGGCGTTTTCTTAGTTGAACTCTTCTTCAGAATGATTATTTTGCGGAAAGTTTAGCATTAAAGTATTCATACCAAATCAACTTTTAATGTTGTTGCATCATCGAAATTCGAAATGAGAATTTTATATTCAGCTTTATTCTAGCAACGTATTTTAGTACAGTAACTTTATCAAACTTGTCCGTAATTAGAAACATGAAAAGCTCATAAAAGTTGCACCATTTCATATGAATATTATAAAATAAAATGCTCTTTCGTTCATTTTATCTAAAGAAACTTATAATTTATTGTCCGAGTCCGGCATGTACGTAGAATAGTCGTTTAGCTGATGAATAGTTTTACAGGTATTCCTACAGAAGCACTCGACATTCAACGATTATTTTGAAAGATAATAAACTGAATGAATGCATGAATCATTATGAAAACAATTCTAATACTTAAATAAAACAGCAACTTTATTAGATCCAAAGTTAACAAGTGAATATCATGCTCGAACAACTATTATAAAATAATTTTTCCTTTATTTAAATGCAAATAAAATTTAGTTTGTTCATCAACTTAGTATATGTGATTTCTAGCGATGCCGTTCATGGCATGCTGATATCGATTTTCAGATGTCAACATTTTAGTCAATTTGATGGACGAGTGCTAATGAGCACTTGTTCAATGGCAAATGGTCATAAAAAATAAATACCTCTATTCTCATGTTAAAAACGTTTTTGCATCTTCACAAGTTGAAATTCAAATGAATGAATAATAATTGTTACAAGATTTTGTTCTCTCAATCGAAAACGAAGATGACATTCGATTTTCTTCTGATAGCATTGAATTGAAAAAAGCAAAAATAAAAAGGCGTATATTTTCATTTGCGTCTTATTTTGCTAGTGTATTCTAGATATGAAGATGAATTCCGAATGCGATAACATTAAAACGAAATTTGTCATCATTTTCTTTGTCCTTCGATATCATTGATGATGAATCAGTATCAACTATGTCCAAGTTTCTCTTCGTCTTGTTTTATCAACTGTGTTAGCTACAACACAAGTGACGATAAGTCAACAAATATTCATTTTTCTTGTTGCACTATTCCTTATCATATATTATAATATTTCATATTACATTTATAAAATAAGTGTGTGTAGCTACTTTTTTTTAGTTTGAAAACTTTTGTCAGCCTTTTCACAACAATAATAAACCGTACGCAATGGTACATCTATCAGGTGGATCGAGTGTTATGAGAGGAGTGCTACTTGTTCTGAACGTATTGTTCGTCATTATTGGTCTTGTCCTCATTGGTGTTGGTATTTACATCAAAGTTGATAACAATTTTGCATCGATTCTCAGCAAACTAACTACTGACGGATCTCTCGAAATAAAAACCATAGGGTTTTTAGCTTTCGTTATGATTGGTGGCGGTGTATTTACTCTTCTCATTGCATTGTTGGGTTGTATGGGTAAGTTTTTTGCTAAATAGAAGAATGAAATGTCATATTCGTTTTATCTCTTCGTATAGGAGCACTATGGGGACAACGATGCCTTTTATATTTGTATGCTATAATTTTGTTTCTTTTGATGATCCTCGAATTAGTTGGCGTTATCTTGGCAGTGGTTTACAAAGGAAAACTTAAGAAATATATTGAGGAACCTTTGTTCAAAGTATTGGATGATGCTTTGAGCAAAAACCCTCCTGCTAAAGATGTAATATCAGGTTTCGAAGAATTGGAAAAGGCTATGAAATGCTGTGGTGTCCATAATATCTCGGATTACGAACGACACGCCTATAAGCCAAAGTCTCCTGCATGTAAAAATCCAAAAGCTGTGGGCTGTTCTGAAGCTATTATTGATTGGTTCAACAAGAATTTACCCATAATAGGGGGTACATTAGGTGGTATTTTAGTAGTTGAACTTTTTGGTTTAATTGGTGCTTGTGTATTGGCTTCAATAATAAAAAGGTCGGGTAGCGACTATTCAACAGGTCCACCAATGCCGAAATTTATGAGAGGTGGTCGTAATTAATAAAATAAACTTTTCAACAGTGAAACAAATAAATAAATAATTGATGTTTATGTTATTTTTATTTTTATAACTTTTGTTTTTGCGTCGGTGGTGAATAACAGGGAAAAGAAAAAGAAAAAGAAAGAGTAACCAAAAACATTGCATCACTGACTATGTCGAATAAGTAAATAAATGTTAAAATACATAGATCATAATAGATAAAAATGAAGGTTATTATAATTTATTCGCATATAATTTTAATAAAATCATCATGGTTATTATTTTTCATTCATTCACTACAAAAGTATTTTAATACTTGTTCCTATTTTTGACGTTTAGTTATACCCTCTTTTAATTGTCGATATAATACATAGCGATCTTTACCGATGACAGAGCTCTAAAACAAAACAAAAACAATATAAATTTTATCAATAGTTAAAAAGAAAATCATTTGAACGTACCGTATATAAATCAAGTCCATTCATATCTCCTCGTAAATTAGTTACAGGATTACGAAAAAGCAGACGACAGCTAACGGGCATTTCATGACCATTTGCATTTGATTCATTCTATTAAGAGAAAAATTTATGTTTAGGATGTTATCTATCAAAATCAAAGTAAAAGTAATATTTTTTTTATAAACGAAAACTTATAGAATAATCTTCGTAAAATCTTTAGTCATTTATTTTTCCTACATGATGAATTTTTTTAAGCAAAAATGTTTTTCATTCCATTGATCAATTTAATTCTAAGTAACAGGATAGCATCTCTCTAACAGTAAAAGATAATAATAACTAGATTTAATGTGAATCTCATTCAAATTGAATTCTAACAACTGAAAAATATATATGAAAATAAAATTTATTGTATAAAAAAATTAAGTTCTTAGCTATGATCTTATACAATGAATTATTTTTTCTTACATATAGTATTATGACACGATTTTATCTTACCATTGGTGGCAAATGCATGCCTAGGCTGAAACTAAGTTCATTAAGATCGTCAACAAAAACTACAAAAGAAAACAATTTAGAACGACATTTCTTCATAAGTTTTCTTCCTACCTCGAAAGATGAGATTTAATGCTTCGTAAAAGTCTTTTTCAAGTCTTTCGCCAAGAATCATTACTTCAAGATCTTTAATTGGTGTCTAGAAAGAAAAAATGAATGAATTTTTTCTTAGTTGAAAAAATCCAATAAAATAAAGCAACTCACAAGATGAATTATTATACGAACATTTCCAATCGGTATTGTTAAACCTAATGCTTGATGAATATATACATAATCATTAAAATAATTCTTTCCATTATTCATTTGTGCATAAAGACGAGCACCTTGTCGTATTCGTTCAATATTTCCATAGTAAATATCGTAACCTAAACTAACTTGAAGATGCGTATGTACTTGTGATGCGCCACTTTTAGGCATTGCATCCCAAATCATTTCTGGACATGTATACATTGATTCAATTGAATAAGCTTTTTGAAACCATTCTTGTGCTAATTTGAACATATCACCGATTTCATCTTCTGTTAGATGTAATGTATCATGATTGCGGGATACAATTAATGTATGCCAACGATCATATTTAAAGGTGTTTGCTGCAGTATATGAAAGAGAATGTTCTAGACGTCCAAATGCATCTTCAGCTGTTGAATTAAGATAGTTTTTTCCACAAAAGTCACAATTTTTTTTACTTTCTTCCATCAATTGCAACGTACTAAAAAAAACGGAATATAAAAACTAAAGGAGAAAAAATTTGTTTTTCTACAATCAGACAAGATATAAGATATGCAAGAATTTAGCGACATGCAAGAGGTATCAATAAAAACAAACATATATGTCAGTATACAAGCTTGAATCAAGTCAAACTTAAATTATAATTTGCGATTTCCTATGAATAACTTGTTAGGGAATAGTTGATTTCTACACAAAAATACAAATAATTGGAAAAAAATTGATTTGAAGACTTAAGAGATAAAAATAAAATTCCGCTGATTCCTTCGATGTATTTACAAGCCATTTGTCAGTCAAAATAAATGATAATAATACTTGATAATCAGCAAGTTTACTCTAGAATCAAGTGACGTAGATACATTTTAGCATATTGTCTTTCAACTGAAATGAATGCTTAAAAATTCAAAGTAATATATGACATATTTTTATTATCGAAAACAATGAACTCTCATAGATTGACCGACAGGAAAAGTATAAACTGATTGCGTCTAGTCTGTTGTAGCCTTCAAAGAATAGAAAAAAAATGATTATTATACCTATTGTATTGTGAAACTTTGCAATTGTAAAAATAGTTGAACACAAAACAATCTAGTAAAGAGTCGTCGAATGCGAATACTGTTTATTCTTCAATTGATTTTTACATCAAATATCAGTTTTGAGGGCTCTATAGACATGTAATAAGCAACTGATCGTAGTCTTATATGTTACTGATTTATGTTTAAGCCAAAACAAGAAGGCATAAAATTAATCTCATATTTTCTCTCAATGTATCATCAAGATGATGAGTTGGATTGAAAATATCTAAGAAAAAATCTATTTAATTCAATCTATCTTAATTATTAAATTTTAAAAACTTTTTTAAACTTCATTTTTTTGCCAAAACTAACTTTAATTACGACTAATCCACAGACAGAAGACCTATTGAAAAACAAAATCTCTCAACTAATATTTAACTTGACGTTAGCATATCTTTTGATTCAAGTTTGATAGTTGACATATATATATTTCCTTAGCTACAATATTGACTATAACCGTACTAAGTTTCGGCGGATTGTTCACTTTTAGTTTGTGGACGTCGACTTCGCATATAATTATATAACATCTCTTCATGTGTATGACGATTGTAAATTTTAATTATACGCTTTAAATAATAAATATTGTTTTTATAAATTTTCTCTCAATTCAGTTACAGAACAATATTTTTAATAGTGAAATTTATTTACTTGATTTTTGATTTGTTCGACAAGTTTTGCGTCTTTATTAAAATATTGATTGATTTTCTGTAAATAAACTGGTGATATTTTTAATGGACCATGAATTTCTTCAAGACGAAATATTGCGTCAAATTTTTGAACAAAATCTCTATTTAGTAAAAACCAGAAAAGTTTCATATAAATAAAATCATTTTGTTTTTTTGAAAATTGATTTACTGGCAAATTTGATTTGTTGATAAACGAGCATTATTTAAATATTTTGGAATATTACCTACAGCTAAGTTATCTGAACGTTGCTTTATTTTGAAGCAATTTTTTTTAAACCATATCTAAATATGAAAATGCAGTTTTAAAAGCGTTTTCTTTAATAAAAATAACTACCGATGAATATTCATTTGGTAAAATTCTAAATTTATCATTTTTTAGTTTTGTTGATGTCAACAATGTTGATTGTAATGGTAGATTTAGTACAAAATAATATTGATAAATTGAAATTACAACACAAAAAGTTATAATAAAAAGCAAACACATCAATTGAAGTCGTCTTGACTGCATTACTGTACGTAATTTACGGTTCGTATGAGTAATTATTCGAAAGATGATGTATTTGAAAGACTAGAGTGAAAAGAAACAAAGATCAAATTAAAGCGAATTCATAAAAAGTTGAATTTAAATAGCAGCAAGATTAATTTTATTTTTTACAATCACCAATACAATTAGTTTAGTGCTGTTTTCTTTTTTAAATTTCCTATCTTACAGGAGGAAAAGCCACAGGATTACAGCAAAGTATAAGTTAAGATTTATTTTGAAATCATTTTTAATTCTATCTTCAACTTTTTATGTTTATCACTCGTCTTAGTAAGTGATTGTTATTGAAAGATTTCCATAGAATGAAAAATAATTTTAAAAAATTCTGAAAACTACATTTCATATTCTGTATTTAACTGATGCATCAACTAATTTTACCCCTATATAATTATTTCTATTCGATTGAACATTGAAAATACAAAATGAAAATAAAATGCATAAAATTCACAGATTAAAAAAGTTGTACCAATTACCTCGAAGACATATTATGAGATGTACTTGGAAGATTTATCAAATAACTACAAACAATCTGCAGTAATAAACATGATATTGGGTTTATATCTTGAAAAAAATTTAAACTGACGATTATATCATGAAATCTGATCCATCCGTTGTTAGCGTTGCAATTGATAGACCAACAGAGATATTTAATACTTATTTAACCTAAACAGCGACCTCAATTTTTGAATCGTCAATGAAAGAACCAATTGATATTTGTTCCGTTCATTCAAAAGATTACTCATTCATTCCTTTAGTAATGGTATGTAAGTAACCTCTTTAATTCTGTCAAATAAAGGAGAGAAACGGTCAACAGATCAACCACTATGAAACACATGTACGACACCGAGCTCATTTCGTTCATGTTTATTCTACTATTGATTCAAGTCTTAGGATGCGTCAACAGAACCTCGGGCACGCGTCCATGTTAACTATTTACTGAAATATCATTAGTTTTTGTTTTTTTTATTGATGCCAGATTATTTATGAACGTGCAAGTTAATGACAGTTACTTTTGAATGTACGTGACTATGTATTGCTTCTGGTAGCATTTATATACATTTTAAATAGATGGATAGATAGAAAGAAAGAAAGAAAGAAAGAGAGAGAGAGAGAAAGAAAAGAGATGGCATACTTTTATTTCATTTCTAGATATTAACTTGACAAAAACAACTTTATCTTTTTTCAAAACATCAAGTTTGCATTACCAAGTAAGTTTGTGTATTATAGTCTCTTAGACTACGAATTATATAATGTAAAACTAAACTACCGATATCTCTTGATAATTTTACTTTTTCATGCGACAAATACAACGTTGATGAATAGTCTAGAACAAGAAAATTTTTTAATTCACTCTTCGTTTAGGGACTTCTACTTTTTTTATTGAATGTTTTCCTTAGAGTTCACTGAAGTTTGCGTGGTGGCGTGAGTTCATTAATCCTAGATTATGAACGTGACTCAAGAGATTTAGCTCACATTTGATTGGTAACCTTTACTTACTATTGATAAGGAATAAGAGAAAACTATTACGACATGATTATTAAGAATAATAATCTCTGAATTATCTTCTTGAATGATAGTCATCGTTACCGCATTTGAAAACCTTAAGAAGCAACAAGAATAATAACATGTTTCCACAGCATTAGCTGGCACGTAACGCTATTATTTCTATCTGAGAACGTTACTTTGACATTATTTTAAGTGATGATGAGAATAATATAAATGAAATATTGTATAAAATTTCTTTTATTTAGGAATGGATACATCTGTAAAACGTCTTGATAATTTGAATATTCGTCTTGAATCTGTTGCAAATAACTTACAATCATCTTCTGGTAAAACTGGTACAAGTCATAAGAATTCATCCAATGAACATGTAGATAATTTACCTGTTTTGCGTGATTATAATGCCATTATAAATGATAGTCTTGCGTCATTTGTGACACATTCTCGTAAAATTGGTGGCGAAGTATCAATAATGATTGATCACGTTGCACGACTATTTGTTGCTCAACAAGAATTTCTTCGACAAGCTATACAAACTAAAAAACCGGCTAATAATCAACAAATCGCAGAATTTGTTAAGCCACAATCAAATGAAATTGAAACAATTGCTGGTAAATAGAAGTTTTAAATTCATTTTGCAAATATTTTCAAAAAAGTCTTCTTTTAGCTTTTACAAATAAAAATCGTAAATCAATATTATTCAATCATTTATCATCGATTTCTGAAGGTATTCCAGCATTGGGTTGGATTCTCATTTCACCGACACCGGCTCCATATATTAAAGAAATGTTAGATGCTGCACAATTTTATACGAATCGAGTATTGAAAGATTTCAAAGAAAAAGATCCTATTCATGTCGAATGGGTTAAACAATGGATAAAAATCTTAAATGAATTGCATGCATACGTTAAACAATATCATACAACTGGTTTAGCTTGGGGCACATATAATCAACGTGATTCAAGTGCTTTTGTTCGAAGTGCACAACCACCTTCTGCTCCTACGTGTTCATTTTCCAATTTGCAAATTATCGATAGTTCATCACGAACAGGAGTTATGCATTCAATTAATTCTTTAGGTACAACTGCAACATCTCATTTAAAAAAAGTACCCGATGAACTTAAAGTTTCTAAAAATCCCCATTTGAAAGAACAACCCATTGAACGATCAAATAAATTTCAAGTGAGTTAATTTCTTTCCTAAATTAAAAAAAACACTGTTCTAGACAAAAGCAAGCTTCATTTAGACAAATGTGTCAAATAATTCACCGAATTCAACTGTGAATCCGCCCAAATTAGCTCTTGAAGGTAATAAATGGATAGTTGAGTATTATTCCAATCGAGCAGATTTAAAAATAACAGAAACCAGTATGAGACACACGGTGTATATTTATAAATGTTCAAATACAACAATAACAATTCAAGGTAAAGTTAATTCGATTGTACTTGATCAATGTACAAAAGTTGGCATACAATTTACATCTGTTGTATCATTGATTGAATTTATTAATTGTCGTGGAATGAAAGCACAAGTATTGGAAAATGTACCAACAGTTCAAATTGAAAAAACTGATGGATGCCATATTTATTTATCTAAAAGTTCATTAAGTACAGAATTTATAACTTCTAAATCATCGGAAATGACAATTAATGTTCCATGCGGTGATGGAGAATATAAAGAATATCCAATACCAGAACAATTTAAAACATATTTACAAGGTGGAAAACAACTTTGTACTGTACCGAATGAATCATCAGGTGTTTAATGTGAAATTTTATTAGAAATGACAATTTAAAATACTTATATTATGTTATTCATATCTTGTTTATCTCTCACATTCCTCTGTTTTGTTTATCTTAACATAATCTTTAAAAAAACAATATGCATTGCAGTTTTTCCGATGATTTTCAAAAATTTATTAAAGGAAAAATATATATGATGACTCGAATACGTAAATTAGTTTCTTCGGAAGGGGTCTTATAAATACTCCTAAAAAAGATTCCTTTTTTTTCGAAGGAGACGCCATTGAAATATTGCGCTACCAGAGCTCTAAAATATATTGATCAATAAGTATAGTACAAATCTTTGAGGGTTTCATGAATTGAGATTTGGAGAATGAAATTTCTCTCATGAAAATTGTTTTTATTTACGAGATGATTCTTATTTCCAAGATTATTTGAGTTATTGCATGACTCGGGAAAAATATCTATCAAATTATATTTATTCAATGGCAATCCAATTGAAGCCATGATCGAACTCGTGAAGAGCAACACGATCGACGTCGATATCAACTATTACATAAATAAAATCAGTTGTTCTATCGAAATATGCAAATTTTCGGTACTGTATCATTAATATTGAAAATTTATGATCTCTGGATAACATTGATCTACTGCTTTTATGACGAATTTCATTTGAAAGAGTTCTTCTAATATAGCTTCATCACGAGTGATATATAGAATATCCGATTGAATTTGAAGACATATTTCACTCGAAATGAGTTTCAAAATTTCGACCGAGCAACCAGTAGAGAAATAAACTGAAATAAGAATCCATCGAAAACTGAGTGAACTCTATCTTTAGAATGAAACTAACTCAGCTGATATAAGACATGTAAGTACATTGTCTAATTCAAGAACACCATTTGTTCAGTACAGTAAAAACATGTATCATAATTTTTTCAAATTTAAAATAAAGTTTTCTTTCAGAAGGATTCCGTAGAAAATTATGTTTCCAAAATAACATCCTCTTCAGCTTTCTTTGAACTGAAAGAGATCTTATAAATTCATCCATAGTAGAAATTTTTATGGAGTAGGAAGATCGACACTGTTTTAATTCGAAGATAAATAACCACATGTATTATAATAAGATTTCATTAGATGTTCAAGAATGACATGCCATTTTGTGAACTGAGAAATTCTCTAACTACTACTTTTAAGTATCGGTTCATTCTATTAGAAAAAATTAAATGATTTTGAATTGAATAATTGTGATTAAATCATCGATGGCCAGCAGATAGATAGACTCGTAAGACTTTTCTAAGAAACAAAACAATAAATTAGCAGATTATGAACTTAATTATTCTGTTTACTTAAAATATGCGGCTTATTGCGCCACCTTTATATCGTTTGGTTTTGTATTAGTTATTGGTTAGATGAAACTAATTTCGAAGGAAAGAAATCTAATGGTTAAAGCCATTCAACGTTTTGAAAATGTCGAAATTATTAAATACACGTTCAGTTAGATCAAAATATCCAAGTATTTTATTACTTATTGATTATGGTTTAAGTGAAAAAACGATGGAAGGTATTTGTCATGGTCTTGATCAACTATTCAGTATTATCACGACATATGTTGGTTTACAACACATTCCAATGTTCGGATTGATTGTTAATGGGCAAAATCAAAGTGAAGTATGTATATTCCTCGTCAACTTGTTGTTACTTTGATGACTCTTCAAGACTTTCATACCACTGTCGCTTGCATGTAACATTCATATGGAATTACAACTCGCGTTGTATAAATTACAGCTACTTGCTCAAAAATGGTCGACAAAATCAAATGGATTCAATAGTTCAACATTATCTTGGCAATCTGCTTTACAACTAGCTGACATTCAAATCAATTCCATTCTTCAGAACAATAATGAAAATCGAGTAAGTTTAATGTAGATTTTAATGTCCTGTGTTTTATTATTTCTATCATTTTTATTGGGTCAAACATAATATCTAACTATAATTTACATTAGAAAAGTGAGATAGAGATATAAATAAAAGAAAAAACGTCAAATAAAACTTACAGTCAGTAAGTACAGGAAGATGCAAATATTTATATATTCTGTAGAGTGGCTGGTATAGAATTCTTATTGTATATAAACGTGAGGAAGCTGAGTGATTATGATCATAGGTAATTTATATCCGCTCCTATTTCGGAGAGTGTGCTTTTTTAGCACCTTGAATTTCTCCTATAGAAAGGATATTCTAACTAAGGCTTTTATTCGTACGTAAATTGTTTATGAAAGAATTATCATGCAACATGTTTCCAATCATACATCGTCAGTCAATAACCTTCAATGACGATGAAAATTGTGATTGACTCAATAAAAGTTACTCTAGGGGACTTCGTACTTTTTGCACGTTTATAATGATCAGTTTCTCATCTATTTTTAATCGAAATCGTCTGTAAGATACCACCTCATTTGACTGATGTTTATCTAATATATATATAAACATAATTAGTGTTGTATATATAACTATATAAAAAATAATATAGCAATAACACAGAATAAAGGCGATCAACGATAAACTGAACTTTGTGATCACCAATCGATATCATGTTAATGCATCTTCTATAATCATTTAGAAGTTTAGTTTCTGTATAGAATTCATTCATTGATATAGCCGCGTCTTCTTGATTGCCGACGTTTTTTCTTAATTGTTGGAAAAAATGCTTGCAAAGCAGAATCGGGGGGGAGGGGGGGGAGAGAAAAAAATGTCCGCATTATGGAATCAAACGAAAATTGATATTTGAAGATGAGCCATGCAAATAGCTGTATTGAATAATATCAACTGTTTCGCGCTAGTCTAGTGTTGTTTATCGCATGTCATCCAGGCCATTTTATAAGCATGTATTGTGAAAGAAAAACATTCAAAGTGACGAAGGTAAACCTACACGAATCAAATAAAAATATCCATCGCGAAAGATGATAGCTTTTCTCCAATTTCCACACAATCTAATAAAGATCTGTAACGATATATGCGGAGAGTGTCCAAGTTTCATGCGGGAGTGTAACGCTCCCGTTTGAGTGTAATCTATATATGATATTTGGGCGTATGGTGCCATTTATTCTCATGGTACATATTACCTTTATCTTTCTGTCCTTCATATTTCTCTTTATCTCTCATTCTCCTTCGTTCTCTGAAATGGTTGAGTATTTAAATGTGTACCTTATATTTAATCAGTGCGATTTATGATTTGAAGAGTAAAATAAAGTGTAATACCAGCAGCACGAGCATCTCTTCTATCTAAAATCGTTACAAGATCGTATAGTTTTTAAAAATTATCATTTTGGAATTTATTTGATCTCATTGGAAGTCGACCAAGAACCAACAACCACGTAGAAGGTTTTCATGGCCAATTAAATTCTCATTGTCAAATACATCCAAATCTGCGGGCCTGGAGAAGATATATCTAGGAACCAGAAGAATCAATAATGGTTTGAGTTGAGCAAGAAGAAGCTCAACAACGAACAACACGTCGTAGGAGAGTCAAGTCAGTGAGAAATGATATATTTTAATTCAAACCAGAGAAGAATATTTAAATGGTTTCTTGGATCTCAGTGGTTATCAAAAGAGATTACGACCGACTTTTTATCGCTACATCAAGTTATTCGATAAAACTGCTAAGGATGATCTTGATTATCAACCTAGCACAGTTAGATGTTCAATTATTCTTCATAAATGGTTTTTCTGCATTTTCTTTTCATCTAATAAATCTTGTCTTGATTCCATAATGCGAACATTTTTTTCTCTCCTCCCCCGATTTTGCTTTGCGAACATTTTCCACTCTGCGACTATTTTTGTGTCTCTCTCCCTGCTTCTACTGTGTGGACATTCTCTCTTAATTGGAGGAAAAAAATGTCCGCAATCAAGCTGTAGCCGATACAGCTAATCTTTATTCATATAATTTATTAGGATCAATATGTTTTAAGTATCATTGTATGGAACTCAAAAACGTTTCAAACTAATCATCTTCGTTATTAAAATAGTTCAATATGTGCTACTAACAATTAGATTGCATACATTTCAAAACATCCAGTTTATTTCTAAATTATATGACAACTTAATAATATGAATGATTGCTTCTGTTTTATTGGAGAAGCAAATTGGCAATAATAATGAAGTATTAGTAAATTTTAAATGAGAGTTCTTATATAGGATGCAATATTAGTTCGTTGCTAAATTGATCAATAAAAACAAACCATGAAAAAACATCGACAAAATGCGAAGATTAATGTCACTAAAAGAATAGTATTTGTTGTTTTAGTTTTGATACTCAATCATAAATTTCGTTTTTTCATCAAACAAAGCAAGCATGACGTTTTGAAAATTTCTATCATTTTTGTGGTTTTGGTGTCATCAAACACGACTTATTATATATCACTGTAACTAGTCCGAAGTCTAATCGTTTCGTATTACCTGTACAGTTGCGCGCAGAACAAAAAGAAATCCATCAAGCATGACTGAATGATGATCATAACCTGAGTTAAATATCTCTTTGTTCTCTTGTGGTTAGTGGTTTTTTCCTGCGGTATTTTTCCGTGGATAATAGTAATGAAATCTAGCTTAAAATAAACCCATTCGTGTTGCATATCCATAGATTTCAAATTGAACGCACCAACTGAATCTTATTTTCGTTTACGTCTCATATCTACATATCGGTTGATACTCGTTCGATCATAGGAGTACAAGAGTTGTGCGGATGAATTATTTTCAAAGAAAAATTATAAGTTTAGCATTATAAAATAAAGCATGCTTATATTTCATAGTCCTCGTCGAATTTGATTAAACATGATTTTCAAATTGTGATGGTAACAAATCGATTATCAGATTTGATTTTGTCGGACATTCATCAATATATTCAAAACGAACAGTTCAATAAAAGGGTATGTATTTTCAAGTCTGATTATTATTACTACTACCTATTTACCCTCTACCCTCACATTATTTCTTATCATTACCCTTCATCTTGCTGTCTCACTTGGTAGAAGAAATTTGCATTTGTCAAGAGGTTACCTTTACCGCATATCAAATATTGCCAATCAGCAAATTTTTCGTTTGTTTTTGTTATTCAAGTATAAAAGATAAATGACGTCGTTTGTTTAATACCAGTTTTTTCTTACTCCTCTATCTTATACGAGTATACTATAAAATCAGGGGTATAAAATGTTTGTGTTCGTTTATTTAGAACATCGAATTAGTATGTGTTAATGATGGTAATAATGTTGAATCATTCAAGCAAAAAATATCATCGTTAGATTGGATAACTATTAAATATATATTAGAGAGTAAGTTCCGTTAAAATTTTATTTCTTTTTTATATAAAGTATTTTTTTTTTCATTTTACTAGATAAATATTCCATAGGTCTCTACCTAAAATCATGGCTATTGAATGAAGATCGTGAAAATGAACATATTCAATTATATTTACCTACAATAAAAAAAAGTAAATTATTCTATTTGTTTTTGAATATAGCTGAGTTTCTACACAGTTCCTGTATGCTTTAAAGTACTAGTGTTGGGTCTGCTTTTCTTTTCTTATTAAGTTGGAAATAGATAGTGTCTGTTTCGAATGAGTAAGATTTCAAAGGTTATCAGTCAACGGCTAATGTAAAACAAAAATTATGTTGTAAAAACAGATTCTACTGAATTCCAACAATCCAATTACATATTCAATAACCAACATGAATTCTTGTAATTAAAACTAAAACAAAAGAAAAAACCTATTTGACAAATACTACCTTGTTTGCCTTCATTCCAACGCAATGGCCACTTTGTTTTTCACTAGCATATGATGCTTAAGAGTGTTTAAAAAATTTGAAAAGTAAATGATGATTGTTATTAAATCTTTGGTTTACTCAATCCTGAAGCAGCACGCTAAGGTTAAAAAGTCGAATTATCACCACTATTTCAGTTTTGATCGTTCGACGTAAAATGGAAGAAAACATAATCTACTATTAATAACATTTTGGTAGGTATTCAAGATATGTCGAGTGTGATAGGGATGGATTGTTTTCGTCTAAGACTAGAAAGAAAAACAACGATAAATTATGAATAGATGAATGTCACGTCGATTAATGTTTCTTTTTCGATTGAAATACGTCTTGTCTATTTTTAGCTGAATACATTGACCATTCGTGGCATATAATTCGATGTGACTTACAAGAATTATTAATTAATCCTTATCATCATATTAATCATGATAGATTTGTAAGTTTCATATTGTTCATTTACTTTTTGGATTAACATAAATATATATCTTTTTATAGCTCATTTTTACAGAACCATCAACAATATCAACTTCAACTCAAAATTCTTCATCGCCGTCGTTGCCAATTTATCAATTCAAAGCACTGAATTTCATTAAACAAACAGATTATTGCATATCAATGATATTTGGAATGGTAAAATGAATTTGAATGAAATAATAAAATAAACATCTATTCTTTATTTTTCTTTTCAAAAGCCACTTCTTGTAATATCATCAGCATGTCGTAAATATGATAGTGAATCCATTGAACAAAATGAAATTGCATTTGATACTTTAACAGAATATTTACGTATAAATGTAAGTCATTTTAGTATTTTTTAATTTAATTAATTAATTTAATTAGAAATTAATGTTAATATGTCGATTGAATGATTGTTCGTCATCAACAATGAATCAATCATTTTCGGGACATTTCATTCTTTCAGCTGCATCCGAACGTAGTTTAATATTACGTTCAATTGCTTCTAGTGAACTTCTTTTACCGCTAGCAAAATTACCATCAAGTCAAATAATGAAACATGAACAAAAACAAAGAGATGAAAATTTATTCAATAGTCTATCAAATGTATATGTTCTATATTCGATTTAGTTTTGTTTTTTCTTTAAATTGAATTTCATTTTTCAGATAAATATTGAAGACGAAGAATATAATCCATTGTATTATGAAGCTCGTAAGAGTAAAATAACATTAAATACAAACCTTATTTGATAATAACTGTTTATTTTTCAAAAAAAAAACGAAGAACCGAGAGTTCATTTTTGTTTCTAGATATAGAAAATAAGCTCTACTGTTTTCCTCTTCTTTTCGTACCATTTTACATCCTCGTTGTCATCATCATCATAATCGTCATCAGAAAATGGCTATTCGTCGTTTACAACAAGATTTTCATCACCTAATGAAAAATAAAGTGGATGGAATAGATGCAAGTCCATCTGCAGAAAATATTTTTCTCTGGAATGCTATTATTTGTGGTCCAGAAGAAAGTATTTATGAAACTGGCACATTTCAACTTCAATTAGCCTTTCCTGACGATTATCCACTTCGACCACCCCAAGTTCGATTTACAACGAACGTTTTTCATCCAAATGTTTGGTGGGAAGATGGATTCATTTGTGTTGACATACTCAAAGATGGTTGGGCACCATCTTATGATGTCTTAGCAATACTTCATTCTATTCGACTGCTGCTAATTGATCCGAATCCACTGAGTCCAGCCAATTTAGAAGCTGCTTTACTTTATCGTGATAACCGAGCTGAATATAATCAACGCATTTCACAGATGATACAAGACACACACGATGCAGAGAACAACAATGATGATGATGATGATGATGATGATGATGATGATGATGATGATAGCCAAATTGAAGATGGCGATACAATTCGTCAAAAAACGATCATTCTTCGTCATAGCATCACTGAATGAATATTCAATTTAATTGATGACATGCTATTTTTCAAACTCGATTCTTTTCAAGTTTTTACTTCATGTACAAGTGATACATTTAGTTCGTTTCATTTTAAATTTTGTTTCTTTTTTATATGCTACTATTTCATGTATATTAAGTGATACTGTTGCATTTTAGTTTGTTGTGATTATTTATTTCGTTTTTAGCGCTACATAATAAAATTGAATATTTAATGCGATGCGAAGCAGAAGCATTTATGTAGTCAGTCGCGAGTTTTTTTTTATTTCAAAAGCAAACTAAAACATATGTAACAGATTTTTATCAACAAGAAAACACTTGTAGAAAATATTAATCGAACTTATTTGTGAATGAAAAGAAGTGTCTGGAGTTGATTCAATATGAGTGACTTATGACTGCATCATTGTAAGTTTTAAATCTAGTTCTTTTCAGCTGACTGAAAACTTTCTTTTCATAAGAGTCATTTTACAATCTTTCGTCCTTTTTTCATATCTATAATATGGCCGACGAAATAAAAAAGTTTACATAATACTGTTTTACATAGTAGTGTTTATTCTGCATAGCTAAGTTTTATTTTTTATAATTGAATAAACAAAATTGGAAGTCCTTTCGATCGGATAAAAATTCAAAATGCTTTCAAAATATGCATATTGTTTATCACTATGTACAATTAAAAAGAGTGTTAACAAACAATTCTACTTATTCGTGGCACGTTTCAATTCTTTATGCTTATCTGGCTATCTAACACCTTTGAGTCTAAATATTATAGCTTACTTAAAAGCAATCATAATCAATGCTTCTTTCTATGTACCAAATTTTAAAAATTTGGAGACTTCAAAAAAGTAACATTAATCAAACTATACAAAACGATATAGATTTTATATACAATGTTCATGTAGAAAACGAGAGTCTAATTGTTGCTGTTAGCAAAAAAAAATGTTGTATCTACTATGATCTCAAATTGATAGGCTTCAAGAATTCATCTCGGTACCCTTTACTAATTTGATGAAGAATACAGTTGATCAGCTAAGTAAATATAGATAGTGTTTACGACTTGTGTTAGTCACGAATAGGAAAAATCAATATCATTAAGAATATTGACGGTGAAGACGGACATGCATCTGCCTATGAAATGGTTCATATTTCTATTGATTACAACCATGCATCGAGCATGATAAATTCAAGAAAAATAATTTTTACTTAGAAATCGTCGTATATATTTGAAACAGTGTTTACGTTAATTACACTAAATATACTATTCGAACTAATCTATGCTGCGAAAAATTTAATGAGCTTAAAGATCAACTGTTGTAATATTCAGTAGGAAATATGGATGAGACATCAAATATAGGTTAATTTTCACATATTTTCTGTCTTAAATCCTCTATTAATCACGAGAAACTATATCAATAAAAATTTTGGAACACGACATCCATAGAGGAAAAGGATTTAATTAAACCATACTATACATCTTCGGCGTTCACAAATTACAAATAAATCAGAAACTGTAACATGAATCGTTTAAAATCCGATACATTGATTGTTTACGGATAGATGTTTTCAGTATCATCATTGACTGCAAAATACTCAATCGATCATGAGTATACATTAATTGTATTTTATGGATAATAGATTTTGTTATGATTTTCAAAAATTCAATTATGAAAGCATTATACAATGAACTATCTTATACTTTTACCATATAAATTATATAAACGAGTTAATTTACTCATTTGTACGTAGGCATTGATTTCACGATTTGAATGAATTTCACCTTTCATCATAAAGTGACGAGCGCTGTACGCAGCACTAATTTCAACACAAGAAAAACAACTTATAAGCATTTTATATTAATCATTCTACAAGTGGCTAAGATATTTTGTGCAACTATTGAAACTTACATTGAATACGAAAAATGTCTTTTACCATTAACTGTAATTCAAATACCATTGTTCAGATGTAAATTTTCCATGTTCACAAACTGCCATTGAACAAAATTTAGAAAAAATTAGCGCTCATTGAATTGAATGTTATATTTCAAGAATGAATCACCAACTGGTATATTTTGAATGAATAGAGAAGCAAGGGAAGCGATACTCTGAAGTCCTCTGTAAAAATCCATATTTCTATCTATAATTCAATAAGAGCAGATTTCGTTGAGGTCACTTAGACACACGATATTTTCCAAAGCAAGAACAAGACTACCCCAATAGCACGAAAGAATGTACGTATACAACAATAGAGACTACACTTAAATCTATGTTACAGTAGTAAAAAATCAACCATACTCACTGAAGAAAATTGACAAAAGGCTTTATAATTGTGTGCTCAATAGGTGTCGCTAAAAACAGCTCATCATACATATTTTTCAATAAAAATTATCGATTTTCTTTAATTTTCGAGTTACTATCATAATGAATATTTGAAAATGAATGGTTTAAAATTTCAAAATATTTTTCAAAACGAAAACCCTTGTTAGGATGTTTATCTAAAAATCCAGCTTTTACTTTATTTTGTCCAACAAAATCTATTCCAACATTAATAAACAACGATGTTAGTCTTGGATTTAATGATACTATAGCGACTGATTTTTTTTCTAATTTTCAGATCTTGTTAGATTTCATTAAAAAAACAACTTAAAAATGTTGATGCCAAAGAAACATCGTACTCTTATCTATGAGTATTTAATGAAAGAAGGTGTAGTCGTTGCTGAAAAAGATTTTGGTCTTGATAAACATCCGGCTATTCCAGTACCAAATATACACGTTATTAAAGCACTTCAAGTTTGTTCATTTTTTCAATTCTAATAAAAAAATTCTTTTCGTCATATTCTCAGTCGCTTAAATCACGCAATTTGGTCAAAGAACAATTTGCTTGGCGTCATTATTATTGGTATTTAAATAATGAAGGCACCAATTTCTTACGTGAATATCTCAATTTACCACCTGAAATTGTACCAGCAACACTTAAACGGCCAACACGCCCTGAAGGAGCCAAATCAGCTAAACGAGGTAAGAATAATGATGACTAAAATCTTAAATTTTATTATTGTATATATATAGTCGAAAATGTTCGACCAACATCACCATCTGCTGATCAAAGTCGACAAGAATATCGTCGAGGTGGATACGACAAACAAAGTGACGTTGGTGCTGGATCAGCTCGACCTGAATTTGTAAGTTGAATGATTCGAAATTTTTTTAAAGAAAAACTTATTTGTTATTATTTAGCGTGGTGGTTATGGTCGAGGTCGTCAGCCTCCAGGTAATCGTGGTAGTGCCGATCAACAATAAACAAGAAGAAATCAATCTAGAACATTTTGTTATCTTCATTAATTTGTTTTTGATGACAAGAAAAATTCTACGGCTCGAATAAAAACAGATATTGCCGAAATACTATCTTATTTCTTTGCGCGCGAGAAAAAAAGCGAAAATAACAACAGTATAACTATCATGTAACTGTTTTAGATCTTTGTTAAGTAAACGATGGCAGCGACATCGACCAAGTTACGCCCTTTGGTCAAAGGAAAAATTCTTAAAAAGCGTACAAAAAAATTCGTTCGTCATCAGAGTGATCGATACTTTCGTCTACGCGTATGTCGTTTTTTTGTATCATATCTGCTACAGACAAAAGACTTGCTTGATTTTGATCTAACACATTCTAGCCAAATTGGCGTAAACCACGTGGTATTGACAATCGTGTCCGTAGACGTTTCAAGGGTGTCTATTTAATGCCTTCAATTGGTTACGGTTCCGATAAACGTTCACGCCATATGCGTCCAGATGGTTTCCGCGCATTTCTTGTTAGCAATGTTAAGGTAAATCGAATTGAAAACTCCGATATTGTGTATTTCAATGTTGTCTATAAAATATTTCTTAATTAGGAACTTGAAATATTATTAATGCAAAATCGTAAATTTGCCGCAGAAATAGCTCATACAGTTTCAGCACCCAATCGTAAGAAGATTATTGAACGTGCTCAACAATTAGCTATCAAGGTTACAAATCCAAATGCTCGGCTACGTGCTGAAGAAAAAGAATAAACAGCAAAAAAAAGACAGCGTTAACGAGAAATATCAATATGCATTATTTCTTGTTTGTCTACATTTTTGGTTTCTCCAATTCATTAATAAAAGATCTACGAGAACCAGAATAATTTATTTTTATATTTTTATCTTACAGAACTTATTATGATGTTGAACGATTATCTCTATTATTTATTACTATGAAGATTGTTTAGAATTCATAATATTACTTAGTCTAGACCTTCGAATTGAGATGAGCAGAATTCAGTATATAGCAGCACAACATAAAGTTCTTTTACATTAGATATTTTTGAAAAATAAATCATATACGTATTTTAATTAGAAAATAGTAACAGAAAAATCGATTGTATATATAATAACAACTTAATATCGTCTAATAGTTTATGTGCTATATAAAACTCCGTTGATTAATGATTGTTGATATTTGTTAAAGAAATTCTATTAAAATATTTCCCTTTTTCTTCGAAAATTTCAAGCAATGAGGAAGCAGCTAAATTTTTATCTTTATTCTTTGCTTTAATTAATTATTACTATTCATGTAGTACAAGAAACATTCAAGAATATTAATAAAAACTATCTTCTATTAGTTGATCTAAGAATTGATATGACAACAAAGAACTTTTTACTACCATCAAATTATTCTTATGAATTTATTTATCATTATAAGTACACTTAAAATAATTTAATTGTTGTTCCGGTATGTTTTAGAAACGAATGTAGTCTTTAAGATCTATCTATACTAAAACTAATACATGAAACTATTTAGCGAAAGAGACATAAATTATTTCATTATTATTTTAGATGAATCGTTCATTATTATCGTTGACACGTTGTTCGTTTTCGTTAAATATTATCCCTTATCGTACTAAAACGTATACATGGCTTCAATATAAAGAAAATAAGAATTTTATTCCACAACTCAATGCCAATGATATAGGTGAACATCAAGGTTCACCACATGTTCAAGAACGTTTTTTCCGCCTTGGCTGGGGTGGCTATATTCATCCACAAAAACACAGACGTCTATTTACATTTAAAAAAACCGACGAACAAAATCAACGCGAAGATATGCACGTCATGGCAGCTAATCGTCGAAGTAAAATACTTGATAAAATGTGTGATTATAAATATAACAAACGTCTTTATCTTGTTGATCCAAAATGGAAAATCTATGATCCGTATCATCGTCGTTGGAATATGAATCATATCCCCGACGAAGAACGTGATCAAAGACAATATCCTTAGCAAAATTATTTTCATGTTTGTAGTTAGTCTTTCTTTTTTCTTTTGTTAAAACAAACCTTTATTCTGTTGCTATATAACATACCAAAAAGAGATAAAACTGAGTGTGTTATCAGTCTTTTGTTGTTTTTAATGCTTTTGTGCGCTGTTGTATTATAAGAAAAGTGACTAACGATAGCAGGCAACGAAACCAACATGTCTAAAAGTAAGAATTTTGTTGCGATAAAACACTGAAATTTTTTTAATTGCACTCTAGATTAATTTTTGTTGCAGCAAATTGTTTAGATTATAAAAAAGAGAATAAATGAAAATTGAACTCAGTAGAATTGCAAGAATTTTTTAAAATATCCGAACAGAGTTTTATGATAACCAAATCACTTGTACATATGATTTCGGTTGTTTTAGATAAAAATTAATCAATCTACGAGAAATTATATCAATGCTTGTGAGTATTGAAAAAAAGGATAATAATAATCGAAATATTTTTCATTTTATAGGAGCCAACTAATAGTGCTGAAGTATCTAGCAACAAGGTAGACTAGTTGTTTAAATGTTTAGTTTTGTTTTATACGGTTTAATTATGTAGCAACGCGCTGATACGGTTGATCTCAATGATAATGATTTTCAAATCGATATTTCGGACGCATTAAGTGAAAAAGACAAGGTTAAATTTACTGTTCATACAAAAGTAAGTGATTACTGTTGTTGTTGTTGCTGTTGAAAAATCTTGTAATCCATTGTTAATAGACGAAATTACCAACATTCCAAGAATCAGATTTTAATGTGTCACGTCAACATGAAGAATTCATTTGGTTACATGATCGTTTTAATGAAAATGAAGAATACGCAGGTTTAATTGTAAGTGAATCATGAATTAATTATTTAATCATTAAAACAAAAGAAACCTACTTGATTGACATTAATTGCATTATACGTAGACTTCAGTCTGTCAATCGAAATAATAAATAGAAACATACATTAATAATCAAGAAAAATCAGCTTCTTTTAACTAGTACCGTAGAAATCAGAAAATGTACAAGTAAATATTGTCAAGCCAATTACTAATTTGTCACACAAATTTTTCACATAATTTTTGTTCCACATAACCGAACTGATTAGAGTATTTTGCAGTTAAGTCGACTCACAGCTTTCTGAAGAAATGTTACAAAAATTGAAAATATCTCACTACTAAAGAGAATAACATCAATCTATTTAAGATTTTAATCGAAATATAATATTGACTTGAGTCAGATTCAGTGTTTACACTATTTTGAAACTAGGTAAAAACAAGTAACTAATCCATAACCTGATAAAAATCTCTGAAAATTTGAATTCGAACAAATAGTTTTCAGATCTGAACAGTTACGTTTATATGATCGAATAATAAGTGAATTTTTCATGCTATAGATTAAAAGGTAAAAAAGGACACTATGTATGAACAGTAAAAATTGTTGCGTTTGTACATTTGTTAAAGCTAATATTTTGATACATTCTTTTTATTTCGTTTAACTAATCTTAATAAGTACTGATTTCAAGATATACTTTAAATAGTCGATAATCATTTTTGCTCAATGCTTTATTTTGATAGGCATTTATTCTTTTCATTTCTGTATTAATCTAACGATTCTTATAAGCCGATTAATTTATCACTCTAGTTGTTTTTAAGTGACAGATAGATTTAAATGGCTTCATATTAATGTATTAACATCGATTGTGTTTGTTTCTTTGGTTTAGCAATTTAGTTGATTTAATTCATGGAATCACAATTTTCTGATAATTATTTAATATTTAGATACCACCTGCTCCACCACGACCTGATTTCGATTCGTCTCGTGCTAAATTACAGAAGTTGAGTGACAGTGAAAGTATCATTACAAAAGAAGAATATGAAAAAATGAAACAAGAACTTGAAGCGTAGGTTTAAAAATAATATCTGCTGTTGATGTTTGCTATTTTTTGTTTTATTTAATCTAGTGAATATTTAGCTATGTTTAAAAAGACTGTTTCAATGCATGAAGTATTTCTTCAACGTCTTGCTGCACATCCGATATTACGTAGTGATAATAATTTCCGTGTCTTTCTTGAATATAAAGAAGATGTATTATAAATATAAAAATAATATTTTATTTTATCGAAATTCCTGCAATTTCTTTGTAGTTAAGTGTTCGTGGAAAAAATGCTAAAGAACAAATCACTGGTTTCTTTAAAACATTAACAAAAACAGCCGATGAAGTTCTACTGGCTAATCAAAAGGTAACAGCTGTCAAATGATGTTGTTTTCAGATGTTTTTCATCAAAAACAAAATTTCTTTTTGTCTTTAGGAAAGTGATGAATTTTTTGAGCGTCAAAAACAATTTCTTTTAACTTACAACACGAAAATAAAAGATGGCACTACTGCTGCTGATAAATCAACTCGAGCGCATAAAAGTAAGATGTGATATCTAACGAGAAGAGTTTGCATGCGTAGAATCCTTAATAAGACTAGTTAATAACTGTGAAAGAAATGAATGCAGTTTTCAAGTTCTCATATCCGTTGATACTTTCTTGAAAACCCTGCTATATCGAAAGATAAGTCTTGTACTTACTAATGAAAAACTGAAAATAATAGAAAGAGTAATATTTTGACAATGATTTGGTTTCATTGAGCATCCTACAGACCAAGTGTAAGATTCAAATCAAACTTTTAACAGTCGATTTATCATATAATACGCTTTTTTCTCCTATTCGATGACGATTTATTGCAATTTTATTTATTTAGCTGTTGCTGATACATATATTAAAGTATCCAGTGGTTTTAATACTTTAGCAACAGCGGATAAAACCGATTTATCAAAGTAACAATTAGAAAAAAAGATTTCTAAATAATTATTTTTATATAAATATTCTTTGTTTGCCATTAGATATCTTCTTGTGATGGCTGAATTTTTTGAAAAAGCTCGAGTATGATTTATTCTTTTAGTCGAATATTTTTGTTTCAAAGACTTTGAATTTCTAGAAATCAGAGTCACGTGTTCAATCAGATCTTGATCTTAAACTATCGGATACTTTAAGATATTATATGCGTGATTCAAAAGCAGCACTTGATTTGATGTATCGCCGATCACGTTGTTTAGCAGATTTTGAGACAGCAAATAAAAATTTAGATCGTGCAAGAGCTAGAAACAAAGAGGTGGACGCAGCTGAACAAGCCCAACTAAGTATCAAGAAAAAATTTGAAACTATATCAGAAAAAGCTAAAGATGGTAAAAATCGTTTTTTCTTCTTCTTTTTCTTTAAAATAAAAAAAAAACACTTATTGATTTGTTTAGAGTTAAATGATTTTAAAACGCGTCGAGTACAAATGTTTCGTAAAAATTTAATTGAATTAACTGAACTTCAAATAAAACATGCTAAAGTAGATAAGAAAGTTTTTGAAAATTCATGCATATTTTGTTGTTTTGTTTTTCAATTGTTTAGGCTCAAACTCAAATGATCAAAGGAGTTATACAACAAGTTGAAACACTCTCATAATTATGGATTAGCGTTTCAAAATCTGTGATTTCATGCACACAAAAGAGATTCTTTTTTTTTTAGTGAATACATAATCTTTGGTCGATTGTTTTTTTTTCCTGTATATTCTCAATTGGTAATTGTCCTTATCGTAATTGTATTTTATTTATTCTCGTCAAATTGTTAAACATCGTTAGGTGATATATTTCTATTATTCAATATCTATTTATAAAAAAAAAAAAGATTGTGCAATTTATAATTAAATTGTTTTAATACAATAGAAATCTCGGTTTTTGTTGTTGTTCTACTATCATACAAGAAATCTAGATATAATGTAAATGATTAAATAAGACGTTTACCAAATCTCTGAATCAATTGACGCATGTCGATCTCTAAGCAATATCTTGCTTTCTTGTAACCAAATCGATTATAAATAACAATGGATCGGAATTTTGTTTTTCTTTTATTGACTATATCAAATATTAGAATAGTGACGAAAGAGAACGGTTCATCAATCGAGCTATACAATTTCACAGTAATACACATTCATAGCTAATCAAGGACGGCATGTAAATACTTTATTCATATCGGCTATGAATCCATCTTGTTTTTACTTATTTCTGTGTAGAAATCTTTCAAGATATGATAGATTTTGATATGAAAGTTTAAGGCATATATTTGACGACTACTTCTTTTTAAAAATAAATACTACAATCAGAATCATCTCATATAGTTCTTCTTCCTTCTCGTGAAGTTAGTCGAATTGCAATGAACACATGTGAAAAGAAATATTTGAATGCTATTCATGAACTATTTCATTGGTCAGTACAGAGTAATTATGTGTAAACTCTCTCATGAACTAGAGCCATTATACATATTCCTATATCGTCCAATGCATGTTGTGAATGATCGCAAAATATTCAGTTTTTCTAAAACGAAAAAGCGACATGGCTCGATTCTTTCAACATTCCAGTTTTAAACAGATAATTAAAAATTCAAGACAGTCTGCATGTGGACATACAAATAGACATTTTACTATTTGAAGATGCAGATAGATTGCAAACAGTAAATTACGATTCAATCGTCAACTTTTGCGCCGTATTCACATTGAATCTCTTTCAATTTTGCAAGTACTTACAAAAAATATATATTTTTCTTTTTAAAGTTAATAAAACGAGAAGTAAAATACTCATTGAGACCACTAAATATCTCGTCTGTTGTACATTCAATGATAAAATAAATGTGGTTTTCTTCTACGACTGACAGACACATTAGATTAGAAAGATATTCACGATCAAAGATTGCCCTATATTGAATATAGATTTTCTTTTGAATCCCGAGTCCAAGATTGCTTACCAGCTGAATTTAGTGATCAAATCTGTTTTCTTTTGATGAATACGTCATAAAAATGTATTAGCCTTTTTAAAGCATCGATACCGTTGCAACCTTCAATAAAGAAGTACCTGCACGTTCACAAAAGTCTCTTTTTCTATCTATTTTTTTAAATTGCCATTGAAACAATTCATTTTCATTCACTATTTCCAAACTTTTATGCATCTTTTCTTCTAGCATGAAACGCCGTTTCGATTTTACTACAAATCATGAAGTAGATGCCGACGAAAAGCAACGTTTTAAACCGGACACTGTAAGATCTATTTTTTTTTCTTTCATTCATCTTAAATGTTATGAGCAGTGAATGATTTGTACAATGTACTTCTACGAGACTTACACTATTTGCTTCGATACTATTACTATATAATATAAAATGACTGAGACTTTATTGCAAGGGGGAAACATCGGACTTGAAGTACAAAAGTACGTCAAATTACACTACTTGAAGTAGCTAAAAGTATCACTCAAGTAGCACAAAGTTAGAACAAGTAACTTCAGATAACTTCAAGTAAATGTGAAGTTGAAAAGTAGGTGAAAGTAAATTACTTGAAATAGCTTAAAGTGCTTCGAAGTAGCTTAAAGTAACTTCAAGTTCAAAAGTCCGCCGTTTCCCATTGCTTTACTGTACGCATCCAACTTCAACAAAATGGACTTGACCATTATTCGATTTTAGAATCTAGAACGTTTGACCGTATTTAAAAATTGGCTGAATGAAAATAACGTTGTATGGGAAAATGTGGACATTCGTTCATCACTACTTTATACAGGATTTGCCGTATACAGCACATCATCACAAGAACTGCCTAATATTCAAATTCCTACAAAATTACTAATGTCAAATCAATCGACACAGATTAGTACTACATTTGTTTTACCAACATCTGATCAACTCGATCAAACTGATGAACATATTGATCGAGAAACACTTATTCTAGCTCTTTTTCTTTTACATGAATGCTCGAAAGGTGTTCAATCTCATTGGTATCCTTATATTCAACTATTACCAGATACATTTACAACTACATTATTTCATAAAGAAAATTATGTTGAAAATACATCGGCGTTTTATTTAACAGAAACTATGCGTCAATCAATGACTGAAGTATGGAATCTGGTTGGTTCAAGTACATTTCAATTAGAAGATTTTCTTTGGGCATATACAACTATTACTAGTCGATCTTTTAAATTAGCTGAACTTGGTACTGCACTTATTCCATTAGCCGATCTTGCAAATCATGTATCATTTACAGATGAAGCAAATTTATATACGACGGGCATCAATAAAGAAACAGATAGATTTGTTTTAAAAGCAAAAGATAAGAAAATCGTTGATAAAGAAGAGTTATGTTTAAGATATAATAGCGATTTAGCTAATTGGCAATTATTACTCTATTATGGATTTGCCATTGATAATAATCCATCGGATTCGATTTTACTTGAATTAAAAATGGATTCAAATGATACCTATGAAATGGAAATGAAAAAAATGCTTTTACTTAATCTAAGTAAATTACGTGAAATTTCTTTTAACTTATTTAACAAATCATTTATTTTTGTAGGCGAAGATTTGTCTTTGGATTATGAGCTCAAAATAGATGAAAATGAACCAATTATCAGCGAAAATTTATTAGCTACTCTTCGTTTAATTGTATTGTCAATTGATGAATTGGAACAGTTTAATATATCCAATGTAAATGAACTTCTTTCGTCAATGGTCACTGTTGATAATGAACGACGAGCATTAAATAAACTAACAACATTTCTTAATGACTTTAAAGAAGTTTCGTTTACAACAACATTAGAAGAAAATCTTAATAGATTGAAATCAAATCAATTGAAGGATGATGAACGATATTCATTAATCTATTTAATTGGTCAAAAACAGATCGTAGACAATGCTGTCCGTTGGATTGATAATGCATTTTCTCAATTAGAATAAATAGAACTTAAAGACAAATTTATTTACATAATTCGTTTTTGGATTCTCACAGGAAATTCAAATTTGTTCTTTGATCTCATGATCATACTAATACATATAATACACGAAATGAAAAATCTTTTGCAGACTAATATCTATTGTTCAAAGATGATTGATAGTCAAAGAAAGAAATTTTCTATAGCATTCATTTGTATACTTCGAACGGATATATTTCTATGGTCATTTTATCTTCTTTATCTCATTTATAACATTAGTGTACATTATAAACAATCGTGAAATATCCTTTTGGAATATGGCTCTAGTATTGATCCGTCCTGCTTTAGTTTCGTAAACATACACAGAATTTCACTATGTTTTTACAAAAATTCTTCAGTATATTTTACTGTTAGACATATTCTACAACATCAATTTCGGTGTAAAACAGCACCAACAATTGCTTCGAATGTATGTTTAATTGATGAGTAGTATTCTTTCAACTACTATGCATTGTGCTATCGCTAAACTTTCGGTTGGTTCAACCAATTGAAATGCAAAGAAAAACAATAGAATAGAAGAATTCTCCTGGTAAAACTTTGCCATAAAAGGCACACCGTAAAATTAAAAATTAACCAAAACAATATGAAAATGTTCATAACTCTCTCAATATTCGTTTTTCAATTAAGAACAAATATGGAAATATTCTACAAATGATGGGGAGGGGGACGTGTGCATGTGTGACTCTATTCGGAGAAAGCGATTCATTCGACGCGCATCACCCACATCCTGCTAACAGAGTCAACTTTTTCGTTAACAGAAGACTGTTTTTTTTGCATAGTATTTCCCCTGTGTTATCAGATCACAAAAATCTATAACGCTCTAATGTTGGCTTTTATTATTTCATATTGCTTACGGTATCTGCTTTCTCTGACGAGAGGCAAACGCAAGTTCATGAGCTATAGATGTCGCATACACATTAAACTATGAACACTGCGATTGGATTATCATCATTATCCATTAAAATAAGCATCGTCATAATTCTTATTGTCTCTGTAAATCTATTTTTCTAAGAATACAATGAAAACATCAACATCCATTGATTCAAATTCTATGTCAGATATTAATAAAATTCATAACTCAGGTGACCAATCGATAGTTGGCTCTCATTTAGTAAAATTATACTCTCAATTGGCTAAGCTTGAACAGCAAAATGACAATCCGTCAACAGTCGAATCAAAACGTGTGAAGTCTTTACTAGATTCTCATCATAATAATTATTTATATTTAAAAGCTCGTCATAAAACCGAAGAAGAACGTATTAATCGTCGTTTCGATATAGAAACACGTTCTACACAAGCATATTTTGCTGCGAAAAAAAGTGAATTGAAAGAACATTTACTTGATCGTCTTAGACGTAAACGTAAATTAGTTATTGATGAAATGCGTACTGTTATTGATATCAATTCGCGTTCATTAGATGTTGATCCATTATTTATTACAATGCAAACACAACATCCACTTCAAACTAAAGCATATAATTTTCGGCAACGATCGGATATCGGACAACAACCGTCAAGTATAGGCGAAGAAGAGTATTTAACGCAGCTTGGAATGTTACAACAGCAAACAACACGTAAACGTCTTGTAGGAGCGTTTAGCATTTTTCAATTACCAAAGTGGACTATTAAAGATGAAGAATGTGAAGATGATTTAAAAATGATTTCAATTAATCGAAAATAGCTTCTATTTTGTTTTCTTTTTTTTTGTACATACAATATTTTGTTTAAAAATCTGATAGTTATGTTTTCATATAATTCTAGATGACGATGATCATATTTGTTATTTTATTTTATTTTTGAAAAATCATTTCTTACGATGTGTTCAATTGAATCGATACGGCATTCTTCACATTCAACAACAAAAAAATTATCTAACCGAAAACTGTCATTAAGAATAATTGAAAAACGTTTAAATCATCTACGAGAAGCACTACAAAATTTAGCAGAAAAAGAAATCACAAATCATGAGCAAGATATTGATTATGATGAAAATTATCATGTGCAATATAAAAAACGTTTAGATCAATTATTGAGATTATACGATAAACAAGTACGGACAAAACGTTTTTGTTGCAAATAAATAGTTCAATTCAAATTTTATTTTCATTATGTCTAATCTTATAGATTTCATATTGAAGAAAATGAATTTTTTCTTAAAGTTATAGTTGATGAGATAGCTATCATTTATAGAGATGTTCAGCGAATGAGTAGTGCATTGAGAAAAACCATATAATCATGACTATGCCTTTATTTTAGATAGGAAAGTATGTGAGAAGTTTTTGTTTAGACTAAAGTTGCCATTCATATATTTTAAACGGGATAAATTTCTACTCTTGATTTGATTTATATTTATTAATTGTATATGAAAAAGTGTGTGATATGTGTGAAACGTTGCGATATTATTTTCTAAATATTTTTCTACAGAAAAAAAAAGAATTCCAAAAACAAATATTAAATAGAAATCATCTGAAATTTTCTTCTCTCTTTATTTTTAAATAGGTTAATAATCTAAATCGTTGGCGCTATTATCGATCGGATACAATTGAAAAGATGTATGCACATGAATTACGTCAATCCGATGAAGTATTTCAAATGAAAAGAATCGATTTCAAAGCAAAATTGTTATCAACATTTAATGATAAACGTCGTCATTTAGAATATGAACATCAAAATGTTAATATTCGGCATCGTCAAAATTCTGATAATGATCAATATTTACTTAATGGTATAAATAATAATATCAATGATGCAAATCTATATGATGGACATCCACATCATTCCAATGAATCTAATCAACAGCAACGACCTATGTATAACTTAAGACGAGCAGCTGCTAATGATATTATATCAGAAAGTTCCGCAGCACCCACAACAGCATCACTAAAAGATTTATCTATATTCAGCGGAACAAATTCATTATTACCACCATTTGGTGGCATTGAATTACAAAGATCATTGTCAAATTCGGATATCGATCAAGATTTAAAAGATATTCATCGTAGTTTGAAGAATATTGAACCAATAGTGGACAAGAAATTATATGAAAGTCTAAGTGACGATTCATCAATCAAATCTCTAATTGATGTTCGTATTGAAGAAGGTCGTCTGTGGTATCAACGAGCGTGGTTTTCACGTAATTCACCAATACTTTTAGTTTTTGATGATCTTGAAATAGTTCCTGCACTTGTTTTAACAGTTGGTCGGAATGATTTACTCATACGTCGTTCAGGTACAAATATAAAGCATCGTGTTAGTCTTTCGCTTTTACACGATGGACATTTATCAATTCGAAAACGTGGTTGTATGTTTTAATCTACTGTATAAGCGGTGTTGTTCAGCAGATTCTTTTTTTTTGTCTCGTATAGTTTCTTAAAAATACAAGAAAAAACAAAAAAAAAATATAAATATATGTATGAATATACTTGTTTCGATTGTTAATTAACTTCTATTCTGTTTTTTAAAGATGTCATTACCCAATAAATTAACATATAATTAATACATTTTATTTTTATTATTCAATTGATAATGACAAGATTAAATAATATTCAATTGAGTTTTTAATTCGATGACGATATAGTTCTTTTTTTATTCTTAAAAGAAGATGATAAGAAGTTTCTAGTTTATTATGAAAATTTTCATGATTCGAAACTATAGAAATATCACTCGTTTTTAGAGCTCTAAAACAGCTGGTGTTAACAATTTTCTAAATATTTATTTGTCGTTTCTAAGAAGAAATGGTAGTAAAAACTTGATGAAGACTCATCAAGAAATCCATGCTTGGAATTATAATTGAATTAATTTTTTGAAATTGTTTCAAGTGTTGAAATGTAAAAGAATCTAATTTATTCTCATTGTTAAAGAATTTGGAATCATACATATTTGGATAGAGTGAGCAACATACTTCAAAATAGAAAGAATCTATTCTTTTTTTAAGCTTACAATAGCATTCAATCATAAAATATTTATCATTGCACTAATTATAAGTTGAACAATTTTTTATAACTGGCAACAGAATATCACAGGTATGTCGAATTACTTATTGAATTGGTAAAATTGATCGATGCCAACGAGTTAAATGAATTTCTCTGCCATGTTTACTCTCTCACTAACTCGTCTCTTAGTTCAACAATATTCATGTTATTTTGTGGATTTAATACAACTTGCGATTATCTCTCTCGATAAGTTATTATTATTGAACTACAGGAATGCTATCGTTTTATTTATTAATTAAATTGAAATTTTCAAAAGACTTGTTGGGATAAGTTTTCGAATTGTTATCAGTTGCCAAGTGTATAAAAGTTTCATGAGAAAAAATATCAAATTGAAGCCAAAATTCTGCCAAAAGTTTTACTGAAAGTCATTTCTTGACAGAGACTTCTTTGCTTTCAGTCACCTTCACAACTTCTATCAAGAATAATTGTCTTCATTTATAAAGAATTTGAATTAAGATTATGCTAGCAGACAAACAATAGGTTTTGTTGAAGTTAAACAGTGCTTTATACAAAAAAGAATGATATTATTGAACTCTTATATATAGATCAATTGAAGTTCTAATTCTAAACATATTTGTCTGTCTAAATCAGAAGAATTTGGCGACATCTGTGGAAGAACTTCATCTATTGGCTATGTATGAATCAAAGACAAATGCTTTCACGTCATCCAGTTATGTTTAGTTAAACGTGGATAAACGACACCGCACCAGCACCACGTATACGTAGACGTAGTCAGTCAAATACTGCATCATTTTCAAGCATGGTTCTAATGACAATGATCGGCCGTGTGGCCGATGGTCTTCCTCTCGCTGCCTCTGTTCACAATGATATGCGTGATGATGTAAGACGATTGTTATTTATTTATGTTTGTTAACCTTCTCCTTGATTATATATAATAGTCCGGTCGTAGTGGAAATGAATACCAAAATCAAGCAAAGAATATTCTTCGTCATCTAAGTCCGAATTCTCCATCAAAAGCTAGTATTGAAAGTGATCCATATATTTTTCAGTATGTATACTGGTTTGTTTTCGATACAATTATTTTATCAAAATTTTCCTTAATGAAATTCTAGCTGTTTAATTGATCATGATGTTTGCTATATAACCTTATGCGAAAAAACATTTCCACGTAAGAATGCATATGATTATCTTGAAGATCTTGCACAAGAATTCATAGCTCAATATGGACAAAAAGTTCAATTAGCTGCTCGACCCTATTCATTTATTGAATTTGGTATGTTATAAAAGAAATTTCTTTTCTTTTCGATCTAAGTTTCTTTTTGTTTGTCTTTCGTAGATAATTATATACAAAAAATGAAAAAACAATATGCTGATAGTCGAACCTCACGAGATACTACGGGTCGTTTACGAACGAATTTACAAGATATACAGAATATAATGGTTACCAATATTCAAGATGTTATATCACGTGGAGAAACAGTGCAAGGTAGTAATGAGATCTTTTCGTTTTGATTTACCATTTTCACAGCGAAGTAAAAACAACAATGTTCAGGTTTCAAAGGAGTGAATTGAAGGGACGAAAAAAAAACTAGCATCAACATCCTTTTCTAGCTATTTAGTAGACATATTATGACAATTTTTGTATACACTTTATACAACATACTGAAATAAGATCGTAATACACGTGTGTCTCGAATGTCACCGTAGAAGACTTGCTTTGCGTTCCTTAACCAGAATGCAGTTAGTTAATTTCCAAAAATTTTTATTGTTGATTTTTGAGCAAGTTAACTGAGTGCAACAACAGATAGTATTTAGCATCACTTATTTGTTTTATTGCTCATATCGATGACTTCAATCATTACTATCAGAATAAATTCAATATGATTTTCTTTGTTTTTAGGGCTTTCTCAGAAAGCAGCAAATCTTGCATCTATTTCTCAACAATATCGTAAAGATGCGAATTACTTGAATCGTATGTCATCATTGACAAAAATTGGTTTAACTGTTGGAAGCATTGTTATATTATCTCTCATCGCTTATGTTTTTATTTTTTAAAATCGTATTGTCTCGTTATTATCTTTGAATTTTATGTTTATTTTATTTATTTGTGCGTATTCGTTATTATCCATTTAACAAAGAAATTGGCTGTTAAAAGAGAAAAGAGCGAACCAATTTTCAATGGACTGAATTTCATGGATGCTAATATTGTTTCATAAAAGATTTCAAAATGTTAATAACGATTTTTTGTGTTTTCATAGAAATAAACATCACAAACATATGCACATAATATTCATTAGGCTACTATTGAATATTTTTATCCACTACGTTCGATGTTGACTGTTCCTAAGTTGTTTTTGTTGTTGTTGTTGCTGATCTATAACATTCAATATGTAGTAGTACTAACGAAAATTTCAGTGTACTTTATAATTCTGCTTTCTTAAATATAAGTTTATAAGCGTGTATCATTAAGAAAAGTGTTTTTTTTTTGCAAAAATAAAAACATTCAATGTGAACTATAATATTCTAAAACGTATACATATATGTCTACATGTTAAGTTTGGATTGAATGAATTCAGTGTAGATTATGGTTTGTATTCTTCGCCATTGGAACTTTCTGATGTTTGTCCTGGATTGAAAATTGGAAACGATTGGCTATGTTGAACAGGAGGTGGAGACGGCTCATATTGAGTACCAATTGATGAACTTTGTAAATCTTTTATTTGTTCATGATAATATGGTAAATATTGTGTATAACTTGGAAATGTTGTCGTTGTATTTAATGGTTGAGTGTAATATGGTTGTTGATAAGCGTAATTACCGTATGAATTGTTGAGCTGATCAACTTTATCCGGCGGAACCATTCGACCTACTAATCGAATAGGAACTCCATTTCTAATACCAAAACGACTTAATGGATCATTTGGTCGTGCATGTAATTCTTGTCCATGAAACACAATATTTTGTAATACGCGTGGTACACGGAAATTAGTTTCTAATACATTCATTAAATCAGCAACAGTTGGTTCTATTCCATCACTAGCCGATACAGATACTTCATGTATATCACCACCAAAATGAAGTTGAAGTTTAATGTAGAAAGCTGTCAGTCGAGGCATCAGTTTATTATGCTAATGTTCTTATAAAGGTACAAGAATAAATTAACAGTTTTATTCTACTCCCTTTTTCAGTTAGCAAACAAAAAGGTTGCTAATGGAGTTAAATGGTGACAAAGAAAGCAAGAAAAAAAAGAAGTCAAGAATATGCGATACTTTTATTTTATCCTATAAAGTTCTATTGTAGAAAGTTGTAACAAAGGCAAATAATCAAAACTTTTATTAAAAATAACAAGAAACAAAAACAATGTTCATCAAATCAAAAAGTGAACCATGACATAAGAGAATGGTAATGCCTTTTCTTTTTGCTGTGACATGACGACATAGATGTGTACACAAATCGAAACAAAAGTGATGTAGCTGATCATAAGTATTTATTTTTAGAAGTAATTTAGTCTAAACGTTTGCTACTATTTTGAATTCCTAATGACCAATATTTTGAAAGGAATTTTTCTTTATAACAAAGTAACTGTTCATTTGGTTATGCTCGATACTCATAATATGAATCAAAGAAAAGACTCTGCAAATAAAACCCAAAACGAATCTGAATTTGATTCTAATAAAAACACTAACATCAAACAGAATAGGATTCTCAATAAAAGCTACGATACCTATTGTTAATTGTATTGATGCTCAAACCAGCTGTTAATCGGTTTCTCTCATTATAGCCTGAATAAACATTAATTATTTTTACTACTACCATAAAATATGTTTTTGTACTCAAGATATTAACTTTGTTAAAGTTGTATGCCTATATCATTCAGAATAACAAGCAAATTATTTGGATGAATTTTCATAATATGTATATATTCTGCATAAACTACTAATACAGTATAAATTCAAAAGATTCAAACTATCATATTTTTCATGCCTTTTCTAACCTACTAAAGATTTAACTCAAATCGTAATAGATACTAGAATGATCGCTGAAGTTCTCCATGAAATATATTTTCGCATTGAAATCTTACATAGCAAATTCACGACAGACAGATTTCTGAAAGATCAGGTACAGTACTTTTCCAGATCTCGAATGAATGCGCAACGATCAATTTTTACAATGTAATATCATAAAGAAAACAAATCATAAGTAAAGTGAAAAAATCTCATGATTTCTTTCAGCCTTCTCATAAAAATTTATCAACGCCAGAATAGATTTCTATGTTTTTAATTGTTTTCAGATTCTTACTAAATTTCAAGAAACAATTGAAACAGTTTGCCTTGAAAATCATTGTGTTTGATTTACCTTGAAGCGAATATTGGATTTTTAATTAAATCCGTGGTATTTTTTAGGGCCAAAGCAGAGTAACACCTTCGGTCTTGTATTCGTCAGCAGTATAGCATGTACATCTCGTTAGAAAAGAAATCTTCCATTTCTTACATGTAAAATAACGTTCGCCAACTGATGTATAAGACCTTGACAAAGTTGTAAAGGAGACTCAACAAATCTACAAAAAAAATGATTAACAGAAGATGCAATCTTTCTGAAAAAAGCGAACTTGTTTCAAGTAGACAACTGATAATTATGAAACAATGTATTGATCGCCCAAGAATGATCATGAAGTTATTACTAAATCATTGAATATGTCAATTCAAACAAGAACTTGCCAACTCGAGTATATTGTATGTTGTCTATGAAGTAATGATAATAGTTTATAGGTATTAACTCATTAGAAATATGATGAAATCAGGCTATTAAAAGTCTAAAAATGAATAGAGATTTCTTTTTATCATTGTAAAGTTGGACCTCGTTTAGCTCAAAAGTTTTCAAGTGCTGTTATCATTATTTTTCTAACTGATGTCTGCATGAAAAAGCTAAACAATTTATTTAATTCCAAATTTATCCTATATTCGTTCATAGTACTAAGGATTTGAGATAATAATTTGTCATCAGAAGGAATGAACTGCAACAGTACAGAAAATTTGCAAGAATCTGTCAAGATTGTAGTTCCATATTTTGTATCTAAGATTGGATGTTCACAAGAAATTTTCAACCATAAAATGTCTTCTCGCTGTTAAATAGTTCTACAAAGTCCTTAATGTAAATACAGAATATTCGAAACAGTTTTGTGTATATTTTCGACACATAAGATATCAAACATAGTTCAATATACTAAACATGCCAAATTTTAATCTTTGTTTGTACTTTTTAACTTCGAAATACACCTTTTAAGACAAAAAAAGAAGAGAGACGTTTCAGGTGCTTCTAAACAGATGAATAGCTCGTCGGAATCGTGTTCACTTGTATTCTGTCTCGATAAACAAGACTGATTGATTACAAATCAGCTAACATAAGAAGAAGCTGCCAATGAAAAATTAACGTCAGAAAATATAAATACACGAGAACTTTTCTTCAGATGAACAATTCATGAATGTTTACTTAAGTTTGATAGCATACTCATTTTTAATAAAAATTTATTTTTCTGAAGAAAATCTTGACATATAAATCTTTGATTGTGGCGCCACCGTATAAATAAATAGAAAATCCAATTTTCTATAGATTTAAGATTCAATTGTCAATTTGCTACTTTTTCTCTATAGTTCAATGTTGAATCAATAATTTGTTTGATGTTCCTTGGAATTAATTTGCAATTGGTTGAATAATCAAAGACAGAGAAAAGTGGAGTAAGAATCAAGAGAAAGAATGAATGACGTCTTTTGAAGTAGACGCATTTTCTCATTGATATTACTCTAAATTTCAATAATCTGTATGAAGCTGTTGAAAAAACTTTTCTAAATTCTTTCATTGAAAAAAAAATCGAAATCTATAAAATTCTTTCTCAAATTAATCTATCTACCTGTTTGGCTGTTTACAATAAAAAAGGAATAGTCCTATCAGATAAAAGTATCTGTCTCAAACTGTCAAAGATCAAGATAAAATAATTGAATTAAAATAAAAAGCAAATTTAAAAACGATGACTCATCTAAATCATTCTAATAAATGGTCAAATGTATTAATGACTCATTCGAAAATTGTTTTGTTTTTAGAAATAAACAACAACAACAACAACAACAACAACCAGGGGCATGTCATCCGAATGGCCTGATGCACAAATATCAAATATACAAAAGAGTACGTAAATAAAAACATGTTGATTTGTTTTTTCTTGACTTTGTTTTTTTTAGCCTTACAAAATACTTGGCAAATTCCATATATATCTTTATTCGCTCGTATATTTTGTGATGCTTTTCAATTGTTTGATTTTCATCAGGAAGAATTAGAAGATGCTTTATTATCGGATAATCCCAATGAAATCCATCCATTTCTTCAAGAACTTCTCATATCTCTGCTGTCCGGATTGATACGTTTACATGTCAAGTAAGATAATTTTTCATTTTCATTTTCGAAATTAAAATTAATAATTTTACTGTTTCATTTTTTTTTAGTTCAAGTAATATGTTTGTTATGCTTTCTAATATACTCAAACGATGTGATCTGAATATTACTTCTTCTACGCCATCGAATATCATGTCCATATCTGATGATTCAATAACAACAACAGATTGGCATGAAATGTCTATTTTTGAAAAAGTAACTGTACTTCGTGCTCTATGTGATGCACGATTGAATAAAGCAGATATTGATCAAGTAATTGAGGTAAGATCAATGAAAATGATTATATCTAGTTGTGTTTTTCCTTTACTTATTAGAATATGCCAGCTGATTCACTTCGTTTTGAACCATTTGGTGAAGATTCACGAGGAAAAAAATTATGGTATTTTGGCGATACGAGACTTTATTCTGAATCATGGAATAAAAGTACTGAGTAAGGGCAATCAATTCTGCTTGTAGATATTTATCTATTGTATATTATCAATTCTAGAACATCTACATGGGAATGTATATGTCGTACACTAGATGAATGGAATGTTTTCATTGAAAATTTTCGTAAATCATGTTCAAAGAAAAATTCTAGTATTAAAGATCGACAATTACTAGAACGTCTAATAGCACTCAATGCAGATTTACCAGATATATATTCACGTAAAGATCGTGAAAGGCATCGTCGTTGGACATCATATGAACCAAAACGTACATCAACACGCCTCGAAGTTAAACGACAGCAACGTCTTGAATTCGAAGAAATAACACAAGAACAAAAAGCAAGACATGATAAATTTCTTGAATTTAAACGACGACAAGAAGAAACTATTGCTAAAGAAAAAGAACGTTTAGAACGTAGTGAACGTGTTAAAAGAAGAGAGGGTATAAAGTTAGATATTTTAGGACAATATCGAATCGCATTTGTACTTGTATTTTCCAGAACGCGCAGATCGTATTCGTCGTCGTACAGCAGTTGGATCATCACACGGTGTAGATGGTTCAGAATTTTCCGAAAATAGCAATACATCATCAACATTAAATGATGAAAATCTTCATCCAATCAATACTAATGATATACACCAAAAAGGTAGTACAAATAATTATTTATATTTCTATGATTGTTCTATTTTTGCATAATATTTAGTGTTGACATTATTGAGAACAAATGAAAACAGTTGGCCATTTCTTGAACCTGTTACTGAAGAATTAGCACCCAAATATTTCACAATAATCAAGGTTTCTTTTTTGCAGAGATTTTTAATAAATTTGATTCCAACTAAGTTGTTCTCACTTTTTTTTAAGAACCCGATAGATCTTTCAATGATACAACAAAAAATTAATAATAAAGTTTATGTTAATAATTCTACAGAATTTATTCAAGATATTGAATTAATGGTTGCCAATTGTGAACAGTACAATGGCAAGCGAAGCAGTAAGAGTTTTTGATTTAATAGATAGTTTATTTATATTTTATTTTATTTCATTTCATTTCATTTCTAGTTTTAGGTCGATTAGCGAATCGTCTTCTTGTTTATTTTAAAGACTGTTGGTCTGAATGTCAACCAAATACACAACACTTTGATGATGATATTGATGATTTAAATCGTCGAGAACATCCAGTAAAAAAGCCAACAATATTAACACGAGATAAAAATAATAATACGAGAACTAGAAAAAATTATCGACAATTAGCTGGTATAACTGATGACGAGGATGATGATGAACTTGAATATACGCCCATGCCTAGTTCTAAACGAGTATGTTATATTAATTGCTCAAATTTGTGATCTAAAGTTTATTGTAAAGCTGAAAACAAAAATTCTATTAGTTACAGTAACGAAAAACTTTCGATATGCATCTTGAAGGTGATATCATTCTGCTATTTATCACTTTTTAAGTATCTTCGTTAAAATATGAATAAGAGAAAATGAGCTGAATAGTACAACTCAACGAACTTATCTTGGTCATGATACAGGCTAGCGTAAGAATAATGTTGAACACAACATGATAGAACTACTGTCACCTTAGATTTCTTTCGAATTTTTCAGCTGAGAAAGATTGAATTGAAATTTTCAATAGATCTTAATTCTTTGATACTAAAAATTGTTGGTTAGCTCTTTTTAAGATTGATCTATTTTCTTCAAACCATAATCTTGATAGAAAAAAGCAAAGCAAAAATTAAGACAGAATCCAATCATTATGCTATCGATAGTGAAGTGAAAAGAAAAAAAGCAGTTCTAGATCAAATCATTTTCTCATTTGGCTTCTTTTTATTTAGGCTCGTCATTCAGCACCTCCTGTACCGATCTATATAGCTGTTGATCCAAATTCTCCTGCATATATTGTTTATCATGATCATTCATATTTTATTCGCAATGAATCAATAGATGATATACAACGTCGTAAAACATCGATGCCAACAAACCCTATTAGACCTCACATACAAGAAAAACCACCGCTACCGTCGGTTCAAGTACTGAATCAATTAATTCTTGGACATCCACAAAAGACGAAAATTTCTCCATCAAATTCTACAACATCCACAACTCCTCTCGATTTTACGGCTATTCTTCGTGCATTATTAGTTAAACAAGGACATCAGTTAACATCAACTGTGCCACAAGAAACTATTGAAACTAAAATAAATGATAAAACGTCTTCTTCTCCGTCATCAGCAACTACTTCGTAATCAAGTTTTTTTCCCTGCATAGTTCTACTTGTTTCGTCAGTCATTTAGAATAAAAAAAGAACCTAATGAGTATGTTTCTTCCTAGTTTCCTTTTTCGTTTGATTATATGTGTATTTGTGTACGCTTTTTCTTTTGATGCTAATGAAACAAAATAGAAATCGTATAGCATATAAAGTAAAAAATGGTGTAAATCTATTTAGGCTTTCATTTCTTCATGTTAAAAAATAACACATGTTAACATACGATAAAAAGAGGGGGAGGGTAGCAAGTATTAATGAGCAACTACATAGTACAATATAACGGAATCAAATAAAAACAAAAGAGAATAAACATCTTCCTGTTCATGTTTTAATTCTCAAATTCATCTTTTAATGGCCGAAAAGTGTGAACCAAAGCACCGATCGTGGAATACCTTTCACCAGGAGGTATTATAGGAATATTTGTTCTTCCAACAAACTCATGCAAAGCTGATGGTGTTCGTTCGCTTTGCTGAGGAGATGTTGGATATCGACTATTAACACTCGCATTTGATGGTCGCGTCTAAATATATCGAAAACATATGTGTTCGTGTTTTTCTTCTCATGTGAAAAACATAATTACATTCAAATAGTCATGTTGTGACACATTCACTGCTGAAGGTGATGTTGAATCACGTAATCTACTTTCTCCATGCACACTTGATGACGCATAGCCACTCGTAGGTGAAGGTGATCGGTTACTGTTAACAGTTACTGATGACGATGAATCACGAGAATAACGTTGTTCGCTGTAGAAATTATTTGTAGTGGGTATTGGTTGTTTATCTTCATTAGATGATGAACGAGAATAAGTTGGTTTTAGAACTGTATTTTCTGGTATAAATCGACCTGTTGTGCTACACTTATCTGAATACGGTTCATTATCATTCTTCTGTTGCTGATCGTTTAATGTTAAACGTGAAAAATTATCTTCAATAAAATTAAAATAAAGAATAAAAAAAATGATGTTACTTTCTAATATACCTGATAGATCAACTTGATGTTCGCGACTACTTTGTCGTCGATAAACATCTGTTGATAGTGGTGATGGATCTCTAATATATGTATCAGAATTTGCTGGCAATAGTGGTATTTCAATGCGTTCAATTGTTGAAGTTGATCGTTTGGGCGATGGAATCACAGGTACATCAACAAAAGCTGATATTCTATTAGTATAATTTGTTTTTTCATCATCAAATTTATGTTTGTGTCTATCATCATCTCTACTTAAAGTTGATTGACGATAATTAGTATCACTACCAGTTGTTTCGATAACATTTTGAAAACCAATTGGACTCGCTGGTCGTTGATAGTTTTTATCAACAATCGGATTTAATTCTGTTGCTATTTTATTTATTGTCGATGAATGTTGATCAGGTAAAATATCATTACGCCATGGAAAGATTTTTGGTAATTCATCAGTACATAGAGCACCATATTCACCACGAAGTATATTATCATTTGAATGTGCACGTTGTCGTATTGGTTCAGGTGTTTTAACTGGTACTTCAAGCTCGCTGCCATACGATGAACGACGTGCTGGATGAGCGTCACGTGCTGTAGTATCTGTTGACATTGATACACCATTAGCTATACCATGTACGCCAAATTGTTTTGTATAACATGGTCTACAGTAAATTTCGCCTTTATGTTCACATAATGTTGTTGATTCTAATTTTCGATTACAAGTCTGACAACTAAAGCAACGAGTATGAAATGACTAAAAGCAAATGAAAACAAATCCATAAACACACACATATACATATACAATGTAGATTCGAGATAAGTTTTCAATACATACACGACCAGCTCCAACTTTTTTTTCTGCTACGTAAACAGTTTTAGAGCATCGAGCGCATTTTTCAGAGCTACCACCATAATTTGGCATTACTTCCTTTTCTTGTATGTCTTGATTTTGTTGATTGAGAAACTGAGTGTTAATCCGTCGAATAACTGTATTTGCTGCTTTCGGACTACGAGTAGTGCTGAAATGAAAGAAAAGAAGAACAAATATAATAAAAAAAAACTTTTGAAATGTGAAATTATATATGCAGTATTCTTTTCTCGGTTGCTCATAGAATACGAAACGGCCTCTATTTGTTTTTATGGCTATTAACCTATTCCGCTGATTTGAATAGAGAAATAGAAAGAAAAAACTTCTGATTCTTACTCAGCTGTAAAGACTGTATAATTCGAACGATATGTTGCAGTCGCAGTAGTTGACATGTTTATTGTTTTTTTTGCTTTCGATAGATTAATAAACTTTAAAATTATGATGCATCTTCTTTTACATATATATATATATATATATTACAGTATGTTACTCCTACTCGATGGTTATCTTTATTTTTTGTGCATGAATACTTTGCCCATTCTTTAAAAGCAAGCTTACTTCGATGAGCAATCGATGCAGAGAATGTGGGTAGAAAAAAGACCAAGTACTGTTGAAAATTACACGAACGTTATAAGTCATTCACGTGGGAGCTGTTACTGACTCACAGTTGTCATTCAAAATAAATAGCATTTGTTTTTCTATGAATCATTCTTATATGTGTGACTCTGAATAGTGTAGATGACTGTACGAAATTTTATTAGAAAAACAAAACATTAAAATATACCAATCACTTACAGTAGTTGATCAAATATTTCAATATTTTATCGTAAAAATGCTAATGTTTGTCGTGAATAAGAAAATAACAAATGTGATATAGCTATCTGAAAAGAAAAGAAAAGAAAATATGATGATGAATTTGAACTAACTAGCTATAAAATATGCGTCACTACATATAGTATGGATCGTCTATTTGATGTCATCGATCGGTCTACATAGGAATGAAAAGACGTAAATCGATGATATTTCAAATCTAAGTGTGCATGCACATGAGATGTTATCGATCAAACATCTGTTTAATACTTTATCAAATAGTATGCACTAAAATTTGAAGAATAGTCAAATTTATTTTCTTTCGAGTAGAAACCTGCTTAATAATTTCATATCCTCAATTACTATTGGTTTAAGTTCTTTTCTTTCTGTGGTTGGAATCATAAGATAAAAACACAATGCGTCATGTAAATGTCACTTATCTTCGACTGATTCAGACACAATAATATCATATAAAACAATCCCTAGCATACGTTAAGTAGAATTTACTTTGTTATTTTTCTACGCCATTTATTTGAAAGAAAATTAAAAATTCTGAAAAGGAATAAAAACACATACGGAGCAACGTTACAAGAGGTAAGAGAGTACGCGGGAGATTCATTTTTTTTAATTTATCGAAATTTATATATTATAGCGATGAATGATAGTAAAGAAGCAATGAGTGGTAGTGATCAAATGCCACCATGTGAAAAATCTAATGATATAAAAAATAAAATCGATTCAAATAGTATTTATTCAGTATTACATAATGTCATAGTTGAAGGTAAAGACGAAGAAAACCGAGTCGATGACTCCAATGTTAAACTTACACCATATCCAACACTTGTTCAATTAAAATCATCGATTGATGATGAAAACAATGATACATCTAGTATCATTGAACCACCATCAATTCAACCCTTAGAAAATTTCATTAAAAAACGTACCATTACAATAGAAGGATTGAAACAACTACGTATTCGAATGGCTAAACATGTGAAAAATTGCAAAATTTCAAATAGTGTTGGTAATTCGGCTGCAATTATTGGTGGAATTTTATGTTTTGTTTTTCCACCTGTTGGCGTACCTGTTCTTCTTGCTGGCAGTGCTACAAGTCTTGGTAAATTAATTTTTGGCCATGTGTCACACGTTGATTTCAATGTTTCTTTTTTTCTAATTTCATAGGTACAAGTATTACAGAAAATGTTATAGAAAAACGTCTTCGAACAGAATATACAGAACTATTAAAAGAAGATTCATTAGCAATGAAAGTATGTGAATCCAATTTAAAAGACATAACAGCATGGCTTGTCACTGTTTATTCACTTGGATATTCAGTATCAAAAGCTGGAGTCAATTTTTTAAAACTTTCTGAAGCTATTCAAGCAGCTTCAACCTTAGGAACATGGAGTGAATTAATTGGACAATTACCATCGTTAGCAAATGCTCTTGCAACAGGTGCTAAAACTGCTGGAACTATAAGTGGAAAAATTCTTGGTATTTCAGTTATTATTTCTGTTGCTGATCTTATTCAAACTTGGATATCAACAAATGCTACATTATCATCTATTGATAAAGATATTGGATCACTTGAACAGCAATTAATGGAATTGAAACGTATTGTGCATATTTATCATGGATAATCTGATTTTTATTTTAAGATAAATAGAAGTATTTAAAAGAATTCTCTGGTCATCATTGTAATAGTGAACATATTGATTGTTGTGAATAGATTTTCTAAAAAAATTACCATAAAACTTTTAAAATCGAGTTATTTCATGGTGTTGATTACGATCTATCGAACCATCGGTAGATGTATGTTGAGTATTCGAAGTCGTTACGATTTGATTAGGTCGTAGCGATTTCCACTTGATGTAAACAATACCACAAGCAATGCCGGACATGAAACGAATAGAAAAACCTGATAAAGCCATCGATAAACCCATTCGACGATTATCATACACTTTACACGTTCGTCGAGCATAACAGTCTGTAAGCCAGACTAAACATGCTTGATCGAAAACATAACCAAATAATAAAGGACCACTTGTTTGTCCTAACACTCGAACAATACATTGTCGAAGAGCAAGTGCCATATTCTGATCATATATTGGAACACTATATAGAAGCACTTGTAACATGGGTACTTGCACAAATGCTGTGAAAAAGACTAGGAGAGTAGCACCAAGCAAGGTTAACGCAAATATCACCTTACCTAAACAAGAATATATTCAAGTAATCTGATTGTTTTTTCTGGAGTAGTTAAATATAACTTACAAGGTATTTGTCGAAATCGACAAGCTGTTTCACTAACAATTATATTTTTTGCACAACGACATGATGAATATAAAATAGTATTATTATTATTATTTATTATAGTTTGATTAATACAACCAAAGTGACATGGCGATAAAAACATTTGATGCAGATTAACTATATCGCATACTAAATTGAAAGGAAACTATTATGAACACCATTACCATGAAATTATTATTTGAAACACGATTTAAATAGTGTTGCTCACGAACAAGAGTGGGACCTTTTATGCCATACATTCTAAGATATGTAAATTTTTATACTACCTACGTCAAATCTCTTTTGAGATCATTTCTCACGCATGTTCAACGAACAAAAAACAGCATAAGTTTTCTGCTAGCATTGATTGTACGTGTATTACCTGGATAATAGATTTGATTACAACATGGTGTATTCATAGAAGTGCACGATGTATTTTGAAATTTAAGTTCAGGACAAGAAAATATAAGACATAAAAAAAGAAACGATGAACTTATTAATACGATACCACAGATACGTGCACATTGCATTGGTGTCCACGAATATTTATTCATCAAAATAGGCACCTGCTGGACAACCGATAATCACAGTAAGTAAAGCAATTGCACCAGTTATTAATGTAGCTGTAGATGTGTCCAATTGATGTTGATATTCGAAGTATTTCGTAATGAATGGTACAAAACCTAGACAAAAAATTGTTGATAGTTTTAAAGAAAAAGGATCTATAAACAAAAAAAAACTTTACCTTTTAATAGGATACCTTCGAATAGATTAGCAATAATAATAAAAATGCATCGTATATTTTTCAGAAGTTTCCAAATTTCACAACACATGCTTCTCAAACTTGCATCGTTTGTTTCTTGTTGCGTAGGTCTTTCATTTGAATGTCTTCTCATTGATGTTACGGAATCAGTAATTGGTAACTGATTATAAAGAGTGCCAGTCGAAAATCCATGATTCATAATTCCATTTCTAGTATTATTTTCTCCTGGTGATGATGATACTAATCGAGATGGATTTTTCGTTTCTAAATCTGTAAATGACTCACGCAAGATCTTTTCTATTTCAGGTTTCTTTAGACATGTCATAACCATCGTATTATCCTTGGAATCGTTTTCTTGTTCACGGATAGATTGTTGCTGAGCAGATGCAACTGCTGAAATTTCTGTAGTACTGTTACGAACCGAATCTAGTTTCCCTGGTATGCCATAATTTGGTAGACCAGATACAACGAGACTCATAAGACAACATAATGAACCGTATATAAAGTAAGGTAACCACCAACATCCAATCCAAAGTGGATGACTACTTGTTAACCAAGATGGAATCTGTCTTCGAGACGTGAATTTTGTATAGAGTAAAAGAAATCTGCCAGTTGCAACAATACCAAGTGCACCGCCAACAGTACCAACAGCAAAATAAACTCCTTGACAGTAAGCAGCTTTTCTCGTGGAAATATTCGTTCAATATAAGGAACACCGATAGTGAATAGAGCAACACTGCCAATACCATTAATAAAGTTACCTGCATATAAAAGAAATTTTGCATTTTTCTCTGCAATTGATAAATAATCTTCTTTTAAACATATTGAATCTGTTGTGTTTTCTCTAGTGCGTACTGACTCATTATAACATTGAAACAGAACATTATTTGATGTAAATGGATTTTGTGTATTATTCCAATTCAAGTTAACTTTATTATTTCGATCTATAAAATTACTTGACGCTATTAATACATTTCCGATTGCAATAATAATCATATTTAACGAGAAAAATATTGGTGATGAGTATAAACTGCCTAAATAACCAACTAATGGTGCAGAAAAAACTGTTGCTAAATCGTATAATGCCAAGAAAAGACCTGATTCTACACTATTCAAATAGAAAACACGTTCAACTGTTGAAATAACAGCATTGTTAGCACCATTCACCGAAAAATTTTGAGTGAATAGACATATACATAGAATAATATATGCAAATAAAGATTCGCTTAAAATTCCACTATATCGAAAACGTCCCCATCCGTAAAAATAATACTTTGAATATAAATCTGAATTGATATTGCCTATAGTAGTTGTGGGATTCATAATTTATGCATTTTGTTTCTAAGTTAATTATAGAAAACGAAAGTACATATTCTATTTTAACTAGGCAAGTGTTTATTTCCGGCCGCATTGTCTTACTTACTTTTCTTTTGAAGAAATTAGCCTGTAAAATTTCAATCCAAATTTCTGCTCCTTTGAACTCAACTAGTTTGACCAATCATAGGTCGTCTTTTCTTTCCAAACAAACACAAGTCTGTATTTAAATAGAAGGATATTATTCGCCATGATTCTACGCATAAAACTAATAATTCTAATGAATATGGTTTCATCGATCGAAATATGTATTTTATGCAAAATCGAAACATAGCATTAACTCTGCGACATGAATTTCTATAATAAAAAAAAAAGGTATATACAAGATTGATGTGGTGAAAGAGAAAAAAAGAGAGTAGAAAAGGCTCTATAGTTAACTCTTTCCATTTTTGTCTTGCGTCGGTGTGATGAAAAGCTCGAGCTCAAATAGAAGATGATGGTACTTTTTTTTCGACGAAAATGACAGAAAGAGAAAGTAAATTGTAAAAAAAAAACAAAGTTGGAAGAAGAAAAAAGAAGCGTATACGAAAAATAAGGCGGCCGCTAAAAATACGGTTATCTATTATGTAACAATCATAGAAAAGATGCCATGCTTTGTTTATCCTGTTTTAGTTAGAAATAAAGTCATCATACATATTCAAAGTGAATATACAATTGAAAAAGGCTTTGATCACAATACAAGCGTATAAGTATTGATGGTTATTTAAAAAATGTATACAACATTCGTCCCGTACTCATACAGAGGTGTTAAAGTGCAATTGTATTGATTAATGCCAATATATGCATAAGCTAGTTACTAATATACAATTTATTCAAAGGTAAACTTACTTTTTATTGTAATTTTGCTTGAAAATAAGAGCATAATAATCATGGAGCAGTAAAAAACTACTAGCTTTGTGTACATTAATACGCTGCTGAACCAAAACATTCGAGTCCAATTTTTATTCAAAAGATTTTGACCAGAACATGATCCATTATTATAACACGAAGTGATCTATTTAAAAAAAGGCAAAGGAAAAAAGTAGAAAAACTTGACGCCACGGATTTCCTGCTGAAAGCGAAAAAACCGCATGTTGTTGAAAATAATAATAATTTCTTTTGGGCGATAAATACTCCTTAAATACGTTCTACTTTGATCACATAGTTATAAAACATTCAAAGTAGCATATAGCACGGGTCAAACTAGATTTTACGGGATCCAATTCGTCAAGAGCAACATACTATTAAACAAAAAATCAAGAATTACTTAATCGGTACCATATAAAGATTAGACTTCCTGTAAATGGAATTTTCAACTACTTAAGTAGAAGAAAACTTTCGTAGTGACACAATTGTAATAACTTGTGTTGTAATAAACTGTATTGGTTATACAGAAATATTTTCGTAATTCTTAATGATTTCATTTCTTTGTTCCATAGCAATCATGTTATTGTACAAGATAAGAACAATTTTAGAGTAAAAAACTGTGAAATCTTTATTTTTTATCACTCATTAATCAAACACTGATGAAAGTTTAAAACAAACAGAACAGTAGAATATAATACAATCAAAAAACATCTTATAAATATAACATTCAACGATTCCAAACAATTGTAATCATACAGGCAATGAATAACACACTGGAAAAAGATTGTAGGCTGTTAACATTTGAATTAACTAGATTGAATTGAGCGAGAATTTGACGAATTTGATTCATTATAATTGGGTCGTTACATCTATTTCTATTACAAATATAAGAAATACTTGTTTTTTGGTAGTCATTACCGACAGATTTCGATTGGAGAGTAACACCGGCTATCGAACCTGGTCGCCTATCAGAAACGTAAGTTGTAATTAGTAAATCGGATCTTCCTTGTTGAACAACCAGAGTTGCTTGACAATTTCCATTGATGGAATGTTTTTCTATTTTTCTATTTCGATTGTAACATTCAATAGATTGTTGTTTTGTAACGATTTGATCATCGTATAGAAGTTCAGCTAATTTAATAGTCAACTGCGTATAGTTTAATGCAATGAATTCTTTATATTGCTTCTCTACTATATTATTATTACATAGATCTTTATCGTAACAATCATATATAACTGATGCATAAACATTTCCAATGTCCAAAGGTATGTTTATATTTGTGAACAATTCACTATCGGCACTGTTAGTAATCAAAGCATTTAACGGTGTAGTAATATAGTTAATTACAGCTGGACATGTATCGATCAATTCAACAAATAGTTCACTTTTACACATAGCAGCTGAATCGACTATTTCTTCGCAATAAGATTCACTGCTAGAAAGAGATTTGTTCATTCTATCAACGATTATACCAATACATGATGGGCATTTAACAGCAGAAGCCAGAAATAAATTGATAATACAGATAAAAATAGAAATTAATAGTATCTTACACATTATAGTTTCGTTTACGAAGAATCTTATTGATTTCTACACGACGAAGATATAGAAATAATAGTGATTCATATCTTGATATATCAGCTGCTGTACTTTCTCATTGTATGCAGAGGCTAATGACAACATAGTGCGAAAATTTATCGTGAGCGTCATTTTTCGTATCGATGATTTTGCTTTCTTTTCCATTCTGACTAATTTCATAAACGTTTTTTAACAATGAATTGTCGATGATTTTCGATTTTATTTTTACATGCTTCCTACGGATTGTAAGAGGGGAATATGTATCGAGCTAACTGACAAAACGATAGCTTATATTTAGTCAATCTTTCCTATGGCAATACATTCGTTGTCAAATTTTATCTTGCTTCTTTACCCTGCAATATCTATGTTGTATGAAATGAAAACACTTCTGTTTTCGTATCAGCTCTCGAACGAATCAATAAACATTCTTTGTTTCAATGCTTGCACAGATATTAATTGGAAATTGCTGAATTTAATATATTTATAAAAAAAAAAGACATACACAATTAGTATGTGTGACAAAAGTCAACATTTATACGCATATCGATGGAAATTTCTAATTATTGGCATCCCGTTGGTTTCGCTGTTACACATGTCGAACAATCGAAAACACCAGGATTTGATGAACACGACGATGAACATTGATAGCAATTCGTTTGAGCGGCTGATGAATAACTACCTGGTAAACACTGCTGAGGACATTTTGTTGAATCATCACAAAAATATCCAGGTGCACATGGTGTACACGTAGCGGAACTATTTTGAACTGAATAATATCCTTGAGAGCAAGATGCACATGAGCGAGCTCCGTAATCTGCACTGGTACCTACAGCGCAAGCCTGCGGTGTTGCACTCGGATCGCCACAGGCAAAACCTCGAGGACATAATATACAATCAGCAGATTTCGAAGTCAAAGAGTAGTAACCAGACGAACATTGACTACACTGAGTTTGTTTATAGTCACTATAAGTTCCATTAGGACAAGCTAATGGTGCTGTATCAGGTTGTGGACAATAGTAGCCTCTAGGACATATTTCGCATTGAATGGATCCTACTTCAACTGTATAGTATCCTGTACTGCATTGAGAACATGTAACAGTATTAATACTTGACGCATAGGTACCAATGCGACATGGTAACGGCGAAGAATCAGTAGTAGAGCATTCAGATCCCACGGGGCAAATTTCACAGCGAACTGATGTCGTGTTTTTAGTCCACATTCCGGAAGAACATCGTTGGCAAGAATTCATCGATCCATCACGATAAAATCCACGAGCACAAACTCGTGGTTGTTGATCGCTTTGTGTACATTCATATCCCAGTGGGCATGCATTACAAGACACTTGTCCAGAACTAGTGGCATAAGTATTTGTTGGACATGATACGCATGATGATCCTGGATACGGAGAATATGTGCCCGGTCGGCACATGGTGGGTGGCTGATCGACTCGTGGACATTCATTTCCCTTTTTAAAATCAAATGAAATCGTGATTCATTGAGTTCGTTCGATTTCAAATAAATTACTAATAGGCTTACTTCGGGACAAATATTGCATAATACGGCACCTGTCTGGGTTGTATACCATCCCGAAGAACATTGAGAACATGAATAAGCACCATAATCACTGGAATATGTACCTTAACAAATATACAGATCATTCGAATAGATATTTTCATTGGAATGAATTTTATAGAATGTAGAAATGAAATAGACTTTTCATGGTAAAATAGTATGACAATCGCGAGAAAATAATTTCAAGGCTATCGAATGACAATGACTCCTGTGATATTAAACAATGGATTCGAATTGCATCAAAGTGATTTAACATGAGATCACTACTAATTTTAGCTATTGTATAATACTAATCGATAATATCTTGTACATCGATTAGAACTGGAAGAGAATCATCTAAAACTGCTGTATGCTTACTTTATGTATATCATTTGATTTAATTGAAACTTATTCGTTCTGATGTTTGAAACTTATATGAAATAGTGACATCCTATCAAGTGGAATTGACGTCTAACTAACCTGGTCGGCATGCCAATGGGGATTGATCTGGACGAGGACATTCAGAACCCTATGTAATTAAAGATAAATAAAAACGTTTTTATAGCGTTTTATCTAAAAAAGACAAAGAAATCAAACGTTGGATTTTACCTTTGGGCAGATTTGGCATTGATGTGAACTTGAGGATGTTGAATAGTAACCTAATTAATAATAATAGGCATCGCTTAGACAACTCAAATACAAAACAAAAAGTAACTCAGATGAATTTTTGTTGACGTACCCTGTGAACATTGTCGACAGTTTGTTGCACCATAAGTATCTTGATATGTTCCAGATGGACAACTGATAGGATCTCTATCAGTGTTTGGACACATCGATCCTATTGGACATATATCACATGTAATCGAACCTGATTGTAAAGTGAAATAGCCACTTTGACAACTTGAGCAGGATGACGATGCAAATGAATCTTGATAGTCTCCTGGATTGCATGGTAGTTGTCGATATCCATCAGGACAATATGTACCAGGTGTACAAGGATAACAATTGCTACTATCCAAAAAATATCCACGACTACAGGATGTTGCAGTCAGAGTCAATTGTACTGACAAGTAGCTGACTGAGACAATAAATAAAAAAAATCTCGCAGAGGCCATCAATCGTAAAATATTCTCACACAATATAATTTTTTGTGGTTAGACTCCTTGGACTTTTATAATAGCTAATGTGCACACCTGTTGATCTTATCAGTTATTACACTAGATTTTTTTAAAATTTTGTAAGGCCATGACGTCTTTTATCATTTTGATAGTACCTTATTACGTGGCAAATTTGTCATAACAGCAACAACAGATAAACACGTATATGCAACATGATAGAAATATGTGGAACTATAAAAGTATTCATACTTTACATAAATTTATATATATATGTATACTTTAGTGTTTCAGAATAGAAATTGCAAAGCGAGCATATATTTTGAGTGTCAAATGTTTAAATTATCGTCAAAATAAATCTCATGAATAACTGAGTATTCATCGCACAGCATCTGTTTTTAATTATGATTTGTATTTAACTCTTGTAGAAATATAGCTTTCCTGTATTTTTCATCAGCAGAGCTATTTTTCTCTTAAAGTTAAAATCTCTAACAAATGAACATTTAATCAACACATGATTATGCAAACAATTTTGTCACGCAGTCTATATTATCAATACTATTATAGAATCTTTGTAGCTTGTTGTTCACAGTTGTAATCTTACAGATGAACATTTTCGACAAATGGAACTGAAGTAAAATAATCGCATTATGATATCCATTGAAAACAAATAGCTGGTTCAAGGTAATACTAGTTAAGATGTAGAAAATAGATAATGTTCATTTTCTATATCATTTCGCATACAATATACTATATCTTAAACTTGAAAACGATGAAAAAAAATACGACAATGTTGTTTTAGACAAAGTCTAAATCATTAGAATCTACAATATTAAACGTTCATTCAATTCATTTGAAAATATCGCATCTAATATCTCATCATCCACTTTGTTTTATCTAAATCTACCTAAAAAGAAATAGCATTCAATCATATTGATATACTGTTGGTCTAATGTGAAGTTGAGAAAGCGCCTAGAGCTTTTCTGTTTCGTTCAACAATTTGACTTCTGTACTTTTTTTTGTTTCATGAAACAAATTCTTTCAATGATCGTCATTAGCATTAGTATTCTATTTGATTCTAAACTTGTTCATGTACAGCCTATCCCTTTTCGGTATGTCAGTGATGAAATATTTACTTTATAGAATCGATTTTATGTACTCAATAGCTTTCGTATTGTTACTTGGAATGCTGGAAAAAGTGAACCGGATTGTGATGCATTTCGACATATTGCATTTCCATCAGTTTCTAATAATATAATAGTTGATCTCATAGTATTTGGGTATGAATACGAATCGTTCTTGAAAAAACAAAATATATATATATTAAAAAAAAGAAAGTGATCATCGATAGATTTCAAGAAGCAACTAAAACTGTTGTGGGATCCAACTCATTTCATAAAACATTGAAAAATTGTCTTCAAAATGAAAATTATACAGCAATTATTTCTGGTTATGTGGGATCTGCCATTCTAAAACCAATATGGCTTTATATATTCGCTTCAGATAGGATTGGGAAATCTCAACGTGTGAATCTTTTAAAGTTTAAAGAAGAGTATATATTGAAAGTATATAATGTATGTTGGTTTGCTGTCTGTCTTTTTTCCTCTTGAACTGAAGAAATGATAAAGAAAGCATTATTTTTAGGGAAACTTTTTAGGTAGAATCACTGGTAAACAGACATTTTACTAGTTTCATACTTATACGTACACATATTTGCATATCTAAAACTTGATAGGTTATAAAGGTATTATTGCAAGTTGCATTCAAATAGATAAATCAATTAATATGATCTTTGTTAATATGCATCTACCGGCAGGCAAAGGAGAGAAAGAAGAACGATGCAGATTATGGTATAAATTTCTTCAAGAATATCAATCAAATATTATCAAAAATGATTATTTATTTGCTTTTGGTGATCAAAATTGGCGTACATTAAATATTTTGAGTGTTGAAGCTATTCTAGAAGCAATCAAGAAAGAAGAGTACACAACAATATTTAATCATGACGAGGTTAAATACCATTATGTTTAATAACCGATGGTACTTGAGTCTTGAAAGAAAAAATTTCTCTCAATTCTCAGCTATTAAATGGCAACTAGCAAGAGTCAGAAGTAATTTGTTGACACCAGAGACGTGCACAGGACAAGCTTTTTTGTCCTGTCCTTACCTGTCCTGCTGGCTACTTTGGCCTTGGCGGGCGTCAGGGCAGGACAAAAATCGAAATCTCATCCTGCCCTCCAGGACAGGGCAGGACAGGACACCAGGACCGCCCTGTCCTGTGCACGTCTCTGGTTGACACCCACATTTGTCTCTGTTGTGCTATATATTTTTAGATTATCCCTCTGCATTAAGATAGACTATCTTTTATTCATACATTTTGTAAAGAACTTCACTATTGTTTACTTAAAAAGTATGAACTCGTCGGTGATGTCTCTACTCTTTGTCTTTGTACAAATGCAACGTATCGTTATAGTTGAGCATTGAATATTGCACTTGTACAAAATCAAACACTAGCATAACCTAATTATCATATACATGCTTTTTCTAAATAATTTATAGTTATGCAAAATAGTATCGTCACTAAAATTGCTATTTCGAAGCCTACTTTTCAGAATATATAGTTTTGAGCAATTTTGGTGCACAATTAGAAATTACACTTGATAGAGAAAAATTAGTTTCTTTTTAATTTAAGAAATGTCAATAAGAAAAGAAGTCTAATAAAATATTCCTTATTCGATGTGATTACTAGTTTTTAATGAATTACTTCTAATTCTAACCAGCTATCTTTAGATAGGTAGAAAATGACTAAATCTATACGCCAATGCTTTCGTTGCAAAGATTATGAACGAATTAACTTAATCTATGTTCTAGTTGACACAAATGCGTCAAAAAAACAGTACAGAATCTGACACACAGTGTTTGAAAGATTTCTTCGAAGCTCCTATTACATTTCCACCAACATACAAATATGTGCTCAATAGTGATGCATATCAAATAGAAAAGGATGAAGAGTAAAAACTCGAATTTCGATTTAATTGCTAATAAGTATGATCAAATCTAGAGTTCGTCGTCCAAGTTATACTGATCGCATTCTTATTTCAACATTTTCCAATGATCTTGAAATTATTCAATATTCATCAATCAACGATGTAAAACTTAGCGATCATCGGCCAGTTTTTGCAGATATGATACTACATCAACGATCAAAAAATAACGAGATGTCTAAAAATACTGTAATGAGTAATTATTAAATTTTGTTTGTATCTTCGTTTTCGTTGTTCTCTATTCTATTTTAGAGCACCGAAAAAATTCGTACAACGACTAATCATATCAAAACAATAGTGAAGCAACATATTTTGACATTCCTAATGACTATAGCGACAATGACATTTGTCTGCATACTTATTTTTCTTGTTATGTGTCAACTTATAATCAAATGTCAAACGCAAAAAACTGATATGCAACAGACTGCACAGATAAATATTGTTGGTACACCATCAAGTGTAGAAAGTTAATTTATACATAAAATAGTTAAAACTAGAGTTAATATACATATTGTTTTGTCTAAATTTATCTTCAATTGAGAAAAATATCATCAATCATCAGCTCGATAGATCGATGCATCGAGTCTATAAAACTGAACATTTATTTTCATTCACGCTTATACAGATTTGTATTTTAATTAGTCTTTAAATTTTCTCCGTGGTTTGTGTCCTTACTCTAACGAATTTTTTATCAAAACGAGTACATCTACCGAATCATTTATATATAGACCCTGACATTTAATGATATACAAATATGTTCATTATAAATAGAAAAAGGAAATTTTTTCGTGCTTATTGATGGTGATCAAGCTCAAATAATGAATTCGAAAATTGATACATTGTTCACCGATCTAATTCATCCTTGAGCGGCTATATGTATGTGACATTGATTTAAGTTTTTGCCTATCTACTAAGAGTTAACAAAAGGAATGCAAAGATTTATAAGAACTAATTATTTCGTTGCTAATTTTTTTAATATTTGTATATGCATTTAAAAAAGAACAATATAAAGACATCAAGTCTACATCAAATATATTGTTATTATTTTAATAAATATTATTCTAAAAAGAATGCATAGAATCTCTCTCTATCGATTAATAATTACCATTGAAATTATTATTATTCAATCAATAAATAATTCTATTAATGGTATTCATATTCAGATATATGATAATATCGCTGAAATATCTCAATCAATAACACCCTATGATTTACCTGTAACATTTTCTCAACAAGAATGGTATGATATTCGAGCAGATTCAATTCGACTTGTTGGCAATTGTGTTAATGTACGTGCTCAAATAATTTCATTCAATCGGACATCATTAAATGGTCAAAGACTAATGATTAAACGTGATATTCATAGTGATTTATATACAGACGGAATTATGATTGATGAAACACGAAATCTAGTGGAAGATTTAATTGATAATACATATTATACTATTACTAATGATCGCATACGATATTTATCTATTCCATCTGTTGGTAAATTTTCAGTTGATTTTGTCTTAGAAACATATACAAACGAACAACTCTATTTACGTTATTTACAAAATAAAATCAAGTGGAAAGTACGTTATGATCTTCTACTAGCCAGTAATAATACTGATTCAATTTTACAAGCATATGCTGAAATTCGAAATGATGGAAGTTCATCGTTGGTGGTTAATTCTGCCAAATTATTTAGCGGAGATATTAATATTCAATCAACATCGGGTAGTGTAGATTCTAACCCATACGGCGGAGGTGCATCTGATGCACCATTATTTCAATCGCAATCCAATGGCTATGCTAGTGCTCCGTCTTACCCAGCTGTGTCTGATGCCGAAGAGTTAGCTGGTTTGTACATATTTGCAATTAACGAAACATTTATTCTCGATACTCGATCGAGTTACACACTCCCAATGTTTCGTCCGATAATTGATATTGAGCGTTACGGTTCAATAGAAAAATATTTTCTACCAACTGATAACCGTGGTAACGTTCAACGTACGTATCGTCTTCGTGTAGAACAAACCTTTCTACCGCGAGGCCAAGTATTCATACGTGAATCAGATCAATTAGTAGGTGAAATCTATTGGCCTGATCTTGCTTCGAATGAAACCAATGAGTTTACTCTTGGTGAAGATCCGGACTTACGATATATCGAACGTGTTCAGGTGAATTCGCGTAGAAAATTGTATCAAACAAATAGTTCTCGTATAGTTCTATCAACGTATACCATTGATTTACATTTGATTAATAATAAGTCACGTGCAATGAATATCGAATATCGATTGAAATTTAGTTCACAGAACAATTTGAAATTAAGCGAAAATACAACAAATAATGTACTTCAACTTGATGGTCCATCGATTATTGGAACATTTGAATTAAATGCAAATGATGAACAACAATATAAATTTACTTTTGAAACTGAATGAACTTTTTGTTTTTCTTGTATAGTTGTTAAATCACTACACAAAAATAAAGAATGTCCCAGAAATTTGCTTACGAATTGTATATAAATGACGTCTAGACAGCGAAAGCAACTTGTATGTATATTCTCTTAATTTAGCATGGCATAGTTTTTGAAGTTTTGTTTTTTTGACATAATTTCAGATAGATGTCAGCATTTGTAAACATTAGAATAATAATATTTATGTTTATAATCAAATGTAAGTCACTTATTCTTGTGAACAAAATATTCAAGTGAAGTTAGACCAACAAATATCACGCTCAAGTTATAATAATTACTGATTTCGGTACTTCTACGCAATTAATCTAGTAGTAAAATGAATAGCAATATGAAAGAGTTTGTTAGAGTGGATTTATAGACATCGTTCTGAAAATTTATTGATAATTTATTGTATATAATTTTGTGCATGTTTCGCAGTAAATTTTGATACATATTGATAAAATCAAATAACGATGTTTACTTGTGTTGGATGAATTAATCAAGTAAATTGTCTAATCTAATTATTTGGCTTTTCTCTATATTTTGAATCCAACAAATAATTTTTCTCTTAATAATTCTTACCTCAACATATATTGATAAAATAAAGGTCTGCAGTATGAAAATCAATTAGATTAGACAATAGTTTTAAGAAACAAGTCAAAATATTACACGATTGATTGATTGATTGACAAAAACTTCCACCGCAATTGTAAAGGGCATTGTATAAATGAAAATGTCTTGAAACAAACTCACATGATTATAAATGTAAGACAATCTACTGAATAGTTGATGTCACGACATAAAAATAGAAACTAGATCTTAGGAAATTTTTGGCATCCACAATTAAACTTCAGACATTATCTGATCTTATTTGTTATCATTACGAGGGTTCACTTATCATTTGTTATCGAATATTTTATCAACTTATACACACTGATAAGAAGAAGAATATAACAGAAATAATTGTTTGAATATCAATTGTAAATAACCAAAATATTCATTATTATTTTAACATCAAAAATTACTATTGTAATATCAAAAAAATTAATTACAATTAAAATATAGTTCAGTAAGTTCAACAGTCATTTGATACTAAAACAGAGAAAAACAGGATCATTTTAATAAATGTAGTAACTTTAGACGCGACTCAAATCGTTCTATAATATTAATAGTCAATATATTTCTTTTTCAATATCAATTTCTTTGCAGATGATAAGTATTTATTTAGTATGAAAAGAAAATAGGAACTGATGAGAAAATTATCCAAGTTAAAGGGATATAAAGTAGCGTGATGGAGCACACGCTGAAACAGTTTGTTTAATGGCTGTAGAAGCTGAGCTCAATTTATTCAGTACTGCATCACATTTTTTTGACACTGTCAACATGAATAATGAATTGATTAATGTATATTTTCAAAAAAGCTATATTGAACCATTTAATGATTAATGAATTGAAAAGTTGCCGACACTCATTTTGTGTTCTAATCGGAATACCATCAGTCAAACTTGAGTATTACTATTTAACTGGAGTTTTCCTAATACACGGCAAGAAACACAAGACACATGTATTACTAAAGTTTCATAACTAAGCACGAATACATATTTTGTTGTTGCAATAGATATATTCATTAATTAAGTTTAACACAACTTCTTCCTAGATAAACATGTGCGTGTAGGTGTATATTTACGATGTACAGTGCACTAATAACTTTCTTTTACCCACACCCCACACTTCAGTACTCTCGCAAGTAATCAATACTATTCCTTGCTGATAGATAATCTTCTTTCTCTTTACATTGGTATATTGATTGCAGGTATGAATAATAAAGCATTTGTTTTTCAAGTATATGCATAGTTTTATGCATCTAAAGGTAAATAAATACGAATCATAGGAGTGGACATCAGTAAGTGTTATTTTCTCTCTACTAAATAGATTCAATGTATTTAGCGGTTTCAATATTCTACGATAATATTTGACAAAGAAAAATCTCATAGATAAACTTTTTTTTCCATATAAGACTAAGAAAATTAATTCGAGCCAAAATAATATTATCAGCATCCAACACATGTACCTGTCATTCTTTATATTGATCATATTGCTAGTATCGGCAGTTAATGGCCAACGATGTCAAGCGACGCTCAATCAAAATATTAGTGGCCAATGCCAATCAATTGATGCCTGTCGAGGAACTATATTGACCATTAACACATGCGAATAGAAGCGGTGTTGTATTGATGTTGCACCACAATCAACTTTAGTCAAATGTATTAGTGCTAATGATTTCGATTATTTGTACAACACATCTCGAAGGAACTATCTTCGCGCTAACCTAAATTATGGAATCAATGAAGCTGGTATATGCAATCATTGCCAGGCAAAAGCCGCTTTTCTGGCTGTAGCAGCAACGATGACAGAGAACTTTCAAACTGATGAAATCACCAAGAGTGACACACAATTTACTGTTGATGATTTGAAATATGGAAACTCACAAGCAGGTGATGGATCTCGCTTTCGTCGACGAGGCTTCTTTGGTCTTCGAGGAAGAGTAATGTATCAAAGACTACAAGAGACGATGCCACAATATTCAAGTCTAACCAATCCAGAGTTAGTAGCATTGACACAAAATGCGATTGCAATTGCATCAAAACGATGGATAAATCCTGATTTGATGAACGGTATGTATCAGCTAGGTCACTGGAAAGTTAAAAAGTTTTTTCAGTGCGATTAATTCCAAAAATCTAAGAGACAAATATCAAAGATAAAAAAGTTGTAAAAATTCAAAGACATGAATGTAATTGCATGTTTTCATCGACAATCAGAAAAAAAATATCATCAATAAAAGAGATTTTTTTTCTCTTCGTTTATCTATAAATTTCATTAACACTAACGTAGTCGAGATAGAAATTCTTCATTGCATCTGTGTCAACACGTTAAATTAAACGAAATTATATTTATCACTATGATTTGGCGTAATATGCGACTCCTTACGTGTGACATATATTTTTATTTATTTAAAAAAATAATAGAACCACCTTTAACACGTTATGCTGATGGTTCATTTTATGGATTTTCAATGTTATGGTAAATATTTAGTATCATTTCTTTTTACATTGTGAACCATGCTTGTCTTGTGTACATTTTCTAAGGTATAAATTGAATGGAGATATCGAGCAACTATCCATTGGTACGAAATACTATTCAATATTTCTTCGTCAACTACAATGTGGCGGTGATCTGTATTCTGGAGAAGGATCAAAATGTCAATATAATGCTACACATCAAGGAACATGTTCAGTAGGTTGTATTAAAGGCTTGGGAGATTCAAGCACCTATTGTGGCTGCACTGGTTCAGAGAGTAAACAATGTCCGAGCAGTCCAAAACACATTCTATGCTGTTTAGATACATGTTCACAAGACTTAAAAATGGATTTAGGTATTGTTCTCGATGCAAGTGGTAGTGTTGGTGAGAGTAATTATCAGCTCCAGCTAAATTTTACAAAAGATTTAATTCAACGTGTCAATGTTGGCTCAAATAAAACTCGCGTAGGAATTATTAATTATTCTACGGACATTCAGACGCTAACATGGTTGAATAAAGATTATAGTCTTGTAGATAAACTTCGATTGGTGAATCAAGCGGTATATTATGGACAAGGTACAAGAACTTCCCTTGCTCTTCAACAGGCCGATGAAGTTTTTTCCTATAAAAGTGGTCGTCGAAAATCAGAAGAAGGTGTGACACCTGTAATATTTGTAATTACTGATGGAGCAAGTGATAATGAAACTTTGACAATACAAGCAGCGAATGTTTTAAAACAGAAAGGTATCATTTTGGTGAGTGTCGGCGTTGGTAATGGACCGAAACTTAGCGAATTGCACGCTATATGTTCATTACCAATACATGAGAACTATTTTGTCATCTCGAATTACACTGCTCTTGAACAAAAGCTAAATCAGTTCACATCTAAATCATGTTCAGAGCCAACATTTCTTTCCTCGAATGCAACTGTAACGGCAGGCGTTAATAAAGACAAATATAAATTTCTCAAAATTGAAATTATTGCAATCGGTAACAAAATTTTGATAACTGCTATACTGGCCAAAGGTGATGTGAAATTATTTCATTCATTTACAAATCGTAATCCAAAGGATCCTGCTGATTTCATTGATTATGAAACTACACGTGATCTCCCTCTATCGCGATGGATGCAGTTCAAATCATATTTTCATCGATCGTCAACGACACCACTCACAACTAAAAAAGAATTACGAAGAATTGATTGTTGATAAACCGGATAAAAGTTCAGAATTTATCTATGTTGGTATCAAAGGTATTGAAGATGATAACCAATTTCAAGTTAAGTTTGATGATTGTGCTAAAGTAAATTGCAAAATTTCCAACGCTTCAACGATGAAACTGAATATTATGTTTGTGATTTTCTCTGGCTTACTTGTTCTCGAAACCACCGATCAAGAAAAGACTGTCTATTTTTGCTGTAGAATGTTTATTCTTGAATAAAATTTATTAAGAATCTAGGTTTGGTTTGTTATTTCTTGGTATATCTGTTCACATAAAACTTTACCTATTAGAATAGTAAATGATTCAGTTTATCCTATTAGATAATAGATAATTATATGATTGAGTGACTTTATACTTATGTCATTACAGAGACATAGCATGCTCTCGCTCTCTCTTTCTCTAGACACCTGTCATACAAAAAAGCGATTTCTGTTTAGTTGTCATTTAAGCAAATAGTATGACTTTGATTGAATATCGTAATTCAAAAATTGACTCAAAGAACATAGCAGATTTCTTCTTCTAACAAAAAACGCAATGCGTATGAACTATTCGATCAACTTTCTTTGGCAAACAAAATAAAGGCAGATATTTACTGTTTGATGAAGCAATTTTGCTGAGTTGATGATGTTTCAACTGTTGTGATTTCAATTCTGCATATGTACTGTGGGAAAACGAATAAAAAATGTATAGTAAGGAAATATTTGGAAAATATCGATTTCTGTTTTACCCTCAAAACTTAAAGTAACAACAACTACATAGCCTGTTAATAAATAAGCTTATTAGTTTGAGGTTTTTTCTAAGAATTCTTGTGGAAAGAAAAGCTTTTAGTAGTTTTTATTTTTCTATTTCCCTCGATGCTGATTCAACTACTTAGTTTTTCTCTGGTGTTGAAGTTTACTTTTCTCTCTCCAAACTTGCGTACGCTTCTATCGTACTGTGACAAAAAAAGTGTGTTGTCATAGATACTCTTCTTTTCTTTGTATACTGATTGAATGAAAGTACAATTTATGTTAGTGGCTAATATCTTTGAAGTGTTTGCAAGAGGCATCGCTATTACGCTGCACGCATGACGCTAAATAAACACTGTTTATATTCGCCATTTGCAACCAATAGTATGGAATTGTTGATAAAATAATGAAACTCTTATGATGGATGGAAAAGAACATAAGAACCATGAAACGTTCTCGCTCGTCTGGCTCGATCCAGACGTCAATAATTCTAAGGAAAATATCAATGTTCAACAACAACTTCATGCATGTATAAGTCATCTCGAAACATTTGACAAGGCTGATAAATGCGAACGATTTATTCGATTTGAACCCATCAATAGCAGAATTATTCTTGTAGCAAGTGAACGATTCAGTGCCGACCTAATACCACGAATTCACCAATTATCGCAGGTGTTCTCAATCTATATTTATGGTGTAGACAAGCGGAAAAGTAATGCATGGACAAATATCTATTCCAAAGTAAAACGACTATTATGTGTCTTTGAGGCGAAATAGTCTGGGATTAGATGTGGAGAAAACTGTCACTATTGTGAGATGCATCCAACTGTTATTTCTGACATTCAAATTGAATTTGTCAAAAAAGTCTTTTTTTTTGCCATAAATTAGATTAGAATTAATTTTAACAGTCGTTGAACTATTTCACCAAAATATGGAAAACAAATTTTCTTTCAATTTCAATGACTGATTAAAGACAAAGCAAAAGATAACAGTAAAACTCCATCACTATGATTCATTTTTATTTTTAAACGTGAAAAAGATCGTGCTATTTGTATATAGGTCAAGGCTGTACTCACAGATATCAACGTTCTTGTCAGTCAAATCTGTTCAGATCATGTTCGAAGAAGTCCGACCAAAAGTGAAGATCTATTTGAGTTCAACATCTTCAACACAAGTACTAGTGATGAACGATCAACTACTTTATTGAGCGGTCAATTTCTTCATTCACAATTACTCATTGATTGTTTACTTCGTATGCGAGCAGTTCCAACAGATAAGAATGAATTAATTGAAATGGCAGAAAAAGAATACAAACTCGACACAAACGAATCGGCTATTTTGCGCGAATTTCAAACGAACTATTCGCCTGACCAATCGATATGGTGGTATACACGTGAATCATTCTTGTATCGGCAATTGAACAAGGCTCTCCGTACACAAAATATCGATGCATTGCTTGCATTCCGTTTCTTTATCCGTGATATTCATGAACAACTCGAACATCATCGATGCTCATCACCAATTCATATCTATCGCGGTCAACTTATGTCAACTGCAGAGCTTGAAAGGCTGAAAAATTCTGCTGGTCAATTGATCTCGATGAATTCATTTCTTTCGACTACTACCGATCGCCTATCGGCTCTTGCATTTCTCTACTCTTCGGCCAAATCAGATGGGTTAGAACGTGTCTTATTTGAAATCGATGCCGATCCTCAACTTGCGGATGTTAAACCGTTTGCTAACATAACCTGCCTCAGTTACTTTCCAAGCGAAAGTGAAGTTTTGTTGATGCTAGGATCGATATTGCGTCTTGTCGGTATTGACCATGATGATCATGGAGTTTCAATTATTCGATCAACACTATGCAGCAATAGCGATCAAGATTTACAACGCGTCTTCGAATATATGAAAATTGAATACGGTGATCAAGAAACAAATGCGCAGTCATTTGGTATAGTACTAGGTCAAATGGGCAAACTCGACGAAGCAGAAAAATATTTTCGTCACTTACTAAAAGAAATGCCACCCAATCACGTAGATATTGCTGGTTGCTATCATAATCTGGGTGATATATTAGACAAAAAAGGCGATTACGAATCTAGTCTTGAATCTTATCAAAAATCACTTGAAATTATGCTTCAAACACGTCAACCGAATGATCCAGAAATTGGAACAAGTTTAAATAGTATTGCTGCTGTTCATGCAAAGACCGGCAATTACACTCAGGCAGAGAAATCTTTTAAGAAAGCATTTGAGATTTGGAAGCAAGCGTACGGTGAAGATAATCCTAAAGTAGCCATGTGTCTAAGCAATTTGGCTGGCACCTATCAAGTCAACGAAAAAAACATGGAAGCACTTGATTGTCTGCAAAAAGCATTGAGTATTCGTCAACATCATCTACCTGCCGATCATCCTGATATGGCCGATACACACAATAATATCGGCATTCTCTATTGGAGTCTTGATAAAGTTGATACTGCACTCGAACACTACAATCTATCCCTAAAAATTAAACAAAAATGTTTACCTGCTAATCATCCTGATATTGCTATGACATTGAGCAATATGAGTCTCATTTATGAACAGAAAGGAGAATTCAAGCAAGCATTGTCGCATCTGCAAAGTGCAGCCAACATTTATCGACAGACACTAAATCCCTCTCATCCTCATATGCTTCAAGTGGAGCGACTTGTGCAACGTGTATCCTCTAAACTGAAATACAGCTTCCGTGCTAATATTTATCTTGGTGTATTAATAAATAACTACTATTTAAAAACATTTAAAAAATTCATTTCAATCAGACTAATTATTTAATAACCAACTTAGTTAAAAATTTATTTATTGAAAATATATATTTTTGTAATATTTTATCATGACCGCAACATGACGTTATTCATTCATGCGTGGATATAGTTAGAACATTAGTAAAAAAAAACCACTAAACGTAACCTCTTAAATAAAAATATCGTCACCACCATGGAGTGTGTTTTTGTTTGTATACATAAATTCTATATTTGCTATAATCGTCAACAATCTGGCAAAGAACGTAAACTTTTCGATCACATATACTTGACCAAAACAACAGTTCTAGTAGTAACATACACGCTCAAGATTACCATAAAACTAACTGACTTTAGCACATTGTGTAAAATATAGTAATTTGTACATGAATTCAAATCAATGTAAGCAGGACGGATTCGTGTTAAATGTTACTTATCTTTATAATCGAGAAGATTCAACTTATAAATAGTTTACTATCAGTTAAAATCACATTTGCCAGTTTACTCAATATTGTATCACAGACTTGATCTTATTGCTATCTAGGCATAGAAGAAAATACTGTAATAAATCAATTCAAGCATGGCGTGTTTTGGTTAATGAGTATAATATCACATAATATTTATTTGTCCAATGTTTCGATATTTCGTAGCCAAAATGAAAATAAATGATAATTTAAGACAAAATTGCAAGAGCACAGTACACAAATGATGGCGTGACGTCTTTTTTCTATGTTCTAGTCGTGTGATAAAAATATTGATGCTAGCTTCGTAAAGGTAAATATAATTCATTTGAATGATGCATGTTTGAGTCAGTCGCTCGATGATCAAATCAACATCCAGCGCAATATACAGTATTCATGTATGCTTCTAAATGCAAGTATAAAATTATTATGATTACAGCTTTGATAATTCAACTAAGAGCACTAATGAATAAACAAATGAACCAAATATATATATAGCATGAATATATCAAATTATTGTAAACAATGAAACGCGTTGTCGTCGGCAGTCGCTAAGGACAATGAATGACGAATCTGCTTTATTCTATTTTGATGTCATTTGTAAAGCAGATCGATATATTTTCGTTGAATTTTGTATACCCAATCAAATTCGCGAATTGTTCTCTCACTATTCTCCTACAGAATAAGAGACCAAAGCCCAACAATAGTAGAGAAGGTGGCGAGTAAACCTGACAGAGCTATTGCCTCCGGTGACAATACTTTTTTATTAAGTAGTAGCTACTGCAACGATCATCAGAAATCATACTATTATCTAATTGTGCAAATCATAGATGAAAGAGAAAATCTTCAAGTAACTAGGATTATTCCATTAAAAGTATCTCAAATACATTTAGTAAACAGCAGTAACGCTCTTGGAACATAATTCAGAAATTATCAGAAGCAAACTTCTGCATTTCAATTATTCTATGTGTTCTTTGTTCATTTATCATTGTAAGACAAGCAAACATTGAGTAACGAGCTTAGTATGAGACAAAGGTCTGAATATGATTTTAATTTTTATAAATATAGGTTTGAGAATAAGAAGAATTCACAGATGAAACAAATATGAAGAAGAAATAATAAAAATATTCGATTGTTTAATCTCTCGTTGATTCATACGAATAATACGTTTCTCGCACTAGTCAAGAGAATTGAACGATTTCATAACAAAAGTATAAAAAAAAATAGATATTAATCGAGATGAGAGAACAAACTAAACGAAATCCACAAACTTTAGAGTTAATCAATGACTAGTAAAACAACTATCTGTGACTTGATCGTGATTGGACGAACAGAATTTTTACATATTAGAAAGAATTGCTTATCATCGATGGCAAGCGATGTTGTTCATTATTAAATGAATTTTCTTTTAGGGTACAGTTATAATCGATTGAAAGATCTTGATGGAGAGCAATGTGAGAAAAAGGAATCTCGATTGAGATAATTTTTGTTTTAGATAAGTAAGATTATTTATTTACAACTAACTTTGGTGGATAGGTGAACACAAATGGAAATGACACTACAGTCGAATGTTGTTCAACCATTGCTCACTGATCGTTATCAAATTTCAATGGCCTATGCTTATTGGAAAAATGGCAAACATGAACAGGAATCTACATTTGACCTTTTTTTTCGCAAGAATCGTAAGTGAATAAGAATGTTGTTTTAGTGTCGCACAAAAACCCATTTGAAAAATATATTCTTGTAGCTTTTGGTGGTGAGTATACATTATTTGCTGGTCTTGAAGAATGTTTAAAATTCGTTCAAAATTACAAATTTCAAAAGCCGGACATTGATTATCTCCACAAAATACTACCTAATTATACTGAAGAAGAATTTTACGATTATCTATCGACAATTGACATGACTGATATTAAAATCTATGCAGTACCTGAAGGTCAAATAGTGTATTCTTATTTTCTTTTTGTATTATTTTGACTTGCTATTCAGGTTCAGTAGTATTTCCTCAAATACCATTGCTTCGCGTCGAAGGATCTATTCTAAAAGCGCAATTACTTGAAACGACCCTTCTGACACTCATAAATTATGCTAGTTTAGTTGCTACCAATGCCGCTCGACTTCGTGAAGTAGCAGGACCCAATACGAGACTATATGAGTTTGGGCTACGACGTGCACAAGGTCCAGATGGAGGTCTGAGCGCTTCAAAATATTGCTATTTAGGTGGATTCCATGGTACATCAAATGTATTAGCCGGTAAATTGTATGGAATTCCGATTGAAGGTGAGCTTTTCATATTAGATATTTGTTGATTGTCGACTTATAAAATCAGGAAACCACATACATTCATATGTAAGCGCATTTCAAAATCTTGATGAATTGAAAATTCGAGTATTACCTGATCGGATCACTGGTGCATCATGCCCATTTGTCGAATCTTGTGAGAAATATCTTGATGAGCTTGGACCAATACTGAAAATTTCTCCAAACCAAACAAATAAAGGCGAACTAGCCGCATTTATTTCCTATGCTATTTCGTTTCCTTCTAACTTCTCAGCATTGGTCGATACGTACAATGTTATTCAGTCTGGTGTACCAAATTTTTTGGCTGTCGCTCTTTCATTACATGAATGTAATTATAAAGCTGTTGGTATTCGTTTGGACTCAGGTGATCTAGCCTATCTATCGATGAAAGTAAGAGCGAATTTGACTGAAATCGCTCGAAAATTCAATATACCATATATTGAACATATGACTATTGTTGCAAATAATAATATCAATGAAGATACACTGATTTCATTGGAAAAACAAGGACATTCAATTAATGCATTTGGTATTGGCAGACATTTGGTTACATGCGAAAAACAACCGGCACTCGGATGTGTCTATAAATTAGTCGAAGTGAGTCTCTATCAATCAAATAATAATAATAATAATAGTATGATTTAATATCTTTTTCATAATCTTCAACGCAGCTGAATGGGATACCACGTATCAAAGTAAGTCATGATATTGAAAAAATAACGATACCTGGCCGAAAAAGTCTCTACCGCTTGTACGATTCTGGTGGCGAAGCTATCTGTGATTTGATGACTAGATTTGACGAGCCAGCACCAACGGCCAATTCTCGACTACTTTGTCAACATCCGTTTTCTGAAACGAAACGTGCTTATGTTACTCCATCATCGGTAAAATGTATGCATAGATTGTATTGGGCCAATGGTAACATTCAACACCCACTGCAGACATGGGACGAGGTTCGTCTTTATGCTGAACAACAAATCAAAATGCTGCGTAAAGATCATCGACGAAACCTTAATCCGACACCTTACAAAGTGTCAGTTTCTAATAGTCTCTATTTGTTCTTACATGAACTTTGGCTGAGTAGTGTGCCTATTAGTGAATTTGCCTAGTAGCATAGCTAAAGAACAAATAAAACTGTAATACGATTAGTTCTACTGTTTATTTTTATTTATGTTTCATCTGGTATTCTGCGATGATCTAATAACTCTCTATTTCATTTTTAGTTAGTGTATGTTGTGTGACTCGCATATATTTCTATTTTGTTGTATTTGTTACGCATGAGTAAAACGCACACGAACTACTTTTATAGTAGCCAAGCATTGTTATTTACAATCGCTTCTTCAAACTCTTGTAATTGCCAATTTAAGCTACGCCTTGATTGTATTAAAAACGAATTAACTGCAGAAAAATTCGATAATCACAGTTCCCACACATGAAAAAAAACTTTTCTTATATTTTCAATGTTTTCGTTATATTCTAATGAAACCTAGTAGTGACTCAGTAGAGTATGATTATGCTTAATAAAAGTAAAAAGATGTCAACACATCCATACTGTATTCACTATTATATCTGTAAATAAGTGGTAAGCTACATAAAATTCTTATGTTGCAAAACCTCCTTGATGATTCTTCATATAAAATAAGTTGCATCATTCATCATATTGTTTTCAAGTTTGTTATGTTAATTTATCTAAAATAGATACATTTCACAGCGTTCTATAAGACACTTGTGAGTTTTTCTTTCACTTCAGTAATTTAATTGAAAGCTCTACTTATTGGATATCATTAGTTTTTTTCTTAATATCCTATGTGTTAAAATGGTTTTATTTGCATGAACCTAGATAGGTTTTTTGTTAGGATTTAATTTGTTGATTATATCATCATTTTGCATTTTTCTGAAATGAAAAATTCTCAATTAGAGTGTACATCAAGTGTATTAAAATCTGAGTTCGCAACTTCATATACTTTTTGTTAGAAAACAGTTCTTCGTTCTAAATGCTATCTTTATCGAAATTGATTCATTCGGAGTTGTTCAATAATATTTCTCATAAAAGTTTTTGTTGAATAAATAATTCTAAGTTTGAAGCGTAGACAAAAGATCCTATGAGTATTTGAACATAGAATGAACGAAGAATTGAAGATACGACGTAGTGTAAGAACAAGAAAAACGTTCATATACGACGGATTTTTAATTTTTCGATCTACGTATCATTCAACGAAAAAGTGCCTGACAATAAGAAACATAGACAGATTAAAACTTGAACAAAACGTTGAAATCTTCATGAGAGCTTAGACATTCAAAGAGTCATTATGATATTGACGTTAAAGATAGAACTTACATGAAGTAAATAAACTACTAATAATTTATTGACAAATTGAAAGATGGGTTTTTGTTTTTGGATAAAATTCAAGATTGAACGAGAGAAAAAAATCAATAATATAATAATATAATCTTTCTTGAGGTACACACTGCGAAATGCGTTCTGTTGACTTTCTCTCTACGCCAGGAATGGGTGTGCGTGTAGAGAACTCAATAAAAATATGCTATTTTTAAAGAATTTTTGTGTTTCTTTTAAGCTGTAATCCCATTTTATCGGAGAAAAACTTGTCACTACAATTTCATATGGTGTGAAATGTGAAAACTACATGCCTTCTTTGGCTTCATTACAAAAATACAAAATTCATCAACCGTAAAATAGCTGAAAGAAGATAAATCTTTTCACGGCAACAACGGACTGTCAACAAATATTCTTTCTACACTGATCATTCAAACAGCAGTATTCTTTTCTTTTGAGATCCCTCTATTTCCCATATATTTTTGTTGCCCATTACTGGTTACTTTTCACTTTTGCATTACATTCGTGTTAATTTGTATATTTCTATTATTATTATTATGGGCATCGAATTGAATGTGAAATAGGGCTATTGTAAACGTTCTATGTTTTATTCTAGCTGTTCATATCTACAATAAACGGGTAGCTTATAATAGAGAAGTTCAAAGAATGCCAGAAGAATTCTAATTTGAAGACGTGTAGTCATCAGTTTCTTTCACAATATAACTGAACAGCACAAAAGATCGTAACATCAAAGAGAAAAGTTTAATATTTCGGCATTATGTAAAATTGTAGATAGAAGTTTTGACACCCAGTAGAAAACTTCTCACTAACGTTGCCACTCTCGCTTTCTCGTTTGTTCTCTTTGCTGAGTCCATGCTTTCCAGGCAACCCTTCAATTTGACGTATTCCATTGTCAACATAAAATAGTATTGATGATGTGAACTGTATTGATTGGTGTCTATAGGTATTTGCTTCAAATTGACTTATATCAACAACTTTTCAAGAAGTTTATGTATGTAATGCAAAAAATAATGAATACGAACAAACTTTAGTCATTAGTATTAATTCTGTCAATGAAAAATGAAATAGTGTTACTGATACTATACGCCATTGGAAGAAAACACTCATTTTTATCAACAAACAAAATAGCCTACTTGGAGACTTTTGTTTGTGTAAGAAATATTCTATAAATATTTCTAGATCTATCATGAAGAAACATTGCGTATAAAAAATAGTATACCATAATAAAGTACATACGATCTTATAGAGATGCGCCATTAACTATCACTGTAAAACTAGAATTTTCAATGAATAGCAGGAGAGTCAGAAAAATATAGAGAAAGTAGTACCCACTAGCTAACCCGGTTACTTTATATTGGGCAGTAATTACGATAAAAACTTTATTCACACATCAGCCCTTGTAGAAAAAAACAATTCGATAAACACATGATAATCCAATATATAGTTCAAAGATTTTAATGGTTTCACATTTTGAAAGATTTTGATATCAAATACATTTAGTAATAATCATGCAAGTGATTCTAATATATTATTATTATTATTATTATTATTATTATTAGATGTGTCAAGTTCGAACAGAATATCTGAATGAAATTAATTAAACACAATATTGAATTTAAAAAAGAGTATAAATTACTATCGTTGATTGTGATAAAATGGTATCGTCCAATTCCTGAGCAATAATCATATTGTTTTAGAAGATTTAAACTATTGATTTCTACCAAATAATATTATGGCCAATAGTGTATTTCGATTGAAATCTATCATCTTTTCAATGTGGCGTAGTTTTCTTCTTGTCTTAATTGTATAGAGTCAAGTTCTCTGCTCAAAGTGTGGTGTCTATTCTCGTGATAGTAATGATAAAACTTTCTTATTTTTTATTAAAGTTAGTCTTTGTAGCTATTAGCACTTTTTTTTAGAGCCTAGTTGTCTAGTAAAAAATGATTGTCGAAACTTCTCTGGTTGTAATATTTAATTTTGACCGGATTTCAGTGATCTGAAATAGTTTTTAATTGAATCTATATTGCAATAACTAAACAATGTCAAAACCAATTTGTTATCTTTTGGTAACGAACTTTTGAATTATTTTATCAATGACAGTGACAATCGTTCAATCGTACTCTGTATGAAGAACCTAAATGTATATTTGTTGATAGAGAACAATCTGAATTGCTTCTAACTGAAAACAATGATCTTAATTATTGACCAAAAATAAACGAGTATTGTATGCGTAGACTGGCGGGTCATGATTTATCATAAAATTTTGATTGGTAGGGAATGAAAAATAAATATTGAATACAATATGTAAAATAATACTACTTTATAGAACATAAACATATCAGAGGCACTGTTTAATTGCCAGAAAAAAAGCAACCAAGTCTTTAAAATTCACAGATTTAATCGATTCGATCTCAAATTATTATTCTGTATCAAATAAATTCACAAGAAAAAACACTTTTTTTATACAAGTAACATGACCAAAATAATGTTTTTATTTACGATATTGTACAACTTTTCTTCCTTGCTGGCATCTGTCCTCGAGATAAGCTTTGTTGTTGTTTTTCTGCATTACTATTCAATTTGACTTTTTTTTCATCCAATTGATCAAACCATTGATCAACCGAACCCATTAAAATTTTGACAACATAATCACCGTATGAAAATGGAAAATGTTTACCTTGTACCGCTAAAACTTCTGCTCGTTCACTTCGATAATCATCCAGAACATCAACATTAGGAATCTTCTTATCGAATTTATTTAAATAACCGACTGATTGAAGATCATCTGTACAAGCAATGAATGTTATAAATATGCGATCGATAGATGGATGTCTTTCAGTACGTAGGACCTTTTCTAAACGGTCAGTATCATTTAGTCCCTTTTCATCCGTTGGTAAACCATCTGTGGCAATTAAGACTAATAATTTTCGATCATGAACACGTGCACGTTTTATATTAAGCACTTCAATGAGAACGCGGGTAATAGGCGTTGGACCATCGGGTGGTCTAGAAAATGTTCCATGCAATTCTGATGAATCAGTGACATGTAAAAGTGGTGAACGATTTAGGAAATAAATATCAACTCCGTCAGGATCTAATGCTGCAGCAAGATCAACAACAATTGATACCACATGTTTAAGTTCATCCCAACGTTTTGGTAATTGACTGAATGGTGAAATATTGGTTTGATCGCGATCAATAATTGGCGAACACATAGATGAACTATCATCAAGTATCAGAACTATTTCGAAACCTTCAAGAGCTCGGAGACGAAATGCAAAATCATAATTAATATTGTATTTGATAATAATATTTTTAAATTTTTCCAATCGTGCTTCAGTCGGAACCATTGGATAGGGATAATCCATGTTGAATAGTGAATATAATTAAAAATGCTTTTTTCTTGTCTTATTCTAATGAAGAAAAGTATTTTTCGAAGTAAAGAAAAATGAAGAAGTGACAAAACGAACGCAGCAAGAGAAAGTCGAGTTGTAAATATCTTATTGAAACAACGATTAGAACTCAATGAGATAATATACAATAACAAGTTAATCCTCAATCTTTTAGTCTTATTTCAAAGAATCACTGGATATGAAGGAAAAAACGATACTACTTCAATAATATATATATATATCACAAGCCTTTCTCTCTATTTTCTTTTGTAGTACACCATGATAGGTTGGATTATTGAAAAATGTCATTTAACAGTTACTTTCTTCGTAAGACTATATACCGCGTGACACATAGTGATTGGTGAATCAACTTTTTATCGATGGCCTCAACGTAGATAAATCTCATGATGTAGATCCTGGCGGACAAAAAAAGATTTTAATCTTATTAAAAAATAACAGTGAAACAAATCCATTGAATTATTTTGATGAATTCCTTATAACACATGAATTGTAACACTATTTTATAGTCAACTATCCGGTTATTTTTAGACATACGTAGATAGCACAGATTATTTAAAATATGTCTTGTCATCAACTATTTAACATGCGTCATAGCTGTACGTAATACTTATGACCCTTTGAGTTACGACGATGAATTTTCTTCCCAATTTAAGATACAATATTTCTTCATGTCGTTCCTATCCATTATAGCGATTGAAACAAAAACTTTAACCATATCAATCATAAAACATAAAGATCACTAACGGTCGTATTCATCATAGTTGAACTCTTCCAATTATTTTACACTCGATTATGTTTTTAACAGTGTTGATTATCAAAAAATCAAAAACAAAATGAGAAGATTCGAGACGAAGAATGAATCAAGTTTATAAAATGATTGATTTGAGTGACACTGGCATCATAATCGAATCTTTTCTTGAAAAAATGCGTGCACAAGCCAACCACATAATAACGATACTCAATGATAATCGATGGTTTTTATTAATTATCCTATCCAAAAGATTGTTTAAACTAAAATGAACATTTTGTTATTGAGTACTGTAATTTGAATTTATTTTGTGAAAATAATTCAATGGAACTTTTCATCGTAATTCTTCTAGAGATTTTGATCTGATATCTTTTAAAGTGATTGATGAAATATTTGATCTTGCCGTTATTTTAACTCATGTAATAAATAATTGATTAAAATCTAACATATAAACTACTATATTCTCTTTGATGATCTGATTATCCTTGGCGCAGTTGTCAATCGTTGTGCATATGAATCAAACTGTTTAACAAGTTGTCGATTTGTATAGCATAGATTTTTCTCAATTTTATTTTCATGTTTATCAGATATTGCCGACGTATGTGGATTGACAATTCTATCTGTTGATAAGCAATAAGGAAAAACAAATCTTGCATATTGGTTTGGTTCAAGTATTGTTTTTGTCAGATACTGTTTCGGATTGGTTGGTCGATGAATAAATAATAATGGAACATCATTTGTTGTAAGAGAACATATTTTACAAGAATGATATATGATTCTATTAATTGAAATTTCTGTTCGAATATGAGAATCTGTTAACCATTGTGCAATGTCATGTGCGATAAAAATATGAGGTTCAACATCAAATTTGAATAAGCCGTGGTGTCTAGAATAAATAGTAACTACTTCACCGCTATGCAATAAAGATCGTAGTTCTTTATTGAATATATATGAATTTAATATCAAAGTTTTTTCTGAAGAATCCAATGTTTGAATATTAGTACTGATTTGTTGAATATTTATGTTACTAAGATCAAGCGATTTATTGCATGATATGTTCATTAATCGAATAAAATATCCGAATGGATCAATGTCAAGAATACGTAAATACTGATACATTGATGTATCCATAAGAAAATAAATAATTTTCTTTGCCTATCAAAGTTGATTGTCATAGTGACATTTAACAAAAATCACAATTTTGTTCAGTTCATTTTCTGACAAGTTTTGATAGTCTTTTTTAGAATGCACAGGCCTACAAAAAAGACAATATCAACCGTTTCTTTTTTTTTCTATGTCATTTAACTTTGCTGAATACAGGTAACTATATAATGAAATATTCAAAAGAAGATGATATGAAAAAAATGATTTCTATTAGCTATGCTCTTCAAAACGATACAATACAAGATTTAAAGAAAGACAAATAATTTAAAAGCACATCATTGTTATTTTGAAAGCAAACAGCAATAATACTTAAATATGTATTTCCATAAAAACATTGATTAATCTGAATAAATAGTAAGCACACAAACAAAAAACAAATATAATGATCATAATAATACTAATATATATATATATATATATATATATATCACACTCTACTAAGTTATAGACTAAAGCGATTCGTCAAGAGTAGCTTTTTTCTGGAAATAACACAGTCGAGCAAATAACAAGAGGAGCAAAATTAGAATAACAATATCGAGTAGAATCAAATCGGAAAAATTTTCTCTTTATTTACATTTGATTATCAATTCGTTTTATCTCGTGATTCACCTAAAATATTCAATTAAGCAAAAACTTTCAATTCTTGTTTTCTTTCGAATGAACAAAAAACTAGACATACTTCTGGATCTACTTTTATCATGATTGCTTGTTTTCGATGAAGAACGAGATGAATGATGAGAACTGTCCTTGCTTTTACTACGTCGACGGTTCGATGATAAAGTACGACGTGATTCAAAATAAATTTCAACATAACGACTACCTAAAAAGTTCAAAAGAAATTGTCCAATTGTTTTTTGTCACTAGAAAAGAGTCGAATTTTTGATACCCATATATTTTCTATCACATTTTACAGCTTCATTGACTTGATCCATTGTATTGAAATAGATATGAGCATCACCATTTGGACGATTTGTACGACGATCATATAAAATTTTGATATGCACCGGTTGAATAGCTGATGGAAAGAACTAAAATAAGTTGTTCTTAATCTAATTAGTGAAATTTTTCAAATAGATTTTTACCTCTCGAATATCCTTTTCAACTACAGTAAAAGGCATACCACGCATTTTAACAAGATATTCTCCATTTTGGATTGATGTACGTGACGAATGGCGTACTGGACTTCGACTTCGTTTTCGACTTCGTCGTCGAGAACCATCGTGACGTTCTATTGAATAGAAAACAAATCAATTTTTTATTATCGATAGAAAAATAATCGTATGTGTATAATAGATTAATTGACTCATCAACTGCAATCCTTGAAAACGTAAAACATTCGTTGCTTTATACTACCTAACGATGCAATACGATAAAATGAAACTATTAATTTTACTTGTTCTATACCCTTTGTTATCGATTTATTCGAGACCAATTAATCATTCTTTTACTTACGTCGAGATCTTGATCGAGAAGTAATCGATTGTGAAGGAGGTTGCTTTGCCGGAAGACCACGATGAACTATTTCAAAGTATTTGTGTACAATAATCATAATTAAAAAAATTCATTTACTGCGACTCGTTGGCCGTGAATTTCGTGGGCTTCGATTAGTTCGATTTTGAGTATTGTTATTATTATCTTCATCGTCACTTTCACCTGCGAATCGTTTTCCATTTAAAACGGCATCATTTAAAATTGTTTTTTTCGCTTCGTCATATGTCGATGGAGATAATTGTATATACCTATAGAAAACAAAATCTAAGCTTAGTCGACACTTTCTTTTTTCAATTATAAAACTATCAAATACGAAATGCTAAAAATAGTTTTAAACATAAACTAAAATATATAACATGCAGGCACACATATTACAACATATATATATAAATAAATACATATGTATATGGATTTGTAGTCTCTACCTGACAGAAATCTGGGCAGCACCATTGATTATGACACCTCACCTCTGACCTGTCCCTCCTTAGATTTTTTTTTCATTTTATTTGTTTATTGCATGAAGCTGCTGGTTTTATTTCTCGAAAATCCATGCTTAGCCGAACCTGTGTTGAATATGTGCTTGATCATAGATATCCATTGCTTTATAGGCATTATCCATACTAATAAAAGCCACATATCCACCACCCAAAGCATTATCAGTCATATCTCGTGTTATATAAATACCATTTCGAGCTATTGGAATATCTACGAATATATATAATTATTTATTTTGCAATAAAACATCATCAACGTATATTTTTTATTTCTGATTGTAAATATACCTTTAAAAAAGTTTTGTACATCACCCATTGTACACGTATATGGAAGGCCATTCATACGAATAACAGGTTCACGCCATGAAATCATCCCTTTATGTTTTACAAAAAAATTGTATTCATAAACAGTTGCTTGCAAGACTAAACATGAAAGTAAATTGCAGGTAGAAGTACAAAAAAAGATGACCGATATTTCGATACTTTCAATGTATCTATTTCCCATAAGCTGATTTGATTTTTTCAAAGCATCTTTGACATCTGCTTCTAATTCGAGATCAACTAAGCATTCGTCCGATGAACTGCCACGATTGTTGAACAAATGAATAGTGTCAATACGGCATGCTATAAAAATCAAGTAATTAATTTAATTGTTTAAAATAATCAACTTACGATGTAGAAACTTTTTAATATCATCTTTAGTTGATGAATATGGAATCCCACGGAGTTTAATTAAATAGTCATGATTACGTGATGATTTACTACTAGTTCGATCATCTTGTCGATGCCGGTCTCGACTCATTATTTATGAATAAATATGCAAAGAGGTATGCGCGAAAAGCGCAGCAAATCTGCCAAATAAAAAATAAATCTGATTTATACAACTGAGTTGAAAATAAATTTAGCCTTGAGAATAGATTATGTCTTTGCCTATCAAGGCTTGTGAATTATATTCGATGACAAGAAAAGGAAAGAGGAAAGACAGAATAATATAGGAAAAAAGCAGTAAATAACTAAAATCAGCCTACACCGGTCATATTGCCATCGTGTATCTACCTACCACCTGCGTTCCTTGACCCCAATGATATACAAGTAATCCAATAGTAAAGGGGCGCTACCATCCATCAGCTAGCGACTCGATTCAAATGATATCAGTGTTCAAATAAATTGAACATATGGGCTTGTCTTTTTCATCCCTAGCATTGAAACACTATCACCTTAGATTGTATTGATCAGAAGAGTAATTATTCATGCTTCTTGAATTATTTTCTCAAGCGTGACCTAAGACTCATTTCTACAAATTCGAACTGTCACGTACAGTTCAGCATGCATTCTTGAGCTATGAATATGATACAATTTTGAATAGATTGCCATCATGGTCGAACCCATCGGTTTGTGTGCAAGCAAGGAGAGAGAGAGAGAGAGAATAACAACAACGAATAATAATTCAGTTTCTCCACCAATACGTCAAGTACATTGCTTGCAAAGAATAACGATAAATATTATTACATCCCTCAATCGTCGTCAGTAGACGATTTTATATTGATTTGACAGCCATAGCTAATTAATGATTATTTTTTTTGAGCGCACAATAAATAGTAGATCAATCTATCACATTATGATTTTGAAAATATGAAATTCATGAATTAAGTCGTATATAATGATCAGTTAATGTTTTCTCTATTTTTTATAATTATTATTGAATAATATTTAGCACTAAAGTCGAAGGGTATTTTGACAGATACACTTTGTCAACAAGAACAAATATTAACTGTGCGACATCACTTGCCTTGATACATAATTGTTGCCGAATCAAAATTTCACACAGATGGGTACAATTTAGTGATTTCTGTTTAACAAAATAAACAAAGTTCGTGCTTGCAGTCTACTTCTATGGAAAACGCACAGCCTTTAGTGAACATTTGCTGTGAATCTCCATATTTATAATGAGATCATAAATTTTCTAAAATACGAAGTGTAATTTTTGGCGACATAAAAACTGCAATTAAACTAGCTGGTATGAAGCTGTCAAGAAAATGCATGCTCTGAATATTATCAAAGACCATATGACTAAATCTTGAAAGATCTATAGCTACGTCAAGCAGACTCAGTCGAGTAAGTATCAACAGTTTTTACACAAGTTAATGTAGAAAACATTCCATGTCAAACATGCAGTAAAAAAAAGTTCGATTTCCTGTGTAACAAACCATTAGGAACGAAGTACTTTTCATTGTAGATATAATTCACAGGAGTGTCTACACGACTCGTTTAATCCTAATGGAAAAGCAAATTAACAATTAGAAATATTTCCTCGGCAGTTGATTCTTTCTAATTATACATTGAATTCGAAAAAGTTTTGTAATTTATTTTTGTTACAAAATTAATGTTCTAATTCTTACATTGAATCTTCATCTCAGTGAATCAGTATTCATTTTTATTACCAATATTTTTGAAGAGATATTTCATAAAACAAATCTACTTAAAAAAAGCTAAAAAAAAAAGAAAGTAATATTTACTGCGAGTTTATTTATCTTTAACTAGAAAATTTTCGGAAACATAATTGATCAGAAGTACAAATGAAGTAAATTAAATAACAAAAAAAAGTATCTCAGATAAATTTTGCGTCGTTTTGCTGATAGCTTTCAAGCAAAATACCGCGGTACAACAGAGAGACAATAACCGATTTTGTAGTTGAAAATTAAAATCTAGATTAAAAAGCTCTTCATAGAATGATAATTGTCAACTGAAAATTGTTTAACTATAGCGACAGTTCTTGATAAGTTTTTTGATAGATATCTGGTAAGGAATTAAAAAGTTCTTTGTTATATTTTTTGATGTGTTTTATTGCCTTCAAATGGCTTTGATTGATTTCTTGAATTATTGGTATCAATTGAAGCATATTCAAGAATATTTCCGGTTCATCTAAACGCAATCATTTGAAAAAATCATAATATGTTTCTAAACGTTCAACTTTACTTGGATGACTGTTACGTAAATGTCTGTACAAAACTTGCAGCAGTTTACTTTCGATCTGTCCAATCTGCTCTCTATTACATAAATCTAACCTTTCTAGAAACAAAGTATACTAATAGAATGATACAAAAAAACAGACTATTCTTCAAACCTGGATTCATCAGTAAAACTGCACTAAACAAAGCAATATCACTATCTCTCCATTGAATGTGACTTGCTTTCATTCCCAAATCAAATATTTCTAACATAAATACGCCTAATACTTTTATCTTTTCTATACAATCTCTGTTCATATAAGCTGTAAAATCTGGTGTTAGCATTACTTGACGTTTTACATTGAATAGTACAAACCAATTGGCAAGTATAGTTTCAAAGGCTCCTAATAAAACAAAATATAATCAACCTACATCAATTAAAAACAGAAAAAAATCTTCTGCCGAAAATTATAGCACCATCAGATTAACTGATATTGTTTGCTCATTATCTTACTCTCTCATGCGATTAGGAAAGAAAAATATCGATTATGATCCATGTAACTATCCGAACAGATATCTTCAATATTATCATGAAATTGCAGAAAACCATTTTTTCTTGAAATCCGTTAGTTAAAAAAAAGTAATCAACATCAAAATTTTATTATTTAGAAAGTCAAACATACAATAGAAGCTGTTTCTTGAAAAACGAACTCCATTGGAAAACAATTTCGAATGATAGTTTTCAATGTTCAAATATTCTGTGCATAGATTGACTGTGAAGAAACATTCGTTGTAAAAGTTCGCGTCATTTATTGATACGAACAACGACTTGATGAATACCGAAAGTGCTATAGTACAATCCTATATTATTTGACTGGTGAAAATCGAGCTATTTCAATAAACTATTTAATTCTACTGTTGAAGAAATCAAATTTCTAATTCTAATAAACTAGACTCAATATTTTCTTTCTAAAAAAACAATCTATCGAGTTTGTGAGCGAGCAAACAATTCCAATTTCTAAAATTTTCGCCAGATTTAAACTTTTTTTAAAAATTTTACCATATCGAAATAAACAAACTTGATCATTGTATGAAATCTGTTGAAAAAATGGATTTTGTTTAAATAAGTTTAAAATATTTTCAAGTCGACAATTCAATTGCCAATGGATCCATGCTGATTCTGGATCAGAATTAAAATTGTCAATCTATTTATACAAAAAAAATGAAGTTTCATATTATCATTAGCAGATAGTAGTTTGTTGTTATCATCTTACAATTATATCTGCACTGATTAGTGAATTTTTTCTAATTTGAACTTGAATTTTTTCAAATGTATATATAGAAAATTGCAGATGAGCATTAATAATAACGTTGGCTATATGATCAAACTCGTTGATTTCAATATTTGTCAAAAGCTTATCTTGATAAATTAACATTGTCGATAATTTTCTTAGAATTTCTTGATGAATTTCTGGTACGATTTTTATTTGATGCCGTTGAAGAAAACAATCTGAAAAATTTACCTTTGACGTTGTCGGCGCAACTGACTCGCTACTATTGATTGATGAAATTTGTTTAATGTTTTTATTGGACCATATTTTTTCTTTAAATATAGTTGAATCTTCATTCATAAATTTAATTTGTTGTTGGCATTGAATTTCTTGTTCAAATATTCTTGATAATGATAACGAATTTGCTACCGGTTCTTTAACATTTTCAATTATATTTATAGTATCAAACCGTGGCCGTTTAGGTCGTCGACCTAATCGTGATGCTTGACGACTCATACCAACATTAAAACATTTTTTTAATCGACAATATTGACAGGAATTACGACTAAATGATGTTATTTCACAGTCGCCCGTATTATTACAATAATGTGACATGCCTTGAGTTATACAACGACGAAAAAAGCCCTTTTAATTAGTTTTCAATAATACAGAAAACATTTCGGAATCTAAGAAGAAAAATAAATTTTACTTTGCAACCTTCACAAGAAATAACACCATAATGAAAGCCACTTGATTCATCACCGCATACTAAACATGGAATATGGGTAGTTGTTGTATGAGAAATTTTCTCGTGGCGAGCGTTTGATAATAGCTGTGTTGTTGTACTGTTATAATCAAAAACTTGTTGTTGCTCTATTTTATTCGGAAATAATGTTGATAATTGTTTAACATTTTGTTTCTGATTGATTTCAATCAAATTCGATGTGGCGTGTGATAAATAATGGTCGTTATGTGTAATCGTTTTTGGTGTGAGTTGATCATCTTCACGATTGTGACATATTGATGATGCAGTGGTAGTAGTACTACTACTACTACTTGTACCATTATTGTTACTATCATTATTATATACATTTTGAATATGAACAATTTTACTGATATCTATCGAACTTTGTTTTGATTTATATGAATGATCATAGGAATGAGTTGTTTCAATTATTGGATGTAGATTAAATTCATCATACATAGAATGTTGTTGTGAATACACTATACATGAGAGATGATATGATAGCATAACAAACAATCTATCGATTAAGTTTATATTCATAAAATATTGCTAACTTTAAAGTAAAACATTCCTTTCGAATAATCCTATTAGACTTATTTTGATCACTATTCTCATTGAATACTATCTGATAATATTCTAAAATTTGTGTAGATACTCTTGAAGTATGATTTCTCTACTTTCTTAAAACCTACCATTCTTATTAGTATCCGTCCAATAATCAAGCCACATATCATTCATCAATGTTATTTGTGTAGATATATGTTACCCGGCTACGTCGTATACCTTTTCTAATGATCAAACAATCTTGGGAGTTACCTCTATATTCATCTTTAGGTTATTTTATTTGTTCAGTTTACATCCTTCCTTCCCTCTTTTCTCATCTATCAGATATAGTACGATTGACCAACAGCATCATTTAATGCTTTTACTTTATGTCCTTGAAAGTGAGGTCAAGTAACGAACACGAGCTAAATCAATGTGAAACATGTACAGAATGAGTATAATCATTCAAATAAATGTAATACAGATAAATAAAGTATTTCTAGATTATGATAAATTTGCCCATAGCCATAGCATATCGTACTGCAATGAAAAATAAGATGATAAAAATTGACACAAAGATCACGCGACTTTGATGCTATATGAAATAAATAAATTTACTACTAATTCAGTACTTCGATAGATATCATTCCATGTATTGAAACTTGTTTTGAAAATTAGTTTATGAAAATATATTGTTCATAATTTGTAGAACTCATCAATCTATTGAAGAGTTTATTAGCAAAATAATCAAGTAATAATTGTCATTTGTTTTCTACGTTTTCCAAACATAAAAATCCATTAAATTCGATAGCTGATTAAAAATTTACTCGAATATTACACCGAAAAACTATGCATCTACTTGTAACAATTAAAATTTCTTGTCGCATGTCAACATGAAAATTGGTATAAAAATTTACTTCTTCATTTTGTTCATCGATGAAGAAAAACTTGTCTGATTTGTTTAACTATCAAAAAGAAATTCTTATATTATCTCTTAGAACTTAGGATTTCATCTTGAAACAATACTTTCAGATCGACAAACATATAACCACTGAATTGTTATGCATCCCATAAAAATCAAACAATGGAAACCGCGTAAAAATTTCTGTTTTCTTTGGACAATTATTATTGAATATTTAATTATTTGTATTTTTTACAAATGATTTGTGCTCGAAAATAGAAGCGTACAGAAGGACATATTGTTCGTTTTTACTATTGTCTATTAGTATATCCCTGGATTGTATACGATGTTATCGAAGAATAATCACATGTTTTCGGTTAGCATTTCTCTCTCTCTCTCTCTCCATCTATAAATATAGACAGATGAAAGTTGTATGCATGCAGTTATCTTGAACAACTATTTTCTTTTTCGATTTACATATATTGGTCATGCCTCGTGATAATAACGGTGAAATGGACATTACATAGTGTATTTTTTTATTTGAATTATTAATTTTGATTTTAGGTCATTTGTTTGATGATGTACATGCCGATATTCGATATGATACATCGCGTCGTCTACATGGTACAAATCCAACAATAACAACAGCTACCACAACAATAGCAGCAGCAGCAGCAGCAACAACAACTCGTATTATCGATGGTCATACATATGATTTAGTCGGTCGTTATTCAATGCCGAAAACGATTGGTTCAGGTGCATTTGGCCATGTTATATCAGCATGGGATAATTTATTACAACGTAAAGTTGCAATAAAAAAAATTCGTTTACCACCAATAAATACTGAAGAAGCCATGTTATTCTATTCTCGTTCATTACGTGAAATTTGTATATTACCACCACTTAAACATGATAATATTGTTCAAGTCTTAGATTGTTACACATCAGCTTTATGTGCTGAACAAATGTCAGAACTTTATTTAGTAACAAATTTAATGCGTCTTGATCTACATCAACTTATTAAAACAAATAAACAACGGCCTAGTGATATGCGTATCATTAGTGCTAGTCATATTACTCATTTTCTTTACCAAATATTTCGAGCACTTAAATTTATTCACTCAGCTAAAGTTAGTAAGTAATCGGTTATTCTATTTTATTTTTCAATAAATAAAGCGAATGAATTTTCTTAGTGCATCGAGATTTAAAACCAAGTAATATATTTGTTGATCTTGATGGACATCTACGGATTGGTGATTTTGGTTTGGCTCGTGTACCTGAAGATAATTGTGATACACCAATGACAAGCTATGGTTCGTTGTGGATATTATTTTTGTTTATAATAATTTGTTCTTTTTTAGTTTGTACTCGATGGTATCGTGCACCTGAATTAATGTTGTTAAATGGCATTTATACATCATCAATGGATATGTGGTCCGTTGGTTGCATTTTAGCTGAGCTTATTTATGGTCAACCACTTTATCCAGGACGACATCATTTAGATCAATTACGTTTAATTATCGAACATCGCTGTGGTTCATTAGGATTTTCTTATCATCAACAGAAAATATCGTATCCAACAATAACAGAAAAATCCTTAAATTTACTTCGTCGTACATTAGGGAAATGTTCAAATGAGTATCCAGTTGTGTTTTCACCATTAGATTCACATGTATTTGTTCCGGGTGTTGACAAGCATGCATTTGAATTATTAGAACAATTGCTTCGTATGGATCCATCAGAACGAATAACGGCTGATGATGGTTTACGTAGTTGTTTATTTGATAATTATCGTAAGGAAGCTAGTGGAGAACCATCATCTGAAGAAGCATTTCAACTTGATTTATCACCGTATAATCTTCAAGAAATTCGTTCAATGCTTTTTCAAAAAGCTCGTCTTATTCATCAACAAATGCAAGATAAAGCACTTTTTTTAAATGAAAAAAAATTGGCTATGGAAGAAATGGATTGTTGTTAAATTGAAAGTAAAACAAAAAGATAACACAATTATCTTCTTCTCTATGCATTGAGAAGGACGCTATTTTTTAGAAAAACAAAAATCAAGAAGAAGATGAAATTTTTTTTCTTCATTTAAAAAAAATATTTTACAAATCCAAACAGATCTCACCTGAAGAGAGTGTGTTTTGTAGATTTTTCCGTTCTCCGTTTCATTCGTTTTTTTTTGTTAATGCGGTTTATTTTACTTGGATTATTTTAGTAGCATAGATGTTTTACTTATATTTTATCATTTCCTTATTTAAGTTGTCACTGCAAGTTTTTTATTTCAAAAATATATCGTATTATTTTAAATAGACGACAATGACATTACCAAACTAATTTTTTTTTATTCCCAATATTATTTAGATAAAAGAAAAGAAAAGTATTTTGATCGAATATCATGAAGATTCATTGTAAATTAGTACGAAGCAGTTCATATTTATTTATTTATGATCGAGATTATCTAGACGAGACAAATGAAAACTTCTTAAAAAGAAGAAGGTCTTATTAGAGATGTTATCTTGATTTATAGATTGTACTCGTAAAAATAGCTATTGAACAATTTAGTTTACCATTGATATCTAATCAGAGTTTCAGTAGATGAGTTTGAGGATTTAAAAAGTACGGTTGCATCAGTCATTGCAAATCTTGCTTTTTGTGTAACATGCATGGTAAATGGATTTTAAGTCAACCTCCTGTAGTAATTTGAGCACATTATTCTTTAAAATGTGTCATATCTCTTGCAACAGATAAGACTTCTGCTCTTTTGAATAATATCATTGTACAAGTAAAACTGATGTTCTTCTTTCATTTTGAACTTCGTTTCATACGATCGGCATCACCAATCATCGTAGGATAGGTCTCTTTTTATCGAAAAGTTAAATTTCATGATAATTAGAAGGCATTATTTTAAGTGCATTTTGTTTTGAATTATACTAACTTAACATAGCACTTGAAAAATTCTAAACAATTTGCCCAGAAAATTGATTAGAACAATGTTAACTACGAATAAAAATACACAAACCCAACTTTCACACATATCTCGCTCGCACTATCAAACTTACCCACAACCATAACTTTGAAGTTCAATCTTTTGATAGAAGTTAAAGTAGAGAGAGAGAGAGAGACTTTAAATGAAATTAACAATAAAAAACAATGATGCAATTTTATTTTTATGTTTCAATGAAAAAGAATAAAGCTAACCCTACAAAAACACTGTAATGCATTAAATTGAATTAGTCATATTCACAAAAAGCAAAAACAAAAACAATCATTGAGACGTATCCGTGCCGAATAAACATGCAAAATATTAAATCTACGAAAAGAAATCACTGGCATCGATATATAATATTCAATAAATAATAATTCGATGTGATCGACCCCATTCAGTTACAAAGACAACGCCCTGACTTGAAACGGCTAAACCAATTGGACGATCGAATTCAACTTTTAACAGAGCAAGTTCATCATTAGATGAGTCTGAATTCTTATCACTAACAATCGCTGAAAGTTCTCCATTAGGTGTAAATAACTAAAAACAAAAAAAATGAACAAATCGAACATTTTTCTACAATAAAAATTTTATTGATTTTACTTGTAAACGATTATTTACCCAATCAGCGACCTACAAAAATAATTCAGATTCATTATTTTAGTGAATCTAAATAACAGTAAAGTTTTACCATAAAAAATCCTTCATCATCAATTGCAACTCCTCTTGGATATCGAAATTCTCCTGAATCGCCACTTCCTAATTTTCCAAATGTAAAAAGAAATTGTCCATTTAATGAAAACACTTGTATACGATGATTATTAAAATCTGACACAGCTAATATATTTTGTCGACAACAAATAAAATCCGGTGCGTCGAATTCACCTTTTTGAGTTCCTTTTCGTCCCCATTGACTAACTAGTGCTCCATCATTAAAACGTATAACAACAATTCGATTATTTCCACGATCACACACATATAAAAGATTATCGTCATCACAACAGATTCCAAAAGGAAAATGTAAATTTATTTCTGAATCATTTCCACCGATTGTACGCTGAACTTGAAAATTATTTATATCATATACAACTAATCGATGATTACCGGAATCGGACAATATTATCGACTGATTACTGGCATCTATACATACATCACGGGGATTATTTAGTTCTTCAAATCCACGTCCTTTTGTACCAACGGTCGAACGAATATGCGTACCATCGATTGTTAACATCTATGAATTAGAATATTTTCAATTCATAGAAAATATTTCATTTTAAACATTTAGAAATTTTATATATGCATCAGAATACAACTGTTGAGAAGTTAAGTAACCTCTGTTGCCTAACAAGATAGATGAAATTGTTGATGTCTGAAACAAGATCTGTTTTATGCAGAACTCCTTACGTAAATCATCAATCATGAGATGTATCAATAGTAACAGAAAAAGTTTCGTAAATATTTCATCTACTCTGTAAAAACAATTCGATCGTTGTTCGCACTTTTTCACTCATATATAAATAGATTACAGTAACCCTAAAACGATTTATCACCTTGCTATGATAAATTTACCAGAAAATCAAATGGTATATACCTTTATCGATATGGTAAGTTTCTATATAAATAAGTCTTGTATTATAGATATGATACGCCTATTGAGCGCAGTCAAACATTTCATACCTTCATAAAGAATCGAGTTTTGTTTTCGGTCTAAACTTTGAGAATGCTATAAAAATCATTCGATTTACCGATGCACAATATTACAAGTTGAAAAGTTTGTAAACCGGCAACACCTTGTAACTTGAGGTAAACTTAAAGTATGAGTGAGAATTGAATTCGTTCCTTGGTGAACAAACTCTTAACGACTACATAGATGCTCTTCTATTACGTGAAACTGTAAAAACGAGAGACGACTTCAAAATATATCTGATTATCAAAGACTGTTTTACAAAAATTGAACATTCTTCTTGTTACCTAAGGGAAACTATTCTTATCTGTAAGAAATAATTTAATACAGTGAAATTTCCATAAAATTCTATCAGTCTTAAATTAGAAACCTGTAATCGATGATTCCAACTGTCAACAACAATAAGATGTTCATTATTTCTTGTTATTGCCAAACCACTTGGACACCAGAATTCTAAAGGACCATTTCCCCATTGTCCAACTTGACGAACTCCTGATGGAGGTAATAATTGTTGTCGATTAGTATTATCATCGATTGTTGTTGGTAATGAAACATACTGATCTGATGAAAATGTTGGTGTGATTAGATTTAAATCACCAAGGTGATCTGGTCGACAACGAGTTGGTGTAAAAGAAATCTATTAATAGATTTAGAAACATTTAAAAAATAAACAAGAAAAATTGTCAAATTTACATCTTTTCGTTTATTTTTTAAACCAGTAACAACATTCTGTAGAGTTGTTAGATGCTTCGTTGCAATATTTTGAATTTCAATATATTTTTCATCAAGAATCGGTCCATTTCTAATAGAAACACAAAACATAGATATACACATATCAAGGAATAAGGAATAATATTTCTTATTTTAGTTTTTACTTTTCAATTTTTTGTTTTGATGATCGAACAAAATGATCAATTTCTTCTTTATTTTTTTCAAATTGTGTTAACACTTTTTTTGATGCGCTTAAAAATAAAAATTTATAATAAACCGTTTATTTCAGTATGCATGATTTACTCTAATTGTTGTGCAATCATTTGATTTAGATCATTTTTTAATTGTTTTTCTTGCTGCTTGACTAAATCAATGGATTCTTTTGCATATGTTGAGATTTGCTTTTTAATTGTATCACAATGCATAAGAAATGTCGTTACTTCCATATTGAGTGCATCTAAATATTTTAAAACGAGATTTCAATTCAAAATTGATAATTGAAACTAAATATAAACCTTTGCATAGATCACTAGATTTTGCTAGATCATCAAGAAGAACATCAGTTAGTGTTGCTAATTCTTCTCGATGTAATTGTTTACAATCAAGACATACAGCTTTATGGCAATGCAGACAATCAGAAAAAGCATGTTTCTTATTACAAACCTAAAAATTGATAAATTATATATATATTATCATGAATTAATAATTGCTTTCATGTGGATTCACTAATTATACTTAGATGAAACTCAAGTAAAAGTTTGCGAGATCAACAAGCTGAAATTAAAAATTATATGCGAATATTCTACGGTTTGAAGAGATTTATAGTATCAATCAGAACATGATTTAGAAACGATGAAACAGAAGGTCTTCAATACTTAGCTTGTGTGTACCCAAGTATATCGAATTTTCTATATATCGATATCGTGATCTTTTTTAAGTTTACTAAGAAATTCGGTTTCAGAATTTGAAATTGAAACTATACGGAATGGCATGCTTTAACTTAGGGCAGTGGTAGAAGCAAGTGTTTCAAATATTTTATATAAATCGGAAGATTCCATGTTCTTATGGCAACATCTGAAGAGATCTATCTCCGATAAGAGGTTGACGTTGAAATTAGAAGATAAATTTTCCTAATGAAAACTATAGCATCGACTTAAAAAATATCGTAAAAATGGATTATTTTCACATCAAGAAGCGAAACATCGAAATCCTACTCGCAAATGATGTCTTTATGCAAAGTGTTACTTTTAATCTGAAGAATTATAACTTTGAACAAGAAAAAGAATTGAATTAGTATTCTACGAAAAATACTCTCGTTCTCATGACATTTTTCAGTATATAGTATGTCGAATGAATGTAATCAATTGCATAGTGACAGACGAATAAGTCGTCCTGAACAATAAACTTAACTATAATCATACCTGACATTGTCGTGTAGAAACTAATTGTTCTGTTCTAATATCAAGTAATTGTTGATATGATAAATTTCGAGGAAATAAAGTCACACCTGTGACAGGTACATCATGTTGTTGTCGACACTGTGGACAAATAACAGTATCGCTACCTGCACATAGCTCATTTAGACATTTCGTACAATAAGTATGACCACATGGGATCAATCCTGAATCATCATCCAAAGGTCATACATGTAACTTATTCAATTCAATGGAAAAACTTACGAGGTTGATCAAATCGATCGAGACACAAGGGACCTCGAAAATAATTCAAAAAATATGAAAAAATTTATTCTACGAAAAAATATTTATCATACATTCAAGTAATGCTTCAAGATCTGTATAATTTACAACTCGGCGAAATTCTGGATTACTTGCCATAAATCGATTGAACTCAATCAAATTCTCGCCAACAGAACAAAGATGATGAACACGACTGATTCATTACCATTCTTCAATTGGCTCATTTTAACCAATGGAATGTTTTTCTTTATCAAACGAAGAATTTTCCATGGCGATGAATTCCTTCATGTTGTCACTGATCTTTTTGTTTTTCTGTTTCACTTCGATACAAACGAACAAGGAGGAGAATCTTACTTATTTTACAACAAAAAAAAACAGAAAAGAAAGATGAGTTCTGATTTTGAATTAGAAGAATTCAATGGACTTGGCACAACACTTGCACCACGCATTCCCAACGCTGAAAATCGAACTTTAGAAACTAAAGTAGGAAATATAAAAACAAAATGATTCATAAATATTTTCTTTTTCTATTTATCAATTTAATCATTGTATTAGATTGAAACAAAACAACGACGTTTTCAATCAACACAACATGATCTCGATGAGCATCTCACAAAAGTTCATATGCTTGAAGATCATCTGAAAAATGTTCAAGATGAATTGGGAACAACACAAGTAAAATTAGAGCTAAATCTTATTTAAATAGAACAGCACACTAGTAAGAAAATAAATTTGACTTTATATTTAGAAACTTTTTAATGCACGTAAACATGAAGTTGAAACTGAAGAACATATGAAAATGCTCAATGAACGGGAAATAGGCCGTCTTAAACAAGATATATTACGACTTGAAAATGAAATAACAAATATAAAAGATCGAAAAAGTACTTTAGCTGTAAGATAATATTTTGCACAAGAAAACAAAAACGAATCGAGATTATATTTTTTTTTAAATTTGATTTAATTTAGGATGAAGTTTTTCGTGCAAATCAATTGTTTGATGAAATGAAAGCACAAATGAAATGGGATCAGCAAGCATTAGAAGCATGGCTTGAAGAATCCGCACAAAAAGACGAAGATGTTATGGCATTAATGAAATATACTAGACAAGATGAAGCTAAAGTTAAAGTATGAAGAAAGGAAATTCGTAGCATTTGTTTTTCTAGGCATACAATTTTCTTTTGTACATTTAACTAGGAACTTATGTTTAAAATTGAACGGATGACAGACGAAGCAAATAAAAAGAAACGCTCTGTCGAAGGTGAAATCATGGATACAACTAGTCTTCAAGTAATAGATTTTGTTCATCGTTAAACAACTTACAGTTCTGTTCTTAAACATTAGGTTGAACTGGATAAAACAGCAAGTAATTTCCGGCATGCTCATCGTCATCGACAAGAACTTATCACACGATGGGAAGATATCATTGGACAAATGTAAGACTATCGCATATGTTTGCTTAAAATACAGAACGAGAACATTAAATAGGTTTTTTTAATCCATCAAAACTTGATTAATAGAAAGTCTGAAAATAGTACTGGAGATTTGAATTCATAGCTTTCTTTGTTCTTTTCTGAGTCTAGGATAAATCGTATAACTGAAGATTTAGAAATAAGCAAAGCTATTCTTGGCAAGACAGAGGTCTCTTGTGATTGATTTGTTTCACAGGGGAAGAAACGTAGTTGAAATCTCCTTCACAGTTTATGATAAAAGGAAGATCAAATATGTGCTCACATGTTTGACATTAAGATTCAAGTGAAATAGATTTATTTATATCTATCTAGATACGTATTCAAGAAAAAACACTTAATTATTAAAGACTAAACTGGATCGTAATGTAACGAAAAAATATCGATACTCATAAAGCATTTGTTTCTAGATTCATGTTGATAAAAAAAAAAGAAACTTTTCCTATGTTTAGAACTGAAAATTAATCTTTTCTAAAAGAAAGTTACTTTTCATCAGAAAGGTATAATTGAATGTAAGAATAGTTCAAGGCTTTGTTTTACGAGTGATATCTCTTTTGAGAATGTGAAAGTCTAACTAAAAATAGAACTTTTTACAAAAATCATTATTTTCAAACAGTAACCCTTCTTTGAAAAGCTCTCTAGTTAATCATACCATTTAATCTCATATTGTAGCAAAAGAGTAAGTATCAATTGCTAAGTTTTACATATTAATATTAGAAGAATAATGTTTACAGCTGATTAATATTTTTCTTTAGGCATCAACGAGATCGTGATATTGATTTATTGGCAGCTGTAAGTTTAATTTATTTTACTAATTAATAAAAAATCAAAATGATAATATTTGAAATAGCAATTAGTTAAAATAAAAGCTGAAGCGCGTTCTGTTGAAGAACAAATAATCGAAAAACGAGAATTTTATGATAATGAACAACGAAACAATAATGAACGTCAATTACAAATGTCTATGGCTGAACGGCAAGCAGGAAAATTACGAACGCAATATGAAGATGCTGAGAAAAATCGTTTGTTATATGAAAATGAAGTAAAAAAAACTAAATTCATTTTTTCTAAATTTATAAAATCCATATTTTTGTTTTGTTTTTAGTTATCCGGTTTACGGCGTGTTGTTAAACGAACAGAAAAAGATAAAGAAAATGCATATGCACTTCTAAGTCAAATGAAAAAACAATTAACTAGTCGTAAACAATATCTTGAAGATGTGATGACACGCAAAAATGATTTAATTGAGAAGAAACGTGAAATATTAGATACAAAATATACAGCTGAAGAAAAAGCTAATAAAATGGATAAACTATATTTGGATGAACAAGAACGTGAAATGAAATTGAATAGTGAATTAAAATTATTATCGGAACGCATGTATAAGATTACACAGGAGATATTTGATTATAAGACTAAAGAAAAAAATCTCGAAGCTGATATTAACGGTTCAGTTGTTACACTTAATAATTTACAAGCTAAAACAAACAGATTAGACCATGAAGCTTTAAAACAACAAGAAGTACTTTACCATCAGGTATGAATGTAAACATGTGAATGTTCTATTTCAACGAGTCTTGTTTTTCTCAGGATTTTGAAATTCAATCTCTCGAACGTCGAATAAATCGAATGCAGGGTGAAAAAAGTACCGAAGAACAGGCTATGCTTGAACGAAAAATTAGTGAATTACAAGTTGAATTACAGCGAAAACGTGATGATCATGCAATGTTAAATTCTCAAACAAAACAAATCGAAGAAGAAAAACGACGTTTAAATAAAAATCTTAAAGAAATCCGTGAAGATAAAGAAACTGAACAAAAAAAGATAGAAGAACTTGAATTACATGCTGATAATGCACAAAGATTGATTAAGAAATTGACTGATGACAAAGAGGTTTAATTTATAAAACTCATTTTTTTGTCTACAAAATAAAAATTCAACTTCTTTTTCTTCATTAGAATCTACTTGTTGAAGAACATTTAATGCGTATTGAATTAAAACGTCTTCGTGGTTTACTTAATTCAAAAGCTGATACTATTATGACACTTGAAACACGTCGATTACAACTTCAAACAGTAAATAATTTCAATAATTGATTTAGATATATTTATTTATGCATTAATCTAGGCTATAAAAGAACGTCGAAGTGAAATATCTATTCATCAGTCAACACTTCGTCAGCAATTACGTGATGAAGAAGGAAAAACAAATGAAATATCAGCACAATTACATGATCGAATTAATAAAATAGAAAAATTAAAGAAAAGGTTTTATTTGAAACTTCATTTTCTATCTAATTAACTATGGTTATTTAATTCTTTTAGATATGAAATCGTTAATATTGCAATGGCACCACCCGAAGGTGCTAGTGAAGAAGAATCATCTCAAACTTATTATGTGATAAAGGTAAAAACTAAGAGCAAATCTAACAGACTATCATATTAGGTTTGTGTTGGTATTAGGCTGCTCAAGAAAAAGAAGAACTACAACGTGAAGGCGATGAACTTGATGCAAAAAATCGTAAAGCCGAACAAGAATTATTAGCTCTACAAAATACTCTTCGTATCATAAACAGTGGAAATAATCAGACAAAACAATCATTCAAAAAATTACCGGAATCAAGTAAGGAAATTTTTGTTTTTTGTTATTTTAATGTGAACTTTTATTCAAATTTAGGTGATGAATTAAGTCGACTTGAAGAACTAGAAGAGCAATCACGTCATTTGATGGATAAAGTTCGAACGAAACGTAGAAAAGCTGAAGACATGAGAAATGATTTAAAAGTAATATTCGTTTTATCTGTATAGCAACTTCTATTTGATGAATATTCATTTATTAGAATGGTTCGAAAAGAAAAAATATCAGAAGATAAACTTTAACTGTTTTAGTGAAAGTCGACTAACGAGTAGTTTTTGGGTTAAAATAATCATAAAAATGATTTGCTTCTAGCACTACATTCATGTTTGCACATTAAATCGAACAGGAACTTTGATGATAGATTACTACGATACATGTGGAAGAGATTTTATACTATGAATAAGATCATGAATAGCATATACAAAGGTTTTCGTATCGATAAAGAATATTCTTGAACTTTGTGTATTTACATAAACTTTTAATATAATACGGTAGATATTTTCAATAAATCCTATCTTTAACTAGCACTATATTTTTCATCTAAGCATTGCTATTTTTATGGCTAATATTTATTGTCTACTAGAGATTCCTATGAACTACATTTAAAAAAAATAAAGACAAAGCGCAAACTTATTATTAGCTGATAGAAATAATGAAGGATTCTTTTTTCACATAAAGGATAAGTAAAAAAAAGCTACAGATTGTGAATTGACGTCGTTGCTTATCCGTTTCTACTTCTGAAAATAATTAAATTAACTTGGTATTGCTGATTATTTTTTAGCGTACTGAACGTGCCTTTGAAGAACTACTCAACGATCAAGGAGCCCTAGAAAATGTAAATCAAGAAAAACGACAACAAATAGGAAAATTAGAAAATGATGTCAAAGATATGGATGCAAAACTGGTTCGTGCTGATAAAAGTGTATGCAAGATAAAATCATTCATTGGTATAGAGAAAAATATTTTTAAATTAAATTTAGATATCTACAAATAAGAAAACTGCACGAACTGCTCGTAATCAACAGCAGCCATTAATTGAAGAACATGATTTTGAATTACGACTTTTAAAAGAATTTAATAAAAAACTTGATGTACTTATTGATCAAACTGTTTCGATTGATCCCGATGCTAAACATTGTTATAATATGCTGAAAGAACAAGTAAAATTTTACATAAAAAAAATACACATATCCATGTTGCAATAATTATTTTTTTCTAGTCCCATTTGGATAATCTATCCAGTATAGCAAGTACACCATCAAGTGTACGAAGCAGTTCAACACGCAGTTCAACCTCTCAGCCATCACGCACATCATCACGACAAGCTATTCCTGTTGCTTCAGTACAACTTGGTTTAGGTAATAAATCCAAGGTTTGATTTTTAAGCAAAAAAACTATTTTTTAATTAAATAGACGGATCACGACCACCAAGTCTAACTGGTCAACGACAACAAAGAGCTTCATCACGTGGTTCATCGACAGCTAGCTCATCGTCAACATCATCAGCTAGAAGAGTAGTGCACTAAATCATAAACTCCTTCTTTCTTTTTTAATATACATCAGTAACCTATGCTGCAACAGTCTTGATTCAAAGTATTCATTTACTTTTCGTTCCTTTAAAGATGAATGGTTAGAGTTGAGAACATTTAGTTAGAATGAGACGTTTTCAGCTGATTCAAATCTATATTTAGAATTTTCTTTTGGATATAAAACGGTTAACTAACGTTGACATGTTAGAAAAGGTTTAAAAGGGTATTTTTAGAATATGAAATTTGCTTCAGTTCTTACCTTTTTTTAGTATTTTAAACTTCGAAAGTTTTTGAAATCGACTTTATTCGAAAATACTGACTCCTCTTATACAAAATAAGTCATTATTAAATGAGTGAAATCTCAAATAATTGAATATCAATGCGCTACCATTAAACAATTAGTTCCTATACCTTCTGTTGTTTATCAAAAAGTTCCTTTTTTACTAATAAAAAACTGTAAAACTATTTCATGGAAGATAAAATAGAAAAGTAAATGACAAGTTTTCTCGCACAATTATTTCGTATTTTGAATTTAGTAGATTTCAATCAACATGCACTATCTAGGATCGTTTGATGTCAATTCTTAAAATTTGATTCGCCATATTCTAGAAAGAAATTCTGAATGTCTACACAGCAAGAGTAAATAATTGGAAGTATGCATAATTGGTTTTGGCTTTAATTAGTTTTCTTGAAGTGATCGAAATCTAAATGAATAGTTGGTACCAAGACTTTGACACTGTTGTTTATTATAATATACATTTATCTTTTTTAATATATAATTAGATGTTTTCGATTTGCTTTATAAAAAAAAAATATATACATATAGATGCAAATGTCACAGTTGACATGCGATAATTTCATTTGAGTATGAAATCTTCGAAAGTATTCAAACAAATCGTCTTTAGACAACATATTTCTATTTTAAAAATGAATTTTATACAACAAGAAGACATAGTATACATCTACAAGTGTTGTGACTGTTCTATTTATATTAATTATATGACCTGTAAGACTTGAAATCTATGAACATAACATAATTAGTTAATTTTTACATTTATTAAGTGAAAGTTTTCGACGTCATTTTTCTTCTATCTGAATCTTATTGGTTCTTGATTTCAATAATGAAACATACAAGGGTCGAACTTAAATTAAATATGATTTCCTACATGCGAATCTTTATTTGCTTTTTTGTTCGCATCACATCTTGATGAGTTCGAGGTGAAAGAGTCTGAAAAATCGAATAGAACTTCATGAATTTATTTTTTATGCGAATTATTAAATAGTTATTGTATTGTAATATGAATGACTAGAATGATAACATATTGATAGTTGTCCAAATCAATATTTTCCATATTCTCCCAGTGTCTATTGAAAGAATATTAATGAAATACAACTAACTATCAAATGTTCCGAGAATAAAATAAATGTGTGAGCAATACATACAATTTCAAAGGAGATAAAGCATGCGATGACTTTTAAATTGTCTAACAATTTTATCAATCTACATCAATGATATTCATTCAAAAATATTGAAATGTATTCACAAAACTAATTCTATCAGAAATTATTCATTCAGCAAACATACGGTTGATACACTATTTTCAGTAAAACATTTCATCATAAATATTATTCTCAACTGAATTGGACACTTCGCTAATTTGTGGCATATAATTAATATGCATCACGATTGAAAAGGAAAATTTCCTTTATGGTTGGAAATATTTCCATTTTAAAAAAATAATTTATGCATTTTTTTCCAATGATGTTGAGATATAAAATGAAAAAAAATCAGTCGATCTCGAAGTTTCCTGTTGGGAAGAGATGAATAAGCACTGTTTTTTCTAAATTTTTTATACTTAAATCTCAAATAAATGCTGCGTAGAACCCTCCAAAACACTCTTCAATAGTAATTTTCACATTTCATCAACGGCTCATAATGAATTTTAATTTAAAATAATATTTTATACGAGTCACCTATATTGATACCAGCACTGTTTCTCACCAGATTAACACGAGAACATTTACATGATTAATCTAGTAGTCGAATGTATTCGATGAATATTCTAAACAATTATGCTGACATAACACAAATGATTAATAGAAATTTTCAGCTCTATATTCACGAATAATCTTAGGCTCTGCTACCGCCTACCTGTAAACGATTGTAAAAGAAAGAACTTAAAGTATAAATAATGTATTTCATATCACAAGTGTGCTTTCATACATGAATCATATGAAAAATGAAAATCATCTCCTGCATATTGTGTATTTTGCTTTACGTGAGGTTCGCAAAAACATTGTTCCTATGGCAATGATTCATTTTTTCTTTCTTTTCTTCTGACTATTCATCGTGCCGTTATGATTCTTGATGTAACTTGCTTCGATAGTAGTTTTGTTCTCTCTTTCTCTCTCTCTCTCTCTCTCTCTATCTCTATCTCTATCTCTCTCTCTCTCGTTTTCTAGTAGTAGTAGTCGATGAAAATAGCTATATTATAAAAAGCAAGCAGAGAAACGTCTTATTACAGTCTCGTTTCGCATACACATTTCTATCAATCAGTAACTCAATCTAAACACTGAACATGTCACACGGAAGCCTTCAAGTTACAGTAGTTGAAGCTCGTAATCTTAAAGATCAAGATACTCTTGGTCAAAATGATGCATACGTTGAATTATACTTAGACAAAGATTATAAACAACGAACAACAACAATTAAAGATACAAATTCACCAAAATGGAATGAAACATTTACTTTGTAAGTTAAATTTCATATCTTATTTTTATGCATTTTTCATAATATTTTTTTGTTTTTGAACAGTAATTTACAAAAAGGTGATGATACCTTACATATACAAGTATATGATGATGATGCCGTCGGTAAAGATTCCATTGGCTCAGCAAAAGTTAGTTTAAAAAAGATTCAACAAGGTGGAGGACAATCAGAAGAATGGGTTAAATTACCTGCGCATCTTGGTCTTGGTTCTCACGGAGAAATACACCTTATTCTTCGACTTAGTTGAATATTTACAACAATTATCTAGTCGTCAATTAAACACACCATAACAACATAGACACAACATTCCATTTTTCTTTTTTCTCAATTATATTTGTATACTTCAAGGCTTTGATTTATAATTTATCAGTTAAAAAAATATTTGCTAGTATACAAAAGAAGTATAATAAAGAAATGCAGTTCTTTATTTTATTTTTTGGCTATTTATTATGTATTTATGGACTTCGTGACTTCTACGTGAAATAAATATATGAGAAAAGCTATGCAAGAAAGAATTAAAAGAAAAACGAACAAACAGAAAAGAGGAAAGAGATATGCTATTTGACAAGCAACCCAGAAGAAGAGCAACAAAGATGTACATTCGACTTAACCTATCAAACAGCAATGTGATACATAGATAAATACCATGTGAAATACAAAAGGTCTTCTTAGTAGAACAAAATAGTGTTACATAAGATGTTGTGTAAACTACAAACGGGATCAATTTTTAATCATGAACTTCGTTTAATGAAACGTCCTGGATCGATTGTTGAAGATCTAAATCCTCAATTGAACTATTGAATAAGTTGATTTGATAAATTTTAAGATGAACAATAAAATAAATATTCATGTTATATACATGTTGTGTCAGATGCTCAGATAAAACGAATCGAGAATTTTTACTTATTCTTGCTGATTTTGTTTTTTCGTATACAGGACGTGAACCAGTTGGTATTGTTAGCCAAATTATTCTGCTGGAAAATCAATCCATCTATTTGTTGTGATTGAGCGTACGACGGTGATTAAACTTGATAAATGTATTCCTTTCACCAGACTTTATGCTAAGAAATAGTTTCAATCAGCAGATTTTCTACCAGTAAATATTGATATTATTCTAATTTTATTATATTAATTAAATAATTATTCTCGAGTATTATTAATTGAATCTAGAAAAAAAAGAGCCGATGCGAAATTATTAATATAAAATATTTTTCTATTCAACCAACAGTTTTTAGTGATATTCATGATGATCATCGAATCACATGTGAAGAAGTACTTAATAATATATTGCTAGTTATTTGTTTATTATTCGCTTGAATTCTTTGAAAAAGTTTCTGCTACTACTGCAACAGAAGATTACGATTTAGATAAAGCTTTCGTTTTTAGCAATGAACTGAGAGCTGATATGGTTTGAGTTAATACTTAAGATATTCTCGATCTAATTACATCATTGTGAAATTTTACAGAAAGTAGTGTTTATCGAGAGAAAAAGGTGTACATTGGTTGAATCCATATATAGAAACCAAATTTGTAAGTTTCTTTAGAAATTAAAAAGAATAAGATCTCCTATAAAAAATGATTCGCTTTTTCCAAGTTGCAATAAAGATTTATGAACGACATTCATAAACATCAATATGATTAAAATATATAGAATAAATGCTGTTAATTATTATTGTCAAACATAGATGATTGATTTCGCTTTATATTTCTACAGTAAAAATGATATTCCTATTCATTAATAAACTCTATCAAAATCGTTCGTAGTTTTTGTATTCTCATAGACCTATCCATATTGGAAGATGGCGTCTCAAGAGTTGCCAATTTTTTTTCTTGTCACTAAATCTCGTTTTGCTACTATTCATGATATTGAATAGATTGAAGCAGAAACTAATATGAATTTAATGCTAACAACGATTATTAAATTATCGAACCGTTGCAATCGAGAAAATAGCATTTTCCAGCTGAAGTTGATCGGTAGAACCTTTTTTTCTAAATCGAAGATCTACGTTTAAATCAAAGATAAAAGACAAAGTAAAAAACTTTATTCATATAGATGCTAGTCGTCTATTTATGTTTTGTTTTTCGTATGTAACCATGTAAATAACTTGCTATTCGATGTCGTTTCAAGTTAAAAATAAACCAAATATATGACCCTCATAAATAGTATATAATACATCTTTACAATCGCTGTTTGGTAAATTATCCTGCCGTACATTCACATTTATAATCCAATACTGTAATAAACAAATAGATATAAAATCTTTAGTTCATGATGAATTGTATAGTTAATGTCTATAATATTCTAGTTCGTATTTTCAACTAGAGAGAGGAGCATAGTGTATCTCGGCATCCTCAATACTGGCTGAAAGATCAACGATTCAAGATGAGAATCGAAACATTTTTGAGAAAGACAACTAGCATTTTGAAGTAACGTGACGGAGTATGTTTTAGAATTTTCACTACAAGAAAAACAGGATTGTATAAGATCAAGGGACGGATCATCAGTTCTTACTGGATTTATCTCTATTCATGTAAGAATTTCAAATCGTTTTAGTGAATGGATATCCGTCGAATAGTCATCCGAAATATTTTTGCAAATTAAAAGCAAATCTCATTTCTTCATATTGACTGGTACAGAAAGTCTCTTTGTGAAATCAGTATAACCTATTTCATTTTGATTAAATATGCATCAGAATAAATCAATTCTTTTTTAAAGTGGTGTCGTTCTTGATTTTACTTGTCGACTATGATCATTGTATGACTGAACAAAATAGTTGATTTGAATGAAACTAGCTGGCGTGAAAACATTATCTCTGTTGGGTAATTTGTATTAATAAGGTTCGTATTGCAATATAGTGAAGTTATCAAGTTTCTAATATGTCTATTTTCGAGAGATTCAAAAATTTTTAATTTCAATCTGAGCCTTGCACTTATAAGAGAATTCAACTCGTTTGACTTTCATAGAAAAATTCAAAAGTTTGGAACAAAATCTATGAGAGATATAAATTTTTCAAAAGCTGCATGCCCTATCTATAAAAGGAAAAGATTTCTTTTTTGAAAATCTGATATATTGAAAAGAATTTATTTTATACTCTATTCGTACTCTCTGTATAGGATTTGTTTTGGATCAATATTCGACAAGATAAACTATTGAAAAACTTGAAGTCCTGTGGGGATCTATAGCTTTAGCGAATAGAAAAATGCGAAATTTGATAAACTGGTCAGATCTCAATAGTAACTGAAACGTTTTTCATTAGAGTTTTTATTAGTACACTAGATAGCAATTATAAGCAAAGAAATCATGGAGAATATGTCCTATAAAATAGTAAAATAATGGAATGACATCTTTTGAGATTTCGAAAATTTCACTGACTGACTGGAAATCCTGTTTCATTCATTCTTGCTTTCTGAACTTTTTATTGTTACTCGCTTATGTTATCATTATTAAACTTCATCTCGTATTACATTATGATCTAGAAAACTGTTTTCAATTTCTGTACCTAGATAAAAATTCTAATCATTTCTATAAATAAATCCTCAAAATAAATAAATATATCCCAAAATTTGATATCTCTTAATTTATTGTTATTTAAATATACAAAACGTCAAAGACTTTTTTCTCATTAACAAAACTTTCGAACATACTGATAAACATTGATCTAAATACTTCTTATGAAGATATCTATAATGAGAATGAACATACAGTGAACAGAACACCTTGAACAAATATCTTTCATACATAGAAGCTTAACAAAGACTAAAGATGCTATACATCATAATCTTCAATAACGAACAATAGATCATGATGAACATCAAAGTAGGAGGAGATCACGACATTTCACAACAAAACAAAAATGCTTAGGATACTTCACACCATACCATTTTAAAAATAGAAAAAATGCAATGAAGTACCCAACGCAATGATTGGTTAATCGATATTTAATTAAGGCATATATTTATATCGAAACAGCATTCTTTGTTATTTACGCATTCAAATATTTACTCGTAGTTATGATCGATGATATGAATAAAAATCTCATGCAACAATTGAACAAACGTCTGGAATTAATTATTGAACATAATAAATCTCTTAAATTTAATTTAAATTCAAGAAATAATCTTGTGAATAAAACTCTTACTGATCTTACGCAACGTTATAAAATACGTAATAATTATTATCGTAAAAAATTTCCATCATTACTCCATGATTTATCTATTTTAAAATCGAATGAAAAACATTTTCAATCGATTGAAAAACGATATTATCAGTCAATAAAATTTTATAAAAATATATCAAATATTCAATCATCGATTAATATTAAACAATACGATAAACAACTTCAACAATCAACTAAAACTTTGGATGATCTTAAAACGAATATCAGTCAATATGAAAATTCTATTGAACAATCAAAACAAGAATTCATTCAACAGAATGAACAAATAAAAGATTCTACAAATAAACTTTCGCAAATTCAATATGAACAAAATCGCATTCAATCAGATATACAACAATTAAAACAAAAGATTTTATTTGAAAAAAATCTATATTCACAAGAAAAAGAATTTTATTCAAACTTTAAAACAGCATCTCAACTTGAATCTAAAAAAATTTGCCTAGAAAAAAAACATAAAGATGTTGATCAATGCTACCAGCAACAACAAATCCTTAGTAAAGAAGAAATAACATTGAAAAATTTACTCAAAAATATCAAAGATGCAAATCAAAATAAACTGAGTCAATGTCATACAGAAAATAATCGTCTATCGAAAGAAATTTCTCAAACTAAATTTAATATTCAACAAAAAAGAACGGATTTATTACAATTACAACATCAATTATCTGATTATAAAACGAAATCCGAGACGAATAAAATTGTTATGAATCAATCAAAAATTCGAACTTTACTTGCACCACCACTACCACCACCACCATCAACAACAAAAACTATAACATCGAATAAGGAAGAAATCATCCATAAATCTGCTCCATTAATAAATAAACTTAAGACAGCTTTATTATATGCTGAACAACAACAACACCCATTACCAATTGAATCTACGAACAAATCTGAACAAAGTAAAGCAATAGATTACTTAGTTTTGACTTTTTAATATTCCGACAGTCATCGAAAAGTTTATTCAATCAATCAAAAACGTGCTACCTGTATAATAATATAAGATTAACGCAAACGAGAGAGAGAAATAGGAGACAGAGCGAAATAAAGTAAAGTCTCGATGTTGGCCTCTAATCCATGAAGACTAAAGACGCGTGTTCACCACGTAATTGTCCTTTGCGAGTTGTGAATGTCGAAACGCCTATTTCATCGCTCCCTACTTGTTTGTAAGCATTACTTAATCGTTTGCTTGTTCATGCTTTCGCTGTTATATTTCATAGAGAAAACCTTGTGTTCGTCCCTTTCGGATTATTCAATGTACTCATCAAATGAAAAAAAGTAAAAAGGAAACAAAGTAAAAAAAAAATGAGATGCATGAATGAATGAGAGATAAATCAAAGCGAACAAAAAAAGTAAAATACATATATGACAGAAGGCTAAGTCAATCGTTGATGCTTAGCGGAGATTATCTCCGCTTCTTATGTTAATTAGATGAATTAAAACAATTTTCTCGTGTAAATATGATCAATATTCAAACAACTCCATTAACTATATCATCTTCGTATTCTATCGACGTCCCAACGACTAACAGTGAACGTAAGTTTTTCTTTTCTATTAGTATTTGTCACACATACACGAAAGAAAAACGAGATAGAGAGAAAAGAAGAAAAAAAAATAAGATCATAAAATAAAATAGACCTGCATCACTATACTTATGGCACGTCTGTCTTACTACTACGTCATTATATATTCTTTTCTCTTTCACACACATGCGCACAGTGAAGTAGTGAATTATACAGCTGTTGCTTCTTGAATTTTATAATTTTATATTTTTTTCGTGAGAATTTTGTATAATACATCAATGATGCCTGCGACTGCAAAATTACATCGTTCAGGTATTTTTCCTAAAGAGATAATATAAGAAAATAAGAGATTATTTCTTTGGCTTTTCTTTTCTATTTCTTTGTTTTTGTTGTTGATTATATTATATATATTTAGAATCACTCGGACCAAATTTGCAATCTCGTCTTGAAGCACTTGAAGTCGCGATGGGTGTACGTCTCAATGTAGCTAAACGACAAGGACGCCATTCACTATCAAATAGTATATTCAATGAATTTTTATTAATAAATTTTGAATTGAAAATTTCTTCTAGCTGCAAGTTCTTCACCAATGCAACTTTCTCCTACTTCATCATCAACAACGACAATAAACGCAAGTTTATCTAATTCACTTTCAATATCAACTCGTCATAATATTCCACTACGTACTGGCCAAGGTGTACAACGATCGGCTTCATCATGTGATGCTGAAAATCGTCCCGGTCCTATAAAACGTCTTAAACCGTCGTGCCCTAACGAAAACTCATCAGTACTATCAACATCATCAACTGTTGCTGCTATTGCAACTATAAAAAAATATCCACCATCTGTTCGCCGGCCATTACCAATACCAAATATGACACCAACGCGTCCAAATCAATCTAAACAATCGACTCCAATTAAACAACGTTCATCACCAATGGATACATCATCACCACGTTTATCACGTTCATCAACAGCAAGTAGTAATAGTTCATCAAATAGTTCAAATTATCGAACGCCCATTGGTAGTATTTCACCCAAAATTCCTGCAAGTCCATTACCAAAACAATCATTAAACAGTTCAACTCCAAATAAATCAGTCGCGCTTTTACGTAAAAGAGCACTATCTACATTTGGTGAACAATTTTCTGATGATATAATTAAAATAAATTTACTATGGATTGATTTGAAAGAACTCGACGATGACAGCCGTTCGGAAGTTATTTTACAATTTGGTTCAATAGAAAATTTTCTTCGTGAACAAAATTTATTCTTTACAACACAACAACAATTAAAACTCGCATCGAAAAACAAGACGATAATTAATCGATCACGTTTGCATTTATCTATTATGAAGAAGGATCGACTAGAATTACTATAAAAATAAACATGTAGATACTTTTTTTAAATTTAAATCTACAGTCTTTTTCTTTTTCTTTTTCTTTTTCTTCTTCTTCTTCTCTTTTTCTCTTATCCGGTGATCTATTCTTTTTTATTTTTATTTCGTCTTATTACGGTTAAATACATGAGTGTTTTCCTTTTTTTAATTGCTGTTTGCGTGTTTATACAAGAAAAAAAATCGATTTCTTTTCCTTAATCTAATTGCATACATGTTAACTAAACATATCCTAATAATTGAAATTAATCATTTTTTTCTTCTTTTTATCTTATTGTGAATAAAATCGTTGTCGTCAATTTGTCAAAAAATGAAATTAAATATTTATACAGATTTTAATCGTACTAGAACTATCTTAGTAATGAAAGAGGAACACACATACGTGCGGAAACCGTTAGAAAATATTTCATCTTTTTTATCTTTCTTATTTATATATATATATATACTAGGGCCTTTATATTAGACATTTTTTTTCTTCGATAATAAAATGTAATGACACTATGAAACTTTGTCTTGATTGAAAAAGCATAGACTGAAATTAATCTATTATTGCCAATCATGTTCATATACACTTTAAATGAGTTCATACATAATTTATACTTATTCATATTTCATATGTAACCTTCAATTAAAAGTGGGTAAAACTGGTACGATAACAACTATACATTAGAATAAATAATTTTCATTAGGTCTATCAGTATAACATCAAGGTTAAAGACTCGTAGGGGTTTGATCAAGCTTTTTAACGAAGAACATTTTTATCACCATGACGATGATAGAAGGTCATTGATTTATATCAAACTATAATCGTATTGCCAATGCCATATTATTACTATTGTTTACATACTTGTCAACATACGATTCGCAATATGATACAAGGTAGCATTCATTATTCAAAGTAACGAAGATTTATCGATAAAGATTATTATACAGAAAAATACTTATGAAAAATTTATTTTAATTGCAACTGACAACAATAACGATCTACCATTTGGCTTTAGCAGTATAAGCAGAATACTTTTCGATAGACAAGTTAGCACTAATTTCAATAAATCAAATATCTAACAAAAACTAATTAGCTATCCGTATCATATTTCTATCAAAACAAACATACAATGACCATCATTGTTGTTGTTGATTTTTGTCAGAGAAAATAAAGTTTCCTTGTGTTTCGAGATCATGAAAATGAAGAAGACAAGATTGATTGAAAGATTTGTATTAAATTTATACGTGTACGCCATCACTCGAATCAGATAAATAATGCAGAAAATTAAAGAATATTTTATTGAAAATAATAATTGTAAAAAAAGAAAACAAAAGTTCATCTCTTCTATAGAATACAATGGGTTGCACATCTTATATTATTATTGTTATTATTAAATAATTCTGTTTGCATTAATGTATTCAATAATTTTTTTTGATCAAAATTTTTAGAATGACAATTCGTACATAAGACATTTTGCTTAAGTGAATTTATCTCATACCATGTATAGGTAGTTAAAGTTGTCTAATGCAATAAAATAATTGTGTTTTCTTATAATCATATTAATAAATGCGATGCTCATTCAACAGTGAAGAGATTCAAATTTAGACGCTCTACGTATTTATTTCATTTAGTTATACTGATGAGATTAAATGAAAAAAAAAAAGATTACAGACTCCTCAAAGAGTTACACTTTTAATAACTATCGTCAAATGTAAATTTCTATTTGTATTCTAACTGAATCTTTCATCTGTTATAATATAGATGTTCAAGTAAATATTAAAAAAACTACTGCAAGATGCTTTCATCTTCGAATGAGAGTTTAATCCGAAGATGTTTTTTATTAAATGTTCAATGAAGCAATAACATGTTGATTAGTTCTATCAATAAACATCGAAATGATTAATCAAAATTATTCATCACAATAAAATAATCTGATTAGAAAAGAGATTCATGCTGTTGCTTATACCAACTGACGGATGATGTTAGTTTTTCGTCGATATATAAATATATTTGTTTATTTTTGTGATCATCTTCTATGAGTAAAGAAAAGTAAACATCATCTCTCACTAAAACTGCCATTTTCCAGATGATGATAGTCATTAAAGAGAAGGAAAAGAAATTCATTATTCCTATCACTGTTATTTCTCATCATTAAAAACAATATTACTTCTCAGACCAAACAACATCCGTAGACATTTACCAATCATTGAACTCGATACAAGGATTCATTTCCTTTCGATAGATACGTTTCACTTTCTATTCATAAGTATTATCTATTTGTAAGGACGCCTCCGGAAACTATAATTCTTTATATTATACATTTCGAACAAACATATTCGACTATGTATTTTATGTTTCATATATCTTCTCTTATGAATAAATGTGGTCAACTTTTGACAAGAGTACATAGTGATGGCCACTGTATTCTCGCTATCTTATATTTATGAACGATGAACTGAATAGAGCAGTATGAAAAGAGCGGAAACAAAAATGGACGCAGCGGCCATTTGTTGAACGTCATCTTGTTCTTTTTCTTGATTCTTTTTCTTGCTCTCGCTCTTTCTCTCCCTCTCTGTCTGTCTGTCCCGTCTTATCTTATTATATTTGTCAGAACGAAAGAACAGGAGTCGTAGCAGTAGTACAATTAGAATAGGAATCGTTAAGAAAAAAAAGAAGAAAGAACCAGACAACATTTTCTTTCCATCTTCATCTTATAAATTGTCATGAATAGAAACTAGGAATTGTCTCGAAACAAATCTTCTTAATTCGTATCTTGACAGAAAAAGCCTTTTTCTCAAGCTCTTCATATTATTATTTGTTCTATTCATAGTATTAGAGAAGAAATCATTTGTCAAATATTTCTACTTGATCTTTTCTATTTTTTTTTTTGTAGATTTTCATTCATTCATTCCTTGACGATTGATAATGACAACACTAGCACGCCGATTATTAGGAAAAAGTAAGTGAAACCATAAAATCTATTTTAATCAAGATAGATTCGTCTTGTTCAACGTTGTAATTCATTCATTCCTGTATTTTCTATGTGCGATTAGTTTTCTTTTAAATTCGAATAAGAGAATGGGTGAAAGAATGTAATTCATCCTGCTGAGCTGTGAACATATGCACCTACATGTGCTTAATAGATCATTTTAATTTTTAATAACATGTGAACATGCACAAATGTATTCGTCTAGGTCAGGTAAATCGGATGGTTAGGCTGTTTCGCTTTCAACTAGAATTCTAAATAATATCTCACAAGATTTTCACAATACAATTATTACCAGAAAATTTCCTATATCATTATATTGGCACTTTGTTTTCAAGTAATAATCATTATAATAATGATTCAATAACATGCTTGATGCAAAAACATTTTGTCTCTCAATGAAATATGAAACCAATAATACTGAAGTATTATTAATGTTGATATTTTTTCCTGAACAAATGAGTATCTGCAAATACAGATATGCACGCGTAATCTAACAACATCAATGCGTACAATGTATACATAATTATATATACTTGCATTCTTCTTTCACGCAATATCGAAACGACAGAAATTAGACCTTCAATTGACATATACATACACTTTCTCTTTTACTGACTCGATCCATCTATCCATGCTAATGTCTGACGTAACAGCTATCCTTTTCTTTCTCACCAGCCTACTTATTCATTTCTATGACTTACTTCTTACAACTGTTACTGATGATGATGATGATGACGATGCTGATTGTTATGACACGTATTTGCCATTCGGCAAGTACCTGATGGTATAGAAAAAAAAATAGAAGTTAATGCATTCATTCTATCATCAGTTATAAATACTCCCGTACAAATGAATTGTATATATATATATATATATATATATATATATATATATGTCATAGAAAAGTTTTCTTATCTCCGTTAGTGAATTGATGTATGGTCTTGATTATTTCGAGGTCATAGACAAACCAGACAATAGTGACAAAGACAAGCATAATCAATGTATGTGTTTATTGTAAAGAGATGCCAATAGCTATTAGATATTTTTCATCTATTATTTATAATAGGTGGTCAGGTGCTGCTATATGATCTCGTTCTTGTTCGGTTAACTTTTGTTTAGGCGAATTGTCGGAATTTTTCTGAAGTTTTACTAATTAGAAAAAGAACGCAATTATGTTGAGTATTCAAATAAATACATTGTTCCTGTAGGCAATTTTGCTATCACGATTAGAATTTTCATTATTCTTCTTTTATATACAAAGGAAATCAATCTCAGAGCGAAAGAGAGAAAAAAACTGAAAAAAAAGTTCAAATATTTTTCTGTTTCTCTCATTATTCCTGCTGTTTCTCTTGATGATAATCATTATTCGATTGACCTCTTTATAAAGACCATTGTATTGTATGATTACTCATTGATAAATTTTTTCGATGAATCCAGTCAACCATCTGATTACAAAAAAACAATAAATATTCATTCAGTCTATTTAGTTTTCAAATATTTTATTTTCAAGCAAATATGAATATCAAAAGAAAACAATTTTTCATACACTTAACAGGTATGAGTAAATAACAATTCTTGTGTACTTGAGAAGAAGAAAAAGAAAAACAGAATCTCTAGAGATTTCTTGTACTTTGGAGGACAGAACCATATGTACATCAACTATTTTTATACATAGATTCATTCAAATATAATTGCATTATGATAAAAGAGAAGAATAATGTACGTATGTCTCGCCGATTATATATATACACATATACAATATACATATATACTTGATTAGCGACTCATTTATGGCAATGATATATATAATATATCTCAATGTGTATACGTATATATACATATAGACGGCGACACAACTGGCAATTATTTCGAAGAGGATTGTATGATTATTTTTCTCACACCTTTTGCTGTAGATAATTCTTCTCTATTGATTGAACGATGTCATAGCAGCTGCTTTCTTTCTCGTTCGTTGTTCGCCGTATTTTTTTCGCCGCGTTTTTTCTCTGCTTCTTCTTCTTCTCCTCCTCCTCCTCCTCTCTTAATGGATGAATGTTCAAGGTAATATGTGCATTCGTGTACAACATATAAACGTTTGACACGGTATTCATTTATGTGTACATGACCAGTTAGTTGACGTTTGTATGAATTGATGTAATTGTAACGAGGAGAAAAAATCCAAAGAGAAATTATTGACGACGCGTGACAATAAAACCCGTATGACACACTGATTCATTTTTATTTATTACAGCATTGATTTTGTAAGAATTAGACCTATCATCATGTTATTAAGACGTTTCTTTGAACGAGCGCGTATTCGTTGTTCCATTTGTACAAGTAAACGTGAGAATTATTGTCATCTGAAGACAATTTTTTTTCTCAGAAATCTAATCCATTTCTACTTTTTTTTCTCTATTTGCATATTTAGAAGCATGTTTGTGTACAACAGCTAGACGAGATTCATTATACGATGATCCCGATGTATCCTTTACAAGAAAAAATGAACGACAATCAGCTGAGCAATATGGCTTCGCACGTAAAGGTAAACTTTAATAGCTATTGCATTCATAGAAGTGATCGAAGAAAGCAAACGAGGAAATGAATATTGAAGGTGAAAGATTTTGAAGACCATATTAGACTAATTGTGACTGTTATGATTAAAAACTTTTCCCCGTTAGTTAATCTTCTTCATGCCCTTGTATTTATCATGCCATTGCCCATCTGTTTATTCCTGTAATTAATCCAATGAATAATTTTTTACATTGACATTTATGATTATTTAGATAAACCAGCACGATTATTGATGCGTCGAACAAGTATTGATGAAACAGATAAGGACGATACTGGCACGAGTATCATGGATAAATTACGTCGTGCATCAGCGCAAACACCAGCAAATATTCCGATGCTAGTGATTGTTTCATTTAACCCAGATGAAAAAGGTCTACAAAAGAAACAAATTGAAATTCAACGAGGTTTTTAATCGATTCGTTCTTTCTTCTGGAAATTTTACATATAAAATATTTCTCTAAAGGTTTTCCTGTAAATGCTCAATATATTTTAAGTGACTGGTTATTTATAAAAACAGCTGATAATGAAGAAGGTTTTGTTCCATATTTATGTTGTCGTCCAATATTTCGTCGACAATCAATAAAATCTTTAGTTAATACTGAATATTCTTATAAACTTCATGATTTCGAATTACAGAAATCTGAACCAATCAAATTTTCATTGACATCACCAACGAATAAAAAATTATCTGTATCAACAAATCTTAGTTCACCTTCGTGTTTATGTAAAAGATCATCATCATATAAACGACGTCAAGATCTTGCATCATCATCATGTGGTGGTGATTCAGGTGTTTCCGATTGTGAATCTTCAACCAATAATCATCTTTATTTAGAATTATCAACAAAGCATATATTACAATCATCTAACATTCAATCTTGTTCTAATACAGTAAAAAAAGCAGGTCTTATTGTACAAGATATTCCATGCAAGAAGCCCTCGAAAACTAATCAAATAAAATCTCAATTGTTAATGTCGAGCAATAGTGCATTTACACAAATTGTCAAAAAGAATCAACGACAGGAAAGGTAAAGGAAAGGAAAGAAAGGAAAATGCATAATTTAACTTGTACAAAGATATGAAATCTGGCACAAATGCGTATTGTGCGGCTTTCATCGATTTGTATTTACTTAGTAGCAAATATAATTCTTTTGACTAAAGTAATCTTATATTTAACTAGTTGTAAGTCGCAAGATTAATTGCTAGTGGCTGCGCCAGAACGTTGTGTTGATTCCGAGTGAATTAGAAATTAATAACATAATTCTCAAGGAGAACTTACTTACGTTAGAACAGACAACAGAAAGTAGAATTTCTACTGTTTCTTACTGCAATGATGACATCTCAATTGAGTGACTATGTATTCATAGAAAACTATTGGCGTTAATCAATCTATTTTTATACGTATCATATCATAGAATTATTTATAAATTATTAATATTTATTTTGTAAAAATGCATTAGAGTTTATTTAATTATTTACATTCTAGTAATCGATGTCAACCATTTCAAGAGAACGCTGACATGATATTATCACCATCATCTCTTCGAAGTCATTCTCATCGTCTTTATGATAGTTATGATGAAACAACAAATGCATCAGTAAAATATAATTTTGACAATCAAGATATTATTTCATCACCCTATATTCGTCGAACACCACATACTCGACGTTCCCTACCATACCATTCACAATCAGCATTGAAAAAGCCATTACGTACAAAAGTATCATTTTCACCTGATCCATTGAAACAAAATAAAGAGCAATGCTTACGAAGTATTGTTCTTGCTGAGCCATTATTACCTTTTGCTATTATTCCTAAAAAACCAACAATTGAAAAACACTTTTCTGATTTAAGTCTTAATCAAATTGAAAATGACTCACTTTCACCATCAACTCCTGTCTTATCAAGTCGTAATCGACCGTCTTTGTCTTATTCGTCATCGTCGTCGTCATCATCATCATCATCAAGTGCTACAAGTTCGTCCACTGACGATAGTGCAGCACCATTCATTCATATACAAATGAATAATCACCGTGCGGGACGAATGCCAGTTTTATATACTTCATCAAATATAACTACTGCAAATAATCATAATAACAGTGATAATCAGACAAAAAAATCAACTAGTTTTGTTCATAATGTTTCGATTACTGTTTAATATGTTACTTAGTATTTATTAGTTTCCTATTAAAAACGAATGATGAATAACGCATATATATATATATACAGGATACTTGAAATTTAAAATATTTTTATATGAATATAAACAAGAAAATACTTTCATTCTAAGATTTATCAAGAAAATTACGTTATAGAAATTTGGAAGAGTACTCGAATCTACTCAGAAAAAAAATCCCATGCTTGACAATCTTTGATACTAATATTTCATACATGCAACTGCTAACATATTAATACTCATATGTGATTCCTTTGTCTTTGAATTAATATTGAATATCTTTAATAAAAAAAGTACCAAAAAAGTTTGGTTCATCGTATTGAAGTATCCTTATTCTTGAATTCTTACTGTCTATTCTCATTCTAACTAAGTGCATTCATATATTGATCAAGTTTGACATAAACATTCTTAAAAAATATAAGATAAGTTATATAACATGATTCTTATCGATACTTTTTTTTGAAACAAATAAAACTCCATTGATATAGATGCACAGCTGTCAACGTGAATGAATGTTAGTAATTTAATAAGCTCATTAATTACTATATCGGATGTTTAGGAAGTCGCTAAAAAAGCAAAAAATTCGAATGATATTGGGCAAATTTGAATCAAATGAGCTGAGTAGAGAAGTGCTTATAACTTACATTCATACGAGGAAAGTTGTTTTCAAGCACTTACATCGAACTCTAATGAAGTATTCTGACATTTCGTGAGTTACGAGTAAACAAAATACTGACTTCCTTTAGCAAGAATATACGACATTTCATGTTTTCGTTGTCGATTGTTTCTCAATATTTTGATCACTGAGTCTTATATGTAGATCAAAAACAAACATCATTTACTCAATATATATGCTAAAAGTTTCCGCTATGAAAAAATGTAAATATTAAACAATACTATTGAGAATATATTTCTTTTTCAATGTGATCTGTGATAAAACAACTATACAGTAATTTCATCGAAATATAATAGAGATACCTAGATTGTTATTTGCTTTGGTAATTTTCTCGGTACTTTCTAGTATAGAATCTTTCTACTAAATTGTTAATTATTTTAGCTTTTGAGCTACGGAAATGCAATTCGATATGTCTTTTCTAATAATAGCATTTGTTTCAGTTTACATATATCGGGTGGTTCAGGTTAAATGCCCTTCTCAGTGTTTTTTCAATAACTTCATCATATTCATTTTCTAGGCCTTAGTTTTTTCCCAAAAGATTCACCGTTCAATTCTCTACATGATTGATATTACAATTTTTTCTGGTGAAACTTGAGAAAGAAAATTAAAAAAAGAAGATTCAACAAGTAGAACAGCATCAGCTTTCAAAGTGATTTTTAAAACAAACTTTTACAAATTTTTTACAATGGCATACAAAACGAAACAGAAGCAAAGATGTTACTGAGTACTTTGAACTGTACGCTTTCTCATCGTGTCGCTCAGAACTCGTCGAGATCAAACGGAAGATCGAAGAATCTGACTTTTTGACAATTCTCTTAGTCAAAATAGCTTAAATCAGATATTTGGCGCTAACTGAATTGAAGAAAAAAAATTAAAACTCAAACTTCGCGTTTGACTTTGGTACAGTAGACCATTTCAATCAAAATGAAAAAAAACGAATGCAAAAAATGAGATTTTGACTTAGTTGCGTTTCTTTTCCTGGGAGTATTGAAATTGTAGATTGAAAGAGCTAAATTCTCACAAATCTGAAAGAGAAGATACTTAGAGTGCGCATTACAAGGTTGAATATGGAAACTTCTCAATTATGATCGAAAGATAGAGATTTGCAAAGGCTACAAATACCTACGTTGTTTAATTTTTATCGTCACTGATCAACGAAAAAATCTGCAAAAACTATTTTCCAGCTTTGAAAGTTGATGCTGTTATACTTGTTGAATATTCTTTTTTTAATTTTTTTCCTCAACTTTCAACAGAAAAAATGGTAGTATCAATCTTGTAGAGACTTGAATGGTGAATCTTTTGGAAAAAAAAACTAAGGCCTAGAAAATGAAAATGATGAAGTTATTGAAAAAACACTGAGAAGGACGCTTAACTTGGGCCACCCGATAGAATCTATGATTAGAAGTGAAAATACGACAAATATAATATATAATTTTAACAGTACTATCAGCAATCTGAGTCATTTTTTTTCTAATATCATCTTGACTTGAATACAAAAATATAGGGATTCGAAAATTTATTATCAATATATATAATTATCATGCCACATAGTCAACAGTTAATGAAGCGTTATTTTGGAGGTCAACTAAAATTTCATGCTTGCATACATCAATGTATACGTATATCGTCATAGAGCTCGTTAAAGTATCAATATTTACCAATTTATAAAATAAAAAAAGAATTTCGTTGATAGACCTATTGAATATAACTTCAATCCGTTGATAAATACAACATCAATATCAAACTTTTGCTCGAATATCTCAAATTTATCTCGATTTACTTTTGATGATTTATCACCTTAATTCAAAATCGACTCTTTTCGCTTCATTATTATATCTATGCTTGTATTTCTCATTCGAAAAAAGTCAATTATCCTTATCATCTGGTTGAAAAATAAATAGTGATAGTTCAATACGATGAACTACTTCAATGTTCACAAATACGTATTGAGTACAATATTTGATGTCATGCAAGAAACAATAATAAAACAAATGCTCTCTTGTGTAGAGTCAATGAATATATGTATATACATTTTATTTTTGTATAAGATAATAACAGTAAAAATCTTATAGAATGAAGAAGATTTCATGTTTCATGCAAATTATATACAGAGTTAGGAGAAAATGAAGCATAATAGACTGTGAATAAATAAAACACGAGATCAAATTAGACAATCATCATCATGATCAGCTAGTCAACCGGATGCTGTTCCGGTTTGAATGATGGTATAGCCATCGGGCGTTTGTGTTAAGATGATCGTAATGAAATGACGAAAAAAAAATATTGTTTCTATGTCTATAACACAATGGAAGAGGATGTTCTCCTTTTTTTTTACTTCTCTCAATCTTTTGTGTTCGTGTGTAAAGGTCATCGACAATAACAAAATTACTTGTAGTGCTGAACAATGCGTTGTTTAGTTACGAAGATTTTACTTGTTATTTTTCTCTTTTTTTTCCACTGCTCAATTGGCATTACGTGCATGATTGAATAGCATCTCAATATGTATTACAACATCATTTCTAAAGCTTCTCATCATATAATGTAAAAGGAACCGAATAGAATAAGAATTGAAAATGAAAAGGTTGAAATGACAATGAAAGATAGTTTGATTCTTTTCTCATGTTCCATGTGAATGAAAATCAAAACCATCATACATTTTACACGTTCAATTAGTAGATATTTACATCACACGTACATTTTCTCAAGGTTACTATTTTCTTACTTATCATTCCAAAATAGTAGCTGTACAAAGCTCTTCGAACAAGAAAAACAGGTTTTTTCTTTTCTCTTTGTTTCTGCTAATGTTACTTTGATGATCAATTTATATGCTACAATCAAAACAAAATTCATCCCCCGCATGTTTGCTTATGTTTAATTAACCGTTGTTCAATCGCCATCACCTACGCTCATCATCAAACGTCAATAAAGCAGGATGAAGTAGGATATAAAAAGAAAGAGGAAATTAAATGGAGAACAACCGTAAGTGAGCATTTCTATGCATGTTCATTATTGAACTTATGAACTACATATGCTACCCTTTAATTTGAAATTGATAAGAGAGAAAATAGACATCATGAAGCATTGACCATTCTTTTGTTTCTCTTTTCCTTTCTCTTTCATCATTGAATTTGTTGAATAGTACAGTACACACACACACACACACACACACACACATATATATATACTAATAAATATAAATCTCTCATGCAGTCACCGCATTGATATACGCGTGTGTGATTAAATCTTTCAATAGTTGTCATTGTCATTGCATACTGTGACAAGACAGATCATATCACTTATGATTATCCTTCGATGTAAAACTTTAATCTATGTTCAATGTAAGTCTAAAAAGAGTAAGAGAGAAGACACTGTCGTCTAATATAGACCGGATTACTCATCATCTCTCTCGTTTTCTTTCTTTTTCTAACAAGAGATCATAAGTATTAATCTCATCAACTCATGTCAAAATAGAAAAACAAACTCGTATAAACTTTATGCATAGTTTCCTCTTTTGATTTATTTTATTTTATTTTAGTGATAAAAATTGATTTAATTATATGGTTTTATTTGCAGAAAAATTATCAATCGTGAATCTCATGAATGTTCTACATTATTCATTGAGTTTAAGTGCATGTCCAAAATGTCATTTATTTATTTGTAAACATACAAGTCTAGCTGATCTTGACTTGAATGTAACTCAAGAAGAAATGCAATCAGTTACGGAATGCAACAATACTCATATTTCCATAGAAAATCATATTGGAAACTTGACTCAACAACATTCATTACGTGGCAGAAATATCTACATGTTTCCATCGATAGCAAATGATAATACTCGTTATAGTTGGACAACATTTGGTACAAATTCTATTGAAAGTACAAATACATCTGGTAATCTATCATCTAATAATGAAACCATATGCGAAAATATTCCATTCGCAAATGAAAATATAATTGAATCATTATTACCACCCACGCCAACATCAACACCTACATTAAATCAAATTGTTCGAACACAATCTGAAAAATATGATAAAAAATTTCAAAAGTCAACTCATTTAATTAAAAGTTTTTCATTTTCAACTCTCTACAATAAATCATCATTATTTCCTCCTATAAAACATGATAATCATTCAAGTACGAAATTATATTCATACTCAAATAAATCGTTTTTTATTATGATCATTCTTCTATTATCGTTTCTTATTACAAATACAATAGATATTGTTCTTGTTTATATTTATTATCATACTAATTATGTATATTTCATAAGTTTTATCATTACGATTGTTTTATGTGATATTATCTTGTGGATAAATAATTTAATAGAATTAAATACTATATCATCTTGTTTATTGTTGATACCATTTATGATGCGCCCACATTTATTATATGAACTTGTTGAATTACTGATAATTACATTTGATAGAAATTCCAATAAACTAATATTAGATTCATCACCATCCTCATCTGCATCATCAACTATAACAACATGCAAGAAGATCACATCAGATAGAACAAGTTCATCTACCATACATCCTTTATCATTGTATAGAATTAAAAAACGAAGATTATTCAAATATTTAACACTGTTCTACCTGGTTCATACTGGATTTTTAACTTTTATTAATATTTTTTTCTTGTCAAATAATCTTCAACAATCAACAAAATCTTTTATAAATATGAATTATTTTATTCCTCCATGGGTATCAAATGATGATAAGTATTTATCGTCAACATCAATGATAAACGCTATTCCTAATTATTCTGCAAAAGTGTAAGTAAACACATATCTTCAAGAAAAAAAAGACATTGTACATTATGAAAAATCTTAAAAGTCAGAAAAAAATAGTATAATATTTACTTGTGACTGTATTCCTGCACTGAATGAGGATTGCTTTAATCGTATAATCATTTACCATAACTTACTGCAGCTACAGAGATCGATATTGACTTAAGCGCCATGCTTTATCTAGCTTTTCAGTTTGACGAGGTAGATTTAGATTGTGCAAGAGCATGACTATGCATTTCCACAAGAGATCGACTCAATCATTAGAAGAATACGTGATGGTCAACATTTTTTAAAGAGCGATAAATTATTAACTATATTCTTAAATGCTACAATTGAAAGATCTAATTTATGATCACATTTTTTTCTTTTTCTTAGCCATGAGACAATATTTGATAATGAACGTAAACATATTTCACGCCGAACAATATTATCCGATTGGACTCAATTCTTATTTTCATCATCTATTTCATTTTCAATTCCTCTTTCTTCTTCATTGACATTCATTTTAATTAGTATTTTATATTATTTATTAATAAATTATACTCTTTTATTGACATTTCTGATTTTTGAACGTTTCTCATTCAACATTATTTTATCAATTTTATCACGATTATGTTTAATTGTTACACGTATCTATGCATTCATCTTTCTTTTGCGTCTTCAAATTTGGTGGTTATCAACGGGTTTTTTCATCGTACACTTAACTTTGATGATAACGCAACTATTTCATCGATCAAAATTTAAACATAAACGAAATAAAATGTTCCTACAAATTATATTTTCTTTCATAACACATTATTCAATTGATGATATATCAATAAATGCTTTGATATCATTGGAAAATATATCTGTATTTCTCTATCGTCTTTATCTAGAAACATTCCCTTTTAATCATAGACAAACGACATTACGTTTAATTATCTTCATTGCAACACTTATGTCATTACAAGTTATTGGTTTTATATTTGATATTCTATCAAAAAATATTCTTTACCGAACTAAAACAGCAACATCCTCGTCCAAAGACGTTTGCTAGTTTGTTTATATGAAATAAATTAAGTTTAGTTGATAGAATAAAAATAAAAATGCAATGCTGAAAAAACAATTTTTTTTTATTACAATATATTATACTATTGATTAGATATATTCGATATATTTCATATTTCAAATCCGGTTTTGATAGTAGTTCGTCTTTGTTTAGGTGGCAATTTTTCCTTAGTTCGCTGCAATACTATGGAATAAAATATAGAGAATGAATTTAGTTATTAATAAGATAATGACAAGTGAATAATTGATTTGTTGAATCATCTAATTTGAATTTTTTCTTATATTAATGTTGTAAACAACTAATAAACTCAGCATCATTTTTATTGATGTACCGTTGTTGTTCGTGGATTGAAAATATTTTTCAGAACAACTTTCAAGCTATTATTTCTCAATTGATCATGACACACTATTCATTGATGACATAATCTTAAAAATAAAATAATCGATTTCTTCTTTTTCCTTAATTCAAATTTTTTTTGAGTATAAACATTCTGGAAATCTAACAGGCAAATTTTATCATGTAACAAAAAGGAATAAATAATGTATATTTGGTGTTTTTATAGTTTAACTTAAGTTTCAATCGACAATTTATTTGTAAATAACTAGAATTCTACATCGCATTCATATGTCAGTATCCTCCGTGTATGAATACTACAATTAGTGAATGATAGGGCTCAAAGTAATGGTTTCGTATAGATTTACTGATTACTCATTAAAAATAAACCAAATGACATTTATATGCTTTGTATCTCTACATAGAATAGATCGATTCATTCATATATATGTTAGTTTATGCTTTCTGAATTCTAAAAAGGTTGGATAAATAATTATAAATATAGATACTAGGTATTTAGCAGTATTCAAATTTTCTACAGTAAAACAAAACTATAATAAAAGCTCAGCTGTATTTAATCACGATAGTAGTTGATGATATAGAAAATTATCTTTCTTTAAAATGCGAGTCATTATAGGAGTGATTAAAGATGTTTTGTTCAATTTTCATAACTACATTAACAACTGATCAACTTTCACAGGTTATAAACTAGTTGCTTTTCTTTCCTGTTATAAAGTCAATATCAACATTTGTAAATTCTTTTGTTTACTTTCAAAAAAAAGTTCATTCTATTGGATGTAACTTTCTATTGCCATGATGAAAGATCAAATAAGAATCTGTTCATATGAATGTGCATCGTTGTTTGTCGATTGTATAGATTCAATGGAGAATTTTCAACTTGACGATTCTGTTCATAGTTAATGACAATCGCGCGAATTCCCTGATCAAAAGTCAGTTTACACAAGCAACTTTAAAGAAGTGGCATTGTTTCGTTGTTTGATGGAATGCATAGTACAGCTTTTAAGTTCAAAAGAGGAAACAGTGGAGACAACAAAACTAAACATATTCAGTTATAAGTTTTCCAGAAAATCAAGAAAGTTTTGAAATTTATCGATCGTAGCAAAAATTGTCATCCATTGAAGTCATCTAATATGTATCTAATCATTGATAAAACAATAATGGATCAACAAATTTTAGTTCATGTTTTGTCTTACAATTCTCTGCCGATTGATAACTAGACATTACATCATATCAATATATATTTTCGATCTTTCACAAACAAAAATGATATATAGACAAAAACGTGAAGTTTCAAGTTTGTGACACAACAGTAATGCAGTGTGACAGACTTTTTTGAAAATAGTTTATTTTTCATCAGATAGTTTCAGTTATATATTTCATAATTACGTGTGCGAAAAATTAAATGCACGGATAGGGAGGTTAAAACAATAATCGAGTAAATATCACATGCTGATCAATTCTAATTAATGACAGTCATTTTGATTCTTCTATTTTCAGCTTTGACGACCGTAAACGTAGAATTAGCGTTTACGAGCCATATTTCTGTATAAATGGCACCCACAAAATATGATGTGGGTGTGGGTAATGATTCATCTTAGATTTACACCCACACCATCGGCGTACTTCACTCTCACCGTGGTCCTTGCGTGGATGATGACCAAATAATCTATACTGTGGGCTGGAATTATCACCGTTTTTTTTGAATGTCAGCCAGATGAAAATCAGGATCGTGTGATCGCCTTGGAAACGGGCAATGAAAACAAATGTAACCATTGACAGAGAGACAGAGAGTATTTTCATCTGAGCTCGAAGAAATCGGCGAGTGGTCCGATGGCATCGAGGAAATGGCACAACAAGTGGAGAAACGACCATTGAAAACATTGATTGTGATAGGTTGAAGACAGACGATCGAGGATTTCTCTACGTTTCTAACGAAGAGAAACACGAAGTTAGACGCTATCAATTGGACGAGACGAACTATATAGTGGCGGCTGGTGGAAATGACAAAGGTGATTGGCTTAACCAACTGAATAATCGTTCCTACATCTTTGTTGATACAGATTAATCGGCGTATGTGTCAGGCTGGGACAATCATCGTGTGATGAAGTGGGTGACCCAGGCCGAACAGTCCGGCCTGGAAACGGCCGGTTCCGAATAGTTCCGTTGATTTTGTGGAAGCAGTATTCCGGTTGGAAATTTTTCCGGTGATTTCTGACCAATTCCTGCCGGAAAGCATCGGAACTTGGCAGGAATTCGCCGGAAAAGCCCGACCGGATTTTTGACCGGAATACTGCTTCCATGTTCCAGCGATTTCCCATGTTTTCCTGCAGGACATGGTGACTTTCCCGCATATTCCTTGGAGTATTCTACGGGATCCGGTGGCCGGAATGTTCGACCTGTGGAAGGATACAAAAGAAGGCATTATGGTATCAGGTGGTCCAGGTGAAGAAGACGATCGTGCAAAGTTCCCATGTCGTCTCTCTTTTATCAACTGTGCCGCAGTTACGCGTAACTATGGCGCATTGATCGTAGTGAAGATTTCTAGAGGAAACTACGCTTACTGTGATGCAGATCAACGTAATGCGTCCTAGTGATCGCATCCTACGATCTCTTGTAGGTGTAAATGGCCAATTATAAATCATTCCTCCTTATTTGTAATTGACTACACTCTAACAATAAAACATAGTCACACAAAATCAGTATAAATAGCAGTGCTCATCACATTTTCTTTCATAACTCATTCTACTATACGCAGTAGAATACATATTTTTTTATTTTTCTTTATTTTTCTAGATTTAAATCTTTTTATTTTTTCAATTTTCTGCAATTAAATTTTTTTTCTTCTATTTCTTAACTTTTTAAAAATTGTTTTAGATGTTAATATTTTTATTTTTCTAGATATTTATTTTTTATTTTCCTTAATTTTTAAAATTAAAATATTTTTTAACTTTTAACTTAGTAAATTTTGAAACCTTTTTAGGTTTTAATTCTTCAATTAGTTTTTATTGCGAAAATTTTTAATTTCAAATTTTTTTGTTGTTTTATAAAAATTTTAATTTCATAGCTTTAAGTTTTTATTTTGTGCAAAAATATTTTAAATTCACAATAAAAGTACAAATAAAATGAAAACCTAATCTATGTCAGCTTTTGTACCAATTGCGACGACACTGTGACCCATAATTGCGAAAAACTTGGACACAGTTATGCGTAGCTGGGATTTTTTCACCGTAGCTACCCGTAATTGCGATTTTTTCATCGTAGTTACGCGTAGTTACGTCGCAATTTGCCGCAAGTACGGGTCACAGTGCGATCGCAGTTACGCCGTAACTGCGCCACAGTTTCATCGTAATGAAATACATGGGTTATCTCATCCCAATTGATTTTTGTAGATACCTTGGGGACCGTATATGTAGCCGACGCAGGAAATCAGCGAGTGATACATTGACTCAAACGAACCATTTTTGAAACGATGACTATTAGTAAAAATGGTGCCGGAAGAGAAGTAAATCAGTTGAGTTGGCCAATTAGTATTTTATTTGAGCTACATGATCATCTCTATGTCGCCGAATTCTTAAATAATCGAGTCCAGCGATTCTCAATCGGTGCCTCTAGTTTATTGATGGATATTGAAATTGCCATAATCTGATAGCGATCGACGGAGATCGCTCCCACATCGTTCATTTTTTTATAACTAGCGCCGCTGAAGCGTGGAAACGGCATATAGTGACGTTATCTGGCAGAATAGTGACACTAATTATCGCAATATATTTACGCACTCAAAGTTGCAATAGCCTCAAAAAGTATCGCTACTGTGGTTGTATTTTTATTTGCAAAGAAAACATGTTTTTTGCAGTGTGCATTATTGTGTTCAAATATTGAATGATGTGATTGATCAAAATAATTACGATTCACCACGTCATTATACTTCCATGTAACAATTCATTTTCAGTAGTTAAATTAAAACAACGTCTATCATCTGAACGAGATTGGCTTATTTTGGTTCAATCTAGTGGTAAAAAGTACGTGGGTTTTCTATTCGAAACAGGTAATATAACAAGTGAACATCGAAATTTAAGAGAATATTTTTTTGAATATAGGTAGTTTTCAAGCATTCAGCACAACTGCTGATCTCCTGGCACAAAACAACACGAAGATATAGAGAGTGATTATGAACGAGGAAAAGAAAATGAATCATCACAAGATATTAATTTGAATGTGTCTGGTATATATATTTTTTTATTTTTATGGACGTTAATTTGTTTTGTTTTAGAAGAAAAACGTTTACTTCGCTCAAGGACGTAGCATTTTTCAATCGATATTACCACAAGTGATATTAATGAATGTTCGCCTCGGTGGCCGGTCTCTAGTTTAAGTAAGTGGCATAAAAGGACTGAATATTTTTCGATATTTTTTTAAATGATCACCTTAAGATATTGTGGGAGAAGAACGGTCGTTTCGAGTTATTTATAAGCCTTAGATACTCAATGTTTCAATTTACTTTTGAATTTTATAGTAATGAATAATGTTGCAACACCGATTCAAGTGAAAAGTAGTGGCGATAGAGACAGGATAGCTAAAGGTTTGTATCATTTTCCTAAGGAAAAATATTATTCTTTCTTGACATTGTAAGCTGGCAACGAACTCGTAATGAATGTTGTCCCACAAGTAATGCTGATGCACACAAAATAAATACAGCAAGCAAATATATTATATTTTATTTTTATTATTTATTATATACATTGTTTAGCAACAACAACTGCCTCTACTTTCTGTACTGATCCAAAAGCTATGTCATTATCTTCACCAACAACTGATAGTAATTTAATTCTGGCACCAAGAACACCAACATTAAATTCTATTTCAAATATCAATGTACGTAAACGACCAGCTATTGATTCATCTTCAGCCCCACGGAAAAAAAAGAATAAATCTAAAAAAGTACAAGAAGGTGATGATACATCATCATCTGATACTCAACCCGATGAAGACAATTTTATAAAATTAATTGAACCAATTAAAACTCCTACATTTAATGGTCGTCGATTAGCTAGTGTTGTTACAACTGATTCTACAATTAACAGATCAATGGATAAAGACAGTTGTTCTCAGTCTATGGAACAAAAATACTTTATGCCATTGTTGATCGGTCAAGAGAGATTAGAAATGAAGATGAAATCTTTATATAATAATCAAATGAAGATTCAAAAAGCTTTAACAAAGGACAAGTATAGTCTTAAAAAATTTTGTTTCTTAAAACCATTAAAATCATTGATCAATTACTATACTTAAAGTTTTATTTATGTGACAGTTGAGTTTATAATCTAGTTGAAATTGAAGTAGTATTTTTATAATTTTATTGTAAGCAACTCAGTGAAACATTTGAAACAACAAACACTACTATTACGGTGACTATTTTGTTTGTTTTTCTACAACCACTATAAATCTTCTCCATTTTGCCACTATATCTTTAACATTGAAGCTTGATCATAAAATGACTGGCTCTAACAAACAGCAGCGTTAAAAAATATATGAAAAGAAGATTAATTAGTTTATTACTAAAACGAACAAAAAATGAACTGATTAATATATCTTGTAAATGTATTTAATACGATTTTATTCACGAATGATCATTTAAATGAAAACTTCTCCAACCGTTATCAAGACTTTACCAATCAAAAAGCCTTTTCTATCTTTTTTATTCTTTTCTTTTTTCATTATTTCGCGCATTGCAATCTCAACTTAAAATCTCATGTGAACTGTGATTGTTATATATGTCTTACTTTATTCAGGTACTTATTTCACTCGAAGAACCAGCAAATCAACATTGATACAATTGATGTATACTGTGGAAGAGCTGTTGCATTAGAACCAGCTGATACATATAGTGATAATCGATATAAGTTGATACAAAGTAATAATTCAGTTTTTTTTCCGTCATGTTGAAATCGTGATTCTTTATTTTTAGGAGCTGTTCGTTCCAAGTTTAAACTTAGTGATGATCAATTAGAACAAATATTTAATGAATGGCTTCGCGAAGTTTTTCTTGCAAAGAGGAGAGTGGCGGTGGTAAAAATAAAACTCATGAAGCACAATGAATAAATTGGTTTTGTACACGAACAAAAAGTTTTTTCTACAGGAATTCTATTTTTTGTTGCTAGTATTTATTAAATGTAGTCTTTTATATATTCAAATAAAATTTGGAAGGAGAAAATAATCATGGAACTTATCTAGAAATAAACCTTTAAATATGAACTAGCTAGATATAGTGAGAGTGCGGGCGTACAGAAATACCATGATAGTGAAATATGTAACGCTATATCGCGCAATATTGGTTCATGTTGCCGTTATATCGCATTATAACAGACATAGAGGAGAGCTAAAAGGAGTCGCCGTGCAACCGCAATAGCGACGACATTACGCCGCTTTGCAGTCGCTATCAACGACATGGGAATATGTTCGAAAATTTAAATGTAAAGGACGAATTCACACTAACTGTATTCATACAATATTATTACATGAAAACGATAATCATAATCATCCTGGTAATCCTGTTTCAACTGAAACTCGAATAATTGAAGAAAAAATTCTTCATCGAGCACTTAATTCAAAGGAAGCGACACAAAATTCTATTGATTATTGTCTCACGAATTTATCTGATAATATTGTAGCTCGTCTTCCTGATTTTAAACATGCTAAACGAAATATTCAAAATCGACGAGGAAAAACTGATTTACCCGAAATTCCACATGATAAAACATTTAATCAAATTTCGGACAAATTAACAACAACAAATCGAAACAGTGTGTTTCTACAATTTAATTCTGGTCCAGGCAGTGATCGTATTATTATATTTGCATCAGCTGAACAACTTCAACTTCTTGAAAATTGAGAACAGTTATTAGTCGATGGAACCTTCAAGGTCTGTACTTTTTTCCGGATGCTGTTTAGTTTTATTTAATGAATTAAACTCTTTAGGTAACACCATCGATTGTTTATCAATTATACGCCATGCACGTGGTTTATCGAAATGTTGTTTTACCTGTCGTATTCGCATTATTACCAAACAAAACTCAACAAACTTATCGTCGTCTTATTGATAAGTTTGTTTCTCTTCTTTCTTCTCTCTTATTTTTCTCACTATATGGGCAAAATCAGGTAAAACGGGACATACATCTTTCATTCGATTCTTATTCTCCACAGACTTTCTTTTTGAATAATTTATTTTATCATTGACTTATGTGAAACTATTGGCTCTTTCACATGACTATTAATTATTAATTAATTAATTAGTTAGTTAGTTAAAATGTAAGTAGTCATTTTTTTGCAAACGGTATGAGAAAAATAGTCTGAAAATTTCAGAATAGTCTCCAGAGTTCAAGGTGCAAATATGGTAAAATTTTCAGTCAGATTGAATTTCAAAAATTCCCTCGAAAAAACTGGTTCTATAAATAAGCAATCTAGTGTAAAAGCAAATCCTGTTATGCTATTATAATCATTGGACTCTGAGGAAGGATTTGTACGATTTGAAATCTTTTCCAAACTTTTTTGTTCGGTTACGAAGATATCTTTTCGGTAGTGTATTCGTACTTCATCACGTCGCCAACGAAAAATTCATACGCTTGACAGAAAAATCTAGAGATGCTGAAGAAAACATGGCATACCATACACCGCAGCGTCCTGATAAATTCCGAGGGAGTGTCCTTTGCAAATAATTGTTTGCTGGAATCCTAACAAGCGTTACGATGTATGCATAACGTATGTTGTAACCCGACACATTAAATAAAAATGCGTCGACTGTATGTGCCGTGAATTTTTGTGTTGTCCTCTCTATTACAAAAATGTATCGTAAATTTTTGTGTCGCACTTTTAATTAAAAAATGTGTCGTATATTTTTCGCGTTCTGTCAGTCGACTAGTCGTTCACCGTTTTGTTATGAGCATACAGCGACATATAAGCAATATCGTTGAACGCATGGAAGATAACTACTCGAAATAAAATTTCCTTTGAAATCAATTCTTGATTACTTTATAATCCAGGAATTGCCATCCCGATCTATGATCCGGGAAGGACTACACTGAATAGTCTGATAGGAATCGGACCAATTCCAAATCAGTCAGATCTTAGGATCTGATCCGATTGAATTTTCAAAAAATAAAGAGATACATGTAATTAAATTTAGAAAAATATCGAAATATGCGTTTCAAAAAGAGCCAATTGAAATGTGTCGGATATGTTGTGAAAAATGCGTCGTGGTCTTGCTGGGCAGAATGTGTCGTGCTTTGTGTTGTAGTTTACGACACATCCCACACATTTTTACTTAGAGTGTATATTTGAATTGGAGGAAGAAAAAATTTCTCAAATTCCTGGACTCCCCCTCATGGATATTAGAGATCGATTTTTTTTCGTGTTTTCAAAGAATTATTCATAGAATTCCAACTAGGTTAGTGTTCTGACATATGGTAGGTGAAAAATTTCACAACTGAAAACTTTACAAAAGTGATGAACGGCATTTTTCTTGAGACTGTATACCAGAAAATTAACAGTTTATGCCACTTTTCGCATTGAAGGGAAATTTTTTCTCCTTAGGCGTCTTTACAGTTTTGTAGAGAATAAAAAGTTACACAACATATGAAAAATTCACCGTGGGGACTCATGATTTCGATAAATGGCAGCAGATATAATGCAAAAAAGAGAATGTAAAAAAACAGAAGGCGTCTATCTTTTCCGCTTTACTTAGCTCACTAAATGAGTGATATGTAGTATTCCAACTACCTCACTTTTTCCGTCTAACTGTCCTCTATCGTTTGATATATCCCATGTAATAAAAACCGCATGAAAAGCGGCGGTTAACCGCGGTTTTACCGGTCCGGTTACCGGCTCCCATTACCGGAGAACGGATAAATACCGCGGTTTACCGCAAAAATTGATCCGGTATTCGCAACATGGAATTGTATGAAAAGATTCTCTAACTTCTGGTTGTTAAATTTTAATAAATATGCACGGAAAAATTCATCACTTTTTTTGGTCATATTAGAGAGAGGGTGGTCGTAGTCGAACACGGCTAGCTCCCCTATAGAAAATCCAAATGAGTTAAAACTTTGGATTTAGGCGTTTCAAACTTTGCTCTTTCAAATGCAAACATCAATTTAAAAAAAAATTATCGAGTGCTTCGGATAATGGAGGCTTGCTGAATGGTCTCGTGGACCGTCTCTTAAAACTCATGGTATACCAACAAATCATTTGTATCGTGTTAAAGTACTACGTACCGAAAATAAATACATATGTATATTCATAACTTCTCGGTTGTTACAGCTAGCATGCCCAAAAAACTCTCGAAAATTCATCTCCAGCACGTTAACGCAATAGCTCAAAGCTTACACAAAATGGTTGAATTAGTCTTAAAATAACGCTAACTTAATGCTTACAGTAAGCATTGATTAACTCGAATGCCAATAATGCCTGGGTATTAATTAACACTAATGCCAATAATACTTAAACATTAAGTTGAATAATTAACACTAATGCTTTTGTATTAGCGTTTTTTCTTAACTTAATGCCAACACGACACCTCTAATGGTTATCAATATCCCAAAAAATATATTATTCAGATTCAAATGCAAGACAAGAAAATCGATTTAAATGTTTTTTTAATGCGAAGTATTTTGCATGCTTTAAAAAATAACCTTAAAATGACTTTTTGAACCGCAGAAATAAAATTTATTGTAGTATAAATATGTATTTTGACTCAATTTATGGTGTGTGAAGGTGAGTCTGAAAAAGTTTTAAATTCAATATAGAAAGCATAAATATGAGTGCAAATGTAGTTATTCTGTCACATACACCAAAGTGCATCGACCATGTATCCATGGCTATTAATATATCTCTATGTTTTCTGTATTTTGTGTAAGATATCTTATGAATTCTCAAGTCAATTAGAAACAGATCATCCACTGTAAAGCAGCACCAAGACTAAAATGTAGAAAATTGAATAGCTAAATCAACATTCGATATTAGCGACAATAATGTTAATAATTCAGCTAGCGCACTTCATCTGACGGCAACCATTGGTATTCACAACTTCCATAGTTTGCCGTTTTGTACTCTTTTGTCAAAAGCAAATCATATGTTCTTTTTTATTATTTAAAAAATATCACCAATTTCATACTTTTTTCCCAATGGAATCTTTATATTTCTCTTTAACTGATGTCAATCCGATTTTACAATGTTTTCTATGCAAGGGTTATCTTGTTGATCCATATACAATAAAGGAATGTATGCATACGTTTTGTCGTACGTGTATTCTTGTTTATTTCGAAAATTTATCACGTTCAGAATATAAATGTCCACAATGCAATATAAATCTTCAACCATTTTCGGATATTTCAAAATGTTTAATACCAGATCGGCAATGTGGAGATATGATACGTTCATTATTACCATTGCTTGATATTGACGAAATCAATAATGAAAAACAATTTTATGAAAAAAATTCTTTATCAATACCAAAAGATCTTCGTCTTAAACTTCGTCTTGTACAAAATGTTTCTCCAATGCGTTTTACCGATAATAATAATCATATACGTATACGTTCAATAAAAGCAAAGTCAACTATATCTAGTATGAAAAAAGCAACGGTTCCAATTGCAATTCAAATAGAATTATGTAAAAAATATATTGATTCATCATTGGCAATAAAGCAATATCCAAAAAAATATCTTTGTGTTAATTCTCAATTGGAAATAAGTCACATTGAAAAATACATTGAAACAATTTGTCAAGTACAAAAACCGTATAAAGTCTATTTATTTTTTTATGACTCTTGTTTAAGCGAGTCAACACCATTGTTATTAATTAAAAGTTTACTATTTTCATCTACCGATCGTATGAAACTTTTTTTTTCTATTATGTTAAATAAATAAAATAATTCGTTTTATTCAATATGATAAATATTTTATTGTTTTTCACAATAACTGTTAATTCGACATCATCTACTAGTGAGTGTAGTTGAAGAGAAGATCCACACCCACATCCCGTAAGATTTCAATAAAAAGAAATTTTGACAGTGACTGATGAAAAATTGATAATCAACATATTCATACTATGTCTAGGCGGAAAGAACTTAAAGTTTCACCCTATGTGTATAATTACTGTGTTCAGTATTCTTAGCTTAGAGCTGTCGAACTTCAGCAAGCAGTGAAATTTTGACATAAATGCATATCAAAAAGAGTTAATGAAAAAAAAAATGAATTCATAAGACCTTTCAAAGATTTACATTCTTTTATTCCGAATTTATTTTTCTAATTGCAATCGTCAATAAAATGATTCTTTTACAAATCATTTAATAAGAATAGTGCATCTACTTATGAGACTTTGAATTGAGTGAAAAATCTTCTCTATATTGGCAGCATTGACTAAATTTTGCCAATTTTACAAAAGTAGGGCATGAAAATTTATATCTTTCAATCTCATCTATCGATTCGAATAGTTGTGAATGTAAAACATTTCAAACATATTAAAATTGAAGAAATTTATTTACGATGAAATTTTGACTTTCAATGTCAAGAAAAAAAAGAATATCTCATTGACAAATTATAATCATTTATTATGACGAAAAGTTTGTTACCTATTCCTTTTTCCTGAATTTTGCAAACCTAAAGATTTCGAATGAGCAAGTTCAGAACTTAGAAAAATTAAAATTAGTGGACGATTTAGTTGAGTTTGTATAGCTAAAATTTTGTTTTTGAAGAGAAAAGCATGTTGTATCATATGCAAATAGGACAATTTGGATAAGACTCTACATTCGAGTATTATTAAGCGAATAGCAAGTTAAACTATAAGGGGAATCAACTGTGTTTGAATGAAAGAATATTTCAGACAGAAACAATTCGATTAAAATAAAATTCTAAATCAATTTGAAACATTAACTAATGGAAATTAGATATGTGAACGTTTTTGTTAATTCAATACTTTGGACGACTGCTTTTTAAATAAAACTTTTCATGCTTGTCTAGAGTGCGTTGGATTGTGAGTCATATTGAAAACATGAATTGAGCCATGATAATACGTAGGAATTCCTTGTGAAGACATTAGTTCTATCGTGTCACTTGTCATATGATTGATTAGTTCTCCGTGGAAATAAAACGTACTGCTAGCAAATGTTATTTCAACTGTTTTAATTAATTTATAGGAGATATAAAAAGACAATATCTAAGAATCATATAGTAAATGTCGTTGAGATAATCACTGAGTTGTAGCAGAACTCTTTTATAGTAGCAAAAACCTGCCACGAGGTTATTATCGATGTCTTCCATATTGAATTTCATAATGAAGTGAAAATATTAATTATCACTGTTGACACAGGCGGCAGGATCTTCTTTACTATGTAATAATTTGATGACGTTGATAAATAGGATAATTTCGAGTCAAGAGATGGAATTCAACTTACGCACAATGCACTTTATGCCGAGTAAAATAGGCTTTAGGTACAAACAAACTATTATTTATCAACGGTCGAAATAGGTACCATATTTTATTAGTGTTAACATTCTCTGAATCTGATCATATTAAGAAGAGATTTTGAATTAGACTAAATTATAAAGTATTGATCCTTTTTCATATCCAGAGCCTTCCCTGCTGTAAAGGCGACTTCGAACTTCAGCATGACGAATATCCATTTTTCGGTACATCGACAGTCATTACATAGTGAAATTATTACTAAAATTATTAGCACTGCTGTCTCAGTTGCTCTAATGTTAAATGAAATACTCGAAGACATATTATTTGTTTTTTTTTCATGCTAGTTTTAGTACCAGACAAGAATATGTGGGTGTCTTAAGTAAATCAAGCAAAAGAAGAATTCTAGAGTAAATGATATGAATATTTATAAATCATTAAAAAATTATTTCTGTTAAACCAAGTTATTTAGAGAGAAAGAAAGTAATTTTAATTGATTAGACAACAAAAAGATTCATAATATAAACCCAATCTGTAAAATTCCGGCACATTGGACAACAGCTGGTGGTGTTGATTCCTTGAAAATTGTTTCAGACAGCCAAAATACGGAAGAAACTGATAGAGTGAGTTCCAGCAATGATGTCAATTAGTTAATGGTTAAATAGGCCTATTCAAATCTTATGACTCAGCTCCTCACATTATAAATGCTGATAGTTGAATACTCTAAGTTTTCTGATCAAGCTTCTAAGGAAAAGTATTTTGAAAATATACTTTAAAGAATTTACATTTTTGATAAAATATGATTAAAGCTATCAACAAATCTGTAGAAAAGAAAATATATACGTTTCAAATTTTATTATCAAATCATCTTTTCACAACTATGTATGATAAATAACATAAAACTATCAATAAAATAGAGTATATCGACCAACTAAATTGATCTGCTCTCACACTTTTGTTGATTTCTCTTTACTGTGAAACAAAATGAGATTTAAGATTTATTATTTGTGTTTAAGATTACAATCAAATATTCCTTCTGAACTGTACAAAATTTTGCATCATCAACAGTTTCGTAAGATTTTCTGAACTGACCCTGCCGGACAGGTACCAGCGCTGATGCAGATGCGTTTAGAAATAAATTCATGTTCATTCGTTTGAATAAAAAGACAAACATTACATATCTATCTATTGCTGATTATTCAAATCAAATTTTGAAAATCAAATTTGGTTTTTATATGAACACTTTCCAATTAATTAATGGTTTGTATTTGTAATTTAATCGAATCAATCTGTCACACATTTATCTTCATTTACTAACAATATGTTATTTCTTTTTCTAAAAAGATAATCTCTACCATGAATATAATTCGTAATTGTAGTAAGAGCTCTTACATTTACTATGAGTTATAGAAGATGAAGAAGAAGAAAATCACATTATTGATTGACAATATTTATCACTTCTATGTAAATCTTTGCCTATAGGAAATAGAACAATGTAATATTTGTTTTCTTTAACATGTGACTAGATATATTAACTAAACATAAACGTATGAATAATGCGCCAAGAATAAATCAGCAAACCAATTGATGAAAATTACCGAATTGGTTTTTTCGAAGTAATGGAAAAATTTCCAAGTGATTAAAATTACTCTTTAACAGTTTTCGGAAACACTGAATAACAACATTGATCTAATTATGTTGAAAATTGATAGTTTCATGCACTAAATAAACTTCATGCACATGTACTCTGTTGAATAATGCTATTTTACATTTATATAAACGAACTAATATCCTCTACGTTTATATATATATATATATATATGGCATATTTAGTCATGTTACTCGTTTCAAATATAATCATACATGAATTTCTATGAATATAACTATCCAATGCCTATTTTATATGCAATCAGCTGCTTTACTCGAATAGACGTTCTTGAGAAAATGTTAACAAAATGGTTGATTAGATACAGCAAGTATAAAATTATCAAGGTAGTGAATCCTGGTTATTGATCATTTTTTTAAATTCAGATTTTAAATATAGCATTATTATACTTTATATTGATACAATGTCATTGAAAAGATTTATTTAACATTTGCTCTCGTTTTTTTTTCTTTTCATGTCAACATTTTCTATTATTTATTGGTCAAACTAGTTTAGTAGAAATATATTCATTGAAAGAGATTAGCAATTTTTAACATTATGATCATTCTTTTTAAAGTTCTCATTACAATAGTGAGAATTAACGGATTTAAATTTTTTCAAAGAGTATTCACTATCTGCACCATAACACTGACTCATTGACGGCTAAAAAATTCCCATTGACATTTCCCTTTTCAAATGAAAACAAAACAAAGAAAACTTCTGCTTGTGTTTTAGTGACATTTTGTAATGAGATTCTTTTTTCCCTATTTTCTTCAAGTGTCTGCAACACTATTTCTATTATCTCACTTGTAGACACATCATGCTGTTAGTAGTTAGGAAGTTGCTGATTATCAGAAAATCTCATGGTTTCATTTTTTTTTCTTTTCTTTTAGTTATATATAACATTATCAGAGTTATTTCTAATTTTTCTTCTTCTAATTAGAACTATTATCATTAATATTCGTCTAGTGAAATATGTATTATTTATGAAAATAATTATTCTATTTTTATTTATATGACAACACGTTTAGAATTCTATTTTTTTGTTATGAGTATTCAAAATCAATTATATTCATGAAATAAACTCATTTCAAACAATTAATCTTTTGCTTCATAATACAAATAAGATTATATATATATTTGGGTTTAAAAGACTGTGAAAAGTAAAAGATTCGTCAATTTCATGACGATTATTAACTTGAGATTGTCTTAGTAAGTATATTATCGTTTCATTTTTGTGTATCAACATTCGATCATCTACCCCCACATGAATATGCTTTTAGATGATAAGACCACGTCTTGCATAGATTGACAAAAGTCATGAGAGGTGAGATATCAGTAAATGTCAACCATGCTCTGCATATTTATACGTCTGCTATAGAATAAGATCAATATTAAAATTATAGGCGACTATGACGACAAGAGCACGTGTCAAGCCAAGAAAAGCGTCAAGTAAGTAAAAATCGAATTATAAGACTTATGTGGCTGTAAAAAATATAATCAAATATATATATATATATATATATAAGAAAAAAGAAACGATAGATAATCAACGGAGAATGCACATCTGCTAAGAAAGAGTGTCTGCAAGTATAGTCTTCGATAAACATGCTTGTTTATTGGTAAGCAGTCTGAATGTTTTTGCTTTTTTTCCTTCTCTCTCTGTCTCTTTTTTTTTCTTCACCAACACAAGGTGTATTTAATAAATGTGCGTATGCTGTAGTCAAAAAAGAAAAAAGAAAACAGCAAGCGAAAGAAGCCTAGCAGCAACGATGGCGATGCATTAAGACTGAAATCTAAATAAATCTTTTTGCAATCACTACATATTACCGGTTACCTTCATAATTTTCACGTCATGCGACCGAATGAAAAATAAAAACACGCAAATAAACGACGAGAAAAAAGGTAAGACAGGATTCGTCAGTCAAGATTTGATTCTTTCCTTTTATAATATAAACATACCTTTAACGAGCAATAATCATTTTGGTTTTGATTTATTATAATGAACAAAAGATTTTAGTTTAAAAACTAAAACAAAATAATATTAGAGGTTATGTTGAAGATATGAACATGTATAATTTATTCGAGTTAACGAGAACCAACATCTATACTATTAATATTGACAGAGTATTCGTTCTATTTTAATATTCTCTTTATAAAACAATCAAAATATTTGAAAAATGCGAGTCTTATGTATTTGCTTGAATATCTCTTTTTGTGTACTCAAAAAGTGAGTACACTAGAATCGGCCAGTGTGTCCGGCCGTAGGCACGATAACTTTCGAAAGGAGAGTCAGATCGTGATGAAATTTTCCACACAGGTCAATCTCATGAATATCTCGGTCGAGTTCGAAGATGAGAAGGATCCGTCAAGAAATGGTTGAGTTATCGAAAAAATTGTCATTTTTGACCAAACCATCCCTCAGGAGGGGTACAAAGATTTTTTTTCAAAAAACAAATTTTTCTCAGAATTATTCATAACATATATAAATCGACTCAGTTTTTAACGCTGATTCCGAATCTGAGATTAGTTTTGAACTAAAACGTAGCTTTCTAATGAAACATCGCCTGAAAAACGTTTCGAAATGCACAAAAATTGCATCCAGAAATCAAATTGCCTAGTTTCTCATGATAATTTTGGTGTTCAAACATTCTAGAATGACTCATATGTCCTATGCACTTTTTGCAGTACACATAACTCTCGGATAAGATCCGAAGTTTCCACATTTATTTCCCTATAAGGTAGAGTTAACACATTCCAATTATTAAGATCTATCAAATACAAATGATGAGCACATGAAAGTTCTTTTTTATCTGTTATATTATTGCGATCGTAATTGAAATCTTTCTTTAATTTTATTTGTGCATTTTAGATTTAAAAAAAAGAAATGAATGAACACCTTGAAAAGAATAAGATTCAATATTTATTAATAGAATAATTAATATCTGATAGTGTTTATAATAGAATATAGAATGAACCTTCGAGAAACTAAATAAACAGAATAGAAAGTATGCGAAAATAGCCATGATGAATCCACACGTCTATTTTTCATATTTAATGACACCAAAGAGAACGAAAATGTCATGAGTATGCTTTCGTCATTCAATTATTTAGCTGGAAAAATATGAAAATAAAAAAGAAACGAAGTCATTTTTTCTTCTATAATAAAAAGAAAATGCATATGCGAAAACACAGAACGGAAGAAACATCAGCTTATGTCTATAGTAAAGAATACTTCTAACGTAAGTTTCTTATATTTTCATAGATACAGGTATAAACATAAACAATAGTTCTACTTAGTTCTTTTGAATAATATTTGAATGATAAAAAGATGTATTCAAGCATTAGTTAAACAAACATGAAAGTAATATTCTTGTGCTTAGCATATTGCTTTAAAAAACGCTCTAATCATTTCAGTTTTTTGTTATTTCTTATTATGAGAAAAAAAAGACGGGATCAATATTTTATAGCCAATATTTTGAAAACATTGACACAGACAATCATACTCATTAAGAATAATCAAATGACAAGTTATCTATAGGAAGGAAAAAGCCAACAAAATAAATCAATAACATGTCAGAAAAGAAAAGAAATGCATTTATACTCCTTGTTTATCTTTTAGATATGAAAAAATAAAATATTTTTCTCAAATGCAACAATAAAAAATGGAGGCACGACAAATATCTCAAGAATTAATATTTATTTGTTTAAAATTTGGTATAACTTATCAATCAATTCAAGTCGACAAAGCAAATCCTAATATCCTGAGTGAGCTTCATAAACAAGCAGTAGAAATCGTATCAAAAACTATTGGTAGCCTTGAAGTTAACAATCATCGTCACGATATAAAATTATTTCTTATATCACCTGATCATCAACCACCAAATTTAAAATTAATAACACGCTCAACTGATATAACACCAACATGTTTCATCGAAATAATTATATGGCGTCCAGGCCAAGAAACAGTAATTCCGCCGCGTGATCATATGCTGGTTGAATACAATTATAAAAAGCCAACATATTGTTCGGCTTGTGATTATTTTATGTGGGGTTTAATAAAACAAGTATGTATTACTGTTATTATTTACTTCGAATGAATCAACATCTTCGTTTTCTTTCATTACAAAAAAAAATAAATAAATTAGGGTAAACGATGTAAAACGTGTCGACGTAACTATCATCATCAATGTGCTGAACATTTACCAGCTGACTGTCCCGGTCCACGTACAAGGCGAGGCTCATCCATGAGTCATACATCATCAAGTTCGACACTTAGCTCAATGTCACAAGCGCAAGTATTTACAGATCAAGATCTAATAAGTGTATCTCAGACTTCATCAAAACGAACAAAAATTGGAAAATTCCTCAATTCTGCAATCTCTAAACATTCACATAGTTCTGGCGCATCAACTATATCAACGAATTCCACTTCATCAAAATCAACAAGAGGAGTATTACAAAATTCAAATAAAAATAATGATGACCAAAGTGCTTCGTTAAACAATGCAGACGCACCAGTAGTACCAAGTTTGTCAGCAACTCATGCTAATAAGAATGGACGTTCGTCACAAGATCAAAATTTGAAAGCAAATATTCGACCTTCCGTAACATCACAATTGTACATTAAACCAAATCAACGAAAAGATTTCAAATTAACAAATGTTCATGAAAAAGATGGTATTTGGTTAGCAACAGGACAATTTGGACGAGAAAGTCGACACAGTAAACGTACAGAAATATCGTACGATAAGAAGAAATTTCGATTCATACAAAAAGATGAAAATGGAGTTAAACATGATTTTGAAATACAAGCATCAGAAATTGAAGGTAAAACTTAGAAAGAAAGAGAAAAAAACAGAATTTCCAATAGAAATCATATTTTGGAAAAATTTGATCTATCTGTAAACAAAACAAATTCAACTCATTGAACAAAATTTCTTTACGTTAAAGAAATTAATTATCTTCTATTCTTACTAATACTGCATGTTTATGTTTCATCTTTTAGATTTTCGATATCAAATATCATCAAATTCGGTTTTCAATGGTTCCCAATTTCTTGATAGTATATCCGGGGCACCACCATCTCAAGTTGTAGTCTATCAAAAATTAGCTTGTCTACTTCTCGATACAATAAATGAAGCTGTTCAATCCACAAAAGATCATAGAGCACGTTCATCATTTAAAATGGTTCGTGGAACAGAAAATGATACAAAAGATTTTGCAGATCTATATGATATGAACGAAAAAGAAATTCTTGGTATGGGACGTTTCGGTATGGTATTTGGTGGTACCATGCGTAAAAATGGTGTATGTGTTGCTATAAAAAAGATTCAAACAACACAATGTACACAAAAAGATCGAGAAAATATCGAACAAGAAGCTGCTTATTTGTTTCAATTAAATCATCCAGGTTGGTTTTATTTTAAAGAAAAGAAGAAAAAATCTATAAAAATTTCTTTTCCATTTTTAGGTATTCTTAAATTCGAAGGTATATTTGATTTTGAACAACATATACTGTTGGTAACTGAACGATTAGATACTGATATGTTAAACTATATCCTTTCGAATACAAATCCAAAATCTCGTCTCAGTGAAGATGCTACAAGATTTCTCGCTTTTCAGCTTGTTGCTGCTATTCGATATCTACATTTCAAAAATATTGCGTAAAAATAATGAATTCTAATTGTTTTTCGAAATCTAAACTATGTTTTTATGTTTCTTAATATTCTCTGATAGTCATTGTGATTTGAAACCTGATAATGTTTTAATCAACATATTTCCTGATGGTATAGTGCATTTAAAAGTTGGTATGTATTCTTCTATTGATAACTAATATCACTTGAATCTATTTAAAATATTGTTGAACTATCATTGTCGAAACCAAAATTCAGAATGTAATATCGATTTGTCGACATATTTCTCTGATGCAATTCAAACATAAATTAAATCAGCATTTCAAATGATCTTTTATTAACGATACTAATAATAGTATAATTCAGAAAGTTTGAAATAGCTGTTATTCTTCGATAAAAATTCTGTTGACTTGAATAACTTAATGATAATTTTTTGAAGAATTATTATGAACTAGTATTTATTTCAATATACTTCCTTGTAGGCGATTTTGGCTACGCTCGAACAATTCATGAACATTCATTACGTTATACGAAAGTTGGCACTATTGCTTATTTACCACCTGAGGTATCTCTTGATCAGTGGCGTCGTGCTAAAGGTTACAATAAGACTGTTGAGTATGTTTTCATATTTTATAAAGTAAAAATTTATTACAACCTTAATGTTTACTGTTCCAGTATGTGGGCTATTGGTGTAATTGTATTTGTCAGTATAACTGGCTATTTTCCATTTCATGAAGAGATGGATATAATGCCACAGCTTGATAATATTCCAAAATTATTTCAAGATGAAATATTTAGCCATGTAACAGAAGAATTAAAAGATTTATTGCGTTGTCGTCTATTAGTGCCGGATGCTGGCCATCGCATGCATTCGGCAGGTGTCATCTATCATGATTGGTTTCAGAAATCTCGTAATTTACTTGGATTATGTCGACAGCTAGAAGAGTGTTTAGAGAAAAAATGGTTGACTTTATTTTTTGAAGAAGTTGAGTCAACTGTGCCAATTCCATTTGCAACTGTTGAAGAAAGTGACAGTAGTTAATTATTGAAAAATGATATGGAAAGACAACAGACAGCCTAGTCATCTGTAACAGCATACAATTGCAAACAAAATAAACTAGCACACTGATCTATCTGAACTATTGAACGTAATAGTGATTCTATGTATTATTATTAATACTCATTCGTTTTTTTTTTCGGGAACAATTACATTTTTTTCATTTTATTTGTTTTTTCTCAATAATGACGCCGATAAGGAAATTTAAGTTGAGTTTCTTTTGTAAAAAAAAACGTTTTTTACAGTGTTAAATAAAAACTAATAAATAATTATTTCTACATGAGTTGATTGGATGGATGATGATACTTGATTAATTATACATCTGATGAAATTTTATCTCTTGAATAGTTTTAGCTTCGGATGAAAAAACAAAGGAATTCTTTGCTGACAACAACATTATCATGATATTTTGAAATTATTAACTTAACTAACGTCTGAAGATAAGTATTCATTGAAATTATTTTTACGGCATTCGTACTTTTCTTCCACATAATTAACATCGAGGCTAATTCACTTGAGTTTTTGATTAAAACCGTCAACACTGCTTTACGTCGAGATTACTCATTCCTGAAGATAATCTTTCACAGGATCCAGATGAGTAAAAGAATTACAATATTTGAATTTGGCTACTCAGCTTTTTCTTGTTTCAAATCTCTTGAAGATATGACATTACTAAAAATAAAATTTTGTTGTTTCTTAGCTTTGGCAAAGCTATGAATAGTTCATAACAGAGATTACCTGAATAAATTATGAACCATCTCAGTTATTTTAACTAGTGTTGTCTAGTGTTACATGAATAATGATAAGATTTCTGATACTCATATTCAAATGAAAATTATCTTTTAAAGTGCATTATTAAGGAGTACTGCTTTTCATCAAAAAAGTACTCATTTACGCATTTATTTATTTATTTATTTATTAATCAATCATAATTCACCGTTTGAAAAAAAACAGTTCTTAGCATGGGAATTGTTTTACTGTTTGTCAAAATAATTAAACATAACGAAGGAACATGATGGCGGTTATTATTTTAGATCGTATTTTTCAAGGCAGAAAATCTATGTAGTAATCAAGAGCTGGCAAAAAATAATAAAAAAATGCCAATTATCCTCTCCATTATTTTTTTCCACTTTTTTTTACATCATTAGCAATGGAATAACATGATAAGTCTTGATCCCGACTGTCAACATTCAATCATACCGGAAGAGCCATTCTTTTTAGAAGAGGATTACTTTCACTTCAAATATCACACAACGGGATAGTATTTCTAGATTTTGATAGTAAGAAATTGTTGTTTCTTTGAAACTAAACATGATTTTCGGAATTCCCATACAACAATAAATCTACGGTTTACGTACGGATACAATTTTCTTTAGAATTCTTGCACAACAACTATGGAGTTTCCTATGTAACTATTTCTCTGTGTGAATACTAAACTTCATATTGTTTGTTTGCTAAATTAGAAAACAATAGTCGGTTCGTCTAGTATTTTGGATGAGAATGATTAATGTTTTTTTCTAACACAGAAAATTCGCATAACAGTCTCTCTTGTCACATTATTCGGAATCAAATAATTAGTAGTTCATCAAAAGAATCACTGATGCTAGTTGGATGATGCAATACCTAAGAAAAGTACTATTTAATTTTTGCCTCAAGAAATATTAACATCAGCTACTAACACTGGCCCAGTTGGGAACGGTAGTTGCTCATATCATCTTTTGTTAGACGAACAAAAACTCACTATCTTGTTTATGTTACTTAATACAATAGTTTAGAAATATTACGATCGATATGGTGTCGATTGAGCGAAAATTATAATAGCGAAAGGTATTTTCAGCGAAAAAAAAGCGCGAAAATTATAATAGCGAAAAAAAATGAGCGAAAATAAAAACTGCGAAAAGTAAAACAGCGAAAACCCGAAGTGGTTTTATTAGCAAAAAGAGCGACTGTAGAAATTACAGAAATCTTTTCTGGACAAAATTCGATTGTTTGTTTGACGATGAATCATCATGCTGATGTGTCTGCATATATGACCGCACTTGTCCGTTTCACTCTTCTCAACGTGTTAATCTATTATATTCTTTTTTTTTCGATATATATAATCGTCCGTAATTGATGTTGCATAGTTCATTCATTTAGTCCATTTCACTCACCAGTGATGACTGACCCGACAATACTCTCTTTTACCATTTCAAATCGAGGGAAACGAATGCTTATTTATTCAGGATATGTTTACCGACTAAAAAAGTCCACAAAAACTGTTAAGTACTGAGTTTGTCAATCAAATAGCTGTGCAGCGAATGTTCATACCAATGCAAGTGATCAATTCGTTAAAGCTAATGGGCAACATCAACATTTGCCCACACCCACACACACCCTTCAAATACTTTATTTCTAAATCGGTAGTTTTTTATATCATTTGATGCTCATGTATTACATTTCTTTTAAATTTAAAAAACACATTATTTTTCATGTTAACTTAAACTGAAGATTTCTCTATTTTACACTTCTCTGTTTTACCCTTCACAATTCGCTCAAAAACTTTTCGCTCAAAATTTTTTCGCTATTTTGTTCGCTGAAAAATTTTCGCTCAAAATTTTTCGCTAAAACGTTTTTCGCTGATTTACCACCATACCCAATTTTTGACTTATGCTGATTGCAAAATGAATAGTTTCGTCGACATCGAATTGTGGAAGCTTCTAAAAAGATCTTTCATCATAATTTTACTACAATATTTTTTTTCCTTTTTAAATAGTTTCCATCCTTTGAATTTACATGTATAATTTTGTTAAAAAAGAAATTGACTTAAAATTGTAACAAGTCAAATTTGTAGGATAATCATTCACATGCGACCCATTAGTGTCGAGCTTCTGAATTAAATTTAACAACAAAAGCTCGCTTTCAAACAGGTGACTAATAAATGTTTAATATTATTACTTACGTTTGTATGTCTTCTGGCATTCAGTGTTTGAATAATTCGGACACAACGATATTCATATATTGCTGACACATGTAAATCTGGTACTCGCATAAAAGCACCGAGTTTAAATACTAGACACAAGAAAAAAATAGGACACGAGCTGTCTCAATAGTGGTCGACAGCTGACCGTCCGTTTTTAATTATGTGTGTCGATCGATAATAAACTTCCGTGTTCTCTTACGTTTTTTTCCTTATACATCAAAATCACTCATTCAAAAAACTAAACGATAAGCACATTGATACATTTACAAACTGCGTCAACAATTCGGTCCAATAAATAACACAAGTAGAAAAATGAATTTACTAAAGTAATAAGAGAAAATACGACCAAGAAAGAGACACATCTGGTACCAAATATTAGAAATTGTCACTCTTATTTTTATATACAACATTCGCTGGCATCTCATTGGCTGAAAAAAAACATTGAAGTATATATGAAAGGTTTTATGAGATTTCGAATATATTATCATCATGCTCGATTAGGAAACTGCACTCATAAAACATGATTTTATTTTTTCTCAAAGAAAACTCTGTCGAATTGTTATTCAGAATGCATTATAGTTAAAATTGTTTTATCAAAATACGATTTAAGAATCAAATACGAAAATCTAAAAGAAATGTCCTATCGGCATACAATAATTTACAAGCGATGCACCGACTGCAGAAATATATTATAAATTAATATCATTTCTTAAAAATACACAGGAGTTTTAAATTTTTATATTTGACTGAGTTCCGTCATTTTTAAGTATAGGCGGTGCTCGATTACTTGTCGATATTGATGTTGATTCACGTCGAAAACGAATCTGATTCCAATCATAGACATAATCACGTACAAAACCGTGTCTTACAAAAAGATCATCAAATAATTCTAATAAATATTGATAATTGGGCTCATCAGTAAATTCAAGATTACGACAATATTTTAAATAAGTTGAAAACTCAATTGGCATATTTATACAAAGTGATTCTACTGATGTATGAAGTTTTCGTTCACATATTTTTTCATATTTAGCCGATTTAGCTGCTGCTTTAAGACCTTGCCATGGTAAACCTTTAAAGGAAATCTTATTTTACCGAATAAAACACAAAATTTGATACTAACGTCCTTCATAAAGATAGACAAGAACATAGCCAAGTGCTTCGAGATCATCACGTCTTGATTGTTCTTTGCCAAGATGAGAATTAATTGAAGCATATCGTGGTGTACCTGTCAGACCTTTGCCTTCACGATACAAAATATGACGTCGTGTTTTAGAATCAATATATCGTTTCGAAAGACCAAAATCAATTAAATACAAACGATGTGACCAAGCAAAAACTCCCATAAGGAAATTATCAGGTTTCAAACTAAATATGCGTTTGTTTTGTTTTACTTGAAACAACGAAAGCATTCGCCTATAAACTTACTCACGATGCAGAAATGTACGTGAATGAATATGTTGTAAACTAAAACATACTCATGAAACGAAAGCAAAAAACAACCACAACAACAACATCCTACCGTTTAAGCATTTGTTCAGCAAGTAGAAGAACAGTTTTAAGTGAAAATGATCGACGACAATAACATAAAAGATCTTCAATACTTGGACCTAATTTCTCCATTACTAATACATTATAATCATCGATTTCACCATACCTTGAAAATAAAATACGATGTCAAATTTTGTAGAAATAGTGAGTGAAAGTTTCAAAAGCAAGCTTTCGTGTGGCTCTTCATTACGGAGACCCGTAATTAAAATTTGTTTTCACTAATTAGAGATCACTGTAATTAGGGTTCTATGTCTCTCAATACCGTTACAGATATAACTATAAAAAAAAACCCGTAAATTCCCTATTAATTGGAGATCTTAGAAATAAGGCGGATTTTTACGAAAGATTTTCATGTCACCTATGTTTTCATTGGCTTCATGATATGCGTGAGTTCTACACTTTAGTCCCAAAGGAGCTGCACTCCTACACTAACCAAAATATTTTAGGAATACCAGTTCCTGAAATCAGTTTTAAAACTCGTGCTTCATATTCTAATTGTGGATATTGAAGAGAATGAGATTCAAATTTCACAGCCACTTGTTCATGTGTATGGATATCATCTGCTTCAAATATATGTCCGAATGAACCCGAACCAATCAATGTTGTTACACGATATCGATTGATAACTAGTAACGGAACTTGAGGTTGTTCATTTGTTGATGATGTTGGACGTGAAGCACGCACTATTTTGCCGGATGGTTGATGAGTAGCAATAGGTAGTGCGGGACCTTCAGCTCGAGACATAGTCAAATAAAACGAATTCTTATTCTATCAATCCATTATAGTATGATGATGAAAACACAAACGATAACGTCAAAGAAAAGAAAAGTGACGCGCTCAATTGAATAAATATTATCTCTTTTTTTTTTGAATGATAATTTAGTAAACTTAGCAAGTAACACAATCCAATCAATGTTAAAAACTCATAATTTAACTAAAAAAGCTCAAGCATAAACTCGATGGAAAAATAAAGAATCCTTTTTCAAAGATGTGAAATAGAATGGTCTTTTTTTTAATTGAAAATATACGTGTATATTACTTAAATAAATCCAAGAGTATTTCCTAATTGAAAATTTAACTATATTTAATTTTGCTACTATTCGGATTATATAATTCGTTATTTTTTCACTCAACCAAATTTTTCGTAAAAACTCGAGTTTGGTTAAGTAAAATCAACTAAATAATTCAAAATTATAGAAATTCTATTTCCATAATTTTCCGACAAGAATAACCATTCAAATAACTTATCTAAATGAAATTAGTTATTTCGTGTGTGTGATGTACTTGACAAAGTCTCTATCAATAATATTAAAGAATAATTCGTCCAAGACTAATGGATTGAAAAATGATAGTTTCTCTTATTCAAGTACGAGACAGTATGTATATCCGAGAGAGGTTTCAACTCAAGCAAGCGTCTCAATTTTGTTTTGGCTCTTTGCAAAGTTTCTCTATGAAGAGAATCAAAGGAATATATCAGTTAATTGTAACGGAGAGACTGGCAGTCTTAGATGTAATCCGGGAACAACTCCGCTCTCATTGGTATTGTCCGTACTTATATTGACACTTGATGAAACAGTAATTTCAAATCAAGTTTAATCCTTATTCAATGTTGGATCTGGTTTCATTATAAGTTAAATTTGATTCGAGTCAGATTTTATGTTGAAAACGTTATTGTAGAAACATTGATTTATTTAGATGTCTTCAGTTTTAAGAGTTCTACTAAAACCAGATGCAGTCGAACTTAAATGGTATTTTTGCAAAATGTTGTATATTCTAAGAAGTAGATTTAGCGAATCCCTAGTCACGCTCTAGATTAAAAATTGAATCAAATATTTAACTAATTATTTTCAATAAATTCAAATCCTTCTATCGCTGACATAAAGGGATATGCGAAAAATTTGATCATCCGGTAGAAATTGCTATTGCTTCGATATCACAATCATCGAAAAGTCGTCATAGTTTCGATTTTTTTTCTTTTGAAGTTATTTATAATAATTCATATACGAAGGCACCTAGAGTAATCATTTTGAAATTCGAATCATCCATTTTTATTGAGACATATAGCTGCGCTCTTTAGTTTTGTTTGCACAAAAAACATATATATATATATATACAATTGTGTATTCAAGAAAAAAGAAATTTTAGTGAAAAATGGTACGTAGAAAGCGTTCTATCGGTGACATTACTGGATGTGCAGAATACATATGGTCATATTGCATATTACTTGATGAATTGGAAATGGGATAATTTTGTTGTGTATTTCCGGATGAATGGGAACTGTGATAATTTTGTTGTGTATTTCCGGATGAATGGGAACTGTTATAATTTTGTTGTGTATTTTCGGATGAATGGGAACTGTGATAATTTTGTTGTGTATTTTCGGATGAATGGGAACTGTTATAATTTTGTTGTGTATTTCCGGATGAATGGGAACTGTGAGAATTTTGTTGTGTATGATTGTACATTTGAATTTCTCTTGCCACTTCTTGAAAATGTCGAGCAGTTGCATTGCCCATACCAGCTGGGCGGTCAGAAGGCATCTCTTTCTTTTCGAATATAAATACACTAATTAAAAGCTCCAAGTGTTTAAATTTATAGAAAAAAATAAAGTATTCAAGCGTGAAATTTTTTCGATTTAGTTTGTACTATAACTTGCAAATATCATGAAACGCAGAATGAAACAGTACAAGGTATGATTACTCTAAACGCGTGATTTTACTTTACAAAAGAAAGTGACCATTATCGTTACCAGTTCTTATTCATGATTAGTTATTCATCATATGAAACGCATATATATATAATCTCGATCGATATCACAACTGTTACTGTCTGTTAGTAGTTTACTACGAAGTGTTTACGTATATACTGACTTGTTACAATTCAGAAAGTAACAATCGTAAACACTCCTATTTCTTGCTACATAATATTGATTGATAAGATATGTTGGGTTCATAGCAGCATGAAAGTCGGTAAAGTCATTTTTATTTTATTCATCAGAGCAGTCCAAAAGAACCAATAAAGCATGATTGTGAGAGCATGTACTCGTTGTTTACCTTTTGCTTTTCATTATTCATAACAAAAATAGTCGCGAAACTGAAGCCAGTCGCTTAGAATATTTATTTTTCAGTAGCGTTCATTATTTAAATTATATTCTCATTTTTACAAAAACAAAACTAGGATTATCTCCGTGTTAAAATTAACATTCGAATTTGTAGTAAAGCTGACATGTCTGAAGTCAATCATGATCGATGCTTTTACTATTTTATCGAATAGGAATCGAAATTGATCTGACCTTCTAGACAAGTATCAAAACAATAAAAATAATGGTAGCATCTCATTTTTGATTTATTCAAACTATCGAGACCGCAATATTCGACTATTCTTTATCACAACTATTAAATGGACAAAGGAAATATTTAATAACAATGAATTAAACTTATTTCATACATTGCTAAGAAAGAAATAAAAATAGTATATTTTACAATAAATAAAATAATATTAGGAACTACAACATGTTTTTCCACCATTATCATCTGTCGGCTTGTTTGTTGATGTAAAGTTAGGTTTAATTATTTGAGAAGTAGCTTGTAAAATTTTATTCGAATCATCTTTCATAGAATCTATTCGAGCTGCCCAATGTCGATAAATATCCGCAATAAGACTACGAAAAGCTTGTTCGACATTGGTTGCATCCAATGCTGATGTTTCGATATAACTGAAAAATAGAAAAAAAATGCTTTTTTTCTTGTTTTAAATAATAGAATATATCCTACGGAATATTTCTTTCTTCAGCATAACGTTTAGCATTTTCATAAAGAACAGTACGCATATGTCGTTGATCGACTTTATTGCCCACTAAAATAATAGAACATTCAATACCGGCATTGGCTCGAACCTCGTTGTACCTATTCGAAAAAAGAAAAAGAAAAGACAATAAGAAATTTTGAATAATCGCTATTATATTTACCAATTATCAAGATTCTGAAATGTCGATGCTTTGAGAATATCAAAAACTATGAGAGTACCTAAAGCATTGCGATAATAAGCTTTTGTAATCGCCATAAAACGTTCTTGCCCAGCTATAAATATAATTTTTTTTTGTTTAAGAAAGAAAGAGAAGAACAAATCAATTTACCAGTATCCCATATTTGTACTTTTATTGTTTTACCATCAATTTGAACTTCTTTCGTTGAAAATTCGACACCGATTGTTGAGCGACTTTCAAGTGAAAATTCGTTTCGAGTGAAACGTGATAATAAATTCGATTTTCCAACAGCGGAATCGCCTGTTAAAACAATTTTAAAAACATAATCGGCACTTGAAGATTCTGCCATGGACTTTTTTTCTTCACTCTATAATGAATCAAAGATGAAAACTTTAGAAATGATCATAGTTTCGAGTGTAATCGACTCAATTCTGCATCTGAATCATCGTTTATGTCAATATAAAAATATAAAACGCCGTATCGTCTGATAAAATACTCGAGTAAAAGAGAGAGAAGTGCAAAAAAGAGGAAATTAGTTGACGACTTTTTAGATTGAATTTTAAAAAAATATCAATGTGCGTTTGTTGCGGACGAACAACGAGAAAAACAGAAAGCGTTGTATTCATGAATTGTGAAATATTGTTTTCATCGTTAAGATATATTATTTATAAATGACTACATTAATGTCTCATCAATGTAGTCTTATTGAGTATACTTGTTTATCAATGACTCGTCGATAGCTATAAAAAAAAAAGAAAAAGTAGTCGCGTTTTTTTCTCGCTCTCTAAAAAGTAATCTGTATGAAAAGAAAGATGAATCATGTTGTCCTGTTTTTCTCATCGTTCACTTTGCGATATAGTTTGGGGTAGAATGACGGCAGAACAAAAGTAGGCTGTATAACATGAAAAAAATAAAAAATTGAGAAAGGAACAGAACAAATTATAACTCACTTGTTTTTCGTATACGAGACGTTTTCTCTCTTGATTAAATATCAGGAAATTCAAAATACCAACTTTTTCCACTCGATTAAAACATCAGAAATAATCTGAATACTTATTCAAAGAAAAGACCACCCATAGAAATTGATTTTAATATTTTTATGACTAAATATGATCGAAAATTTACTTAGTCAAGATGTTTCCTAAAGAATCACAGTTATGATCTATGATTTTTCCTCGTAGGAAATTATGAGTGTCAATTTAAGCAATAGAAACATGGCATAGAGTTGCCTCTGAAATTTAGTGCATGGTTTATCGTTGTTTTTATACAAACAAACAAGACAAAATACATTTTAAGTATACAAAAAACAAATCAAAAACAAATATTTATCGTCGTCTATGATGATGATGGTGATGTTTAAGATCTCTTCGTTTCAAACTTGGATCATCCACAATTTGTTTCATCATTGGTCGAATAAAATCCTGTTCTTCATCCTCAGATGATGATAAATCATTCCTCTTTTTTGCTCGTTGTTTTATTATTTCATTGACTTTTTCTTCTTTATCATCAAGTTCTTTATATAATCGAACATTTTGTTGACGTTGTTCATTTCGCATAGCTCCATCGACTAGCATTTCACATATCCGACGATCTCTATCTTCTTTTGATTGTTTTTCACGACTTTTTGCTAATTCTTCTTTTGGTGGTTTTTCGCGATGCTTTGTTGATGGACGTCGAGGACTATGTTCACGACGTGGGTGACCAGACCGCGATTGTGGCGATGGGCTATGACGGCGCTGATGTTGACGATGTGGTGATCGACTACGACGACGTTCTTGCGGCGATCGACTACGGCGACGTTCTTGCGGTGATCGTGACCGGGAATGATGGTGTTTTTTACGTGATGATGATCCAGATTTTCTATAAATAATCGTTTAATTTTATGAATTAAATAATTTTCCATGGAATCGTATTGTCCTCCTTTGTAATAGTGATATGATGTTATGTTTAATATGATTATCTGATAGTTGAAAATAAGATAACCCCAATGAGTTGCATTCTAATTCTATGACATTTGTTAAGTCTTCTATTTTGGTTGACCCCTCAACTAAGACTATTGAGTTTTATGAAAGATCGAAACGCTCACCCACTCACTCTCTCTCTCTCTCTTTTTGTATTGATAATGGGTTCATCTAGTATTACTGAGGCATTCACTTAGAAAATATCTCGATTTAAAATGAACGGCTTATAGCAAATTAAATAATGGGAATATTCTATATGAAATAATATATTTACCCAGATTCTTGTCGTTCTAACAGTTCTTTAAGTTGTTTGAGTCGAACAGGATTTTCTAAAATTCTTTTCTTTTGTTCAATTTCTTTTTTCTTAATTAAATATAATGGGTCTTCACGAATTTTATTAGCTAAATCGATGGTTGATGTTGTTGCATTATCGTCTGATGGTTCATCAGGTGGTACGTCACCATCAAGTTTTCTTCCCAATAAAAAATCTTCAGATTTCGTACGATCACCCGTATAAATCCATTCAAGACGAGGTTCTTGTGGTTCCTGCTTTTCACGATTAAGTCGAAGCAATTTTTGGCGTTCTTGTTCATCATACATTGTTCCTGTAGGCTCTTGAGCAAGAGCCTTTCGCATAGACATTTTAAAAAACTTTGTAAAAAGAAATTTCAGCACAAAAGATTTTAGTAATGACTGAATGAATGAAAAACACTTTTTAGATTGGTTCATACCAATTCAGCGTATTGAAATATTTGTTACAGATGACGCTGTCGACAAGTTCGATAAATAAATCCCATATGGTTAATTTAATTTTTACAAGCAAACAATTGTGTTCGACATGTTACATTTAAGCAATTAAGATTGCGATACTTTTGTTACTTTCTCAGCTTTTAAATTTAAATTTCTCCTATAGTAGAATTTAAAATTCTACTAGACACTTTTATTATGGAATATATTTTTATTTCTTCTATAGTAGAGATTGAAATCCACGTTTTATATTAATGATTTGTACGTAGAATAGAAGAAAGAAAAAGGATTTAATTACTTTATTTAAGATACACGTATCAGTATCCACAAAATACAAAAATATATTATGAAATGGAGCTGTTCTATGAGAAAATCGATAAACATATTGAAAATTTAGGTGAGAAATTTCGCTTTAAGTTTGTTATCACGAACGTGGTTTATAACGACATCGTGTTGGTGCTGAAAGATGGTTCCGATGAGGCTCAGTTTAAATTTTGGGTTTACAAGCACTCCAAATTGATCACTGTTGGAGAATTACAAGTTCTGTATGGCAAAAAAATAAATAATCCTGTAATAACTTATGAACAGTTATATGCAACGATTAAAGAATGCCATGAAACTTAGAGCGAAATTTCTCACCTAAATTTTCAATATGTTTATCGATTTTCTCATAGAACAGCTCCATTTCATAATATATTTTTGTATTTTGTGGATACTGATACGTGTATCTTAAATAAAGTAATTAAATCCTTTTTCTTTCTTCTATTCTACGTACAAATCATTAATATAAAACGTGGATTTCAATCTCTACTATAGAAGAAATAAAAATATATTCCATAATAAAAGTATCTAGTAGAATTTTAAATTCTACTATAGGAGAAATTAAAATTTAATTTTCTACTAGGAGAAATTAAAATAACCGGTGATTTCAAGTTATGCTAATAGAAATTAAAATTTTAATTTCTACTGCAACATTGATATAAAACTTTGAATTTAAGTTTTGAATAGCAAGTAATGCTAGATGAGAATCATAGTTGCGTGAAGTTAGCTTTTCTGTCCTTGACATTCTCGACTTGAGTCCGCGTTATTATGTATCAGTTATGTGTTTAACTTAATTCTTATTCAATGCAATCTGTGATAAAATAATTACCAGAATTTGTAACAAAAATATCCTCATAAGAACAGACGTCTTGACTATTGCTGTTGCAAAGCGCCAGATGTTAAAATGTTGTACAAAAACATCAATGGATACTGAGTCCAACAGATTCTAAGTAATAACAATAATAATAATCTGCCTAAAACAGATGGTAGTGAATTTATTGTTGCGTAGACAAATTGAGAATCTTACAGTTTCCGTACAAAAAGAAATATTGTTTTATTTTCTTCTATACCGAAGAAAGTATTAATGCTTCATTAGGAAAAGTACCAATACTGCTAACTTTGTAGGTTATGTATTAAAATGATTTAATATATACGTATTTACGCATAAAATAATTTCTTTTTACGATGATAGTTTGATATTTTTCCTCTGATCGGATCGCAGACTTTCATACAGATTGTACTCAATGTACATTGTACTTTCTTGATAGAGACAATTTAATAGGCTCATATGAGAGAAGTATTTCAATCTTGCTGATGCTTTCTGTAGTCGTTGTAAAATGTAAATAAGGATAGCAGGATTATTCATAGCACGATTATTTATTAATGGTTTTTTAATACATTCTATAAATATTCAAAGTTTCTTCCATCGGACATATTTAACTTGTTTTCATTAGAATATCATATAATTAGCCCACTCTAAAAATAGTTGTTTCCGTGTTTTTATGGCCTGGCAAAAGGCTTAAATAAAAGCAAAACTACCTTCCATATCTAGTTCCAATGTCAACATTACTATCATCATCGACCAATCACTATATTTATATGACGACAGCTCACTGAGAACTATCTACACATGTTTTCAATGAATAAAACTGACGCTAAAAATAAATTGCAATTTGTTAATTTTACAAAAGTCTATCTGATGTGCAGCGAGCTGAATGTGTTCACAAGTGTCAACAAAGATAATTGCATCTTATTAAGATATCATATGTCACAACTTCAGTTGAATGTGTATTTTCTAAACCCGATAGATCTATGATCATTATGCCATTCGAAATGGATCACAGAGTCTTATCAATTAAATTAAAAATTAAAACTCATCACGTATGACACCCAATGTTAATTAGTATTCAGATGAGCTTGTTCGTTTTTGTCTTAAAAAGAAATCCTCCATTTTGTACTTTTCTAAATAGATGTTGTCGGTTATTCATTTGTAGATCAGCAATAATTTCTGTTAATATGTTATATGATTGATGTCTCTATGGTTTTATCCCATTCATCTTACCAAAATGCTATAACATTTTCCAGTGCCACCACACGCGAAACTAATGCTATTGTCAGTATGATATTAATGATACTCGATCTCGCCAGACAAGACTTTGATTTAAGAGAAAAATACTCGTTTGTTTTCTGATAATATAAAAGACAAACTCTATACATGACAGATACATATATGGATTTATATCTGATTCTTTACTGTAGGGACTCGTTAACCTTTGTATTTTTTTATTTGATATTTTCATATTAGTCTAATAGAATATATGAAATGGAATTGTATAATAGGACGTTCAATGAGTTAAATGAGGCAGAGTTAGAACTTTGACTACGAGAAAAGTTTTATTGAATCTACTAATTGTTGATGACGAATAGAGAAAATGTAAAAAGAACTAATTATTATCATATTGCAAGAAAAAGGATAATATATAATTGTTTTGCTTTAATTTCAGTTCGGAACTTTTGGTATCCCATTTAATAATCGTTGATTACTTAATGGCGGCTGATAGAAAGCATCGACTACGGCGATCTATGAATATATAAGATGAATAGATATCAAAAGCAATTAACGAGCAAGAAAGAAAACGATTAACTATTCCCAAAACCTATCATCAAAGCATGTTGCAATCATTGAGCACGTCAAGTTAATAGTAATATGTATAGATAAATCCTATATCCGATTAAAATTTTTCTCTATTGTTAATAGAAGATAGAATAGTAAGTTGTTTTTTTAAAAAAGCTATTTTTTTTTAAATATTGTTTGACTACAGGCGTGATCGTCATCATCATTTTCATCACAAAAGAAAAAAAGAATTACATAGACAAATAGAAAGATAGAGAATGACCACGAAAAAAAACCGAGAAAAAAATTGAAAAACTATCTAGCCTAAAACGAAGGGAGTACTATAAAGAAAAACGCAATGGGCAGTCATCATCACTCGGTGTAAATTTGTTTTCTGGGACACAGATCATCCAATTAAATAATGGTTTTAAATAGTTGCTTTTTCTGTATATCCCTTTGCGTTTGTCATTGCCATCTATTTAGTATATAGCACCGCTTGACTGTGACAGACTGGTTTTATAGAGTGCAACAGATATGAGAAAATAAAAAGAAAGAAAATTATTCTGTAACTTACAAAAAAAAAGAGAAGGAAAAGAAATAAGAGATTCTTTATCACACGATTGCAAAAAAGAGAGACAGACAGACAGACACACACACACACACACACACTGTAAATGCGCACAAAGTTGTGAGAATAAAAGAGCGTCATAGAAGTAGACAAGGATAGAAATTGAGAGATAAACTAAATAGATCAGAAGGATTACATATATATATATATATATATATGCGGGCCCGCCGAAGTATTTTGTTTTTGCGTTGGTCTATTGCTCATATTACTTGATTTTATTCATTGTCTGTAATTGGGTATGTTCAAAGGTTGATGGTGATGGTTGATAATTATCAGTCACAGTTGTGTTAGTAGTTATAATAGGATTAAGAGAATGAGGACGAGTAAGAGGTCGATTGTCGTTATAAAACGAGGATAATTTGGGCACAGTAGCGGCTCGGAGCCGATCTAATGTTGCATATTCAGGCGGTTGTCGATCGATTGAATCTTGAAATGCTTTTATCACACGAAGCTAGAAAAACAGGAATACAAGAAAAAGAACTTCTTTTAAGTTGTAATAAAACCGAAAGTAGGGATTTCAATAAAACATAAATGGATAAATTATTGAGGAAGAAAAAAAGCTAGATAAACATATATGCGTAAAGCAACAAAATAAGCGAAAAATATTTAGCAGCAATAACAGCAAACAATATTGAAAGCAAAGCTTTTCAGTTTTTATGTTTTTTGAAAAAGCTATTTCAATTTTTTCTTCAAGTAAACTGAAAGGTATCAAACGAACAAAACAGCTGTGGTAAGTGAGGGTTATGATAAAAAATCACACGAAAAAGGTATTTCAAAACTAAACAGGTGGATCAAACCTCGAGAGATGATATGAACAGACATGCTGGACATATACAATGATATTTTAGGATGGATAGAATCAAAGCGCAAATGTGCTTTGATTCAAATGGATGATGATTAAGTTACCATTGTGAAGACGGCGATTTGGCAACATGTTCTTGGAAAGTATTAACGACTTGTACCTGTCATAGCGATTATAGATAGATAAGAAGAAGAAAAAAATAAACTCAGAAGAAGAAGCTACGATGACTGAAATGTTTTTTTTTGTGTATATGATTTAAAACTACGTTAATTTTAGAATGAAACAAAGCCGACACCAGCAAAAATTTTGCTTTAATCAATATATGCTTAAAATTTTCTTTAGCGTTTTAGTTTTACAAACCTGTGTTTGTAGACGTGTTATTCCTCTTAACCAAAGTATTTGTCCTTTTGTTAAACTTGCTCCAGGTCTTGATGAACCTTCAGCATTTAAATCAGCGGTTAATGTTTGACTATAAACTTCACCTGAACCCCATTTTGGCATATGACGCGTCACCGGAATCAAATTAACAATCTAGATACAATCGTATGAATATGAATTCAGTTTTCGTTAATTAGGAAACAAAAAGCAAAATAATCTTTACTTGATTCCATAGAAGTACTGTGACACCAAAAAATAAACACCACATCCACTGTTCAAATGTTAATGCAACGCATGAAAATGCAACTGAACCATATTGAACAAGAAGAATCTGTACGGCAAATGTAACAATCCATATACCATAAAAAATTGGATTTGTAAATATTCCTCGAAAAACATTTTGTTCACCATGGATTTTTCGGCAATTAATTTCATTAAATAATGTCATTAATACAAAAACATTAAAGATCATTGTAAAATGCTCCGATGGCTTAAAAACATTATTTATTGGGCGACCATCATCGATATCAAATACAGTCGGTCCTACAATTTACAAAACAAATAAAATATAAGAGTAAAAATTAATCTGTCTCATGCAAACGAGTCATAGGCCTAGATTTCAGGTCGATTTTTTTTATGTGAAATAAACTTCTTTTCTTATGAATCTAAAATACTCGAATTTTTATCTTGTCTTAAACAATATTCGATATGTGCATGTCTACATTAGTGATCACCCAATATGAACTACTAAGTTCTTCTATTTCTAAAAGATTAAGTAAAAAGAATCTATCCAAGAATAGATCGAATGAAATCATTGTCCTGCGATTAATAACAACAGTTGAATCATATTCGACATTTTAATTCTGCACGAATAACGTTAACAACTCTATTTTCTTACCAGCAAATAAGATAAAAAGCATAACAGCTAATTGATAAATAGCATGGCCAAGAATATTTTTCATCATTGTTCGGGATATTAATGGTCTTGTACGCCCATATGGCTTACGCGTCAATAAATCTTCCGTCGGCACTTCCGTTGCAAGTGCTAATGATGCTAATGTATCCATAATTAAATTAACCCACAGCATTTGTACAGCGCGTAACGGAGATTCTTTCACAATACATGCACCGATAAAAGCGCAAAATACAGCAACTACATTTACAGTTAATTGAAATTGAAGAAATTTTGCTATTGAATCATAGACATTACGCCCCCACATAACTGCTTTTACAATTGAATTGAAATTATCATCGACCAATATAATGTCCGAAGCTTCTTTTGCTACATCAGTACCTTGTATGCCCTATGAACATAAAAATCTTTTTTTCTTTCTAGATTTGGCTTAGATTCAATATCATGAGATAAAACTCATTCTTCTAACTATTCGATATAGATGAATTCAATCGCGAAAAAGAAAAAGATGAAAAACTAACCATAGCAAAGCCAACATCAGCTTTTTTCAAAGCAGGTCCATCATTGGTCCCATCACCAGTAACAGCAACAACTTCACGTGTTGGATTGAGTTTCGATGCGATAATACCTTTTACAAGTACATATTTATCTTGTGGTGATGATCGTGCCAGTACACGTAATGATGGCCAAACTTTATCCAATAAATTTTGTTCAACCTATACAGAAAATAAAAAATTTGATAAATAAGGCAAAGCGTTCGTCTTTTACTTCGCCATCTGGTTTTGATCTAATTCGTCGATTAAATTCTTTTCCTTCAAGTACTAGAAAACTATCATTTGGCGTAATAATGCCACATTTCAATGCAATCGATCGTGCTGTATTCACGTTGTCACCTGTAACCATTCGTACTGTTATACCAGCGTTTCGACATTTAGCTATTGCATCAGGTACTTCTGGTCGTACGGGATCTTCAATACCACAAATACAAACACATGTCAATTGATCAACAACAGTTGCTTCATCATCCCAATCAGGTAATTTATCTGACGGAAAATCCCTATAGGCAACACAAATTGTTCGTAAACCGTCGCATGCCATGGGTTCAATAACAGTTTGTACGAGCCGATCATAATCAACAGTTGAAAATGGTACAATTTCGCCATTACGATTTAATATTGTTTTACATTTTTTTAAAACAATTTCCGATGCACCTTTTGTATACATTCGCGTAGTTGAATCAGGTCGTTGTACAACAGTCGACATATTTTTTCGTACGGAATTAAATGTATAAACATGAATAAATTTTTCTTCAGTATATTGTTGACGTATTTCATTATAATCTCCACCAAGACCAACAACAAAACCTAATAAGCCACATTCAGTTTTATTACCAACTTGTTTTGCTAATGTTTCTTTTTCAGGTGGAGGCTACGAGAAAGAAAAGATATATTTATTGACTAAAGTCTAGATTTAAAAAAATCACTTACAAGCAATTTAGATGCATAACTGCTATTGACTGATATACCTTCAAGAAGGATTTCTTTAGTTTTATTCGGTATAGAAATTTCTTTAACTCGAACAGGATTTTCAACATTTTTCCAATGTTTTTCACTGACATAAACTTGTACAACAGTCATACGATTTGTTGTTAAGGTTCCAGTTTTATCTGAACAAATAGCTGTTGCATTACCCATGGTCTCACATGCATCCAAATGACGAACTAAATTATTATCCAACATCATTTTCTAAATAGAAAAAAAAATGTCTCTTTTTTAATTTATCGAGAATAGATATCAACTCACTTTAACAGCATAAGCTAATGATATTGTTACTGCCAATGGTAAACCTTCAGGTACAGCAACAACCAACACAGTTATACCTGTGATCAAATAACGTACAAATCGACTCCAATATTTATTGCTCCAACGTTCATGTCTAGAAGATTAGAAATACATCATTATAGAGATTTATTTTTCGGTGAATTTTTTATCCGTATACCGTTGAATAAATTCTTCGATTGAAAATCGTAAGAGTAGAACAATTACCGTTAAGATAGCAATTGTCATGCCTGAATAGTAAACATAATCAATGTAATTTACGAGACGAAAGAAATTAATTTGAACAGAAAATATACTTCTATTGAATTTTAAAAAAAGAAAATAATCTCAAGCCATATGAATTGATCCAACTTATGAAAGATTTAACTCAATCCTATCATTAGTTTCGATTCTATTTAACAAAATCTTTGCATTCTAAAAATTCAATTTTGATTTATTTATAGAAATTACCTGTTTGAATAAACAAACCATAAATATCGATTCATACGTAGAATGACCTTCATCGTAAAAATGAATTGTTTTTCAATAACATTCTTATCGATATCTGCAATTTGTATTACGATCTTCTATCTAGGTCAACTCTTGAAAATATTAATGGAAAATTCTAATCCAATATTATTGTACGAAATCGCATATTTATCAAAAAAAGAAGACAAATAATTTATGATAAGTCAATTTCCAGCTTTCAACAAATAGAATGCCAACTACTCAAAACAAATGGGTCATTTAGAAATCATTCTGTATTGCCATATTGAAATGACTTTGCGCTAATTTAACCATATCAGTCATTTGCATAAGCCATTCCCGTTGCTGACTAAACCATCAACTTCACGGAATTAGTTCCAAAGAATAGAGAGTTAATTCGATAGAAAAATAATTATATTAGTAACTTCGTACTAGCTCTTCTTTTCATCATGAATTAGCTTATGAATTTATCACATGATAATCTTTACTGTTTGCATTAGATTTATGAATAGAGATTTAATCCAAAAATCTCATCTCGAAGTTTTACATAAATTTTTTTCCGTATTAGTAATGACAAGTCAACATGTGGCTCAAGGCATTATTAATCTCTATAGGATCAGAAAGATAGTTGAAAGTTTTAATATTCTTGTTTTTATTATCAAACCGTGACTTTTCTCGGTCTTCTTACCAGCATATCCAATTTGAATAGCTAATTTAGTTAATTTTGCTTGTAAAATAGATCGTTCTTTAACTTTGAAACCTCCTGAATCATCATCACCAGCGGTATCTTTTTCTTTGGCAATTTCAGCATCTTGCAATTCGGTTGCTTCATGATTATTTCCTTGTGCACCTAATCAAAAACGAAAACATTATATATCAATATATCATTAGCATTCAATTAAATATATATATATATATATATATATATGTGTGTTAAACACAAAAGAACGACAAAAACCTGCATTTGACTCTGGTGCTACCAAACGTTCGTTAGTCTCACGATCAACAAAACCATTTGCATCTGAATAAGCATGAGGAGAAATCACGGGTAAACATAGGATAAATTTAAAATAAAAAAGGTTCACAACGAAATCACTGCTCTTAACATGCATGCCAACATACTTTCTTTTTTATTTTTCACTTTTTTCTCTTCATCATCTTCTTGCGTTGCACCTAACAATTTAAATATCATTCCTGTTTGACTGTGTTCACCAACAGCCAATACCAACATTTTTGCACTACCCTCCATGATATGTGTACCTTTAAAAATAGATAGTATTTTTAAAATCAAAAGAATGATCTCAATACATAAGAATAACATTAACTGAAATATTTATTCGAATTCTATCACAACTATTTTGGAAATAAATCTATCGAATAGAGAAAACATACATTGCGGAACAAATTACGATGTCCAAGAGCTATTGTCGTTTCAATGATGCTCTCAAAGTTTAGAACACAATTAAATTCATGTAAATTCTCATTTTTTAAACCTATCACACTATAATTGCCGTCTGTTGCAGATAATAGATCATAAAGGACTTCTAGACATGAATCTTATTTCCGTTAACAGTCATTTGATTTTTATTAGATTGAACTTAAGTGCCAAAAAGTTTTTAATACAAGTTTCGAGTTTCTATAGATCACTTATCAAACAAACACAAAATTATTAATTAAAAGTTCTTAATCAATTCTGCTGATAGGAAATTGTTATAGCTAATCAGATTTTTTTGTCCGATTGGCTACCATTATGTAAAAAGAAAAAGTAATAAAATACTCAGTTCCGAAGCGTTTCACCGTCATCTGGTATAAACGAAGAAAAGAAACTCATAATAACGATGTGAAATTCAAGCGCAGACATATATCGTATGATTTCTAGAAAATCCTGACAGTTTTAGACGAAAATAATGTTATTTTCATGAGGTATCATATTTCTACAAAAATACTCGTTTGCCATAGGCATGGAACAAAGATCGAGTTTACTTAATTATTCAATATCGTGACACAAAAATATATTCCAAGAAGGATAAGATCTATATATATATATATATATATCAGTTGTTTATTCAGTAAAACAATCATAACTCGGCATGGACACAAAGTTATTTAGATTTTTGCCTATATATCCCCAAGGTTTCTCTACATGAGCTCAAATGTTAAGTATCAATACTGATGATTGTCTTGATGTAGGAATATAAAATAATGTTCTTACCAGACAAAAGAAATGGATCTTTCGATTCATGCTTTTTTATTAAATCGGATTCTCCCGTTAATGATGATTCGTCAACTTTAAGATCATTTGATTGCACAACAACACCATCAGCTGGCAATAAATCACCATATTTAACTTGACATATATCTCCAACAACAATATCTTTTATTGGAATTTGTTTAACAATGTTATTTCTAACAACATTAAATTTTTGATCACTTTCAATTTTTGATTGAAGACCACGAAATTGACGTTCTTTTGTCCAATCATTAAATGCTGTTACAAGAACGACAACAATGACAGCAACAATAATTGCTGCACCTTCAATCCATTCAACATTTGCTTCTTCTAAAAACAAAAACAAAACTGATTTTTATAAAAATCTTACAAGGAAAATAAATTGATTTTACTTGGTTTTAATTCAGCTTGAAATGTTTCATCCGATGGATGATAAAAGGATAGACCAAATGAAATAATAGCACAGATGATAAGAATAACTAGTGTAATATCTTGAAGAGCATCGATCATAAGACGAAAAAATGTTTTCGGAGGTTTAGGTGGAATTTCGTTACGACCAAATGCAGCTAAACGTAAGGATATATCAGATTCATCTTCGGATAAACCTTAAATCAAATGAGAACTTTAAAATGTTTGTTACGTATTTTCAAAAAAATTCTTTTACCGGTAATTAAATTTGTTTTCAGTTTTTGCCCTAGACCACTAAGACCACCATAGGTTTCATTAAGTGTCAAAACACCTTCATGGCCTCGTGTTTGCATTAACTTTTCTAATTCATCGAATGAAATTCCAAATTCTAGAGCTGCTGTTGCAGATGAAATGTCATTTGTATCATTAGTAGCTTTCTTCTTTTTAGCCATGTTTTGTTATTCGTATATATGCAGATAATGCCTATTGATGTAAATCGATTTTTAACAAGTTTTTCTGTCGTTGAAGAAACGATAAAATCAAAATCATGATTTATTCATTCATTCAACATACAACGACAGATAGATCTTAAAACAAAAAAGACAAAGAAAAAGAAGAAGCTACCGAATATAGTTTATCTTGAGGTCATACAGAATATTTATATTTGTTTTCCAAAGAACCCTCTTCATAACAAAAGACAAGAAAAGAAAAGGTAGAGAGCCCCCACGATCGATGATTCTCATATGGAATCATAGAAGATAATTACTTGACCTTTTTCTGACACTAAATACATTTTTATGTTGCAATTTACCAAATAAGTTAACGTATGAAAAATCTCGAATATCAAGAAAACAAACAAAAAATGAAATATTCATCTGTATATATGACATCTTATAAATTGGTCAATCTTTTTCTTGGTGTTTATTAATTAGAACTTACTAGTCCTCTTTGTTGCTTTGATTATTACTTAATAGGATTTTTTTTCTTATCTTTCTTTTTTTCCTACATATTGTGTTATGCGGTTAGTCGAGCGAAGAAAGAGAGAAAACATGTAGAAAGCTATGTGCATTGATAATAAGAATAGTAATGACAAGAGCAATCATAGAAATAATACTACAGTCAGACGATACGACAATAATCATATGTATATATATATATATATATATACGAGAACTATAAACAGAGAAAAAGAGACAGAGACCCGCATAATCATCTAATCAGATAATCCAACTTAACGGTCGTCCACACGGATTTTCTATCTAGAAAACAGGAGCAATAGAAAAAAGAAATAATCATTGAAAATAGAATCTAAGAATAGATAGTGAAAGAAAAGAAGAAACAGTGATCTATACTAACACAGGTGTTATAGAGAAATATACAATTAGCTTTCTTTTTTTTTGCTTGAAGAAAAAGGAATAAAAAAGAAGAAAAAACAACTATCATCAACAACAGCGAAGACTATTCAGATAATAACTATTAATGGCATGTTATTATTTTCGACTACTGCTATTCTGCCTTCCCTCTTTCTTCATTCAATAGCCGACAAGGGAAATAAAAAATTATTATTCTCTTTCTGTCGTCTTTTTTTCAATATTGTTTTTTCTTCTGTCTTATTACTACATATCTCACTTTGTAATTATCATTATTATCATCAGCATTATCCAACTTTATTTACAAATAAAACATACAATAATACTCTTCGGAAATAAGTATCAAACCGGTTTGTGTCAAAGAAGAAAAGCACTGATTCAAAAAAATATCTGTCGTCAATAGGTTTCTTATGACTAAGAAATGGGAAATAGTAAAATGACAATAATATCGATAAACCAACTAGAAAACAGTTCGCTTACACATTAACGTGGTCAATGAAGCAATACACAAGATTTCAAGATAACAAAAAGCAGAGGAAAAAAAGAATTTCTTGATATTTGCATGTGAAATTTTATTTATTTATCTTAAATAAACATGATAGGAAAAAATTGCGTTCATAAATTCCCTGATGACTGTAGAGATCAAAAATTGGAATACAAAAAATAGTCATTGTAACCTTACCCAGGGGATTAAGCAAACATCTTGTGCAATCAGCCTGTGTTCTTTATTCTTATTCGAAAAAAGACAAATCGTGACTTGGTTAATAATCCTTCCTGTAGTTCTTTCTCCTTTTCTCGATTTTCTAGGTTAATGGTAGTGTGGTGGTGGGTGTTATTGTTGTTTTTCTCGTTGCCGACATTTTCTTTTTTTCTTCACGCGGCCGAGCCATTTCGCTTTTTCTATTCGCGGCACATTTTTCTATCGTTCCACTAAATTACCATTTCTGTTGGTTTTTCTCTATTTGACGACGTGTTCGAAGTAATAGTAACGGAACTCGATTTTCTCTTCTTCTCCTCCCTCTTGCTTTTATATTTTTTCTCTCAGTTTTTTCTTTTTCTATGTAATATTCTCAAACTAGCATTTGTTTTTACTCTCGGACTAGGATGTCTAAGTCTTTATTAGCGGTATCACAAATATAGACACCCGGAGTCTCTCTCTCTCTCTCTCTCTCTCTCTCTCTCTCTCTCTCTCTTCAACAAGATGAAAATCGCTTATCACATCATATTGTCATTGGACTACTTGAGAAGACGAACACATACGAACGAGTGACAGCACAAATGATGATTATTGCTGATAGTGAATACACTAAGAAGAAGAAAATGAGATGAAACATAACAAAAAAAAACTTCAATAAAATGTAAAAGAGACTTCTACATACAGGAAATTGGTATGTGCTATGTGACGAGTACCTCGCGATACGATTCGTTTCCGCCTGGGTAGATTTTTTTCTCGAATACGCAGTGCATCGAGTTCATCATTATTATATATGAGGAAAAAACTCTTGTCTGCTTTTATCCTATTGATGAAAAACATCCTATCTGCGAATAAATACGATAAAAAGACACGTCCTTAAAGACAAGACACAAAAAATAAAATTTCTTATACGTGCATATGCTAGAACAAATGGAAAACATCGGCCATGTGCAATATTCCAAAGGCGGATATTTATGAAACGAACGAGTCCTTGTAGGCTAGATCTATGGTGGCGATAAACCAATTATTATTTATAGATGGTACTAGGATATAATTATCTACAAAGGATGTTTATCATTTTGAATTTTCAATCGTAGAATAAATAAATACAACCAATTTATGATAATAGCTAAATAATAAATCTTAGGATGAGGTCGCTACTAGACGGTTGAATCTATCATAGGGGACCCTGGACAATACTCGGATGATCGTCAAGGTTTTCTCTCTCTCGCTCGCTCTCAATGAATATTATTGAAGCAAAGTTATCAACAAAACAAAGTTTACACACTATTCAATCTTATTTACTTATCTAAATATTATTACCATAAATACATACACATCAAAGCGCGGGGCTAATAATCGGAAGTCTCCATTAAAAACTTCGAAGCGAAGAATTTTTATTGTCATATTTTGATTGATTAACATTACGGGAAGAGAGTTGGCTATATTTGATAAAAATATTTTTGTATAAATCATAGAGCGTAAAAAGTAATTTGTTTGACAATAGTCTTTGTTGATAGATGCTAAATTATCTAATCGAGAAGATTAATGTAGATCATGGAACAAGTACATTCATTGAATAGCATCGACTGGTTCGTGTTTAAGGAATAGAAACTAAACGAGGTAGAAAAAAACTCTTCAATGTTTAACTACCTCTACTCTGTCGATATAAATCTGTGATTTCACGTCTATCAACATATTCTCAATTGAGTCTCTTTTATATATCGTTATCACTATTTAGATAATTAAAAGATTAATTATTTATATCCAAAAAACGAACAGTATGATGATATAGAAAAGAAAACACGCTATAATTCACATATCTACATTCAGTAGTAGTAGTAGTAGTAGTTGTTGTTGCTGCTCTTCTGTGTGAGAGACTATTCTGTGTAGAAAAATTGGTTCACCGTCAAATGTATGCATACTGTAGATCAAAGATATTTATAAATGAATCAATTAATTTTCGATTCTAAATGGTAACAAACATAGTTAGCATTTGCCAATGAATGTAAAATCAGAGATTCACTTTTAACAAACATTGTTTGCATACTAATAGAATCTATTAAATGTGTGCGTCACTAATCATAGAATAGTGAATGTTACAAAGCAAAATTCTACCTCAGTAAAATTGTATTTTCTAAGCATGATTCATTGTTTTCTAGTATTATTCATAGAGCTACGCAAATGTATTCAATTTTTTTTGTACATGAGGAACATTTACATTCTTTCATGTTTACTTTATCATTTAAAATTACTCATCAGTCGAAAGTACGTGAAGAGATCGATTGATAGATTCTAAACTTAGTTCGTTTTAACTTCTAACAGGACGTGTTTAATAATTAGAATTAAATGAAAATTAATATTTAAAAGTAAAGAAAAAATCGAGTCGACGATATTAGAATGACTCTATTAAAGTATGTCTCTTGCTGTAGTTTCATGCATGTTTGAGATAGCTTGTACTTACTATTCTTACGATATTCTATTGAAGTGATTTGTATATTTAATAAAGTGTATTCCGACACCATTAACAAGGACTCATTTATTTTGAAGAATGAATATTCGATCTTTCTTTCAATTTTCTGTTACTAATTTATTTAGACACATATATCGGAAGATTGCATACACTCATATTCACATAAGGAAAAAAAATTCTCAAAATGAAAAAATATGTCTTCTTAATAATTATGAAGACATTTATACGAGCGTATGATATATGAGTCCTTTCAGGCATATCAAAACTCATCAATCTTTGATGACTCTTTTACGAAAATCATATTTTTGAATGTGTTCTTCAAACATAGACATGATATTAAAAATGAATTGACAAATATCTATTTGCTGCTACGAAAAGAAATAATTGAAAAATTTCATGATAGATCAATCGCACCTCTAACAAAATATTCAACAATACAGAACTAAAGAGAAAGATTTGAACTGGATCATACGAATATTTCTTTATTTTTATAATCTTACTCCTACCATCAGCATACTTAGAAAAAGTCAGAATAGAAATTTTCTAAGATCAGGTTGCATCTACTAGGGAACTACTCTACAACGTCTTCTTAGTTTCAGCCCCGCTATTATTTTCTAGTTCTTGGTTAATTGCGAGTGGTGATTTAAGAAATCATTAGGACAAATAGAAATTTATCTAGATGGATCAGAAATAGAAAAATACTCAGTCAATATTTTGTCTTACTTTAAGTTTTTCTTCGCCATATCCTTTTGTATTTATAAAATTTTCGTGCAGTTTACAGTTCTTACACCAATACAACTTGTAAATGAGTGACCATCAAATAAGTTCCGGTCCCGATTTTGGCCTCATCGAGACCAGGGCTATACTTTGTACTTGCCTAGTATCTACAGAATGTATTCTTTCTACAATTATGAACATTTACGAAAATATTTTTATTACATTTTTGATAAATAGTTTCGTCTATTATGGATTTCAAACGCAACTAATTACTTCTTTGTATATGATCAACACATATGTATATGTCGTAAGCCAATCTCGGATTCAGGCCATTCTAAGATCCGAGTTTGGACTAGTCCAAACTCGGAACTACCTTCAAATCGTCCGGCCAATTCGAGATTGTCCTGTTTTTTTCAGGCCAATCTAAGTTTCGCCTAGTCGATTCATTCTAAGATATTGTTTTTCAGACCAAACTGGGATAAAGTTGTCCAATGATGTCTTTGACCTCCATTATCGAATTGATTTTTCTTATAAATTAATAAATATTCGAGAAGGCAAAATAAAAGTAGTGGAGTTTTAATAAGATGTGGACTGATATTCAAATAAAAACGATAACGTGTAATCCATGAAAAACATATTCGAGCTACCACAGGAGCAATTAAATTCAATTATTATGGATGGTGATGATGTTATTGAAACTGCAGTGGAAGAAGTTGTTATCAGTGAGAGTGCTGAATGCCAACGAAACAAATTTAACATGAATGCCGAAGCATACAAGAATTCATTATCATTATGCATGAGAGAAAAATCAATGATAGCGTTGCCATTTTACAATAGGATCATCCACGACTTAAAACAGAAAAAAAGGTGGTAAAAAAGACCGGTATTGATTCGAAATTTTTTTTATGGTGCAAATTGCATTTCAAAATCGATTATAGTGCCGGTGTTGAAATACTATGTTCATCAACAAATGGTAATCGAATCGCTGTAATTGAACATTATTATCAAGTATATTTTCTCGTCGTCATGTGACAATCATTCGAAACTCTTTGTTTTAGATATTAGAAACTTGCCTGCATTCGTGATATTATTGATCAATGGTGGACAGTAAATGTGTTAGTGGGATTATTCACTGTACCTCATGAACTTGTTCATTTAAAAGTGATGATTTACAGTAGATATCGATGATTACTGCATCAAAACTATATGTTCGAGGAGCTATCAATGGTGTATGTTGTTCATGCAAAGGAGGATGCAAGACCAAACAGTGTGCTTGCAAAAAAAATCAAGTTTTCTGCTCAACAAAGTATCATAAAAATATTGCTTGTTGTAAAACCATAGAAAAATTTTAAAAAATTGTTTTCAATTTAGTTAATATGCAAATAAGTATTTACTATGATAAGCCTTGCACTTAATTTAGGTCAACTGTAGTTTCAGTTACTAATCACTGTATCCCAGTTTGGCCTGGAAAAAACAAATCTTAGAGTCGATTAGGCGAAACTTAGATGGACCTGACGATTTGAAGGTAGCTCCGAGTTTGGACTGGAAAAACGTCAGACCAATCTCGGATTCTAAAATGGACTAGGTCAATCCAGGATTCACCTGAATCCGAGATTGGCCTACGACTTATATATATATTTAGCTGTCTAAATTGAAATAATTATTGTGGATCGAGATTTTCATTGCTACTTTTATGTTTTTCATCGTCACGCGCGCCAATTTTTGAAAATTTCCTGATCGAAATAAAAAATGAAGCATAAATTAATAATAAATGTGTTTGTGTTTGTGTTAGCAATATGACACGTAAAGAAAATGAACGCTAAAATTTGAAAGGGACAAAGAAGAAAAGAAAAAAAAACGAAACCGGATAGAAAAAAACTTCTTTTTTTTATAATAAATAATTCTTATTTTTAAAAATCAGTTGCTGCAATATCTGCAGATAATTTATCAATCATATTTCCTTGACTACTTGAACTTGTTGTATTGACTTGAATTATGGGTTGAGATTGCTTAATTGCAATATTCATTTTCAATGGTTGCTTTTGTTGTTGTCCATTATTTGCTACAGTTGTTTGTTTTTCTATAAACAAAAACAAAACGTGTGGGGAGATATAGAGGATATGGAAAAAGAAAACTAGCCAGTTTCAATAACAGTCGTTGGTGATTGTTGTCCACCTGTCATTTCTTGTAAATACTTAAATGAACGTGATGGATGTGTGTCAATTTTATTTGTACTGAATGAAAGATTTTGTTCGTCATATTTATTAGGTACTTGCTGTGGTTTATTATAACCCGTCAAAGGTTTCGAATCGTTCTGTTCATCATTTTGTGTCATCATTTGAAGAAAACGAAACGAACGGGATGGGACTGTTGCGCCCGTATAACGTGGAGCTTCTGGCTCACGTTCACGAAAACTTGGTGGTGCTAAATGAATTTAAAAACATTATTTTAAGATCTCAAAAATAAAGTATTTTATCAAATCTATTACGTTTATTGTAAATTTCCATTAAATCTTCTCTATTATTAACTGCTCCGCTTCGATTAATAGGTCCTTGTTGTGAATCACATTGATCTTGCAAAATTTTAAATGCTCGTGATGGCATATGACTACCACTACCACGTCGAAGACCAAGCCTTTCAGCTGATATAGGAGTTTCTTCCACTGTTGTCTCTTTATTATTATCACCATTACTGGTATTATATTGTTCTTGTAAGTAACGAAACGATCGTGAAGGTAAACCTGATGTATTATTATAATTAGTGCCACGATCATTATTACCCATTTGTTCATCAAGGACAGCGCGAGCAACTAGACATGAATCGTATTGTTTATTTTTCACATAATGAAGCAAAAGGTGATTATAGGGTGGATAAAAAAGATGTCTTACGTGAAATAGAGGTTATATGTATGTTTGTATGAATGACAGATCGCAATCAATATACTTAATTTGTCCTTCTAATGGCACTCAATTATGTAGATAAGGTTACTGAACTAGATTGAACATGTCAACATAGAACAAAAAGAAATGCTAATAATTAAGATTGATAGATGCGATACGATAATAAAATAAACTAAAATTATGGTTTAACAAATAATTCATATGGTCAGTAAAGATTTCATTAAATTCAGTCTCGAAATTAATTAATTCAAAATATCTAGATGTGGAATTTTCCTACAGAAAGATATTCCGTCAGTATTCTAAATTCTCCATAAGAAAGTTTATCATTTAATTTTAAACTAATACTTTGTACATAGGCAAGTCTTAACGAAAATCGTTCACATTCAATGTCTTATCATTTTTTCTACCGTAGTATAGTATTGCTATAATAGAAGTATACCGTATCATATACAACAATACACACATTAGATGGTGTTATATCGAAAAAAAAGTACCCGAAGCTTCTACAATGAACTATTGTTATTAAGGTCCAAGCCGGTGTAAAATTTCCAGTCATAATTCTAAAATGAATCTTCCTGCGGGAAACTATGACGTTGACTTTGGAAATAAAGTAAACATGTAAAATGTGTACAGTAATAAACTAAGGACGCGAACTTTCTTCAAGGTATTCATCGATTATATAATGTTTTATAATGCACGTAGTCTCCTCGATTGAAAAGTGATTTATCAGTTATGATCATGCTATTGCTTTAGTATAAAAATTTGATCAATACATCAGTTATTTCGATATTAAAACAAAATCATTACATAAGCTCTCTATTGTTCAAAAGCAATATGAATAATTTTTCACTTATTTTTTTTTTCTTTTGAAGAATTCAATCATAATGATCATTTAATATTTCTATATCAGTTGCTTCTACGTACAGATCATAATGTCTAGTGTTCGTCAAGGACATAGTTATTTGATGATTAGTCGTCACTCAAAAGTCTAATCACTGATGAATGTAACAAAAAGAAAAGGTCAGAAGTCTACCTGCTGATTTGTTCGTCACCGCTGTTGTTGTTGTTGCCGTCGCTGCTGATGTCGATTGTGATGGTGGTGCAACTGCAGTAGGTACAGTTTTTTCACTATCCGAAATCCACCCTTGAAGCATTTGAAATGAACGCGATTGTGTAACACTTTAAGAAAATAACGTTCCAATAGATTTCAATCTCCTAAATTCAATACGCTGCTTACACGTCTGCATCGTGTTGTATATGTTTTTTTGCTGGTGTCGGTTGTTGACGCGCTTGATTAAATGGTTGAGATGGATTTTGTGGTACATAATGATGTTGACTTATGTTTTCAGGTGGAACAATCATTCGACGACTCATATTCGGATCTGATTCTTGTGTTTCGTTTGGTTCTTCAGTATTTGAAGTGTATTCACGATGACTAAAATATTCAAAAGAATATAGAACATCAAAAAATCCGAAACGAATCGATAAGTAGAATACGATGACAAGCTATTATATTGTCGCAAATGAAGGTCATCATCAACATCATAATCTCATTGAAGCTCAATATGGTCAAGTTTACTATCGTATTCTATCGTCTCGTTTTTCATTTTGCTCTGTTCTTCTATTACATTTTTCTCATCCTATTTATTACACAAGTTTTTTTTCACCATCTTAAAAACGATACGCTCGTGTAAGAATTAAGGCTCTTGAAGAGCGAATTCATGAGTTCACAAATATTGTTTTTTTTCGTTCTGAAAATACTAAAATCAAGTAATAAAAATTTTCGATCATGTTTTTATTGAGTAATCATACTATTGTTAAGTATTGATTCACATAAACATTATATTCAGTCTCGTTTTCATCCATTCTTTGAATGGCTCAAATAAAATATTAAAAAAAGAAAGGTAAAAGATAAAATATCTCTGCATTACTGACGCACACCGTACTATTAAAATATCTATAGTAAATGTGGATTGTCATAAAATAAAAAAGAACAACATTGACTATATTGATAACTAGTTTTATTTTTATCAGATTATTAGATGTTTCACACTTTTACCATGCTTTTGACCTCTATCATTGTCATGTATGTTGTGGATGATGACAAGTAAAGAAAAGTATTATATCCTAAAAAGAATACTCAACCATAGTCTGTCAACATTGATAGGGACTATAGAAGATGAAGCGTTATGGTTATGTAATCATACCGTCTAACACGTGCTGATTCACGTATTTTTGAAAGATCAAGACCACCTGGTGTATATGTAAACGGTTTCGGACCGCCAGGACGACTTAGACTTTTAGCAAGAATAGCAGGAATATTTGCAGTTTCCTATAGAAAAATAAAACAACGCTAATATTCAATTTGATCATTATTTACTGTTGTATTTTCGCTCGATGTAGGAGATTCGTCAATTGGTCGACTTTTCAACGAGGCTGCTGCATTTGCTATAAGATCAGCATCAAATATCGGTGCTCGTGGCACATTGACAAGAGGCATTGGTGGGGGAAGTGATGGAGGTGGCGGCGGCATCTGATCTGAACTAAAGAAAATCAAATGAGTAAAGTTTTTATTAGTCGACAAGAGGTGCATTGAACATAGGAGATGATGACTGACCATACTGTTGATGCTGTTGTTGTTGAAAGCCATGTTGATAGTTGGGCTGCTGTTGATAATTCGATGGTTGCTGAAAATTTTGTTGGTAATATGGCTGTTGTTGTTGAAAGTTCTGTTGGTAATAAGGTACTGGTGGTTGTTGCTGTTGTTGGAAGTTTTGTGGGTAATATGGCTGCTGCTGTTGTTGTTGTTGCTGCTGCCCGGCTGGTCTCCAGGTGGCAGCTATGGGAGCAGGGCGTGGTGATGCTACACCTACTGGATATGAATAACCGACTCTGAAATTATGATAAGCTTAATAGTACAATAATCATCAAGAAAATGTTTCAAGATGTATACTTATGAACTGTAAGAAAAAGAGCATTAGCACAACGTTGAATAAGCTCGAGCGCATCTCGATGTGATATATTCGTGACATTATTGCCAGCTATTTCCATTATCATATCACCTGGATCAAGTTTGCCATCAGCAGGTGAATCGGGAACAATCTAACAATGCACATAAGAGGTTTTTTAGCCAAAAAAACTTTTGATCGCTAACTACAAATCTTTCTAGTTAAACATTAGTATTTTTTAGAACAAAATCTTCAGAAAACCGTCACCGTGTATTTATGACTAAATAATTGTTGTTTTCGTGTCTTGTCTGATTAATGGACGCACATTTGTATAATCCATCAAAATTTCTAGACATGTACACACAAAACTACACTCACATTTATAACAGTCAATGGTTCATTGTATTCTAAACCACCTTGAAGTCGAAATCCCCATGACACGCTACCATCTTGTCGACTAATAAAAACTTTACTCATTTGATTTTCTTTAGTTCAGATCAGATGCCGAATATATATTTGTATCTTCCTGCATACAGACTGAGGACGATGTTGTTTCTCTTTTTTTCTTTTTTGTCGTTTTCTCGTTTCGCCTCGCTATAATAGAATACCAATATCCGCCAATATCAGTAATGCCATAAAAAAATAGAGAAAAGATAAATAACAGCAAAAAAAGACGCTAGCGCCTGTTTGCTGTCCTTGGGTATGTACAGTGCTATGGAAATGTGTGTGTGTGTGTATATATAATAGTGAAACAAGACAGAATAGAACGATAGTTGTTGCTCGATTCCTATACAACGTAAACTAAGCATAAAGATGATAAGAAAAAGAAGAAGAAACGATGTCACTAAACAATTGTTTTTCCTAAATATCGATATATTGATGGGACATCGTCATCGTAATAGTACGAGAGAAGGAAGGGATGACTGTGTTGCTCAATACAATTTATGTTATCAAGTGATGAAAACCGAAATTTTCTAGGCGAAATCAGAATGATAAGATACTGCATTTTTAGATTTTTTATCTTGCATTCATTCAGTAATTGTTATTAATAGACATCAGCTGTTCAAACTATAATTGATTTTTCATGCTGTGTATTAGAGTGTTCATAATTTATAGGACTTATTATGTTTTCACTAGATCAATAAGCAAATTGAATGTTAGAAAAAAAAAAGAAATATTCATCCATTGTGGATTAAACATTAAACTGCATAGTACTTTAAATTATATCTTTAATGAATGATCAAGGTCAATACAAACATTTAAAGAAGTTTTTGTTTATATTAAACATACGTGTACGAAATCATAATGAAGTCGAATCTATGTAAACAATGTATATTGAAATTAGCTATGAATAATCATTCAGAAGTATCAAAGTAACTTTGACTTTTTCGTTTCATGTGACCCATTGTTGTTCTTATTTCAGGATAAAAACAAATCGAAAGGCTACACATGTATGCGTTTTTAAATAATCTGAACTTGTTGAGATCAGTATTTATGCTAAACTTCTAAGATGAGAGAATTCAGCTGGACCTCTACTACACTATTGCCATTTAAGGATTTGCAGCATTGCAAAATCTGATCATTTCATCTTGCGCACGTTTATCTATGACTAGACATTTCTTTTGTCTATCGTGCAATCTGTCAGATTTTATTTATTAATTCGGTTAATATTATTACAAAAAAAGTCCTTTTTTGTAGATGCAAAATATATATATTTCGATTTGATCAATCCAATTAATTGAGATGTCGTTTGCCATCCAGGTACATCATTGCTTCTAAAAAAATTAAAAGAAGACGACATTTTATTTTTATTTTTATTGTTTTCTCATTTCATCTACCTGCATAAGTTTTTGGTACAACATTTTGAAGTGGCTTTTTATTATCTTTTGTTTTGAAAATAAAATAAAAAATATTTGTTGTATGACGTTCTGCTGTATGAATGTCAACAACTTCAGCATTGACTCGTGTTTGAATTTTATTGCCTTCAACATAAACAACCCTTGTCGTAAGAAATAATAATGAACCTATTTCAACGGGACGTTGAAACATAATGTCATCGACTGCAAGTGTACTTAAAGATTGTTTTCTAAATGAAATCAAAAATATTAATTATATTCTCAAAAAAAGCCTAACAGCCGTCGTAACTCACGCAAATAAACTAGCAGCTGTCCAAGCTAATTCAAATGATTTTCGCATTAAATAACCACCAAAAATCTTATTGTATAAATTACGTTGCTAAATAAAAAATAATAAGCACTTATAGAAACAGTATTAAAACTTACTTCTGGATGACAAAGATACATAGTACGTAAACCAGTTTCTTCCATCCACATTGAATTTTCTACCAAGAGACGTGTTCGAAATATAGATGCACTAAACATGAAAACTCCGGTATCAGTCAGAAAAGGTCAACACTGAGTTTTACTTCGAAAGTTTTAAGGAATCTAAAATCGTTACATTCAGATTTTCCAAATAATAACGTTTTATAAGGTATGAAACATATCCTGATTATTTGTTTCAATTTCTATTTTTCAAGATTCCGATTTTGCATAGGTCAATGGAAAAAGTTTCATCGGGAAAGATAGGATTTCTAGAAATGTCAAACCTTTGATATGACTAAACTTTAAGGACAGTCGATTTTCGAAATTTGAAAATCGATACACTACTGGCTTCTATCTTCAGAATATAAAAAATAAGTAAAAAGATGCATATTCACTTTTGTGTAAGTGTCTTGAGAAATAGATCATGAACAATCGTACTTTCGGATGTATCAGGTGGAATTTTAAATAAAGATTTATCTTGTTCAGTTAGACGTCGTTGACGATTTACTAAAAAAAGATTTCATAATGAATAGAAACCAAATCATATTTACATTTACTTACATCTTCCTGTCTCAATAATTGCAATATCTTTTTCTGATGTTCCTACCAATGGATTCATTTTAGCTGATCTTTTTTTTAAATAGCAACCAAATTAAAATAGACTAATTAAAAAGCTATTTTTCACTTTTTTGTTCTTGGATCTCTTGCGGCAAGAACAAACAACGCGTGAAGTACATGCTCCCAAGTGCCGTTATTGTCCTAAATATACTATAAATAACGTTTTCTTTTCTCTAATCGAATAATTTACTTGATCTATTTTTAAAGTAATTTCCATTGAACTACTACCAACAAACGAAGCAAAACCACTTAAGCGTATATCTCGATCCATATGCATATGAGGTATAGCGACTTCTACAAAAACAAAAACTATTTATAATGTAAATAGAAATATTCTGTTTCTAACCTATACGATCGACAGCAGCAGTAACAATAGCTAATGGATGAACATTAACTGATTTAATTAGCTGTGGACTATTATGTTTATAACCAATATGAACTGCAAGGATAGAATAAAATCAATAGGAAAAAACGAAGAAAAATTTAATTTTCTATAAATACCAGCCATTGTATCAAGATCTTCAAGTATTCTTCCGAATCGTACTCTATTTTCAAAATTAGCATATCGTTCACGTAAATTTATATGAGATGCTAATAGTTCAAAAGAACAAATAAATGAGCGAAAATAGAAAGAGTTTTTCTACCTAATGGAATAATAGCTTCATCGTAACTTTCAGCTATCGTACGCGGAGCTAATGCAGAATCGACTTTGATATCATCAGTTAATTGAGCATGACTTCCGCTGTGATTTCCATGCCCAAATACTAATTGAGCACCAACTAACGATTGCAAACCTTTTCGAACTATTCAATATCAACAACAGCAATGAAACATGATATCATTCAATCTAATTCGATTTACCCTCATTCATCGTTTGTATCGAACGACATGGTATTATCGTATTCAAATAAGAACGCGAGACCAACAAATATAATCGATTATACATTATCTGAAATTAATTTCTATACCAAAAATTTAATTTTAAACCTATTTTCTATTAAATTGTCTTTAGCAGATATTTATTTTCTGCAGTTTTTATGCATGTCTTGTAATGACAACATGCTGATTGTAATGTATGATGATGCAGAACAGATATATTAATTCCTATGACCTTCGCAACATATAGATGTATATCTATGACAGATAACAAGGCTGAACTCAAGTTTCTCTCTATCATACTTGAAAATCATCATCAGCAATATATATATATATATATGTAGAATATATATCAAGAGTATTTTCCTATGTTAAACAATAGGAATAGACTGATTATAAATTATATACCTTGATAAAATGAGTGAATACAATGCTAATTTGTCTGCGAATATCATTTTTGTTTACAGATATATTATGAAGAAAACCAAACAAGGCTATTATCTACAATTAAGTAAAAATCACTTGAATAAATTTCTAATGAGATTTGTTCGTTCCTATTCTCAATTTATCACAGTAATGACATGCATCTTATTAATTGTGACTGGATGATCTACATCTTCCATTTTTTTCTCTTTTTCAAATAAATGATCCTGTTTTAGAATAGCTGAAGTCTAATTCAATTCGTATATTATTTTTGTTTTTTCTTATATTGAATAAAGAAAAAAAATTAAAATGCTGCTATCATTGTTCTGTTTTTCTCACACACACGCACACCATTTTGTTCACGTTTATTCCTAGAATATCTCTCTTTCTCTCTAGACCACACAGACAAATTCGCGCATATAAGAATTCTTTAATAAAGAAAAAAGAAACGAACGCAGATATTGAAAAAAAAAAGAAAAGAAGCGAATGTGAGCTCGTGTACTGGTGAACATTAAAGACAATACAGAAGACGAAAAAAATTACACACAGTTGGACGCACAAAACGACAAAAACAAAAAAAAAAGATTCCGAGAATAACAGCGATCATCGATCAAAGAGACGAAAAACAAGGAATAAATAAAGTACGAACAACGGGACATTGTAGTTAGATATACAGTGAGAGAAAAAGGAATATATTTATTTATTAGGTTCAACATGGCTAGGTAGTGTACTATGTGGTGGCTGTCGTGCGCCGAAATTTTTAAGTACTTGACACACATGATCATGTTGCTGAGATTCGGCTAAATCATAAGCAGTTACATCTTGCTCTTCAAAACGGAATTGTTGATCAACATTGGCACCACGTTCACATAGGATTCGAACTGTATCAGCATGGCCCATAGCGGACGCGATGTGCAAACATGATAAACCACTCTAAATAAATAATATTCATTTAAATCGAATATATCTCATCCAAGCAGCAAATTTCTGAATCAGAATTACGAGTTCACCTGAAAAATACGGGTCAACATTAAGTTGTATACATCAATATCGTCCAGATATGATATATAAATTATTACGGTTTTAGAGGATCGGGTAAAATAAATGTATATCAAATCTTCGTGGGATATATATATATATAAGAACTTTTATTTAGAGTATCAATATTCTGTAGCTACAGGTAGATGTTTCTTCACTTGAACTTGAATGGAACTGAACCGTTATTGAAACTTTTATACTCGGGGACGCAGAAGTCAGTAGCCTAGCAGGGGGAGGCGGCATATACTTCTCTTATGAATATTCATGAGAAAGGAGCTTAAATTCACTTACCTTTTCTGTTCCGTTAACATCAGCTCCTCGATCGATTAAATATTCGACAATATCTTGAAATCCTTTCGCACATGCACAAAATAGAGGTGTACGACCAGCTGTTTCGCCCTAATAAAAAACACAGAGAGAGAGAGAGAGAGAATTAATAGAATTATCGTCAAAAAAAATTCTTCTATGTAATTACTTTTCCTTCAATTTTATAATTAACATCTAAACCAGCTTCAACTAATAAACGTAATGTTTCGAATGAACCCGATTCAGCAGCAACAATCAAACCATTTATTTTTCCATCATACAAATTTTTTGCTTCAACATCATGTCGAGCACCATTTTGAATCAGTAATCTTGCTAATTCAACATTATTATGTTGACATATGGCAAGGAATGGTGATGAACCACGTTCAGATGTTACATTAACATTTGCACCTGATTCAATTAAATGTCGAATAATAGTTTCGTGATTTCTCATACATGCTATTAATAAAGGTGTTTGATTTTCGATGTGAAGGTCACGTGCGACTTGTCCTTTTGGTGATCGATTAACATCAGCACCATGACGAATTAGTAGTTGAACAACATCCAAATGACCTTCCTCAGTTGCTGTATACAATGGAGTGGCACCAGTCTAAATATAAAACAAATAAACTATAAATATAAACATATAGATTCAATTCAATATACCATTGTTATAGCATTGACATCGGCACCATTTTTAATTAGATATTCGCATATTTCTACGTGGCCTTTCTTGGCTGCACCAAAGAGAGGCGTCTAAAGAGAGAAAAAATTAAGTTTTTTTTGTGCTTTTTTTAGTGAACATTGTAGCTCGTCATATAGTTAACTATTTATGTATAAATTGAGAAAGACTAGGACATGTATTTCAATTATTTATTACCTGAGGAGAATCCTGCATCTTTATCAGTTTAATACCTTTATATTGTTTACAATGAAACTACAAAAATGAATGCACTGATCGATTTTGTGTCTACTGAGATTAGTTGAACTTCTACTACGGTTAGAAGGAAATATTCTTTCGAAAAATAGTTACCTGCCCGGCTAGAAAATTATCTTCAGCTAATTCGCCTTGTGGTGTTATATTGACATCAGCTCCAGCTTGTACAAGTGCTTGAACAAGTTCAAAATTACCCGATTCAGCACAAAGAAGTAATGGCGATACGCCATAACGATTTTGTACATTAACATGTGCTCCTTTTTGTATTAAAAATTTCACAACATCAACGCGATCTTTTAATGTGGCCATAAAAAGTGCTGTTTGACCAGTTATATTTAAATTATCAGCATCTTGACCACTTGGTGCAAAATCGAGATCAGCACCAGCTTCAACGCATGCTTCAATTATATCTAGATCACATATTTCCGATGCAAGCAAAAATGGTGTTGAACCTAATTTTGTAACGGCATTTGGATCAGCACCACGTTTTAGTAGTAATTTAACAACATCAAATTTTCGAGATTTCATTGCTGCATAGAGTGGTGTCCAACCAGTTATATTTAATTCATCGGCTAAGTTACCAAATGGAGCAACATGTGTTTCAGCACCGGCATTTAATAATAATTCAACAACATCTAACATGCCTTTTTGTGCTGGAATCCATAAAGCACTAACACCATAATGATTTTGAACACGAGGATTAGCTCCACGATCTAATAGATATTTAACAATGTCTGTTCGACCTTCTTTAGCCGCACAAAACAATGGTGTTTGACCACATAAATTCATTGTTAAAGCCAATGGACCTAAATAATAAAGATATTAGAAAAACAATAAAAACAAGGTTTTTAGAAATCATATCTATCAATATGAACGATGCTAAACGAAAAATTATAAATATGTAGCATTTGCTTTTCGAATAAACAATCCGATAGTATTATAAATATGCTGCAGCATACAATTGCTTTTGCAGTTAGTTAGTTTGTATGGATAGCTGAAGCACTTGAGCACAAATATTCTTCGTATCGCATCAACCTTCTATGCAGAACAATACTGCTAGTATTATTTGTAAGACAAGATATCGTTCTATTTAAATAATTAGCATCCTGTATCGTCGAACAGGTAATATTCATACTTCTCTGGAAAATATCTTCTGTCTATTTAAGGATTAAAATAATAATCTTTACTTATACATATATATATATATTATTCGATTTATATCCAGTAACGTTTATAAAAACAAGGCTCAATATTATTCTTCTTCAAAAAAGAATGTTTTCCTCGTAAGATCTTCTATAAGAATAGAACAAGAAAAAAAAAGAACTAAGTATACATACCACTTGGTGCCAATTCAAGATCAGCACCTGCTTGTACAAGTAATTTAACACATTCAAAAAATCCTTGTTCAGCTGCTAGCATCAATGCTGATATACCCGATTGATTTTGATGATTTGGATTAGCATGATTTGCTAATAAACGTTTAACACATTCTGGATGATTATATTTCGTTGCACCAATTAACGGTGTTGAACCAGCTATTTTATTTTCTTCAGCTCGTTTACCTGATGGTGCTGAATCAACAATAGCACCACGTTGTAATAATATATCAAGTATATCTGGCCAACCGACTTCGGCAACCATTAGCAGTGGTGTAATACCCGACGATGAAGCTTTGTTTACGTCGACTTCGGGACATGCTATTGAAAACAAAAACAAAAAAAAGGAGACTAATTATCAATTAAATCTATATATTAGCTCACAAGCTAAAATTTCAGTAAGAGGCTTGTGTTTTTTGCCAGCTGCTATACTCAATGCTGTTAGACCGTCTGCATCACGATAGCCTGAAATAAAAGAAGAAAAAATTTTAATTTATGCAAGTATTTATATTTATTTTTAAATTATAAATAAAAAAATATTATTCAAAAAGTATCGCGAGACTTAAATCAAAAAATGTAACATGAGTAGTATATTCAGTACGATCCACTGATGATATATAGTTTAGAGAAATGTTAATAGAATGTTCTTGATTTAATGAATCTTGAAATAGATCAGTTGGTAAAGGTATATAATGATAGTTTTCTATTTGATATGTGTCGTCGAGAATAATTGAATGATGTTTATCAATAGTGATATTCACCAATGAATTTAAATAGCATGTATAGAAATAAAATCGATAAAAATCTGATAGGTTTCGATCAATATTGAGATAAAACGATCTTGATAAAGATAATTGAGTATAGTTAATGTACGGTATAGAAGTAAGATTCCAAATATGTGCAAGGTTATATAAACGTGAAAAATCGTTTTGTAATACACGTTGCATATGATCAGGAATGAATTTAATGGTTGTACGATCGTAAGTAAGTATTCCATTTTTTTCATGTTCGACATCAGATAATTGAGTATAAATCATTGCTGATAACCGTGTCGAAAGATGAATAATGAGTTGTTCAAATGCATACGTCATAAAATGACGATCGACAAAAAGATTATAACTCCATCCAGAACTCATCAAACCAAAACCACCACATTCTCCAATGACTAATGCTCGATGATGATAATCAATTGATGGTAATAAAATATATTTTGTATAGTCATGAATATCTCTGATATGTCCAACACCTCGACGATCTTGCCATCCACTAGCAGCATCAACTAATCTATTTCGATCATAATTTTGCAGCCATGTTCCTAACCGTACTGTATCATATTGTCCCCATGCTTCATTATATAAAACCCATACGACAATCGATGGATGAAATGAAAGAAAATCAATCATATTTTTTAATTCATATTCAAATTGAATTTTCGATTGATATTGTCGTTCGATATTATTTCGTTGCGCTGCATTGGTTTCTTCGACAAGAGGAAAAAAATTTGTTTCATAATCACGATGTAATCGTAATTGTTTATCTTCTTCGAATTCAACTTCATAACCATCATAAGAATCTCCAGCAGGCATATCTTGCCAAACAAGCATACCCAATACATCACACCAATAATACCATCGTGATGTTTCAACTTTCATATGTTTTCTTAATGTATTAAAACCTAATTTTTTCATTTGTTCTATATCATGTCTATAGGCATCATCGGTTTGTGGACGATAAAGACCGTCGGGCCAATAGCCTTGATCAAGGACACCAAACATAAAATATGGTTTATGATTAAGACAAATTTTCTTTCGTGTTAAACAAAGTGAAATTTGCCGAAAACCAATATAACTATCGATATGTTCGATAAAGGAATCTTTTTTATACAAATCAATTTTTAAATTGTATAAATACGGATCTTCAGGTGACCATAAATTAATTTCTGATAAGGAAAAAATGATTTTATCGTCTTGATTTATTTTAGTTGTTGTAAAAGAAATTAACTGTTCTTGATTTTGTTTTAGAATAATTAATTTTAATTGATAACCTTCATTTTCGTAATTACGTAGAGGAATATTTAATTGTTCATCTCTTTCTTCTAATGGACGGTTCTTTTTTTCGGAAGGTTCATTTAAATCAATACGATATTTCAAATGAATTTTTGTTGATGAAATTTTTGTGATAAATTGTAAACGGTCAATATGAATATAGGGTACTTTTTCTAACCAAACAGTTCCCCAAATACCTGAACAAGGTGTATAGAAAATTGATTTAGGATCATCAACATCTAATCTTTGTTTTCCTCGTGCTTGATACCAATGATTTGATGGATCCCAAACACGTACAATTATTTCATTATTTTCATTGTTTTTAATGTACGATGTTATATCAAGTGAAAATGGATCATAACCTCCTAAATGTCTCAAACCAACGAGATGTTGATTTATATAAACAACAGTTTCATAATCAACTTTATCAAAATGTAATAAAATACGAGATTGTTGATGGTTATCAAAGTGAAAATTTAGCGGCAAAATATTGAATTTTCTTTTATACCAAAGAAACATTGTTGAATCAACACGTTCGTTTATACCGGATAGATAGGATTCAACTGGAAAAGGAACAACAATAATTCGTTCATATTTTTTTGGCCATGTTTCATTAATGTATGTTATTGTAAATGACCAAATTCCATTTAAATTTAGCCATGCTTGTCTTTGCAAATGTGGACGTGGATAATCATTTAATGGTATGATTTCGGAAATAGATTTATAGGTATGATTCATCGATGGATGAAAATTAGCAGCCTCGTACGCCGAAAGATTAATAAATTGTATAATCGAAATTCCAAAAATAATAAAACCCTATTAGAATATTATTTTGTATGAACGCAAAAAAAATCACTCCTAGACAAAAAAAGTTAAATGCTTTCTTTTTTTCATTACATACCCATATTGAGAACATCTTTTTTCGTTGCAGACGCCTTACGCCTATCCAATTCATCGAGAGTATCTTTAAGACGTTTAACATCTCCTGCTTGTGCAGCAGCTAATATCTCAAGATGATAACGATCAATATCACCTTCAGCTTTACTTGCTTTGGTACCAGTACAACCCATTATTTCTGAAGACGAAAAAAAAAAGTATTTTATTATCGATAAACAAATGATCCATAGAAATACTTTTATTATAAAAACAAAAAGCTAGAGGTTAATACTTACTTTTTATTTATTCTTCTCATTCCTACTATGAAATATTACAAAATAGAAATCACCTTCAAATCAGTGCCCTCGAAAAAAAAAAGTTTGACCAATGAAGCGGAAAAAAATTTATACAAGGTATTGAAGGACAAACTTTTCTTCTGATTCCTTATGAGCGAGCTAATATGCATTGCTGAATCAGTTTTGTTGCTAATGCAGGTAACCGCCATGAATATGATAAACAGAGACAAAAACAAAACTTTGCATTAATGCCGATATGTAAAGTCAAAACAACAACAATAATGCTTCGAATATTTATTTGTTTGTGAATTCAATTAAAATTTAAAATAAAAAATTATTTTTAATTGTGAGATGGCGAAAAAAACTCGTACTAGAAAAAATGATTTAATTTAATTTACATCTATGGCGTAAATGTTTATTTAGAAGAACAATCGAAGGTATAGATGTCACTTTTCAATTTCAACAAAAATTATTTGATTGAGAAATTAATAAAAAACAAAATAATAGTTTGGTACAGAGTTTTTCTGAAATTAAAAATTTAAAGAACAATCAAATAAAACTCGATGAGTCATACATGTCAAAGAAGACAACTTACTTATCTCGTACAATAAAACAAACAGTTCTATTTAGTACTTCAAAAATCATTACAGTTTTATATCTGATTAATTCTTTAAAAAATTATTTTATTTTTCTATCACTCAATCAAATGTTTGTTCTAGAGAAATTAAAAGATTTATCTAAATATACTGAAATCTCTTGAGCCCGATCTATTCTATGGTCGGTACAACCGCAGAGTGCGGCAAATAATTCGATAATTTTTATGTCGAAACGAAAGAACGTTGAGAATGTATTCATTTGATATGCATATATATATGTTTCAAAACATTCTGAAGTGATAAAAATAAAGTGTCTATGGACAAACTACTTTTCTCCTTCTTCTTCTTACTACGAATTCATTAATGTGAGAATAGGTGTGAATAAAAATAGAAGAATACCTTGCAGTTATTATTATCAGTGAATATTTGTAAAGAAAAAAGACATGTTTTCGAAATATAATTCAACATAATCTATTTTTCTTTCAAAATTTGCATTAAACAAGTAGATACTCTACTGAGTTATTTCTAAAAGAATTTTATAAAATTACTCTTTTCTTTTGTCTCATTTATAACACTACAATTCACAATTATTCTTTTGTATGACTTAATTCATTCGAAATCTTATTGTTTCTACTCATAAACATGAATCAAATTTCTTTATACCTGAACGATTTTGAATGAATCATAATTACCGTTATTTAGTCATATATTTGCTTTTGATTCTTACGAGTAAGCTAATTGACTATTCATGCTTATGCAAAGATATGCCAGTGAAAGTAGGAAACTATAGTTTTACATATGACTGCGGCCTATTTTAGACTATAGATAATTGAATGGGAAAACAAGTTCTATTCACATATTCAAATCATACAGTTTTACTCGAAATTCCCAATACAACTTGCATTAATGAACATGCTTATCGTCTATTAGATCAATGGCAATTACCTGTTTTTCTTTTTTCAAGTAATCCAATTGATTAATATTTTTCTTGCAATTTTTTTCCGTTTGCTTTACGATAGAATTACAAGAAGCGCTGCGATTATTTTTCAATGAACAAATTCAAATAGTCGCTGATGAAACAACTCAACTAGCTGTTCAATCTTTAATTGAAGGACAATGCGAAATTCAACCACTTCTCGATCACTGGTTTAATCTTGTTCAAGTTAATTTTTAGTTTTCTTTTAAATCTTTATTTTGTTTTTCTTTTGTGCTTATAGGAATGTAAAACCTATATACAACATCTCGAACGGCCTAGTGACGAACATATTTTTTCGAATGCATTTCAAAATGTTCTTCATACAGGGAACAATTATGAAATACTTCTTCAACTTGAATATATTTATCAAAATGAAATAGAAGTTTTGTTAAAGCAACGCGATAAAGAAATGCAAGAACTTGATAAAGAGTTTGATTAGATTTTCTTTTCTTTTTCAAAAACAAAAGACTTGTTCATTACTCATATAGACATCATCGAGAAATGCACGATGTGGTGAATGAACCAACAAATAAATATCCAGATGTTTATGTTCGAAATCTGGCACAAAAACATATGGAAGAGAAACAGGTAGATTAAACGACAGATCTTTATTCAAGAACAAAATCATCTAACTCTGACATATTCGATTTAGCGATGCTATAACTGAATAAGAAAAAACTGTGCACCCTATCAGATAGTTGATAAAATCTTTGCAATACTTACTAATCGTATAGAAAGCATTTATCGAATGAATAGAAAATTAAAATTTATGATACAAATGAAAGTCATTTGAGTCAAACGATTAAGGGCATTAACAGTATCTATCTACAGTATTGTAATTTACAGAAAGGACACGTTGAAGTATATCGGTTTTTTTAATATTAAGTACGATAACCAGAAAAAATTCTATTTAGAGAAACTCGGTCACATGACTTTAAAATAATCGTTGATAGATACAAATATGAAATGGTAAGCAGTATAGTTTGTAGAGAGATCAGTCTTCTCATCCTTAATAAAAGAAAAAAAAACATATCGATGGAAGATAAAGAATTGGAAACTCTTTCTATGTATTCAATATTTATTGTCTTTCGAAAAAACGTATGGCAACTTATTTATAGTAAAAATGATGTTTCTATGAGAATAATGAGTTTTTCAATCAAACAAAAATGAACAACGATTTTTTCCATACATGTAATGAAAGAAAAACATCTTACCGAACAAAAATTTTTATTGTTTGTAAATGATCTGACTGCAAGACGTGCTCTCCTCTATGAATTTCTCTTATTTCCGGTTAGTCAAACGGAACTACATTATTCTTTTGAAAGATGAGACGATCACCTCAAGCAATTGATTCAACCGCAAAAATTTTGCATTGTTTTCTTTTCGAAAAGGTACCATTTCAACAAATTCTATTCTACTCAATGATTGATCAATACAATATCCTGATAAAACATATTGAAATTGTCTCATACCAAATAGAGAATAAGATTGTTGAAATCATAGATATCTCACACGTTGCATCGTTCATTGAAATGGCAGATAATACGACGCTATGTATCAAATTAAAGTTTGATCGCGTTGCGTTAGATGTCTCGGATTGGAGAATTCAGTAAAAATAATAGAATCCATCTCTTATTTCTAGTCACTTGAAGCCAAATGGAATAGTAATATATCATCGGCTAAAGATCGTCAAAAACAGCAATTTAAAGAATGTGTTATGCAACTACACGAAGAAAGTTTAGTATCAAATAGTTTACAAAATTCAAATGGCAGTAAAATGTTAGATACTATTGTTGATTTCAAAACGACAATTTCATGATTATGTTTAGGCATGCACGTATAAGTGCGGCCCCACCATCACCTTTATCGGTTGTTATTGCTGTACCTGATACAACATTACATGAACGTCGTTTAGAAACAAGTTATACTGTACAACTCGGTTAGTCATTATTAAGAATGTAGATTATTCCAATAAGTAGTTCATTTTCAGGTGCACAATTAAAATCTATGTATAATCTTCGTTTAATTCGGTGTGATGCACTTGATTACTGTCGTTTAAGAACCCAGAAAAAAGAGTAAATAGAAGACGATTGCTTTGGAAAAAAACATATTCAAATGATTGTTTTAATTAAAATAGAAATAAAATTCTATTGGAACCACAACGTCTTCAAACATTGATGTCACTTTATACAAGTTCACTTTGTGGTCTTATTCTTCTTGTACCAAAACGAATTCGATTGAGTACTGGTGATATTAAAGAAGGTAATTTTTATTTTTAAAATGTTAAATAATTCGCTCTTTTTCCAATTTTAATCTAAAGAGTTTGCTTCTGTGTGTGAACGTTCCACTGACTTTCATTTTCCATCATTGGAACAACAAATGTCCAGTATTGAAGAAGATTGTGTTAAAAAAGCTAATAGTGATCGATTAAATGCATCTGCTAGCCTCGATTCAAATTCAATCGCAAGCAAACATAGTGATACGTCTTCAGAGGTAAGTAAAAATCAATTTCATTGTTTATCAATCACAGATAATACACAAGAAATGAATCATATCTTCAATAAAATGATTTTCTAGATCACAAAAGTAAATTTTATTTTGCTACACCGATGCTGCTTTCATAGCATTCAATTAGAGGGGAGCTAACCTTTCACAAAATTTTCAATTACAGTACATCAACTATATACTGTCAATTAAGATGTTTCTTTTCTAGTAAAAATGCATTGATTTATGCACTCCATTGTGATAGGAGCATTCTTTTACTGCAGCTATTCGTTTCTATTAGTGGTGTATTCCTAACATCTCTTGTTTTTTTGAATGTACAAATTTTTGTAATCACACAATCTAATAGGTCTTCATTTATTTGCGATTCAAGTGAAAGTATTTCGTTGTCGAATAATAGAATTTGTTAGCATCGTGTATTGATAATTTTCAAAGATGTACTGTTTTCAAAAAATTTTGATGATTATTTAGTTTGTAGATCTTTCATGCAAACCTGATATAATATGATTATGTACTGAAATTGAAAAAGACATTAGATAACCATGCTTTAGTTGATGTGATTTGCTATAAATTATACAAAAAATTTGATTCGATTTTGTGCTATGCATATGATGATGACTACAATTTTATTTGTAGGAATCCAATTTATGTTCCGTAGGTGATTTTTATGTCACACGTCATTCGAATCTATCTGAAGTTCATGTTGTTTATCATTTGGTGGTTAATGATAGTTCGCTACGTTCATCAACAGAAATTACGTCACGTCATCCTGCTCTGTTTGGTTTAAGAAATATTTTAAAAGAATGTTGTAAACATGATGTAACAACATTAACATTACCTTTATTACTGACACACGATATGACAGAGGTAAATATTAAATCATTCTATTTCTTTTTGTACACTTTATAATGAAATTTTTATTTGGAATAAATAGGAAATGACGATTCCTTGGGTTATGAAACGTACTGAGTTAGTATTAAAATGTCTTAAAGGTTTTATGATGGAAATGGGAACATGGGGTACGAATCGATGTTCGACTATTCAACTTGTTGTACCTAAAGTATGTTTTTGAAACTTTCAATTGTATTTTTGTAATTTCTAATTGTTTTAGAATTTACTTAATCAAACATTCTTTCAGTTGGCTGATCATGTGTCGACTATATTTCGAGAGCCGAAAACAGTGATGTTACAGTTTTAGTTATTTATCATAAATACATCTGTCGACCATAGCTGATTTCTTTTTCATTGACAATCAATTTATCGAACTAAATAAATCAATGTGCAATTTATTTGTATTGAGAATGTGTTTTACTTTAATTGTTAAACAAATTTAATTATCTATCATCAATTTGATGAGTTTAAATAAAATTTTGTTCAGTAGAAATATACTACTAGAGCATAAAATCAATTATTCATACGAATGAATGGCATATAACGATTGATGCTTCCATGGGTGGGTGTTTACGTGGAGAAATGAAAACCGGAAAAATTACTGATGAAATTAGGGTTGAAATATCAAAGTTAGAGATGCAGCGGTGACAGCGCATCACCGGTTCACCGTCCACCAGTAACACCGGTCTATATCGATAACCAGTCCAATGGTAACCGATCGTACTAAATTAGCTCTGATTGGAACTAGTTTCTGATGGCAACAATTAGTTTTGGTCTCCCACGGTTTCAACAGCACTTTAGCTATTACAAATGTAATTATTCAAAGTAAAAATTTTAAGTTGAGGATATATTAAGGGCGCTGGCCATTTCTCTTTTTTTAGATATCTTCTTAATAATTGTTGATAGTGGAGCTGATATACAGGTGATTTAACTGCATTGAGTACTCATTTACAGATGTTATATACGTATATATATATATATATATGCACTCCTAGTTAAACTACTACGACCATAAGTGGACTTGCACTTTTATGCTAAGGATAATCGTGTTGCACAACCATTCTGAATTTCAATGTCGATAAAGAATTTAAATTGTTGCAAGGCCATTAAAGGTTAATACTATACAAGATTGTCAGTACTCTGATTCTCTTATTCCATGTTGTAATTTTTCATGCGACTCCAAATAAGTCAGAATATATATCTAAAAGATCGCTAATCTTTAGTTTTAAAGTTTTTTGTTTAATCTTGTTTAAACAATTTATACATGGGAATTGAACGTTTAATGTTGCTGAAAATGTATATAATTTGAGTATCCAAATGTGAAAATAGTACTGTATGTGTTTATCGAAACAAAACATATCTTGGAAAGCGCACACATATTCATGTTTTAACAGTGTTTGTGTTATTATTAAACTTAAACAATTTTCAAACACATCCTATGTGAAAAATACCCACTTTAAGAGTCAGAGTAAAATTGAATTGGAAGCAGAGTAATATAGATCAAGTAAAGAATTAAAACTAGCATCGGGAAGAGTACTAGTCATCGATGAATTTAAGCACTGAAAATTTCAGTTATATTGTATTACATAACTGTAAGAACTAATTTTCATTTACAATAATATCATTAACATCTGTGCTTTGTGTCAGCAACACAATCCGTCATACATTCAGATGCACCGGCTACCGATAAGACCGCCCATGTTGCGAATACCGGATCAATTTTTGCGGTAAACCGCGGTATTTATCCGTTCTGCGTTAATGGGAGCCGGTAACCGGACCGGTAAAACCGCGGTAAACCGGCGGTTTTTTGCGCATGTTTATCACATGTAAAAGTAAAAAAAAAGGATCTTTAAAATAGTTTAATTGATGATTTGGAAGACTTTTTCTGTCAAAAANAAAGTAAAAAAAAGGATCTTTAAAATAGTTTAATTGATGATTTGGAAGACTTTTTCTGTCAAAAATTATAGATGAACCGGTTAACCGCTTTTTTTAGCGGTAACCGCGGTATTAATCAAAACCGGCGGTTTACCGCGGTAAATGCCAGTTCATTATTTGTGGTAAACCGCGGTATTTATCCGTTCTGCGGTAATGAGAGCCGGTAACCGGACCGGTAAAACCGCGGTTAACCGCCGATTTTCATGCGGTTTGTATTACATGGGCGGTTATCGTCACCGTTGCATCCCTGATTAAATATATTACTTACGAATCAACTGCGATATTTCCACCTGAAATTCTACCGAAAGATAAATTTATTTGGCAATAGCATTTACTGAAAAATTCAGTTCAAAATAACGTTACATTCCTGAAATATTCAGGGAATTCTTTTAGCAAATAGATCTCGGTTTGGGCAGAGATTCAGGTTGAAATTCTAATAAAATGTCTATAACTCTGGATGAACGACCTGAAGAGGAGCATACCCAGGGTGAGAAACCAGACGGCAAGATGTTACAAGAATCGTACGTTTGATCATATCTGATCTTATCAGATCAGACGAAAAAATCGTACGCAAAATCGTCGTCTCTGATTTCTTACACGAAGTCGTATCAGAAGATTCTTGAAAGATTCTTAAAAGGTAATGTTACCTATAGAAATATCACTGCGATATTTTAATCAAACTAATATCTCCTTAAAAGATCGCGACAAAATTGTATTGACAATGAATCTCATGTGCTATCTTTAAAGAAAATATAGTACGATCTGATGCAAGATTTCAGAGACGACGATTTTCTGTCTTATGCTTATAAGATTTCGTTCGAATTGTAACATCTGACGTTCGGAATGCAAGATCATACGTCGAATTTTTCGACCTGGGTAGTGCTTTTGGGATTATTCATAAATCCATGGACTCTACCTTATGAAAAATGTCTGAACTCAAAAATATAATCATTCTAATGGATGTATACTTTTTCTATCAAGTATATTCTGTTGCCATGATATTACGACATTGCACTTGATACAGTTAATAGATATTCGGTGGTTCAGGTTCATGAAATCGAATACACAAGAAGCATAAACAATTTTTGTATAGAAACGAAGTAATTTCAAAGATCTAATGAGATACTCATCTTGCAGAACACAATCAAGTACTTGTTTACTTTCCTGTCAAATGATACTTGATTGAAATTTAAGAATATTTAAACACTTTATCATGCTTTCCAGGTTTTATGCTCTGGATTAATCATATAAGAGTCGTCTCATCTTGAATTTCATGTCTGAGTCTTGTTTGAACATTGATGCGAAAAAGAAAGAAGATAGATATTCTAGTTAAATTCGTATGAATAGCTTTCAGTCAGTTGAAAACCATTTCAATTTGATTGATCTATATGACTTTACGTTTCTATACTTAATAAAAAAAAAACAACCATCGACATTTTCATGGTGTATACGTTTATGAGTAACCTAAAATTCGAATATGAGCATAGAATCATGTTATCACTTGAGAGTATTCATTAAAGAAATTCGTTTTAGAAGACACTAAATACATAGAAAAAAACATATGGGAATATGCACTATACCTTACAACATGGTATTAAAAAATTCTCTTTACATCGAGTTTGAATTACAGTCAATTGTAGGGAAACATTTTCAAGCTGCTGTTTTATATTCGTAATTCAGTGTGTGGATAATCTACTTGATTTTAAATGTTAATAAACTATTGTCTATTAGTATAACATAACATTCACTCAGTTTTTTTTGTATTTATGTTTACCGTTGATCATGAAAGGAGATGAATTGCTTCTACCGTGCTATTTTGAAAATTAGCCCATTTCTACAAGGCATAAAGGTAGCGCTTCGATCGCAATATCTACTGCATATATTAGGTTCCGGTGAAGGCACCTTTCCTTTTATTAACAGAATCATGTAAAAATATCAGCTAATTTATTTCGGTCGAACTTTCACATTTTTAAGGTCTCATCATATTAAGTATGATTCATTATGTTATTACGAAGCATCTTTTTTCTATTATGACTCATCCAAGCTCATGATTCTCAAGTATGATTTCAAAATATTTTATTTTAAATACAATTATTCTTGATTTCATCTAAATACATGTGTATGTTTCTTTCAAAAAAGGTTCAATCAACTGGTTCCTTTGATCGTTCACATTTTTTCAGATGGTCAGAACATTGAAAATGAACACAGAAACAACAGATATAACCTCATTGACAATCGTGAAGTAAAATTTCTCTACTGAAGATATATCTATTGCATAAATTACAAATAAATTGATGAGTTTGGTCAAATCCATCGTTGCTGTTATATTTACATGTAACTTCTGGTTTTGTACAGTTTAGTGGCATTATATTTCTATGATTAATAAAGTTACAAAGAAAAGATACTTTTCTTTCAAGTAGATTGATTTTAGTTTTTAATTCCATTTGTTTTGTACGAGTTAATATTAATTCATTTTTAACTGCATCGATAAGTGGTCGTATTTGTTGATAAGTACAATGCTTTAAATGTATTGAGAGTTTATCTCTTGGTCCTTTCCATGGACATTGAATATCAACCGATGGACAAGTGACAATTCTTCGTGGGCAACGTTTTTCGTGATTTTTCCAATGGCATCGTTGAATATTTAGTTCTTGACAAAGTAAACATCGAACAAGGAGACGATCAAGTTGATTAAGTACTATTCGAGTATTAATTGGCACATATGGCGATTTTTCATACGATTGATTATCTCTTCCAAAATGATGCCGAGCAACTTGTCGACATATTGGGCATGTTTGATTTTGAGAAAGCCATATTTTTATACATACTTTACAGAATGTATGATTGCATATCGATAAACTTACAGGAGATTCAAATGGTCGCTTGCATATACCACATTTAAGTTCGTCATCGACTTCGTCTTCATTTATATATTCATAATCAAAATGAATCGACGTATTCATATTTGGTACAAAGAAAAACGCAAAATAGCTGATACTACTTTACTTGTAAGTAGGTAATGGTAAATGACCGTTTCAATTCACATTCAATCTCTCTGTATGACGTCTTCCTTATAATTTTGATCCAAAGGAAATGTACTTCTCTTTCTTTTCTTTTTTTGTGAATAATCTACAAGGAAGAATTCACAGTCATATAAGCAGCATTGAAGTAATGAAGAAACTCAATAAAACATCATTGCCGACAATGGCAATGGCAATAAAACTATACTTCTATTATTCATTTAACATCGGCCGTTGAGTTTATTATTTTTTTGTGATACCCTGGATGGCATATTGAGCGGATGACTAATAGAAAAAAAGGGGAAAAATTAAACTCTCAGTTTTTTTTCTGAATCATCTGAAATAAACGTGGTAACTTCGGATTTCATCCGAGAGTTATGTGTACTGCAAAAATTGCATGCGACATATGAGTCATTCTAGAATGTCTGAACACCAAAATTATCATGAGAAACTAGGCAAATTGATTTCTGGATGCAGTTTTTGTGCATTTTGAGACGTTTTTCAGGCGCTGTTTCGTTAGAAAGCTACGGTTTAGTTCAAAACTAATATCAGATTCGGTATCAGCGTTAAAAACTGAGTCGATTTATATATGTTTTAAATAATTCCGAGAAAAATTTGTTTTTTGAAAAAAAATCCCTGTACTCCTCCTCAGGGATGGCCTGGTCAAAAATGACAATTTTTTCGATCACTCAACTATTTCTTGAGTGATTCTTCTCATCTTCGAACTCGACCGAGATATTCATGAGATTGAACTATGTGGAAAATTTCATCACGGTCTGACTCTCCTTTCGAAAGTTATCGTGCCTACGGACGGACACACTGACCGATTCTAGTGTACTCACTTTTTGAGTACACAAAAATGAAAATTTATTATTTTCGTTTCCAAAAAATTGATTTTTCAGATTACTTTCGAGAGATTCATAATCATATATTGTTCGATATTGCCTGTATGTTTGTGTTCAGTGACGCGTCCTAGATGAGGGTGATATTTTTGCATCCACTCAACATTTCATTTCCTAAGACTCAGCTGGCTTCCGGAAGCCCATTTGGTTTCCTCAGAATTCATTCAAGAGACGATACTCTGTTGGAATTTTACGATACATTGTTTTTTCATTTGAATTTTAGTTTGAATTCACACCCGTCACGTTTTTTTACTATTTATAAAAATATTGAAATACAACAGAAAAGATAGTCAACATCATCGAAGATAATACACGTTGTTCATTTGAATAAATGATGTGTCTAGTTGTCATTGGTGGTATCCATTGATTACAATTATCTTGTTGACAGCAATGTGTACGATGATTTGCAACATCTAATTCTTCACAATATTGTATACCACGTAAAATTAATATTTCCGTATCAATGTTTGGATCAAAATAATGATCACTCTAATCAAACAAAAATCAAAACAGTGTTCCATTTTATGTTGGAAACTTTACCTGACAAAAATAATCTGCATCGTAATTAGCACTATCTATCTCACTTTCGTTACTTTCATCACCATTATCAAGATTCAATGGCAGGGAACAAAAACCACCTGGCTGAGAGCATGTAAAACATTGAATTGAAGCTACATGCTGAATAAACCCTATTGTTTTTAAAAGAAAATAAAACGTAAAAATATCTCTCAAGCTTACAAGCACTATAAATTTAGCTCTTTAACTAAATAACACTTAATAAGATTATTTATTTATTTTTGTAGCAAATATCTCGTTTCTGTCGTCTGTTTTGACCAGAACACTGAAATCGAACTCTGCAAGTTATCATTAAAAAGCTGTAAAAAACTTACCAAAGACTACGAATATGGTTAATAACATTGTGATTACAAATTTTACTTTCAACATTATCCTAACAATGATAAAATAACTTTCTTATGACAAAAGAAAAGGTTATTCTCTTGCTTCTTGTATGCAATAAAAATAAAAATGCAGTTTTAATGACAACAATAAAATATCTTTTATATCAGAACAACATGATATTTCTTTTGCTTGAGAGTTACATTTTAGTATGAGACTATGTCCTTTTTTAATCCGAAATGATGAATAATTGTTTACTGAATCACTCGAAATTTGTTTTGTATGATATAATATATGCGAGAAAATTATCTCTTTATTATATTGATTTTATTTATCCTGACATACCGCCATGCCGAAAAAAGTTGAAATAGCTACTGTAAATACCAACATAGTTTGATGTGAATATGTATATCGATTACTCTTTAAAACAGTATCCTTGCGACTTCTTATTATCATGTTAAGTTACAATCATATATGTTTTTGAACACAACGTGCCATGGAAATATCTTGATTTGTTGATTTCCTACAATTTCGTGCCATAGGCTCACAGTCTTCAGCGCATGGTTTAATGATGACATTAGAAAAAGAAAAATATAGACGAAGGTCTTTGAGTGAATCATAGAGCATCATCTTTTATTTTGTCATGTTTTTTTTCGATCTTCTGATTTGATGTGTTTCTTTAGTTATTTTCAAAATAAGAAACACAAGTGAAAACACTTAAAGCATAGCAGTACAGAGTGGCGTTACTTGTCAGGTTCTTATTCAAATGTGAAAAAAATTGCATGTGGGATTACTTGAAATACTTAGGCTATAATATTAATTACAACGATAAGCCCCTGTTTTCATGATTGATCGCATCAGCATCTTATTACTTGATATTGATTTTTTTAAATTTCCATTTAATAAAAGTACTGAGTGACAGATAAAAAGAGACTCAAGTATCAAATTTTAATCTTCCACAGTAATGATTTGTTTTCGGAAACTTGTTTCCCTCATCCGCCCACTTCTCTTGCTTCAATTTGATTGCATTACTATTGTTATTTATATCAACTGCATTCATTTGTTTTTGCACTAAAAACCACTATCCTAATGTTCTTTCTTTTGGTATTGATCTTCTGTTTTTTAACAGCAATCGATGGGCACGGGTATCTATATGAACCTGTAGCTCGTAGTACAGCTTGGCTTGTTGATTCATCATTTCGAGAATGTTGTACTTGGCCAAATCACATGGAAATGTTTTGTGGAGGCATGGGACATCAGTGGAATACTAATGGTTCGATTTTACTGTAATTGCACACGAATTGTGTGTAGTATCGTTTCTTTAGATGGAAAATGTAGCATTTGCGGTGAAGCATATGATAAGACAGTAAAACTATTTGAAAAAGGTGGAGCAATGTATAAAGGTACCATTGTTAAAACATATATTCAGGGACAAGAAATTGATGTAAAAGTTATGGTGAGCTACTTCTAGACACATACATAAAGGGTCTGCATTCATTATATTAATAATAGCTGACAGCTAATCATAAGGGTTATTTTGAGTTCCGTCTATGTAATTTGGATGCTAGTCCGTCAGTCGATGCTTCTCAAGAATGTCTTGATCGTCATCAATTGCTAATTGCTGGTACTGATTCAACTAAATTTCGTAATGTTAGTAATTATGGTTCAGAAATGATTACCGTTCGTGTACAACTTCCATCGGATGTTGCTTGTCAACATTGTGTTTTTCAATGGAAATATACAGCAGCCAATAGTTGGGGTACAAATCCGATTACCAATCAGTCTGGTCCTGGTTTAGGAAGAGAAAATGAAACATTTATGGGCTGTTCTGATATTGCTATTTTACCAAATGGCTCACCTACAGATCCGCCTATAGTTATAATTTCTACAAAGTACGTCTATACACTTTTTTCCTCCGCTACTATTGTGATATTCATCCGTGTAGACCTACGATCACGTCAACATCGACAACAACGAAAACTAGCACTACAACCGCATCATCAACATATTATTGGACCTGGCCATCGATGACAACAACGAAAGCTAGCACTACTACTGCATCATCAACAAATCATTGGACATGGCCATCCTTGTCAACTCACGGATCATCATCAGCATCATCAACAACAACTACTACGACTACTCGTCGACCACTTGGTTTAACAACATGGTCATCGGATTTTTTCGAATATCAAGCAAACGATGAAGTTATGTACGATGGTATCAAATATCGATGTGTTGTTGCACATCGATCTTTTCCAGCTGCTGCGCCAGGTCCTCTAACTTGGGCATGGTGGAAACCTATTCAAGAAGAACAAAAACGTTTTTAAAAATAAATCTTTCGAATCTACTATAATCACTGTTCTATTTTTAAAAAATGACATGTTGAACGATCTGTATTGATTCGTGAACAGAACTATGTGGCGTAATTTATGAAAAACGTTTTTTTTAATTTGGTCCTAAAATAGCGTGGGGACAATGATGGCATGAGTTGAATATGTTATCGAGATTTGAGAGAAATACATAGTTTCTCATTATCGGCAAATTCTTTATGAAAACTTGAATTTCTTAGCAGAAATTATTTTTCTTATGACAACACTAGTATAAAAATGTAGATGGTCTATTGATTTCGCTTGTTTCAACAGAATGCGATACTTAGTAATCATAGAAAAATATAAGTAAGCGAATGAATAGACAAGGATAAATAAATGTTTGTGCTCTCGTATGTTTATGACTTATGCCAACTAGTACTGTTGGCTGTTAATTTTGCTGTATGTCTATTATGATGTACAATTGGCCAATTATGCATCCATGGTCCTGATATAGTTGTATCAAATGGATCATCTTCTTGTCGTTCTTTTAATTCTGGTATTTCATTTCGAATAGATTCTTTAACAGCAGCTTCTTGTAATTTTGCTCTATTAATATTAGACCATTCGTTCCAATCTGGTTTAAAATTTTCATCATCACTTTTAGTCATTAATATATTATCTTTCAAACCATAAAATCCATTAGGTTCATTTGGGTTTTGCCTATAATATAAAACTTATACGAATCAACCGTTATTCAGAGCAGTTGAACTTTACCATCGTAAATCTAAACTCCATCGAATGTTTTGACTATAATTCTCCATTGATTTATGTGGAATTAAATTATTCAAAAATAAAACGGAACCAAATGGTACTTCACACGTAACGATTGTTTTTTCATTGACTGGTATATTCAATGTTTTTTCCATTTCTTCAACGGGTAATTCAACATACCATGTACCACCCGCACAACAATTATGTTTACACGTGACACCTAAACGATGACCACCAGGCAGTACTTGTAAACATCCTTCGAAAACACAACAGAATATTTGATCATCTATCTCGATTTCACTAGACAAAACAAACCATTTTCTTTATTTGCATCTATTAATGGAATCCATGCTGTTACTTGAAGAATATTCCAACATTCTTTATCCAAATCTAAATATAGTGATGTTGATAGTGAATGTAAAATAAAGCAAGATAAATTGTTACAAGCAGTATCTTGATGCCAAGGGACAGTTGTTTGTTCTTGATTAGGCACCTACAACACAATGAAAAATGTTCTTAACAAATTATATTTTTCTTTACTTTTGCTCTTAAATTCCAAACAGGATGTCCAGCAATATCACGGCCAAGCAATTGTTTAGCAATACTAATTAATGTTTCATTTGACCACAGTGATGCAATTGCTGCTGGTAAAACACCATTTTTATGAAGAAGAATACAGGCGCCTGGAAATTGTGCTTCGATTGCAGTTAAACGTTTATAAAAATCATCATTTTCATGTAGATCTTGAATTTTCCCCTGATATATCAGAATAAATTATTTTTAAATATATATTTCTCATTTATTTATCTAGAGACATTTTTACCGCTCGGTAAAGATTTTGTGCCAATTCATCAACTAATCCTTCGATACTAGGAATTACTGATGTCAATTGATCTCGTTTTATTAAATCGTGTTTAAGAACAAAACCATCTTCAAAAAATTGATGAAATTCATCTTCAGTAAGTGGCCCTGGTGTATAATCACGTTGCCATGCCGCAATACTATCTGCTAGCGGTGAATAATATGAACGATCAACAGATATGTCGGACATTTCTACGATGTAACTTCAATTGAAAACAAGATGATTTTATATTGTATAAATACTCGTGTACGCCAATCTAATCTTACCAAGCCCTATTTCTTTTTTTAATATTCTTATCAAACGTAGCCCTTTGTTTGTGAAGAGAACCATAGCCCCCATACCACGTGGTTCATGAAGAACAGAGAACAAAAGTGAAAAACGTATGAAATTTTATACTAGACACATTTACTAAGAGACTACAACAAAAGAATTTTCCACTGAAATTTATCTACTTTTGTTAATTTACATCTTAATGTATAGGCATTATGTATAGAAAATTGAGAAAAATTTTGAAAATACTTATAAAGCTAAAAATAGCAACAGATATTTCAACTGGGGTTATAGTATTGAGATCTTATCATTTTTATCGGCACTAGGTTGGCACGTTATCTTTATCTTATGCTTTGAAACAGTAAAGTCTATTAATTAAAGAAGGTATGATATATACTTTTGTTTAAATGTGCACAATATAGTGAGATCAAGTTGGATGCGGTTATTCTGAACGTTTATTTCCACACTCACACTCTCAAATATCGATATCGGAAAGATAATTATTGGTTGTAGTCTTAAAAAGGCATTCTATTTAAATGAAAGAACGCAAAATTGTGTTTTATTGTAGTCGTACGCATTTTTACATGTTTCACCTTTTCTCTATTGAGATTGTAAACGATGGTGATTATCATTACGAAATATGTTATCGAATATCTTGAGGGTGGCAATCAAATAGCTTCCAGTTTAGTTTCTGTAACATTGCAATATAGAGTATATGATCGATCAATAGCAATAATATACTAAAGTATTGCCGGTCAGTTTTGTTCATTCTGTCAGTCATGTCTCCGCGAGAGAAAGCGGCCTAATTGTTTCTCTATTTACTTCAAAGACTCATTTCCGAATATATGTGCTAAAACCATTATTTCCAAGCTAGTATTCAATGCAACTCATAAAGACTATTCTTTACAACTGCATCTACCGTTTCTCAGTGAGTTCGCTATATTAAAAACGATCATTTTACCCCAGAAATAACAGTTACGTTTAGTAAAATTATTTACTGTAACTTCTTACATTCTTAATCTTAATATTCTTTCATAAGCAAAACATCTATAGGCTCACCATTAGATTTATTTTCACAAATTTCTGGGTGCGAGTGTGGACTTTACTCTATTGATCCTCACCCACACCCTCACATTCCGTTCATGCCAACACTCGAAAACCGACACGGTTTCATAGTACCATATTATCTTTTTGAAATCGACTCAGAACTGCAGACTTCTGTTTTCATTGTATATATTTATTTTCTTATGATCATTTTGTTTCTCAGAAAAATTTTCTATTTTGTTCAATAAGAAACAGAATATAGTAAGAAGAAAAAATTACCGTAGATCTATTGAAATATATATTTCATGTCTTGGAATATTAATAATTCAAAACTAAAAACTACACGATATGTTCGTGTGAATCTTGGTCTCATGTGCATTCCTCATTTATTCTATTTCATCTGATGTTTTGCTGTTTATGCTCACTAGTTATCTTTGGACCTGGTGGCGTTCTTATCAACACTTCCAACGCTATCGACGAAACTACGGAAGTACATAACAGAACTGAAGTCAGGTTCAGAGGAAATCGCATGCCACCTATCATGTAGTCTCGTAATTTTGCATATATGTACATTCAGCCTCTGTATTTAAAGATTGATAATATTATAGATATTTTATGCAAAAATTGATATCCGTAGAGAATAACAGCGAATCTAAAGTGTTAAGATTAATTGGTCCACATGAAGGATATAATTTTCTCTTTTATTATTCTTTTATAGTACGACAATTGTTGTTAATTATTATCAAAAATACTCTTTGTACTTATAGGAATATTAGAATAATAAATTTTGTAGTTTTAAATTTACTTTATCGAATTTACGAAGCGTTGCTAGAAACTCGAATTATTTTCATATTAATAATCAAATAATGCCTTTTTCTATAAAGTTTGCAATCTATCAAGCTTATTTTCAATGCACCTTCGAGTTGTAGACAATGGTGAGGTTATTTCGAACATACTTTTCTTCTGGGTTGCAAAAGTATCTTGAAAAATATTGATTATCTTTCGAATGCAATCAATGTAAGCGAGAGAAAAAAAATGGGCAGAAAATACCAACCCTATGTGGCATAATAGCATTGAAACTTCTATCTCAGCATAAAATATGTATTATATTGTCATGTTGGCATAAAATTAAATTTTTTCTAAATGTATCAGCTGCAATAGAAAGTGGAAATAGATTTGAAATTATATTCATCATATTTGTATGTATCTCGATTGCTCAAATTTGACTGCGGATCTCTTCAATGATCATGTTAATAAAACAAAAGATATTTAGCACATATAAAGTAATATTGGATTCGGCAAAGCGAACTGAATTAATCGAATAATTCCCTTCTTTTACCCTTAAGACTAGTTCAACGACAAGTCACTAATTTATATCATCATTCTACGTCGTACATTTAAAAATGTAAACATAATATCAGTGAGAACGAAGCACATTTACATTTAAAGAAGAAGACGAAAAAGGCCACAGCTGACTCTCGGTTTTTCAACCAACGATTATTTAGGGTATCGTCATCATATATAAAAAGAAATACTATATTTAGTCTATTCCATTGTGATTTAAGCAAGAAAATGCGTAAAAGAAGTATATTATTTACTATAGTGTGTCTCTTGATAGTAACGATTAAGTCTGATGTTGGTGAAAGTGACTATGTAATCAATGAAAATAGGCATTCATCAGAAAACGAAGAAAGTCGAACAATTTTAAATGACACAAATCAAATTTTTGAAGCTACTCAAACTTCAGCGGAGATGAATTCCGTGAATGAAACGCCTTCACAACCTTCTCCAGCAGCTCAAACTCATAAATCTGAAGAATCTGCTCAATTTTCTTTGGCGTCTTCAACTCCAGCGAATGAAATAGCGCCTCAACCAACTCAAGCGGCTCCAACTCCGGTGAAAGAAATATCATCACAATCTTCTCCGAGTTTTGAGACTGAAAGACCTTCTCAACCATCTCCAGTGGCTCCAACTTATGAGACTGAGGTACCTCCCGAACATTCACAGGATACTTCAACTCCGGCGAATGAAGAAAGCCCTAAACCAACTCAAATTGCTCGATCATCAGTTGATGAGGATGCTATTAGGAATGCTGATACAGCTTTTGAAAGTAACATAGAATCTTCTCTGGATGTATCAACGACAGAAGCAAGTATCAATGAAGCTGAAGAAATCATACACACAGAAGATAAAAGTCACGTAGCTATTGAAGACAACAACAAAGAAGTTTATCATACTGAATTCGAAAGTCATCGAAATGAAGATCTTTAACGTCAAGCTGACTATGACATATCATCATATATTGAACTCATCATACCAAAATTTATTTTGTTTTTCATTCATTGATAATTTCTATTTGAACTTAAATTTTTATTGTTTCCAACTTTTCGCTATCTGTAAATCTAGCGGCCAACAGTTAGAATTCTGATTAGATTAATCTCAGTGAATAATTTAATCGTTTGAGTTTGACAGGAAAATAAAACTAATTTACAGAGAGGTAAATCTGCATGAAATGACATCTATTGATAATTTGATCATTACTTGAATTGAATATCTAACTATATGGTTTAGTAAAACATTTGTTCAAATGAAATAAAAGTATAATCTATTGAATATTTTCAATCATAAATTTCGAATTTTGCCATTCGTTTATTCGAATGAGTCATACGCAACTTGTCATGTTATATTCGTTCGTCATAATAAGAAGGAATAAAAAAGTATTATTTTTATTGTTGTCTCTTCTCTTCCTTCGTTCAATTATTCTAATGCATGTTTAGGCTGATTTACTAATGAATATTGACATTCCACAATTGCCATATAAATTCGAAAATCTTCCAAATGAAATTTTACTTGAAATATTTGATTATGTTCATTTAAATGATTTAATCCGTGCTTTTTATAATTTAAATTATCGTTTGAATTCAATTTTATTTTCATCGAATACTCATTTATATATTGTTTTTCCCGATGATATCATTGGAAATAGTACTCATAAGAAAATATTATTGGATTTCATACGAAGACAAAGATATATTGCAAGGCTTCGACTTTCAAATGATGGGCCATTACTAGAACATGAATTTATACGGTTTCCATATATTCGTTCCTTAATTCTTGATATTCCTACATCGAAACATATCGAAATGGTTTCACCAAAACAATTCCCTCGCTTGGAATATCTTCGTGTTGGTTATGCATCCGCTACAGTTCAATTGAATAAACTTCATCAACATATATTTTCTAATGGATTTCCATTATTAAAAAAATGTTCCTTGAATAATATTGGCGAATATCAATCATGGACTGGTTCACCATCCATATATTCATTAGGCATATGGTCAAATGATCCACGTTTAGTGATTCAAAGAGTACTATGTGCATCGATGTATCTAATTTCTTTTCATCTATTTCTTAAATGGCCATCAACTTATTCCATACTCCAGGATCAAATCATTCCACAACATACGCATTTAAAATATTTAAAACTACATCTATCTGGTTTATGGACATTAGAAAAGTTAGATTCATTTCTTGCCTACATTCCAACTGTTAAAATTTTAGATCTATCTTCATCGTATTTCGATTCGCTCATGATTTATTTTCAATGGAATTTTAAAGAATTATCTTATATATTTTCATGTCGCCTACCAAATCTTTCTCATTTTGATTGTGAGTTTATTTTTCAAAATTGGAAAAAAATTGATTTAGAAGAAATTCCTTCTTTACATTCTTGTTTTAATTGTATTAATTACGAAATTTATGCCGATGATGATTTATTCATAAGAATTTTTACTAACAAATAAAATGATTAAAATATGTATTTTTGTTTTATTATTGAAAACAAATAGAAGTGCTACGTCAAATTACCAGTTGTTTTTTATTTGCTTTTTCGAAATCTAGTACATCGTATCTTAATCCCTTCTATTCGGAATAAAAAAAGAAAAACACGTTCTTGCGCACCAAGATCACATGTGTCATAGTCTGCAACATGCGCTGAAAGTACAGTTTGATTTCATTTTTAGTTTAAATGTAGTTCGTGAAACTTGTTTGCTATGAATGAGTCGTTCAGAAGACGATCTAGCAAAATAATACTTGAGAAAACAATCTATTTGACTTTACTATAAGTTGGTAATACGATTGTAAATCGTTAGAAAAATCTACAGTTCTTGTAATTTGTAATATTGACATAAGTTTATCTAAACATATATTTGAGGTGTTCTGTTTCAGGTTTTTGTTTTATAGATTCGCCATTTATAATGCGCTACATTCTATAGTACCAGGTCTATCTTGCTCAACTACCATCATTCATTGGTCAGGTAATCAGATTTTGTTATATTCGCTTTCTAGTTGAAGGAAGTTTTTTTATTTTGGTAGACATGTCAACTCGATTAGAATCTTTGCCAAATGAAATATTAACTGATATGTTTATATACTTTGATATTTCAAGTTTGTATCATAGTTTCAGCGGATTAAATCAAAGATTCAACAATCTTATTCATTCATTGAAACATCATGCTCTAATTATTGAAAAACATAACTTATCATTAATCGAATTATATGCTTCTCAAATCATGCGATTAAAAATAAATACTCCCCTACCAATTGATATAAATGAATGTTCAAATTTAATTTCATTGGAATTATGTCAAGCAAGTAAAAATCAAATAGAACAAATTCGATCTGATATAATGCCAAACTTAGTGTGTCTTACAATAATACCTCCATATCACATTTCATTACCTATGGCATTTACGCAAGAAGTATTTTCCAACAGTTTTCATCATCTTCGTTCTGCACGTTTAAGTCGTTTAGATACATTTGAATTACTACCTGGATTTCAATCCCTTTCCCTACGTACGCTCTATATAACTTGTACTAATGCAAATACGATTCATCGGGTTCTGCAAGCATGTCCCAATCTCTTTTCTTTACATGCACAATTTTTTGGTCAACATCATCATATTGTTGAACCTATATCATCAGTTTATAATCATTCATTAGAAAAGTTTTTACTCGATGATCCCTATCATAATTTTTCATTTGATACGCTTAACACTATTTTTCTTTGTATACCCAATGTCAAATATTTAGTTTTACAATTTTCATGTCGTGTACCATTTATAGATCTTGTTGAAAATATTTTAACTCGACTAACACAGTTAGATCATTTTGAATGTGATATTTTAGAATTTCCAAATGATCATATGGTCAATGTTGAAATTATCCAACAAATAAATGAATGTTTTCGGTATTTACAATGCATTCAAAAAGATAATGGCTGTCGAGTGTTTTCAACAGAATGTATTTAACCATAAACTTTACTTTTGCCATTTGACTTAATAAATTCAACTTTGTTTTGTTTTTGTTTTCTTAATTGCATCATCGCGAAAGGATTTAAGATGTGCACTCATCTTCTTGTCTATCTGAAATCAAAACTGAAATGCTATTATTTGTAGATGATTACTTGTAATATGAATGACCATTTATTACCATTTGAATTATTACCGAATGACCTTTCAATTAAACTTTTTAACATTTCAATGCTCAACATCGTTTCCAATCATTTTATAATTTTAATATTCGCCTAAATAGAGTATTAGAATCATTTCATAATCTTAAATTTGTATTTTATTTAACAACATCGAATAATAGTCTTATCTGCAATGACCAAATATTTCCTGTTTACGGTCATACTTTAATCGTTGATTCGAATGTTGATGTTGGTCTTAATCGATTTTCAAATATTCGCCGACTTAAATTCGAATGGTTTTCTATGACAGAACTTGCAAGAATCTCTGCCAATGTGCTTCCTTATTTAGAGGAACTCAATTTAGTATGCATAGGTATTGAATTTATAAATCATTGACTTTAATGCACCTTAACTGAAATCATTCGAATAATTTATAGAAAATACGATTTTCAGTAATTGCTAATCAAAACTCTTTTATAGAAGCAATTCCTTGTTGCGATAGTTCTAGCGTAAAATTTTTTCACAGATTCTCTGAAACCATCTAAAATTTTTACACTGAACTCGTTATTTTTCTTTAGCAACATTACGACCATATAATGGATCATTATTTTTATCAACAATTCGCACTTTAAAAACTCGATTTACTGATTTCTCATCTTATCAAACATTTCTATCTGCATGTGCTAATTTAAGTTGTTTTCAATGTTCGATATTTACTTCTGATAAATGTAATTACATTGAATCACCAAATACATAACAATCTTAAACAATTAATAATTAAAGTGAGCAATGTCGTTTGGCCTTGGCATGATCATTTATTTAATTGGTAGTTTATCATGTGTATCAAATCTTGAACAATTCAATGTTGATCGTTCATTACAGCTATCAAGAATAACAGAATCTTTTAAAGATGATGATTGGCTTACATCAATAATTTCTTATTATTTACTTAAACTAATTCGTTTTAAATTTTATTTACGTACTATCCAATGGAAAACAACTAATGAATCTAAGACAAAAAAGTTGATTAATCAATTGAAAGGAAGTTTTCAGAACGCACATAGTGATTCGTATCAAGCTCGATTAATTATCGACTGTTCATAGAAAAATAAATAAAAGTATTCTTATATTTATTAATCGGACAAAAAACTGAAACTATTTTTTTAGAGGCAACTTAGCTGAAGAAAATGAACTAATTACTTGATCAATCTTATCTTAGTAATCACTCAAATTGCTGCACCTTTAACATGATGAAAATCGAATAAACCCATTTTCTATTACAATTCATAATAATGCAAATATACTTATTAAACTTTATAACCACTAAATCAAATGCATAATGCGGTATATTTCATCAATTGGTATTCAAACTATGAATATTTTCAACAATATTCTAACGACGACTTCATTGTCTGCGATTCCATTCAATTTTATACAATCAATTGGCTTCTTTATTCTAATAAAATACCATTTCATGAAAGATTTCGCAATCGATTCTTCTAGGCTTATTTTCGATTTAGTCTTCGAAGAGATCAATCTATATTTGTGGTTGAGATTATTACAACGTACCAAAATTGTTTTCGTGTTGTTGTTTTTTTATGTAGATGACGTTTTTATGCCTGCGGTAAACTTGATAGATCTTATTTAGAAAAGGTCAAGAAGAATTGAGAATCTCTCATTTACATTCATGAATGTCTCGAACTAAAAATCTTAGTTTTTTTAGACACTCATTTGTCAGGAATCATTATTATAACTAGAAGTTTTTTTTTTCTAGATTGTGAATTTAAAAAGAAATATATCGGTATGTCTGACTTTGCTTTATTTTGATTTGGATAGTTTCAGCGATCGCACCACACGTTGTCTAGGAATAAGAATTTAAATATCACGAAGGATTTATTTTCATGCTTATCCAATCTAGAGAAATTATTGAGATCCAAATGTGAGGAGAAATATGATGCCAAGATTAAATTGAGTATAATCATAGCTTAATGCGCCACAATTTCGTCATTAGTCGCTGTTAGCTTTTCCATATGACCTAAAAAATTGATCCTACTTATAAAGTGAAGTATAGTTGGACATTTTAAGACATTTTGTGAATAAGAAAATAATAGGTAGTACTATCCCGGAGAATATCTTTTCTCGGGTCCTTGGCGAGTATGGTATATTCATGTCAAATATACTTCTATGATGTAAAGCAATCTTTATTTGTCTTATTTACTGAATCGCGTACATAGAAAAATTTTCTTTCATGATTATGCTCTTTATCCAAAACATTAAAAAATCATCCAGTTTATCTTTATGCGAAAATAAAGAAGTATTTCCGTTTGAAGTTATGAATAATGACAAAGAGTATTGAAATTATCGGCAGTACTTTCATTACATAGATAAGCCGTAGAACCTTCTAATTAATTGTGTATTTTTATTGTAAGCTGATACGATTTAATTGAATATCGCTTTTAATGTTTCAACAAAATTCCCTTCAACGATTGCACATCTGTTTTAGGTGAATCCGGACAAGTTCTCTTCAAGTATTTCAAAAACTGCCTAATTACTTTATTTGTTGAATTTTTCTTTCTAGATAAGCGTATTCAGAATGAACGGCAATCAGTCTCGATTAGAATTATTACCAAATGAAATTCTAATAGAAACTTTCGAATATCTCGAAGTTCGTGATCTTTTTCGGGCTTTTAATAATATTAATTCACGTTTTAATGGACTTCTTCAATCGTTAAATGAACTTTTTCTTATTCTTTCAATTCGTGATCGTGATGAAACACCCGATGATGTAAAAACTCTACCTCAAATTCATACTCTAATTGTTAAATATAAAACGGATGTTATTCTTAATCATTATTCAACTATTCGTCGTTTGATTCTAATCGGTTTACCTTATGCAAGACCTTATAAACTCGAAAGTGTTGTTCTTCCACATTTAGAATATCTTTCAGTTATTTTAAAAGGTTCATCTTCTGTTTTTTCGATCAGCCGTTTACATGAACCAATATTTTCGAATAGTTTTCCATGTTTAAAATTTTGTTCTCTGCCAAGAATATCAACCATTCAAAAAACAGAACGTTGGACTAAATTATTATCATTGCGTATATTGAAAGTTGGACATATTGGCTTATTTACATATATTGGCATTCTAACAGCTTGTCCCAATTTGAATATTTTCTATTTTCTCGAAGAAAAAATTTTACAAACATCAACTGTTCTTACACAATTTATCAATCATGAAAATCTTAAACGCTTGGTTATTAAAGAAAAATATATTGGACCTGTAACACATGTTGGAATTCTGAATGAATACTTATTATGTGTGCCTAACCTTGAATATCTTAGTATTCATGTCACAACATATCATATGAGAAATTTACAATATCTTCTAGAATTCGATTGGCTTGCATCGATCGTGTTATTACATTTACCATTACTGTGTCAATTTCATTTTCATTTACCTGTCTTTCGTACAAAACGAATCGATAAACTTTTTGATGAAAATACGTTTAATCAATTAAAAGAACGCTTTAAAATGATGCACAATAAAAGATATCAATCGAAACTTTTTATAGATCGAAAAAATTTTCAACATCTTCAATGTTACGAATACGAATCGACTGATTCATCGTCAAATGATGAATGATGTTTACATTTTGAAAATTTCAATGTTCGTCGTGTGACTTTGACTATTAACTTATTAGTTTATAGGGAATGCACAAGCCTGTACAAACTAGCATTATTTATCTATGAAAATGTTTCTTAAATTTCAATATTGTGATCCTATTGTTAGAATCAAAAGAATATATAAAAAACGCAGTGATAGTATTAATATTTTTAGTTATATACAAATGTATGAAATTTACCCTGATGTATATAAATTTTTGTTTTTATTTGTGATGTATTGTAAAAAGATTAATAAGTCGAAACGTCAACTATTTTCGTTGTTTCTCTAAAAAAAAAGGAAAGCATGATTCTTATGCAATGTATTTTTTTCATTGTAGAAAATCTATCGATCTATAATGTAGATTAAATGAAGTGTTATTCAATACAAGATTATCGATTAGGAAGAAAATTGCTTTAGGTTCTGCATTTTCTCTCAAAGAAAATATTATAATGAATTATTAGAAATGTACGAAACCTCGTTTTCTCGATTTTGGTGGGACCTCGACAATGAATGCAGGACTGGCTAAGATCGAATACATATGAAAATCTTTTCTGTTTTCTATTTTCTAGATAATTAAAATGACTGTCATACCCATTCTATTTGAAACTTTACCGAATGAACTTCTAATGAATATATTTCAATATTTTGACGCTCGAGATCTATTTCGAGCTTTTCACAATCTTAACTGTCGTTTCAATAGACTTCTTCGATCACTTAGATATGTTTGTTTTACTCTAATTAAATTTGATTCTAATGAAAGCAATGATTATCATATTTTTGCTCCATACATCTATAATCTAGTAATAGATCATGCAGTCAACATTGATTTAAGTCGATTTGCAAATCTTCATCGTCTTACTTTATTATCTCCAACATCTAATCAACTAAAACAAGTCGTGTCTAATAGTTTAGATTATTTAGAATATCTTTCAATTGGATATGAACATTTTCTTTTTTCATATTATATTCCTGATTTATGCGAAAAGATTTTCTCTAATGGTTTTCCACGCTTAACATCTTGTTGTCTGTTCGAACCAAGAATACTCGAGATAATACCAAAGTTTACGCAAGCAACACAGTTATGTATTTTAAAAATGGATAATGTTGATTTATTAGCATACAAATATATACTATCATTATGTCCGAATTTAAATCTATTTGAATTCACCATGTTAAATCAACAGGACGACTTGATTAATATTGAACCACATAGAAATCTTAAAAAAATGTCTATAAAATTTCCAAGTTTAATGAAATCATTTTCTGACTGCGCCATGAATTGTTATTTATCATGCGTTCCAAATTTAGAACAGTTGAATGTATGTGAAATTAATTTTGATGTCACTATTATGGTATATTTGAATTCGAATTGGTTCGCTTCGTTAATTAAAAAACATTTACCATCACTGCGTCGATATAAATATTATATTCATGCTTGTGGAGTTAAACAGAATGATGAAAATACGTTAAATAGTATTAAAACAAATTTTAAACAAATACATAATCAACGATATCAATCTGTACTTGTTATTAAGCTATCCCATTCGTCATTGTCAACCGATTGATACAAAAAAGTTTTTGTTTTCTTTTCGTTTTAGGAAATATAATGCAGTTTGTAGTGTATTGCATAGTTTTGTAATCTATGATTAATAAATATTTGTAATCAAGCTAGTCTATCTGTATGTGCTGTTTTCTATTTCTAGATTATTGATTCTTTTTAAAATGCTAATCGAAAAGGAATTATATTTTAATGTTGTTAACCATCGGTGTATCAAATTTTGATTAGCTCTTTTTCTTTCTTGCTTTATGAAGGGTAGTTGCGCGCTGTGGATAAGCACGCTCTATAAGAGATTCTATTTTAATTATTTAAATAATCATTCAAATAATAAAATTATTCATTAGTATATTCTTTGATGTGATCGAGTGGTTGCATGCCGTGGAATTTTAGCATGAGTGCAAATGAAGACGAGACCCATTGATCTAATTACCTTCCGAACCGATGCGTTGTGAAATACTCTACAAAGCTATTTCCCTAAAAATTTAAGGAGAAAATCAGGTCTGAGGATTGAAAGAAAAAAACGTTACAGTCAAAATATTAGAGGGTCCGTTATTTGTGGGCCACGCATTAGATTAGCAGTATGTTGACCAGTCAATTATTATAAGAAAATAAATGTGGAAACTTCAGATTTCATCCGAAAGTTATGTGTACTGCAAAATGTGCATGGGATGTATAAGTCATTCTAGAATGTCTGAACACCAAAATTATCATGAGAAACTAGGCAATTTGATTCCTGGATGCAGTTTTTGTGCATTTTGAGACGTTTTTCAGGCGATGTTTCATCAGAAAGCTACGGTTTAGCTCAAAACTAATATCAGATTCGGAATCAGCGTTAAAAACTGAGTCGATTTATATATGTTGTGAATAATTCTGAGAAAGATTTATTTTTTGAAAAAAATTCCCTGTACTCCTCCTCAGGGATGGCCTGGTCAAAAATGACAATTTTTTCGATAACTCAACCATTTCTTGGCGGATCCTTCTCATCTTCGAACTCGACTGATACATTGATGAGACTGAACTGTGTAGAAAATTTCATCATGATCTAACTCTCCTTTCGAGAGTTATCGTGTAAACGGACGGCCGGACGGACATACTGACCGATTCTAGTGTACTCACTTTTTGAGTACACAAAAATGAGGCTCTTGATAAAAGTAGATTAGCAACCCAAATGTATAGACTCTAAGAACAATTAAGATATATACTGCGTACACTATCTCTACGAATTTTCTTTCTTCTTATTGATTTTTTTTTGTATGATCATGTCTAAAAACAAAATAAAATATTCAAATAGTTCTTTTTTCTGCCAATTCTCTTCTGGCATCTACGCTCGGACGTATCTTCCTCTACGAAAAAATGTCTTGTGTACTCTGAAAGAGATGTTATAAGTTCAATATATTGATTTTGACTAAAACTCAAAATTATAGTTGACTAGTTTATCACATTGAGAAAACTATTTCTATGAATGAAACTGATTGTTAATAGAAATAGAAAAACAAATTCTTTATCAAATAAAGGAGAATGGAGAAAAGATTCATTTATATGATTGCCGTTTTAGATGATTAATTTCGCTTGTACGAAATTTGAAAATCTACCAAATGAAATATTATTTGATCTTTTCGAATATATCGATATTCGAGATCTATACAATGGTTTCTGGGGATTGAATGAACGAATAAATTATATTATTGGATATCTTCGAAATCTTTCACTTAATCTTGAACGATACGAAGTCGGATTGATTTCGTTATTTGGTAAGAAAATTAGTCGATTAGTTGTTAACACATGGCAAGATATAGATCTCAGGCAATTTCCTCGTTTAAAATCACTTATTTTACATCAAATAACAGGAAATCAACTACGACAAATTCGATCAGAATATATGCCTAATCTTGTCTATCTTTCTACGTCGTCAATACCCGAGTTTTCTCTTATGCCGCAATTAGCACAACGTATATTTTCTAATGAAATGCCTACTATTCGATATGTTGATCTTGGCCACGTTCATGTACCACATCTACGCATGTGGTCTCAATCGCCTGCTCTTCGTTCACTATCAGTACATACTATAAATCTAACTATTATTCCATTTATTCTTATTTCATCTCCGAATCTTGTTCGCCTTCGTGTTGAGTTTTTATTTAATACAATTCCAGTATTTGATAGTGCACCGTCGCTTCGAAATCATCCATTAAAACATTTTATTCTGTCTGATCCATATCATAAATTATCATTTAATCATATTTATACGCTTCTCGCAATTATTCCCAATACAGATAGAATCGAACTGAATTTTCTATGTAAAATTCCATTCATTCGTTTTCTTTACAGTTTATTGAATCGTTTACCATATTTAAATCGATTTGATTGTAATATTGATGATGCATCGAATGATAAAATAACAGATATTCAAACAATCCAGCAAATTCATTCGTGTTTTCATCGAATTCAATGTTCAACTAATGACTTTCATTTTCGAACATTCACTACGGAGTCAAAGAAATGTTTCTTTTTTTGAAAAAAAAAGAACAAATAAAAGCGAAATGAATAGATTGCCAGAGTTTCATGAAATTAGAGTGGGGTGCCCGGGTGCCTACACAGCATTTACGATACTTTCGTTGGGTAGTTAAAACTTTGGGCACATTGATATGTTATATAGGACATACTAAAAAGCGCTCAATCACACTTGGACACAGGTACACATTCAACTCAATTTTTCTGCTCGATGTAGAGAATTTGATTATGCATCTCATTCAACAGATTAGAGAGGTCAAGCAATCAAGCTTACCCAAATAGATAGAAGAAGGTTTATGTGATCGATTTGCGCAGTAGCATAGGTAGGTGTTGGTGACTTTATTCCCTGTCTATTCGTAAATGCATCCGCATCTTTTTGAAAAGAAAAAGTTCTAGAAAGCACTTTTATCTTTCGTCTTAATTAATTTAGTTCTCCGTAAACTGTTGCATGAATGATTTCGTGTTTATTTAAGCAAATAATCTTAAAATATATGTGTAAATACAAATGAAAAAACTTTCAAATTTTGAGTTATGTTATTTATATCGCATCCATCATTCTAAGTAGTTACTTCAAACATTGACTGACAGTTAGGACAGATGATATGGTTCATCGGAGGAGTTCGCGGTTGAATATGAGCACCAGGATGTGATGCTATTGGAGGATTGATGGTCGATGGGGTGGCATAACCTGCATTAAGAGGTACGGCATATTTCTGATTCGTACTGTAAGGTCCCTGTTGATGTGTTAAAGGCATGCCTCCGGTTGGTGCTGAATAGTTTTGGTAATGCATGACTTTCTTTACTCGATAGCTTGTCACAGCAAAAATGACAATAAAGATCATGCATGATACAAACATTAACACACCGGCTGCCAATTGACCTTTAACTAACGGTACTTTGATTTCATACAATGTTGTGTAATTGCTTAGATAATAACCAGAATATGATGAGGAGGAATCCGAATTGCAACTGTTTGAAAAAAAACATTGAGTTGGATTATTCAAGAAATAAGCATCTAAACCAACTAGAGATAACGCAAATGGGATAGCAATACACTGAAAAACAAGTGCTGTTATACCACAACAACGAGTTCGACAACAACAACCTAGCAAACAAAATCAATAAAAGATAGTTAATCTTTTCTCTTAGAATGCATATGAAAACATACCTGCCCCTGAAAGTGCTATCCATGCACACATAAAAGATGGAAATGTCCAATATCCAATGAAAACATTCATTCGCGCAGCATCTACAAAATCACCACCTATTTGACAACCGACAATGGTTAAAGTCAGAATCAATTCAAAAACGGACAATAGATCAACAATGACCGCTGGTAATTTCTCTCTCCAAATAATTTTTGATTGATTTACTGGATGGTTGATCATGTTGTTTTATTTGAAAACAGATTCTAAATGAAGACAAATATACACCATACGCATATATATATATATAAAGATAGTTGATATCTATACGATTCTTCAATATTGCAAAAATATTCTTTACTATGGTAAGGTGCTATTACTATTTAGTTTTGTACTTTTTGTTGGCTGTTGTCATGATTGGTTTACTATATTATGAAACCGGCATTAATTATACTTCAATGCGATAAATTTCAAAATAAAAAATTGAAAGAGAAGTATGTGAAGAAACGATACACTATTGATGAATTGGATACAGTCTTACATTTTTTTAAAATCCATCTAAACTTACTTCTTTAGTAAAGAGTTGCCGGAAGAATTGCTGATCTTACTAACTAGAATTTTTTCAATGACAATCTCGAGTAGAACTGGGAACACTTGAATACACTGTCTTACTTGTCTATGAAAGGGAAAAATTGCTGTATTCACCAGAAATTTTTTCTCTAAAGCATTCGAGAGATTTCAACGAAATAAATGAAGGGGCCTGGTGAGGCTTATTTTACAAACGCTGCAAAATTAAACAAGAATCTTATAGATCAGAAATGGCTTCATTTTTCCCTTAAGTAAATATCAAAATTCCAGTTATTTGTTATAAAAAAAGCTATTCCAATTTGGCATTTTCAGAGACGACTCTCATTTTGAAACATTAAAGTCATGCTTCCAATCAGACAGGTAACGAAAAAGTACTCACTTCAACGCGTTGAAGATGTTTTGTTTTCATCAAAAATAGCTTGTTGCAAGAGTATTTACTGTAAACAACTGGGCTTTTGAAAACCGAAAAATTTTAAATGCGTAAAAAACTATAGCTTCTTGTTATTGGTAAAAACATGGTCTTTTTCGTTATTTGTCTGAGTGAGTTTCGATCGATCTGAATTGAAAACTTCTTCACAGCATCGCGTCAAGTAGCGTAACTCCCAGAAACAGCATTTTTTTGGTTTAAAATCAATAAAAAAAAGGATTATTGTTTTTATTATGGAAGATTACAAAAATATTTCCAACATACGAATGGGATAGAAGAAAAAAACGCTTCTACCTAGTTTCATTTTCTAAAGTTTCTGATTATTATAACTTGAAGATGCGAAAAGAAATAAAACGAGCAAAATAATATATAAGACGTATTTCTCATTTTATATTTGCTTCTTTCTTTGTGACGATATCGAAGTCTTCCTTTCATTTTCAATGATTACAGGTAAGATCAAACTACTGATATGATATTTCAAAATTTAGAATACATGATATTCAGATCGAAGATACTATTCCACACCGAAATTGTTCTGCTTTAAACATAGTTAAAAGTGCTATTTTGTTTTATTCTTAATATCGAATAAAATAATGATTTTGTTGAGAAGATGCAAAAAGTTTTAATTCCCTGTTGTAATGAATGCGATGTACACCGGTTTGATTAATAGAACTGCGTATGATAATTAACAGTCTCTCTTTTTCATACTAGAATATGTTCTATTCCAGCCAATGACGATGAGCTAATTCCTTGTTAGGATTATGTCTAGTTTTTTTCTTTGTTTTTCAAGTGTCACATTAACAGTAGTTTACATTTAGATACAAAGGTTTTTAAAGATAGAACGTACATTCTTTTCTTTTGCTGATGCCACATAGTCATTAGTTCGTTTTCTGCAAGTACGAAAGAAGTATACATCAAGCACCTCTGTATCTATTCGCTAGTCATAAATATGTACTAATTTTTAAATAAAAGTATCGCCAGCCATTGGCACTTTAGTTTTTATATGTGTATGGCAATATAAGAATGTGAATTAGAACGAGATTTAGCTGATTTTAGCTCAAATCATATCTTGTACTGAATGTCCCAACTGCCAAACAAATATTCGTATACCATCTGGCATGCTAGCAAATCTAAATTCGGGATCTACCATCAAGCTAAGACCAAAATTACCATCTGGGATTGAAACAATAACCCAGAACAACCAATCAACAAATGGACCATACAGTTCAGAAGCAGGCTTGACTGCTGCGCCACCATGGGTTAGTACAATTAAATTGGAAATCTTTTGATGTCAGACTAATCTAAAAATTTACATGTGGACTAATAAAGATGAATATAAAATCGATCTTTAATGTATATATTGAAATTTAGGTTAAACCAAACATATCTCCATATTCAAAGTCTCTCTCAGACCATGAGAATAGCTGGCGATCTTACTTTTTGGGCATGCCTGTGCTTATTCTCGGCATTGTTCAAATCGTTCTGATCGTGCTGATCATCATCCTTGAAATAACATCGTTGGGTCTCTCGACGTATAGTGCTACTGGTGCTGGTATCTGGTGTAGCATTGCATTCATACCAACGGCTATCTCAACTGTGTTATTAGGTAATATTTAAAAGAGTGTCGATGGATTTCAATTTAATCAAAGTCCTAATTTTTTTTAGTTAAATCTTGGGCGCGATCCCGAGTTAGAGCTTCGCGTGTTCTCATTGCTCAAATTATTCTGCTTGTATTCACTTTTATTTTGATTGGCATTGTTGGTAGCTATGTTTCATCCAACAGTATAACCAATTCAACTGCGTATACAACCTATTATGGTACTAATAAAAATTTGACAACAAAATACAAAGTAATGCAAGCACAATTGGCATTTTCTATTATTTTAATGTTTTCCGGATTAGCTTATGTGATATTCTATTTGGTCGTCACTTATTTGGCTCTATGGAGACCATTTCATACTCTTGACATATCTCATATGTTTTTTGATTGAATCATTATATCAAAAACTAAAAAAACTTCATTATAACATTTATGTACTGTGTTTTTTCCCTCATAGCCACTGTGCTTGAATAGAGTAGGGATGCAACGGTGACGATTAATCGTTCACCGTTCCACCGCTTGAGACCGGTGAAACGGTGACGGTGGAACGGTTTTTAATCGTCACCGTTGCATCCCTAGAATAGAGCAAGTTATTATGGAGAATGAATAAAAAAGAAATTTTTTTTTCTAATAAAAGATGTTTTTAAAAATACTTCTCAGAGTGTGAATGTTTTTATACGGAGAAGGTAGGTCTTACACGTTTACTGCAGCTGTGTTTATCTTAAGTTATAAATGTGAGCTTGGATGTATGTTTCAGTTAAAGCATAACTATGAATTTTATATATTTTCAAATTGCAATTTAGATCACATTTCAGAGAATGCTATCCTTAGATGAATTATTGATGAAAATCAAATAGAAAGCATTGACGTAATCGTAGTAGCTAATTTGAAAAAAATATGCTCAATCGACTGTAAGAAATGGCTTTGTAATCAACTTTTTCTTGTTGATAGAAAGGAAAACTTCTAAATTTAATTGACATTTTCATGAACTACAACAACAATGTATTGTGAAGTTATTTTTTAATTACTTTTAGAACAAATGTAAACATACGATTGGAATATATTACTACGGATGATTCGATTTGCGACTAATATCTTTGAAATGAATTCTATCACAAACGAAAAATGAAAAGAACTGTTCTCGAAATACGATTCATTTCTTTTGATACAATAGAAATACATTTCTGTCGGTTTATGGCAACATTATAGGAATCTAAACCTATTCACTGAAAATAAGAATATCAGTTTCATGGAAGTATACAAGAAAGCTTTGAATTCTTCAATATTTTCTCTCTCGTTGCATCTCTCCATAAACAGTTCTATTTTAAGTATCAATTTTTCAGTAACACATTATATCTTGTGTAATGCTACAGAATATAGATATTGTGTTGAGATATACTCAGGTCAATGATTCCGGAGGACGGATACCGTAGGAACCGACCAGACAGGTGCGGAAGAATCACCATATCTGGCCGGAAAGTCCGTCAAAGTGCTGGAAAGTGGAAGCAGTATTCCGGTCATCTTCCAGCCGGAAAGCACAGAAAACTGACCGGAATTTATAGGAAAAAAATTCGGTAATTGCCAGCCGGAATACTGCTTCCACTTTCCAGCGATTTCCCGTGCTTTCCGGCCGTTTCCCATCGTACCTCTACGATCTGTTTTATGTATCAATTGATGAAGTTTATCTTACTGATGAAACCCTCAAGCCTTTTCATGAACAAGCGGAATATCCTTTTTAATTGTTACTTCTAGCTTTTGTTGTATATTTTGAAATGACACACAAATATATTCTTTATTGATTATTTGGTTTCAGCGATCAAAATGTTCTTCTTATCATCTGTCAACAATACGGCGAATCTTGTAATAGAATACTCGAGGCAGTTCAAAATTTGAAATGAATTGATATGATTCGATTCTCTGTCTGGCAGGGAGCTCGAAAAAACGGTTTCATGTATTCCTATGAAATATTTTCCTATGTACCTACATGACGTCAGATCTTCGTCATGATGGATAATACTGTAAAAAATCATAAACTATTTAAAATATGACTCGGATCATATTCTTGAATCTGCTTTGAATTGTTTACGGTACTCAATAACACTAAGCAAAAGAATTTTCATCTGCTACCAGCTTTGAATTCAATAAGGTTTCTTTTTTTTCTCATTAATACAAGCAAACACCATCGTGCATTGTACAAGTTAATTGAATTTATTTGATTGTATTTTTCATCATTCAACACAATATTTAACAACGGATTGCTGAAGAACAGTAGTCATTTCTTAATGTCGGCCCACCAGGGTATTCGACTAGGCTTTGTTCGTAAGCCAAATAGAGTCGTATCTCCAACAAAAGTAATGTAACATGAACGAAATAATCAAAAATTATTATTCTTCATTTTTATAATTTATGTACATTAAAGATCAAAATCGTTCATGTTCAAGCAAAATCCAGTGCACCAGTGCCAGGTTTATCACGCGTCAGTCCCTCAGCACACTTAACCAATTCGGCTGCTGTTAATTCGAACTCAACGAGCGAATTATTGAGAGATCAAGAAAATCAATTGAACCACTCATCGTCTTTTTCACGAATTGCACCTGAGACTGATCCCCTCAAGACTAAGACAGAGTAAGATACAACAATCGATATCAATAAGCTTGAAAAGTTTCATTTGATATTTGTAGAATGCCGAAAGAAAATTTAGCCAATACTAAAAAGCAATTTCCATTAACATTGGGAAGCACTCTTGGTATCATCGCTGGTATACTTGGTTTGGCAGCAGTGGCGATGAGTACCTACGTTCTTGTGACCAATTCAATGACAACAATCGCGACTACATCATCAAGTGAGAGTCCATATGACTATTATTGGCTTAAAAAGAATGCCAATATTTACATTTTGTTCGTTCTAGCTACGATGATGACATTACGTTGGAATTCTACAGCTATTACCGTAGCAGGCGTTGGTACTATTGGTGTATCTGCCAATCAATTCAATTATCCTTTCGGCATGGTATTAGATTCAACCAATGCACTCTATATATCCGATCTGAACAATAGCAGAGTTCAGCTATGGTCAAACAATGCCTGGACTGGTACTACAGTAGCAGGTCAAGCCAATGGAACCAGCGGAACAGGTTCCTCTTTCTTGAACAAAGCCGCTGGTTTTGCTATGGATGCAAGTGGTAATATCTATGTCACAGATATGTATAATTCTCGCATTCAATATTGGCCAAGTGGAGCATCTACAGGCGTGACGGTGATCGGCAATGGTAAGTTACATACATTCATTAAGAGTAAGAAACAAAAGATGAAGATTTTCAGTAGTGACCTATGGGTTGTTGTCTCTGAACAATATATTACACAGTGATAAATTTTGAACTATCATATAAGTGTATTCATAGAATAGAACTGGCTGATTTCCATATGCGTTTTGTCAAGCTGAATAATCTGTAGACATCATAGTGCAATCATTCGACACCGTCTTCCTCGTAGTACACAGTTTTAGAACTTGCATATTTGATTTCTCTCATATTATAATAGATCTTTTGAAATGTCTCACGCGTTTGATTGTCATTGAGTTTTATGAAAAGCAAATGAACATATCACAAATTTTACTATTAATCCATATTGCACACTAAAAACAATGAATGCCAAATGATCTAAAAAGTCTAGTATAAGTCTCAGAAATTTCAAAATAGCTCGTACCGTAGGATTCATGGTAATATTATACTGATATCTGATAAGTCACCAAAATCTTTCAGCAATCTGATAATAAGACTAAGTCTGAGATTTGTTTTTAATTATGATTTTCATCTAATTTTACTAAATTGATTGTTTGATCTCAGCTTTATATTCATGATTACTAAATTTTCAATCATTCATAAATAATTATAAAATGCGCAGGTCGTATGAGAAGTTAGTTATCGTTTCCAAGTCTCAATTTTTAAATAAAAGAAAAACAAATTTTATGCCTGTTTCATTTGATTCACATTTATAATATTCATTTCATCTTTCATTTGACTATGCATGATGCACGACAGTTACGGTGTTATAGATTATTGAATAACTACTGTATCTCTAGGTAGTTGCGGAAATTTAACAAATCAACTATGCTACCCATACAATGTTATTCGTGACTCGATTACTGGAAATATTTACGTAGCTGATACAGTTAATCAGCGTGTTGTTCGTTATCTGCCAGGAGCATCGTCTGGTACAGTCGTTGCTGGTGGAAATGGCCAGGGATCCAATAATTATCAATTGAATTATCCCACCGGTCTTTATTATGACAATTCAACAAATAGTTTGGTGATTGCTAATGCCGGAGGGAATAACATTATTCGTTGGGTAATAGGTGCCAGTAACTGGACGTTATTAGCTGGAAGTCCGAATGGAACGATCGGCAGTACATCGACTTTACTTTATTATCCGGTTTGTGTCACATTCGATCTATATGGCAACATGTATGTAGCTGATACTTATAATCATCGCATTCAATTTTTTGCTTCCGGATCACAAACTGGCACAACTATTGCTGGAGTTGTAGGCGTGCAAGGAAGTAATAGTACTCTACTTAAATTTCCATATACATTGATTCTCGACAGCAACCTTAATATATATGTAGCAGACAGTGCCAATCAACGAATTCAAAAATTTTTACGCTACTAAAATGATCGATGGACTCGAATAAAACTAAGTGAACTTTGAACAATATGATTTTCAAGTTTTATAAAAATTTCTTTTCATGTACTTTGAGTATTTCGCATTACTGTAAGTATCCGATTGGTTTGATCAATGAGAATAATAGAAGAAATCAAAAACTCAAATATATAAAATGATGCACCCTTAAGGGTTTGTGGGTATCAGAAACTAGCAACGATACCGAGTTTAGTTATGTGCTTTGTTTCCAGCTATCATGAGGCATGAAATTATCAAAATATTGATGACAAACGATCTTGCGTTCAGTCTTATCGATTGTATTATCTTCATAGTAGAATGTGAACAAGAGAATCCTATGAAAATATACATAATATTATTAATATGCAAAATAAAAGGTTTCCTGTGAAGCTCATTGTAGTGGATAAAACGAACTGATGCATTTGAAACTATGTTTTTCAGCTGACAATTATTATTATCGTTCTTTGTCTTGCATAGTAGTGGTAAACAGTTAGAAGGTTCGAAGAAGTTATGGATGTACACTGAAGTAATTGAAGTCAAGAAACCATATCCTTTCAGTAAGTTTAATATTTAAACTATGGAGAACTGTTTATCAATTTATTCTGTATACATGGTTCAAGCGAATCCCAAACAAACAAGTTTTGGTTACTTCCGTCGCTATAACTTTATCTGCAGATGCAAGAAAAAACAGACAAATAGAAGTATGTCGTTGCATTCGTACATATGAATATGTAAATTTATAATAATTGATGAAACGCAACTTATTGCAGATAGAAAATTGATTGTCAAAACCGGATCAGATCATTTAGAGTTTTGACTAAAATCAAAGTTCGCGAGTTTCGCAAATAGAGCAAAAAGAAACGTGTCAATCTATTTCATCGATGAAGACATCAAGATGCATGGCTCGCTTTTTGAAAATGTTAGAAAAATGCTGTTGAAAGAAGGAAACTATTTTATTTGTAGGACATTGCATTTATAGAGAAAAATATTTTGTACTTGGAAATACTTGCATTGCTCACTCCCGTGTGAGATCGATAAGAGTAAGTTTAGATAATCGAGGATATTCACCAGTGTAAAGAATGCATTGTATAAAAAGCGATTCGAGAATGAAGTTCTACATAATTTGTTCTTATTCGTTCGATAGAACGATTGTAAACTGAATCAATATTGTTCATTATTTCTAAGTTTCAATTTCGACTACAATTTTTGTTGAAACTATCTGAAATCAACTAAAGATTAAATAATTGATAATATTAGAATTACACTATGCACTTATAGTTCGATTTTTCATTTAGAAATGAGTACCTGATTTTTGATAGACAATGATTTAAGTAATTATTCGTGAGAAAAATCAAACATCACATGTAGTTACTAAGATGACTGCAGATCACTTCAAAGTCTGAAGTTCAGGCATTTGTTTTTGAATTTGATAGTCTATAGAACCGTTGATTTATACAAGTCGTTACAACTTACTTCTGAAGCCTTTTTTTTAAAATTTTACCTGTGAATCTCAGTACTCATTTTGACTACAAGTAATGGCAGACTCCATATACTTAGAACTGTATTTCTCCCCTGATTGAGCAAAAATATGATACATGGTGCAAAAAAATATATCCGAATGTTCGAATACATTCAATATCGGCAGCATGTGTATGCGATTCCGGACAATTTCATACAGAAAAGAAAGAATCGGCTTTCATTGACATCGAGCGCCATCTTACGGATACGTTCTATATATAATACAGATTGAGTGCGATTTCAAGCAATACGGAGTTTGTATACATGCGTCAAAAAAAAACTTTTCTGTGTATCTTTCGGAAGCAGGTATCAGATAACTTTGAAAAAAAATTATTTTTACCGAATAATGTGACTACTAATCGATCTGATCTGTGATCAAAATTAGTTTTCCGAAGATAGAATGTAATCATACTAGATTACATCCTTTTGTCACTACAGGTAAGCCGATTTCGTTTCGTTTTTCAATCGTAATAATGGAAAGATAATTATATTCATTTATAAAAATATATCTACCTAATTAATTACTGTTAATATTTTCCAAATACTCGTGATCTTTTTTGGATGTGTACAATGTTAATTCTTGCTGTCATGCATATGCATCATGCCAATCAACTGTAGCTTACTGTTCTTTTCATCAAGGCTAAATGTAGTATGAAGATCAATGACAAAAAATTGCTTTTCTTTACCTGTTAATAACCTTATTATTAACTGTATGATCATTTAGGATCTTCAAAATATTCATCACTTCCATGTAAAGTTACTATCCGATTACAAGCGAAGTAATGCAAAGATTTTTTTTTCCTTTAGAATGTTTGTACTGTTATTATTTCAATTTAGATATGTTATTTTTAAACTAGATAATACTCATCATTCGAGATTGTATCTGACCTAGGAATAACGATGCAAATAATAATAAAATTCTTAAATATGCCTCTAATTGCAAAACACTAATATTTAATTGTTTCTTTTAGATTAATTTTTACTCATGAATGAAAACTTTTTAACATTTGAAACATTACCCGATGAAGTATTGGTCACTATATTTAAATACATCAGATATTTTTCAATCTTAATTTTCGTTTTAAAATATTACTTTCATCTTACTATTTCGGAAGACAATCAATGTGAAAATATTGATCTTTTCTCGTTACATTTATAGTTTAACCATTCTTGGTAAAGTTGTTATTAATCTTAATCGGTTTAAAAATATCCATTGTCTTATTCTATATAATCCAATAGATACACTATTACAGCAACTCGATATTGATAATCTACCTTATTTAGAATATCTTTCAATTCCAGATGTACTATTTGGTATGCCATCTATTTATCAAAAACTTTTTTTCTAATAGATTTCCGAATGTAAAATTTTGTAATTTGCTTGGATGTGAAACCATTGAAACAATTTTACAATGGGCACAAACATTATCGTTATGTATTTTAAAAGTTGGATTCATTGATTTTTATGTTTATAAAACTATTTTATCTGCATGTCCGAATTTGTTTTCTTTGAAATTACATATGTTTCAGTCGTATTTAAAACTTTCAGATATTCAACCACATAGAAATCTTAAAAAACTTGAAATCTATAGTGAAATTATTGATTGGTATTTTAATGATCAACTGATTGATCATTTTCTTGGATATGTAATTACCTAATTTAGAAGAATTAATTATTTATCGATCGATATCGATATCGAAAATTGTAGATCGTATTCCGGATTATGATTGGCTTGCATCGATAATTTCGATACGTTTATCATTATTATGATATTTTATTTTTTCTTTACATTTAGAATATGATTTAGCATTTATTGATTTTATCACTACAGAAACACGTCGTCAATTGAGAAAACTAGTTTTAAATGCTCTTAAGAATCGATATCGATCTCGATTGATTATTAACTGACTAAACAATTCTTAGATAGTTCATTTTCCACCTCTAGATAGTAATGAAACCAGTGGTGAACTAATTTTTCTATTATAAATTTATGAATCAGTAACTTGAAGAATTTCGAGTAGTTTTTCCTTTTCGAATCGAAACTCAATATATATATATATATATATTACTAAGATTTACTCATTCAGAATTGATCCTCTGTATTGAAGTTCCGGTCGGCCATTAAACAGGTTGACTTAATTTATCATATTCATTTATTTTTGAATGAATGATATCAAAATCAATGCTTGATATATTTCAAGTCTTATTATAATTTCTAATATTGTTCTAGATCTGTCATTAAATATTGCCAATGAGTACCAATGAACAAGCAACTCATGTTAGTCTTTCTATCCCATCGGAGCAGCCTACACCCTCCGATAATTTTCAATTTATGAGTGATACATTTACTCTTCCGCAAGATGGTCAATCGGGCTCAACGCAAATACCAATTTCACAAGGATACGCTGGTTCGTTTGATTATCAAAAATGACCGTTTGTGGATATTTTTTTTCTTTCACATCTTTAAGGCAAAACAGAATTCGATAATCAAATTCGTCATCGTGGTTGGCTTGGAGGTACTTTAGATAAACAAGGTTATGGATGGTTACTCGATACAACTAATGATGACGATGATCCAAATGCAGAAGCAAATCGACCACTTTTGTAAGAAAATAATTTAGTGGTGTTATAGAATTTTAAAAAAGCATTAAAAATTCTTATAGAGAAGAATTAGATATTAATATTGGTGAAATAGTTGCAAAATTACGTTGTGTTCTATTACCTATCCCGAGTCGAACTTTACAACGAGTAGCCCTGTTACGTGATAATCCAGATTTTTGGGGGCCAGTAAGATAAATAAAATGTGTATAAATACTATTTAATTGCGACATCAATTGTTCTTCTTCTTAGCTACTCGTTGTTCTTTGTTTTGCTTTGCTCTCAGTTTATGGTCAAATTCGTGTATGTATTATAGTGTTACATCTAATATATATTGTAAAAAAAAATCTTTAAAGGTTGTTTCATGGATTATAACAATTTGGATTTTTGGCTCACTTGGAATCTTTATTTTAGCTCGTGTTCTTGGCGGAGAGGTAAATCGAATATTTTCATCAATTTAATAAAAATCATTCGATTTTATTTTCTAAAGGTATCTTATTCTCAAATTGTTGGCACCATTGGTTATTCACTTCTACCATTACTTTTGGTAGCTTTTATAAGTCCTGTAGTAAAAAAAGCTCATTATTTAGCTCTTTTTATAAAAGTAAATAAATATTGATTTAGTACTTATTTTTTAAATGCATATACATATATATTTGTGCAATTATAGTTAATGGGTGTTGTATGGTCAACCTATTCAGCAGCGACATTATTATGTGTTGAAGAACTTCAACAAAAGAAAACACTTCTTCTTTATCCAATATTTTTACTTTACATTTATTTTCTTTCACTTTATACTGGCGTCTAATGTTCTTCTTTTATTTTGACATTCAACTGAACAAAATAAATTGAACGTTTTCTCTTTTTTTTTCTTTGATAAAGTAGATAGGTTGTTTTTTTTGTGTCTATTTCGACTAATATACCAATAAAAATGACAGATGTTTACATCGGAACTTTATTTATCTGACAAAGATTAGTAATCAAGATAGATGTCTATCATCAACTGCTCTATATTGTAATACAAGAAATCTGTCATTGATTATATAGTTAGTGTCATCTATGATCTGTCTCTCTCTTCTCATTGGTCGGTTATTTCCACCATTTCATGACTTGCCCGTCATCAGCAACTCAATGTGATCTGTAAAGTAAGAGAGAGATTATTCGTAATAAAATGGATTCAGAATGAATTAATAATCTCGCGCCTTTTGGACGCTATATACGATGTATAACTCAAAATTATCTAACTTCAATGTCACTAATTTATCCTCTTATTGCTATACGTCAAATTGTTTATTATCTAATGGAACGATGTTCTTCCAGAGAATTTCGTCAATCACTAATCAAAATGTGTTTTTTTCTTCTTCTTTCATTGTTTACAACGATTATTATTAATATTCTATTACCTATATTTATTTTAAAAATATCTCCGTTATCAATTTCATCATCATCATCACCGTTTAGTTTACTAATACCAAGTCATATTTTTCATTCATCAGACATTACATCGTTACAGTATTTTTGCGAACAGCATCATGATCTGCAAACTGATTATCAACGACAAGATTTATTAGAAAAAACACTAAAATATACGAAAGATCATTCTCAACAAAAAAATATTTCTTCTGGTAAGATTTTTTCAATGTTGAAAAAAAGAAGCTTGACAAGCATTTGATGCCGAAACGATTGTTGAAATACTGAATTTAGAAGAAAAAAATCAATTTTCTTTGATTTAGATCTACGCCAAGAAGCTGAAGCGGCTCTTCATTTGGCTCTTCATTTAGTTCGATCGAATAAATTTGAAAAAGCACGAAAAGTCTTTGAACGTGCATTAACTCTTGATCCATATAATTCTGAAATTCTTATTGAATATGGACAATTTCTTGAACATCATCACAAAGATTTAATAAATGCTGAACATTTCTATACAATTGCACTTACTAAACAACCGACTCATCGTCGAGCATTACAATTAAAAAAATGTACATTACCATTAGTTGAAGAAATCGATCAGAAATATTTTAATTTCATCGATAATCTTCTCAAAGAATTTTATCGAATATCAGATAAAAATCCGTATTTAAGACGAGCAAAACGTGACGCTTATTATTTACACATATATCATTCTAATGGTATTGAAGGAAATACATTAAGCCTTCGTGAAACACAATATATTATCGATACACGTTTGGCTATTGACGGCAAATCTCTTACCGAACAGCAAGAAGTTCTTGGTCTTGATTTAGCTTTACAGTATGTGAATTGTACATTAGTAAATCGTCTTGGTGCAATTACACTTGATGATATAAGTGAAATTCATCGTCGCGTTCTAGGCTTTGTTAATCCTATTGAAGCTGGACAATTGCGTAAACATGAAGTTTATGTTGGTTCATTAATGCCACCCTCAGCAAATGAAGTTATTGAATATCTTGACGATTTTTTCACATGGCTAAATTCATTAGAAGATACACGTGATCTTCATGCTATTGAATTCGCTGCGATAGCACATTACAAATTTGTTTATATTCACCCATTTAGTGATGGTAATGGTCGAACTGGTCGTTTATTAATGAATTTAATTTTAATGAAATCAGGTTTTCCACCAGTGATTATTAAAAAATCTGAACGCTTTATTTATTATTCATATTTAAATCAAGCTAACGATGGCGATGTTCGACCATTCATACGTTTCATAGCAAAATGTACAGAAAGAACGTTAAAAGAATTTATGCATCAAGCACTACCAATAAGATACGCTGGGCAGAAATTACGATTAAATGATGATAATGATAATGGAAGAAATTTTATTGAAGAACGAGTGATTATAGTGGAATAGAAAAAAAAGATTTTTTAGTGAAAATTTATATTGTATATGTTGTAGTCTGTTTTGTATAAACGGAATCGTCTCTAAAAAAAAAGAAATATTTTTTAATAAAAGTAAAATATATATTTGTATTAAACAATTCAAATAATTCTCATAACTTTTTTTATGCCAGCCAATGAAAAACTAAAATGTTCTCTAACTGTAGTGATTTTTATTCATATGAGCAAGTACCTGTGAAAACATAATCAGGATACTATCGAACAGTTAAATTGCTCAAGTTTAGGATTTTCTTATCATTGATTTCCGTTATGTAACATGAGCTTAATATCACAACACTTCTTAAACTAGATTTCTGTCATCTTTATGTGATTTGCTTTCTCTAGTTCATAGCGCTGTTGAAAAAATGCGAGCGACCAAAAGAAGTGTTCAGTTAACCAAAAATAAATTTACTTCCTGATTCTTGGATTTGAGAGAAAGAAAAAAAATTCTGTTGCCATGATTTTGTTATGCATAATAATAAAAACATGTAAATATAAATATTTAATAAGCCATGGCGACATAGTTCCAACAGTCAACTTGGCTCATGTAAAATGTCTGACTTTTCATTAGTTTCTATGTGTCTGTAATTCAAAAATAACTGTTTTGGTATCCAAATTTTAAAACCGTTTTACCAATATCTATCCTTTTTGTCTTCGTTAAGAAAGAAATAATTTAAAAAACATGAGAACATTAATGTACAATTTTCTCTATAGATATAATTTCTTTAATTGTCAATTAACCAGTAAAATTTATTCTTATTGTGAAATATTTCTAATGAAAAAGAATTTGATATTCTACTAAACTTTTATTTATTCATGTTCAATAAATCGCCAAGAAAATAGTTCACCCTTAAATATTTACTAATTGAAATATTTGAAATAACACGTCCTTATAGGAGTTATTTGAATTGGATTTAGAATAAAACGAACTCATTTAAAGCGTCGCCTATTTTTTCTTATGATTTTCTTCAAACATTTTCGAATATCATCATTATTAAACAAACAAAGTAACATCGAAAAACCATGACCAAGTGATATAGTCAAATAGCAGATTTGCTGTGCATACATAGGCAATGTTACATGACTAAATTGAGTTATGAGAAAGAAAATAATACTTGGAAAATGCATCACAACAAGAATAATGATAAGAAATATAAGATTACGAAACTCACGTTTTTGTCTTTGCCGTTCAAATATATTTTGATGAATAATTGCAGGCATTGAATTGCTATTGATATAATTAGAATATAACTCTTGTGTAAATTTCTATAATAATTATAATAGGAAAAAGATAGATCCATATTGAAAAATAAAGAAAACTACACAGATCATGCATCGATACCTAGAAAGTACATACAGAAATATGTCGAGTTAGGTTTTCCTTTTGGTTTCATCTACCTGACAGATACGATAGCTTGAAATTCAATTTAGCCATTCAAAAGACGAGGAAGAGCAAAATTTAAGGAAACTAACCATTGTACTAGGATAATACATGTTATAGTGCATTCCGATTGAAGATATGGTTGTCGTTCTGGTATAGTACCCAAAAGACGATAAAGCGCCTGAACACAAAATGAATGATAGAGAAGGCCACATGAGCTATGCACAAGGAAACCACGAAATACACACAGTTGACAAACAAAGACCACATTGACAATGGAGCCAGCTATGGCAGAATTGAATCCAACTAAAGTAGCCATACTACGAGATTGACAATATATTATCAATATACTAATAAAAATAAGTGCACAGTCAATACCTAATGCACTAGACAACATCATAAATACATACGATAAAATTTCAAAGAAAAACATGAACCATATGTATTATAAATGTTATGTTTATATAACTAAATCACGAAATGAAAATATCTCCTTCATGTGTCTGCTTAATATCAGCAGAATTGATAAATAACATGCATTGATTGTCTTAGAAAAAAAGCAACAACAAAGAAACTTGAGTTTAGGTCTTGACATATTCACATATGAATGTACTTTCAATCAATCTTATCTATATCATCAACAGTTATATAATATAGTATCAACACTTTTTCGTATCGTATATAAGTTACAAACGAATCAAAATCAGCTTCAAAAAAACCAATAAGAAGTATCACTGATCAATTTCACACCTCAACCCGAATGAAATGTTTCGATTATCTTTCTTGCACGAACTTGTAAATGTGACAATTTTTTGTTTTATTGTGATATTTTCTTATTGGAAAATTTCATCGTATCACCGAGATTATAACATTTAACGGGCTAGTTGGAAAATCTTATTACAAGAACTTTTCAATGAACGTTGAAAATTAACGAAACGTATGTAGCTAAGATTCTTCAGGCCACATCAAATAGATCTCTGCGAGTCAAGTCGAACGCAGGATAGTTCTGTAACAAAACGAAATTATCCACCGGTCTATTTTCAATACTATGGAAATAGTTTACAATAGACAAAAGTCTGTGAAACTATACAGTATGAAAATAATATTTAATTGCACTTAGAACCAAATGTTAGCAAGTCTGTTTTGTAATTGACTAAACTTCATCAAAAACAACCAAGTCATTTATACTCAAAAGATGTTTTCTTTTCTACTTTTATGCGTCGATAGTTTTAAAAGAAATCCTATTTTTGATATTATAATATCCATGAGGAGGTAATAATCAAAGAATATATTTTCGGAAAAAATATTTTTCAAAAAAAATGTTTCTGCCCTGTTAATATTGTAATTTTATTCATTTCCAGTCATTATGCTAACAGTACTAAATTGAGTCAAATTATCTTAGGCAAATACCACAGTACTTGCGAAATATGCCATCATTGATACCAGCCTTGCGCATGATACTCTGCTCTAGAATGAAGGTATTTAATGGCAAGTGCGAGTAATAAAAAGTATACATGGCTTCTTTTTTTGTAAACCAGAGCGTACTATATAGACTGGCGCTTCGTTGTATTTTTTTCTTCAGGTGAAATTTTTTTTTCTACGCTGATAGATGTAAAGCAAGAACACGATAAAAAAAAAGCATTGCAATTGAGTGGATAGATGATGTGAAGAAAAATATTTTATTTCAGATGCCGACAAGGCCACCGAATCCAAATCCTTTGCTGAACGCCAGCAAGTGCTCACGTCTATTTCAAGGGTACGCATTTTTGTTAGCTCTTTCACTGATTATAGGATAAAATCTATCGATAGATGGGTTTCTCCTTTGGTTTCAAAATGTCGTAAACAAGGTACACTTGATATATCTGATCTCTACGAACCAACTCCTGATTGTGAATCAGCAACAATGACACATAAGCTTGAAACACAGTGGTTCGCTGAAATGAAACGAAATCCGAACAATCCGAGTTTAATTCGAGCTACAATACGTACTATGAGATGGGAACCATTTCTGATCGGTCTTATTCTTGTTCCTAATGTAAGCCCAAGATTCTAATCGATCATTCTCATAAGTGCTATACAATCAATAGGAATTTTTCAATATTCTACAACCAATTTTACTTACGTTTCTAATGAAATTCTTCGAGCCATGCTCGGCGATGCCAGTCTGGCATGCTTGGCTTCTAGTCACAGCTATAATTTGTACATCATTTTTCTCTAGTATTTTGTTCAATTATGTAAGTGCGATTTTTATTGTTAAACATTGCGAATGCTATCGTTTAGGAAGTTTACTTAATTGATACGTTTGCTCTAAAAATGCGTCTTGCCTACAGTGGTCTTATCTTTCGAAAAGTTCGTATCAAAACATGGAAGAAAACAAACATTCACTTTAATTTAAAAATTTGAATTCTTAGGTACTGCGCTTGTCAAGTCATGCATTTAATACTATCAGTTCAGGTGAAATTACCAATCTACTATCGAATGATGCCGCTAAAATTGAAATGACACTCTTTTTCATCAATTATTTATGGGTAAGTTAATCATTTTGTCATGCAACATGTAGGGGTGGCACTTCACGTTAATTTAATATTAAGTAATTAAGTCGCTAATGTAAACGTTTTTTTCTTAATATTAAGTGTTAAGTAAAACCACTTAATTAACTCTCTTAATTAACTCAAATTAAAATCAACGGTCCACCTCTAGCAACATGTAAGCCTCATACTTGAGTGATTTATTGCTTCTGCTATAATCTAAGAGTTTTCCCAAAAACATGATGATAATTTGAGCTGAAAAATAGCTAGTCAATGACATATTAGTGTGTTATGTGAGAGTTCGTTACAGTTACATGCAAGTGTTTAACATTCTGAGTCATCTGCTTATCAAGTGTCACAACTAAAACAGTATGGATAACATTTTAATCCAATACAAAATCAAGGATTCACTTGAGAATATAGCTAAATCCAATCGATTCTTTATTGAATTATATTGAACATTAAAAAAGAGCGTTCCAATTCCGTAAGTAGATATAAATTTTTTTTATAGCTTTCTCCGCTACAAGTCTTGGTTATGATCTTGCTATTCTGGTACTATGTCAAGCAAGTTGCTTTCATTGCGATTGGCTATACATTTCTACTGATGCTCGTTCAATCGATCTTCAGTCGTTTTCTACTTCATTTTCGGTTCGCACTATTATTGTTACGGAATAATTTTCTTTCTCATTAGTTATGCTTATCGTAGAAATAACATTTTACTAGTAACAGATCAACGCGTAAAGATTATGTCGGAAATAATTAAATCAATGCGTATCGTTAAAATGTACTGTTGGGAAATGGCATTCGATAAGAAAGTTCGTCATGTGAGAAGGTAAAATTTCTCTTATTTATTCTAGCCAATAATTTTTCAAGTCGACTTCACTTTCAGACGTGAAATTACTCAATATATGTGCACTTTAACGTTTGATTCTATTCAAATGCTTTTCTCGCATACCTACGTCAATGTTACATTTCTAATGATGTATGGAGCGATGTGGTGGTTCAATATTCGTTTCGATACACGTTTTTTTGCGATTGCATCCTGCTTGTTGGGACATTTTAGATTAACTGTCGTCGAGTTTTTTAGTGCTGCTGTCAAAGATTTTGTTCATTATATAGCTGCCCAACGACGGATGCAGGTCAGTTTTGTTGCTACAGTAAATTTATAAATGAACTACAAACAAAAATATTTACGATAGGCATTCCTTTTACTTGATGAATCCGAACGAGATAATCGACTATTATCTCGATCACATTCAGAACTTGCAAATAAAGAAACCAATGATCCATCAATGCCGAAAACTATTCAAACACAATCACCAAAAGTTGTGTGCAATTTGGAAAGAGCTCTATGGGAAAAGGTATACACCCGAGAAGGAAAAAACAGCACAGTTGACAGTTTTTCACCTTGAAAATGTATTAAATGATTTTACAGAAGAACTTTTCTGACCTTAAAAACTCACCATGAAATGCTAGAGCTTTGATACCAACTCTATTATATGTCTTTTAAGTTTCATTGAGATTAGTTTTCTTTTAAATCGAGCTATCTGTTAAATAGTACAAATGATATTAAATTGCTATCTTGTTAGAATGGATCATTTTGTCTTAAAAATATCGTATTCGATGCTCAGCCAGGCGATTTGATCTGTATCATTGGACCTGTTGGCGCTGGAAAGGTCTGTTTGTTCTTTACAAAAAAAAACCAGAAAAACAAATTGATGTTCATTCATTTAGAGTTCGCTTTTGCAAACACTTACTGGTGAAATTGCGATTTTCGACGGAAAAGTTCGAATGCATGGTTCATTCTGCTATGTACCACAAGAGTCATGTAAGTTGTTCTATGAACTATTATAAGAAAGACAACGTTGCTCTTTGATTGAATCAGGGATATTTTCTTCAACTATTAAAACAAATGTTCTTTTCGGTAAACCATACGATCGTACTTTGTTTCGAGATGTTATTAAAGCAACTGCTCTAGATACAGTACGTATAATCCAATATGCCTGGCAGGTATACATTTACGATAAATAGGATTTTGCTCAATTACCTGACAAAGAAAATACTCTCGTCGGCGATCAAGGTGTCATGCTATCTGGAGTAAGCAACATTTTATTTGATTGAAAAATGAAATAGGTAAATGACTACTACTACTACTACTACTCATTGTGTAGGGCCAAAAAGCACGTGTGAATATGGCTCGAGCACTTTATCGTAATGCAGATATCTATCTTCTCGATGATCCTTTGTCGGCTGTCGATGCCAAAGTAGCTAAACATCTTTTTAAGAGGTAAATCAATTTCAAATGTCAATGAAATCTATCAACCTATCTTCTTTGACAGATCTATCAAAAGTTATCTTGCTGATAAGATATGTATATTGGTTACACATCAAATTCAATTTTTACAAGATGCAACCCAAATTATTGTTCTTAATAATGTATGATTTGTAATTGTTCGAAGTATTTTTTTAAAGTTATCAACTATTGTTTTAGGGTGAAATGGTACAATATGGCACTTTCACTGATTTACTTACTTCATCATCATCGTTTGCTCATTTACTTAATGATATTCATCAATTCGAACAACAAAATTCTATTGAATTGCATCAACAACTGTCGATTATTAGTTCGACGGATTCGGATATTGATGGAGAAATATTGGCTCTATCAAAACATGTTGAGATTAAACAAAAGGGTAAAGTCAAATGGCATGTATACGCTGCATATTTGAAAGCTGGTTTTGGTATCATTTTTGGGCTATTCGTTATTTTTATTCTATCATCTCTGCGAGAAGCATTGTCGATGTTTAGTAGTTGGTGGTTAGCAAAATGGAGTGACGAAGAAAGTTATCGATATCAAAATTTGAATAATTGTAGTAGTATTGCAACTAATAATAATCATACAGTATGGTCGATGACTAATACAGAATGGAGTAATCATCGAAATCAACGATTCTATGTCTATTGTGGTCTGTATTGAAATAAGAATCGAAATTCGTCAATATTTCAAATTCATTTCTAGTAATCGTCCTGATTCTCGTGATTTTTACTCTACTCCGTGGATTTTTAAGTGAATTCATGTTTCTAAATGCAGGCCGAGTACTTCACAACAAGTAAATATTTAAGTAAAATTTTAGTTATTTTAATTTCATTTATCTAAATAGAATGTTTCGACGATTGATCCGATGTCCGATAGCATTCTTCGATATAAATCCTGTCGGTAAGTGAATTAGAAACGAAACTGATGCAAATTATCAATGAAGAAAATATGATATGCTCTAATTCTGCTTCTACAACTTTGCAGAAACTTGTTTGACCTGTTTCGTTATATCAGAAAATAGTATTTTGTTTTCGTATAAATGTATATTGAATGTTTTAGGACGAATATTGAATCGTTTCACTAAAGATGTAGCTACTATGGACGATGACCTGCCAATTGATGCATATGATTTTCTGAACGTAAATTTCCTCGGTTTTATTCGTTTCTATTAGTGTGTTGTTTAGTGTTGCTTTCTAGTTTTATCCACAGTTGCTCTTGTTGGTGTACTCAATCCGTGGTCATTCATACCGGCACTCATAGCATTATTCTGTCTACTCTTTGTACGTCATCATTTTGCACCATTTTCTCGCGATTTGAGACGACTGGAAAGTATTTCACGTAGTCCAGTATATTCTTATTTGACATCAACTATACATGGCCTGAAAGTAATTCGATCCTATCATGCAGAACAAATGTGTTCGGCCGAATTTTTCTCCTATCTCGATGAAAACACACGAGCCAACCATCTGATTTATGCTGCTAGTCGTTGGGCTGCACTGCGCTTCGATTGGATTAGTCTTCTTTTTATTGGTTTAGTGACAATACTCTCGATGATTCTGCGCATCACTGGATATCGATATTTTTCAACTGCTGATATTGCTATGACACTCTCGTATAGTCTCGGTCTAATGGGACTTTTGCAATGGACAATCAGGTAATTACTTGAAGAAAAGAGTTGCATGTGATTTCGATCACATATTATCATAGATCATCGGTCGAGTTGGAAACAAGAATGACATCGGTAGAACGTGTACTCGAATACTGTTCTCTTGAGCAAGAGCCTCCAGCTCAAGTACCACCAAATCGTCGAGCCCCATCTAGTTGGCCATCCCAAGGTTGTATTATCTTCGACAACATTTGTATGTCTCACTCATCTGATAATCAATCGTCACTTGCTCTACGTCATGTCTCGATGACGATTCAAGCTGGTGAAAAAGTAGGTATCGTCGGAAGAACGGGTGCTGGAAAAAGTTCGCTAATTCACACATTATTTCGCATGGGAACATTAGTTGGCGGTCAAATAAAAATTGACAATATTGATATTGCTTCAATCGGCTTAGATGATCTTCGACGTCGTATTTCAATTATTCCCCAAGATCCCATTCTTTTTACTGGTACTATGAGAAGTAATCTTGATCCGTTCAATGATTATTCTGATGCTGAAATTTGGTGTGCACTTGAACAAGTAGCTATAATACTTTTGATTTAGTTATTTATAATATTGGACTTATTTAAAGGTGCAATTAAAAACGTTAGTTGCCGATGGAATGCCGAATGGGCTTCATTCTATGGTGAGTGAAGGTGGTTCGAATTTGAGTGTTGGTCAAAAACAACTCGTATGTTTGGCAAGAGCTATTTTAAAAATGAGTAAAATTCTTGTGATTGACGAAGCTACTGCCAATGTCGATAATGCGTAAGTGAACAAATTCTTCAACAAAGTTACTCCCTGACGAAACATAATGTTTATTTAGTACTGATGAATTGATACAACGAGCAATTCGTGAAAAATTCAAGCATTGTACAGTTCTTACTGTAGCTCATCGTCTACGAACAGTGATCGATAGTGATCGTATTCTGGTAGGATGATTCAAATTGAATATATTCATTTTAATAGTAACTTTGTTACAGGTACTCGGTAATGGAGCAGTACTAGAATTCGACACACCTTCAGGTCTTCTCTCAAATTCTACTTCTCATTTCACGTCACTTGTTGAACAAGCCGGTGATGCCGAGGCTGCGTATCTTCGAACCTTGGCAAATAAGAAATCAACAAAAGATAAACACGATCTCGAAGAAGAAACAATGCAGGATACTAAAGAAACTGATCCTCTTTTAACATAGTTTTTCTTGTCTATCTAAATATCATCACATGCAGCGTAGACAATTCTTCGTCTGTTTGAGTTTATAAATGTGATTTGAATACATTATCTCCAGAAGATATTGAATGAATCAAAACTAAACTGTTAAATTTCTGTTAAAATACGATCTTTGAGTTGAATCAATTCTTCATAAACGAAGAATCCGATGACATCTACAAGTGATCTTATTATTTTTCTTGTATTTTGACAATAAAATATCATTACAATAGATAATTTCGAGTTCGACACTAAAAATTTATACTGTTTTTTGCAATAGTAACAGAGTATTTACATTTACAAAATAAACAGTTGCCTCGGTTGTAATAAAAAAAAGAAATATACAGTGCACATAAAAATAAAACATCATTGAATTTGACATCCAGAACGATGTTTGTGTAGACCACATGTTAAAATCTTGCATGTAGTATTTTTTACTGGTGTTTCGTCATCAACTGGCTAGAACAAAAAAAAAGTGAGTATCTTGTAGAACAATCTTCTCCATCTCTGCTGTTGATACAGCTGTAAAACTCAAAGGGAAAACATTTTCCTCTTGGTAAAACTAATCATGTCTTTTTTTACTGAAAAGAATATCCAAAAAGTAACTTACTTTTTCATTTCCAATTGATAGAAAAAGACAAGTCGTTGTTACTCTGTAGGTAAAAGTGACTGTAGTAAATCTAGGTATATTTTGTTTAAACCAGTTATATGTAATATTCAATAAAGAATTTTGATAGCAAAAAATTTTAATTCGTTCTAAATAATAGAGTCGAGTGAGCAATTGAATAATAATATCTTTTGATTGAACAGTTATTTCAAGATTTCTAACATGAAAAAATAAATAACAAAATCTTTTTATATTATTCTCATCAATAATAAACAGTTCTTCATCTCTTCGAATAAATGTATAAGAATTAATACGTATCGGTGGAACAAATAATGGATTGTATTCCATTTTAATAGTTTTTAAATTAGTCATGCATTCAATAAAAATTTCAAATTCATCAATAGATAAGTTTTTTACTAATGATACATCAATTTCTCGTATTTGTTTAAGATCAACAATCGATTGAAGAATTTCAATGGACGGTAAAGTTATTGTTAATAATGTCAATGAATAAACATGACAAAAAGACGAACTTGGTAATGGTATCGTTTTATGAAATGTTAATATAAGATTATTCGCATGTTTCGAAACAACTTCTCTATCGGCTGTTGTGACAGGTTGAAAATTATTTGATGGATAAAATATTAGTTTTGGTTGAAAATATGGTATGGAATAAATTGTAGGACAACTAGATTTTAACGTTCGTTTTTCACATGCAACATACCATTGTTGTTGTTTAAGCCAAAACGAAGAGCGAAATGACTCAAGTAACAGGTCTTCATCGTAATCAATAAGGAAACCATTTGACAATGTAAATTTAAAATTAAATTTTTTAATATCTTTTTGAAATAAATATTCTTCCCACAATTCACCATCCATTAAATCTAACGTACCTGTTGCTTGGATTGTAAAATATTTTAATTTTGCTAAATCTTCAATAAAGTCTTTAACTAATGCAAATGACATAATAATGTCTAAAGAAACATAAACAAAGAATTCAAAATGAAAAATAAATTTATGCTTCTACCTTCGGAAAAACTTATCCTTAAATCTATAAGAGTATTTGATAATTGTTTAAAATTAATCCTTGAAAGATTTTCTTCTCGATCAAGGAAAAGTTTTAATTCTGTTAATGGAGATCGAAAACAAAGAAGAATTCGATGAAATTCTGTAATTGTACAATAATCAATAGTTAAATGTTTTAATGATGGAAACGCTGTATCTATAGATCGAAATACATAAGATCCATCGACTTTTAAAAAAGTTAAATATTGAGCTTGTTGTCTGAGTATTTTCGTAATGAACTTATCCGTACTGTTTGTTTTCAGATACGTTTTTATTGAAAGAGACGTAAGAGTGACAGGTAAATTTGGTAGAACAGTTGATGTATTAATAAATTTCATTTTTTTCAAACCAACGAATTGTTCATGAAAATCAGGAAAATACAAATTAAAAATTTTAACTTGATCTGGCATAAATTCATCAGAGAGATAAATTGACAAAACTTGTTTTGGTTGAATGTGTCGACAAATAAAATCAAGCTTCGATCGAGAAATTTCTTGAAAATCCAATACGAACGGATACAATCCGACAATATCATTTATCCGTTTATTTAAATTAATAAATGCACGAAGTATGTCAAATACTGTTAAATAGTCAAAGATATCAAATAATATCTCAGTGGGTAAAATCTCCAAAAGCAATGCCATTTCGTTAATTTTCACATGTGTCATGTACAGCGTTAAGAATTAATTTATCGATTTTTAACTAGAGAATGAAAGAGAACTTGATTACACATACTTATATTTATGAAAAAGAAGAAGAAGAAGAAAAAGAACGTTATGTGAAAGTGTGCGAAACGCTAGAGACACGAAAAAAAGCAAGTCGACGGTCATTAGTAAACGCGCAGGTAAATCCTTTATTATTCTTTTTTTTAGTCACAAGGACAGAACTTGAATAGATCGATTTCATAATATCGGATCCAGAATATGAATAACAGGTTAGGAGAAGGACAAAAGAGTCATTATGAAAAAAAGAACACATGACTTCAAAAATACATTTGAAAGCACCATGAGCTTAATGTCTGCTTTTTGTTCGTTTCTGTCGAGAAAAAGACCACATGAATGAAGCCATCACACCTTCTCCATCTAAATCCGTCATTCCTGTTTTTTTTTATCATAATCGAACGAAATGCATCGGATTATTATGTTGACTTCATGGATAAGTCAATATTTTCACTGGTTCTAGAAGAGCTGCTTGTGATAGGTTAAATAACTGAATCGCCAGGCTGAATATTCGTCTTAAGCTGAAATACAAAATACTTTGTTAGATTAGAAATAATCATGTCAAAAGCAAGTTTCAATGATAAATTCGAATTGAATATATCAAATGGATTCTTGTTGGTTTTTACTTTATCTACAAATTGTAACTTAAGTTTTCGATGGGTATTCATACAAGCTATCAACAATGTTATCTCTTTCTACATATCATTTCTGTGCTTTTCTATTCGTATTTATGATTATTTTATGCACTGTTTGAATAATGTGCGTGCCAAATAATCTTCTCATACATCAAAACGTTATACATATATTGAGTAGAGTGATAGTAAGAGTGGCAAAGTTCCTCATTGAAAATCCCAAAGATGATAAACAAAGAAAGGAGAGTGGCACGAAAGGGGAAAATCCTATTTCGTACAATCTCAAGGAATTATTATTATGCCTTTTAAGATAGAACGATATATATATATATAATCGAATTGAATAGAAATATTTTAATTGATCATATTTTTTATTGATAATTAAACATAGGTTATTCATCTGACATACAATAGAAGAAAATGTTTATTTTTTACGATTTGACCATTTTTGATAGACTCGTGCTGCTTGATCCTCGGTGACAAGTTCATCCTCCACTAGTTCATAATGATCATATGTGCTTGGCATAGGAGCAGGAGCAGCAGCAGCAGCAGCCGAAGTAGGAGCTCGCTCCGATGAAAATTTAAATTTCATTTCGCTCATATTCATACATTTTGACAAGCTTTCTGTGGCTACGGTTGATGCAGTACCGTAAACATTCTGCATTTGTTTTGATCGCATGTTTTTCGAAGCAAACACACGATTGATTCGTTTGGCTTTTTCTTTTTCAGACGCTCCTTCAGCTTCAGCTTTTGCCATTTCATTATCAATATCTTCTTGAGCTTCTTGCATTAAACGATCTAGCGATATTTCTTCGCGTACTCCACCAATAATAACTTTAGCTAAAAGTTTCGAAGTAGCCATAGGAACATATTGTCCACCGGTAATGTAAGCCAACGACATGAAAAAATCACGATAAGGAACTAGAGAAAAATAATCACATACGTTCATATTGATACAATGATATGAAACACTTACCAATAGGTGGTTCAACACCAACTACATAGAGTGTTATGTGTTTTTCAGCCATTTCTCGAACAATTTTAATTGGATCAAGACCAAGTGGGCAACCATTTGGAAAGCCATCACCGTTGGGATCGAGTCCGTGTGGCGGTGCATCGGAAATAAGAACACAAATTTTAGTAGATGTATCACGCCATGATAATTTAAGAACGTCATGAAGACCATCGGCAACTGCTTCAGGCCCATCACCACCACCTTGTGCTTCACATTGAGTTAACCAGCCTTTCATTTCATTCACTCTGGCTGTAAAATCATGTACACGTGTAACAAAAGTAGCATCCTAATATAATAGAAGTCATTTCTAATAAGAATTTTTTTCGTATTTAATTTACACTTACTTGTGGTGGATGATCTCGATATTCGACAAGTGCTAAGCGAATGTCACTTTTTTCACTAATTACTATTTCTTGGACAATATCACGAATATTACTGGTCGCACTGGCGATATAGGATCCCATTGAACCCGTACAATCCATAACAAATACGAGATCTAAATATATGTTTTGGTGTAAAAATAGTGAACTAATTATTTAGAGAAAACAAAACGTACCAAGAATACTCGAATCATGTTGTGCTAATTGAGGACGATCAACTTTATCCATTTTAAGAGCTGCAGCCATAGTTAAATATGTATTACTTGCTTTTAACAATGATAAGACGAAAAAAAAGGAAGAATAACTTATGAAGCTTGATGTAATCGGTTTTTATATGTTGCTTCGTTTTTTCTTCCTTACATCAAATTGTGCAAGTTTTGATGAGATGATTCATCATCAAAAGTAATGACATCATGTAACTAGATTTACTATATTGACGTGTTCTGGTATTTTTCTTCTTTTTGTAAACATGAATATTTTTGTATCACAGAAATGAGTCATCTATACCTCAACAAGAAAAAACGATGAAAGCATAGCTTTTAACTGTGAAGAAAATATTATGATAAACCTTTACGTATTGTTCTAAAGATAGAGTATTTAACAGTTAAACGCTATTACGCATATTATAAAACAAGTCGATGTAGGGAGCAGTTTTTTGTACAAACAATTTACTGGAAAGCTGAATAATGACTTTTTTTCGTGAATTATAAAATAAATTCAAACTGTGTATTAGAAATATGAAAGTGATTGTACACTTAGATTTTCTTTATAATGATAACCAGTAGTAACTGTAGAAAAAAAAATAGTAGGATTTCAAAACTGACTTCTGGCGATATTTTTTATCTAACACGCTGAATCTCCTCCGTATGCAGTAAGTTCTACAACTTCGATACAGAAAGATCTATTAAAAAAGTTCATGACATAGAATCTTAAGGTCGAAAACAGCAACGAAAACCGTGTCCACCCAGGATTAATTTTCCTTTCCATGCATAATATATCCAATATTTTCTTGAAATTTTAGCAACTGCCACGAAAATGAACGTAAGACTCAATTTGATTGAGATTCAGTAAGTCCCAATTACATAATTAAGTAGAATTTTTGATCATTTATTTCTGATGATAAATCTTCTTACATATGTGGCAGGCGAGTTTGGAATTTAGTTGAGTTTGGAATAACTTTTTCTTAACTTTTTTAATAGAATTTTTGTTGAGATCTGCCTTTAGAAAATTTTGTATTGATAATTATTCCTTCCATCTTTTTACAAGGTTTTCATATAAATTCAACTCTCCGTACATTTGTTAAACTATGGGGACATTGAATTTATCTGAGAAAAATTAATTTTTTTATTTATACAACTTTTATAAATCAAATATAAAAATGTACTAAACATCCTTGTAATACCATCTGATGATTAATTCAGAGGAGATTAATTATATTATGACTCATACCGGTAGAATTTAAATAAAACAAAAATTTTATTTTTTATTTTTATACATAAAGCACAAGATAATCATTTACCTATAATTTTTTTCATTCATTCGATTCAATTTAATAGTAAAATATTTTTTCCTTTTTAAATATATTTTATTTTATGAAACACGAGCAGGGAAAAAAAAAGAAATTCAAATAATTTTATTTCGCGCATTCCAATCTCAACTGAAATTCTCATGTCAACTGTGACATACTTATTCAAAAGAAAATTACAATTTAATAACTAATAAAATAATTCTGTATGACTGATTCAATTTTGAAAGAGTCAAGACGTTATTTAACTATTGTATAACGGAAATCACAGAATCTATTGCTGCATTACTTACTTTCTTAGAAATTAACAGAGAATCTGTCGATGCCTATCATCTTTCTTTCAAGATTTTGAGCTTTCGTGTAAATAGCTATATTTCGATACGATTTTCATACGCATTCAAAGATTTAACATATCGAGTAGAATTACTTTTTAAGATTTCTTTTTTAGGAGTGCTATACAAATTTATCATAAACAGATAAAATTAGCATTCAAGATTATTAATAAAAGATATTTCATGCTATTTTTTGCATTTAGAAATATTATCTGTGAAAGTCGATGAAATTATTGGATAAATACGAAATAAATGCGACAACATACAGTCTAATCATTAAAGCTTTATACTTTATTTGAACTTTTATCTAGCTATGTTTCCCTCTAGCTCTTTCATATAAACAAAAGCCGATCAGAAATTACGATATTCATTGAGTATGCTTGAAAATAGTACAGTTAGATAAACTCACGGTCTATCGATCATATTTCAACTGTTATCAATTGACATCGAAACTCACTTGGATCTATCGTTGATATAAGATAATCGATATGAAAGAAATACTACCGCTTGATATCGCATTACCAGTGAATGTAATGAAACAAATTTGTTCTTTTATCACTTGATGAAAATGCGTGTTATCTTCGATCTTGACCATAATCCAATCGCTATTAAACAATATAATTAACCTATTTGTACAATAACAATGAATTAAATGAGTTTTCTGCAGTATCGAACTCAATTGAACGATCTATGATATGTATAATGAAAGATAGAGACAGACATAATTATACAGAGGAAAACGTTTTACCAATGACACAGTAAAATAATAACTAAATATTTCCGACAGTACTTCTTGCAATAAGCAAACCTTCACATTTAGCAAGCATTATGTATTCGTGTGAACTTGTAATTTATCGAACGTTCTAATATGAGACCGATAATGTGAAGTCTTTTACTGCTCATGTTGATATACGTATTATTTCTAAATGACGAAAACTGGTGAATCTTTATTTTTCACCATTAAATCATTTCAACAATTGAAAAAATGTAATACTACACAAATGTGTCAACTAGATAATAATATAATATATTTTGAAATAGGAAATTTTTATTTTATTCAACAAAATAAAACGTTTTAAAACTCAAATGTCGTTCATTTCATCCTGTCGGGATGCTTGTTAAATTTAGAAAATACATAATCCCTACTCGATATGAAAATGATATAAGTCTCCCATTGACAATCAAGGAATAAATATTTCTGTAGTACATTTTTATTTTTAGAATTTTTCCTATGATGAAAACTCTATCATGACGAATCAATAGATGCATATATTCTAATTGAAAGAATATAATTTATCGCTCGATCAAATGCATGTCACTCAGTTAAGCTCTCAATTTTGATAAACATCAAAAAAACAATTTCTTTCAAGATAGTTCATTGTAATTGCATAAAATAAAAGTCATATCACAACATCGGATTAAGAAGGAAATTAATTTAAAGTCATGTCTAATCTAACTTGCCAGCTAATAAAGTTTTTACTAAAAATCTCGTATTAATATTCTCGTGAATAAAAATGTTTGTATCATTCATCCGCGTTGCTCGTAGGATGAATAATAAACATACGAGAAAATACTGTTTGAATAGAAGAATATTTCATGGAATGGTCATGCACATAAACATAAATAACTAGACGTCGTCTGCCTATGTAAATAATCAAAATCACCCGGGATGAATAGAAGAAGTAGGGCAGTGTATCGTTTTCTTCGTAACAGATTTCTTTTTTTTAGTACTCATTTCTTTTTCTTATATAAGCTTAAGTTATATCTGACATAGATATGACAGGAAGCTTCAAATGTCTCAATCAATTTAGCAACCAAACATGACAGAAATCCTACTTTTAAAATTTGTCACAAAATCAATTACTGCACGAAGATGTTTAAAAAAGAGTAAATTAGCTGATTTTTCGTTCAACTTCTATGAATCATTTCGAGTAACAGTAAGTGAATGATATTTGTATACTGTTTTATTACCAAAGCGAACAGCATTTTAATCGAGACTCGGCTAAGTCTAACAAGAACAGGATACATTTGTAAGTAATTCCACGACAGCGATTTAATAAGATCAAGGTATAATACATTTTATCTACCTGATTCCGTCTATTATAATGTGAAGTCATAGTACTACATTTCTATAGAGAAAAAAAATATATATGAAGTAGATCGAGGAATTTAATTCGATCGAAGTAATAACAACAGCTGATAGACACTTATGTACGTTAGCAAGAGGATTTTATTTGGCACCAATAGCCATTTAAAACGGTATAATTATTTAATGAATGTATTGAAGAAGGAGAACAAAAAGGCACAGTATCAGTTGGCATTGTCAATACTAAAATGGAATAGTAATATAGACATCATAATGACATAGGATATTAGCGGAATTGTTTGAGAGCAATTAGTTTTGGAGACAGTTGTGTATGGCGCAAGGTTGTATTTCTCTTGCATTTTTACATGGCATATTGCATCTGCTAGACTAACTTCATCATACGTCAACTGAATTGTATGGACTTTTACTCCCGTTACAATCATATTTTCTTCCATAACAATTTAAGTCGTTTGTCATTTAGCTAAAACATATCTCGCAACTATCATAAATTTCATCTTAATCATTGTCAGATGTGTTCTATGAAATGAGTCTCGCTGAGTTTTACTCAAAAAAAAATAATTGAGAAGATGTTATTCCTATTCATGAGTTACACAGAAATTTTCTATCTTATTAATGAAGATGAGAAATGCTAAATGAATTTGTTTAAGAACAACGTGTGCGCTCACAGATAAAATCTAATTGATAGGGATTAATATGAGTGATTTTAAGATCATGTCTCTACTCTATGAGGCATTACACGTAAGCCACGACCAACCTTGTTCAATCGATCTCACCGATTTGACTCATATTTTTATAGTAGGTAGCCCCGACAAAGTTAGGAAGAAACTGAAAAATTTCAGCTCGAACGGATGATCTCTTCTGGAGATATATTGCACTCGACGTAAGACGAGGTCGAACTTTCTGTATTTCGATAATTTTCAGTAAATTTTCATTTTCTCAAGAACGATAAGAGCTGTGACAAAACGTTTTTCACCATTAATAGTACAGTCAACGGTCTATCATTTGATGTTATTGAAACTATCTTATGTTGGAAAAACATTTCTCCATACGATCAATCTGTCTCAGAAAACAGGGCTGCAGTGCATAGGGCCAATTGGTCAAATCAGTGAGATGGATGAAGCCAAATATAGTCTAATATGAAGGAGCACATCAAACTACATCGAATGATATGTTCAAAACTTTGTTATTTTGATTTTCAGTAGCGAAATATTTTTCAACAAGAGCACGATATTTTCAAGAAAAATTCACTTGAAAAAAATAAAGCACAATAAAGATGCCCTCAACTTATTCTTATTCTTTATCTTATGCAAATGATTTAAACAAAAGTAGTACGGAAATAGAAAAGCAATTTTGCATTCTAGTCGTACATGAAATTCTGCAACTTTTGATGTGTCCCTCAAAAGCCATTAAGGGACGGAAGAGTATTCAGTATGGACCATATTAGTCACACACAGCGAAAATCACCTACAAAAGTCTTCGCATCTAGGCGTTTTTATCGTTATAGGTTACTTTGATAGATAAACGAGTAGCACATTCAGAATCAGCACGAAAAACTACGTCTAACTTGATGCTTGTTGCAGAAAAATATTTTTTACCAAAAATTCACCCGTAGTACCCCTCAGCAGTTTGTTTTTGAAAATTGACCCTGAGTCCCCTTCTGGGGAATTTTTAGTAAAAAATATTTTTCTGCAACAAGCATCAAGTTAGACGTAGTTTTTCGTGCTGACTCCGAATGTGCTACTCGTTTATCTATCAAAGTAACCTATAACGATAAAAACNGTTCGACCTCGTCTTACGTCGAGTGCAATATATCTCCAGAAGAGATCATCCGTTCGAGCTGAAATTTTTCAGTTTCTTCCTAACTTTGTCGGGGCTACCTACTATAAAAATATGAGCCAAATCAGTGAGATCGATTGAGCACCCTTTTACTGTAATTAACTGGTCGTGGCTTACGTGCAATGCCTCCTATATACTCATGATAGCTTGTACTATAGAATAATCAAGTATTTCTTCTTCTTCTTTTTTTATCAAGTATGAATCTCATCAGATTATTTTAAATATGGCCAGATAATTCATTTAGTGCCTCTATTATTTACAAGATTGAAGTACATTTGTATTTCGCGCTCGATTGGAATATTTGGAAAATAAATAGAATAATAGAAAGCTATGTATGATTGATTGTATCTCTATGATTAACCCTATGAAGACAAATGTTGCTCTTGTTTTCTGTACTGGGAGAAAGTATCTCTAAGGATTAATTAATAATCAAAGAAATGAATGTTTCTCTGTGTATGTCACATCGGCTTCCTTTTTCTTTTCAGATGGCATGTCAAAATAGGCAGTTTAAGAATGAAAACAAGTAATTGTTTCCATTTCATATATGATGTACTACTGTTGCTTAATGCCATAGGGTAAATTTTCTGAAGAATATACAAGTGACGCGAAAAGTCTTGCATTTGAATGAAAATAAGTGTAGCATCCATGCTATTGTTATAAAATTACATATTCAATTTAGGTTCGAACGTGTTCTTTCATCGGTTGATTAAGTTCTAATATTGGATCTAACATTCAATTATGCCGCCTTCTTTTTCTTCCATAGCCGATAATGATTTGAAATGCCTGTAACACTTTTATCTCATTGTTTCTTTTCAATACTTTCCACTATGCTTTCCTACATCCGTTGATATTTTTCTTGGGTAGTTTATATTCTACCAGAGATACTTACATTTCGGAGCTTTGAAACAGTAAAGTAAACATCATTACTGTGGGTAGTCGTGACGCTGCGTCTTCATTTCGTCACTGATCAGTTCCTAGAAATAATATAAATTAATTGATTCTATTTTCAGATACTGTCAATTAGCTTCGAAAACAAGACAAAATCAAAATCATTTTCTTCATTTCGAAAACAAAATGTAGTTGGTGATCAGCAATGTTATTATTAATACAACAGCGGATAATCGACTGGCTCATCGAAAATTTCAAAATTCTATAGTAAACTCTTTTTGTTGTGAATAAATTCGATACTCATATCAATTGTAAAATTCCGAATGAAATTTAAGTTGATCGTGCAGAAAACGTATTCCTCAGAATTTGTTTTATTTTAAAAATTAGCATTAAGGTTAGATGATGTTAATATAACATGAGATAGTAGTTTCTCATCGACTACAAACAAATACTATCTATAGAAAAATTATATACTTTGTAAATTGATGGATAGTCCTATTTTCCTACTAGCATTTAATCGAATAAATGTCTTCCATTTGGAAAACAAAAATAATCAATTCTTTCTTTTTCTTTTTATTTGATGGCTTATTTCTAGTTAAAAAAATTTTTTGTTGATCGTGATGGAGCTTTTTTACCATTAGAATACTAGACTATATTAGGAAAGAAAACATAAAACTTTCTTTGATTAAAAAAGATTGCTTGCTTTGTTAGATTGATGAGACAAGTGCGATTTGATGCGTCATGCACTGGTGCATATTATTCTCTATTGCTTCGTGCACATTTGTAAGGCAATTTATGATCTCCAGAATTAATAAGCGTCCACATGGTTTCGTATCGCTACTCTAGACCTCGCTGTTCGATGTACACTTTCATAAATGTGTATTTTGCATTATTGAAGGTTCGCTAGATGCTATCGATGGAAATCTATTAAAAGCAATAACCTATGTCAATATTCTATGTTAACTGTCCCCAAGGTTAACTAGAAGAATGCTTTATTTCTTCCTAATTTATTTATATAATTAGAGTCTATTGAAGAGTTTAATGTCCTTAGGCGAATGAGCACATCACTATTAGTTTTGGTGCTAAATAAAACAGAAAATAGCTCGTAGAAAAACTAAATAGTTAAAAAGATTAATACAGTTATAGCATTGAAATTTGACGAAAAAATTATAGGAATTGGCAGATGAATGTGAGTACAAATCTTTGATGGAAAATGGAAAAAAAGAATTGGCAGAAAAAGTCGTTTGAAAGAATAAGAACCAAATTGGATAGGAAAGACAGAAGAAATAATTCATCTATCGGTAATCATATAGACTTGTGATAAGGTTAGAGAAAGGACCGTAATGATAATGATAACTCGAGATCAAAATCTAAAATGTATGGGATGACATTTTGTCGATATTTTACAGTCATAACTGAGATTTTACTTAGTCAGGAGCGCGACTTTCGGATCGTTAAATATACTTGACAATGAGGTTTTTATCTAGTCTTTTAATTTATAATCCATTTTAAGGAACATATTGAAATTTAAAAAAAAGAATTCCATGAATCTGTTCAATACTTTCCGCTATTATCATTTAATTATTATTCTCGTTTCCTGTGACTCTTGGTTTGCTTCTTTAGTTTACATATACCAAATGTATCATTATATCTGCGAGTTATCTATATTATTAATACTTGTAATAAATAGACTAAGATTATTATCATAACGTTTTCTTTGCTTTGATTCATAAACTACTACTACAATTAGGTACGACAGTGACATGTATTTAACATTAGGCAGAAAATCCAATTCTATTATTTTATATCATAAAAAGAATGTAATTTACATTGAATGTACAAATCAATTCTTGTTTCTCTTTCATACGAGGAGAGACAAGAGATAGTTAACGCAGTAGTACCCATATGATCATTATAAATGTATACGCGAAGAACGTTAAGTATAGGTTTTAAGAGCGGATAGAAAATGATTTATGACTGTGCAAGAAAGAAAAACATATTTCTATGACTATATAAACATGTGCAAATTACTTTTTCACGTTGACATCGATCGCCTATAAAAACTTTCGACACAATACGGATTTTCGTTTCTAGTCTATCATGAATAACCTTTCGTCCAATACAACAGCGTCCTATTATCTATGGTCGACCGATAAAAAAATTCGAATATTTATATTAACAATTATAATGTGTATAACTTTAATTGGCAATAGTTATATTATATTTAAATTACTTTGTAATCGTCGACATCGAACGCGTTTACAATTGTTCATACTTAATTTAGCTATTGGAGATTTAACAATATGTTTATGTACAATGACATCTGAATTATTTCTTTTAATTTTTGATCAACAATGGATTTTAGGAAATGTTGCATGTAAATTAACACTCTATATTCAAGTGGTTACACTTGCTTCAACAACATTCATTAATGTTGCGATGACTTATGATCGGTAAGAAAATAAATTCATCTTCTTGTGAATGATTAGATAGTAAAACTTGATTGAACTTATTAATGAAAAATTAAGTGATAGAATTATGCTTGTTTTTTTCATGCGTCTTGCGTCATGAAACAGGAAACTCTTTTGTTTGTCATCAAACAAAGAGAAATGTGTCTTGTTGAAAATTTTTATGATGGTATGCTGTTGTAGACACGGAAATTATAATCAGAACGCTGCTTCATTCGCCTGGAGATTTCTTGTATTCAGATGTAGATATGTTCTCAGCATAGAACTAATGATGATAAGAGTATTTATTTTGAACTTGAACTATATTGTTGATTTTTCTCTAAGGAGAATATATTAAATCATCGGGGTGCATTTTTTCTTATTTGTTGGGCACACTAATTGAAGAAAAAAAAGATTCAATTGGTGCTCAGCTGAAAGGACATATTAATAAAACTCAGCATGTTCTTTTTTTTTAAATAAATCTCTAATGGAATACTGTTTATAGTTTATTTAATTTAAAATGAAAATTTGAATGCATATAAGCACGGTATTTTTAGAAATCCTCGTAAGAAAATTTGTGACGTTTTCATCTTATGTAAATGCCTATGTATACGAATGCTTTATAGTATAGTACTCTTTCAGGATGAAACAAAGAAAAAAAAGAACTTTTGCGATTTTCACAGGTCATAACTAGATAATGATAGGTATAAATCATAAGTATTGTTTTTATGGAACAAATGAAGTTTATATTATAATTCAATTCATCAAAAATATTTCTCTATGAAAATATTTGTCATATAAATTGACTCGACCAATCAGTAACTTGGATTTTTGTTGCTCAATCACAATGAAGCTGATTTTAGAATTAATTTCATGGATCGCATATTATATTGTATTTCCACATGCTCATATGGATAGAATTTTGTTTTTCAGCACCATAAATAAGGACTTTTAAGTGCTTTATATTTTCTTCTCATATAGAAGATAAGAAGCTTTTAATAGATATAATTCATCTCACTATTGCAGAGTGATGTATGTTTAGTGCAAAGAACTTTAGTTTTATTGATAGACAAACTTGAAAACAGCTGATCGGGAAATTTCAATTGTTCGTTATCCTTCAAAATAAATGCGGAAACATCGGATTTGCATCCGATTGTTATGCGTACTTCAAAACCCGAGCCGACTTATATATGTTGTAAATAATTCTGAGCAAAAAATCCCTGGACCGCCCCCCCCCCCAGGAATGGTCTAGGCAATGATGACAATTTTTTCGATAACTCAGCCATTTCTTGACGGATCCTTCTCATCTTCGAACTCGACCTAGATATTGATGAGACAATTCTGCGCACAAAATTTCAACTCAATCGAATGTAATTGTGAAGAGTTATCGAATAAACGGACGGATACACTGACCAATTTTAGTAGTGTACTCACTTTTTGAGTACACAAAAAAGGAAAATTACAATTTGTCTTAGAACCAACCTAAATTTTTCTACAAAGCGATGAAACTCTTCAAAAGTTTGTCTGAAAATTGCTAAAAAATCATGTTCTACATCAGTTAAGAAAATATCAAAGCAGAATTTCATGTTCATCCCATCCTAAGTCGTTTTTTTTAAATCTATACGATTAAGTATCGTTTTATCAGCTAATTTTATTGCTCCATATTGATTTCACATAACTTGTAAAAACGTAATGGTTATTATTCAAGCGTATAGTACTTGAGTAGTTGTAATAACATTAGACATATAATTTCATCACTTCATTAAACAAATCTAAACAGCTTGTCAAACTTTGACACTCGTGACTCATGGTAGAAAGTTCTCACATATGCGTACCGGATGATCTAAGATACAACATAAAGCTCTCGTCAAAAAACAAATTTTATGATAGATTGGAGTACTTTTTCTCTTCTAATTTAGATATGAAGCCGTTTGTTGTCCACTTCAATCTCGTATAACTTTTCGTCGTGTACGTCGTATTATACTTATATGTTGGTTAAGTTCATTGATAACAGCTATACCTCAATTGTTTATATTCGAACAAAGTTTTATTCCAGGAAGTTCAACGAAATATCAATGTGCTAGTACAGGCTATACAGCTGAATGGCAACGCCGAATTTATTTTACCACATTTGCTTCTTATGTTCTTGTTATACCAGCTTTTTGTATGACAATATGGTATATAAAAATAATAAATGTTGTTACATTATCAACACATACGTGGATGCCAAAAGTAGAAGACCAATCAACAACAGCAACATCAATCGTTTCATCTTCGGGAGCATCCTTAGCCAAAGTTAAAACAGTTCACTTGGCTATGACTATAATCATCGTATTTGTGGTTTGTTGGACACCTTATATGGTCTTAACTTTAATTGAAGTCTATTCTAATCGTTATTGGCGTATACCATCATGGCTTGATGGAGTTTTACAAACAATATCTTTAGCACAAAGTAGTTTCAATCCATTTATTTATATAATATTTAATCATAGAAGAAAACGTTCGTCAACCATAGTTCTTGCGTTAGGACGAACAAGTATACAAATATCTCGAACTAAAAGTCGTCGAAAGTGATTTAACATCATGCTATTCTACTGCTGAAAAGTTTAGTAGAATAAATCTCTAACAGTTTTCAATAAGATAATATTATTTATATGAATATTTTTATTCCTATTTTTTTTTTAAATTTTTACAATATCGATTTGATCGAATGAACTCTTAATATTGTAAACATACGAATGTTCAAAGGAAGAATCGAGTCAGGCAAAAATAAATGCATATTATTCTATTTCAATTTTCAGAGCGTCATGAACTGGATACAAAAATACGAACGTTATTATTATTATTATTATTATTATTATTATTATTGTGTTGTTTAGATATTTTCCATTCTAATGTGACCTTTATGTCAATCTGTTGATGGTACATAACAATTGTGGCTGTATCGTATGCTGGACAATTTTGATTTCGAAACTGTATTTTTCAACTAAATATAATTTCTGATATTTAGCATTAAATTTAGATACAATATTGTAGTCCATCTCGAAATTTGTTTTTGAGTGCAATAAAACTAATTGTTTTAGTGTATATTTTTATTGTCTTGTTTACAAACAAAAATTAAAAAGAATGTATATATATGTAATAAAAGTTATAAATGAAAGTAAATTTTCATGAAACTATATAAAGTATTGAAATTAGTTTATATTTATTCAGAATTTGCAGTTATGAGTCTGATCTCAAGCAGAACTTTCAACGAAATTCTGCCCGCTCTTAAAATTCTATCTAGTAATGACAAGAATTCGATACATAAATCGAGCTCGTTTCTTTTTTCCTGACGCCTCAGAAAAAACAATACCCTTTTGTTGAAATATTTCTCATAAATAATTCTGTAGCTAATGCATCTTATTTAATTGATCACTAAAATACTCTCGGAAATATTCTTCGCTTATGTAAATAAATCTATTTATAAGTAAAATACCTCCAATAGATGCTTGATCGTTTGTGTTTAATAAAATAAGTACACAATATATCGAAATGCAATCAAATAAGAAAATGAGTGAGATTCCTGTAATTATGATGTCTATTAGTATAATTGCCAGCGTCATCATATATTCTCCAAGACTCACTCAGCAAGAGGTTGATCTCATTTTATAGTAGTGTATTCATGACGTATTTCCTGTCACTTCTTTGTTCTTCATACTTGATGTATTTTTTTCTTGCTTTTTTGTCATCCATTCGTTCTACATCATTCATGTGAGATTATCCATTCTTGGATAGTTCCTTCTTGCAACTCCGTCAGTATAGATACTAGTTGGCAGTCATATCCTACGTTCCTACCGATAAGATATTACCAAGAATATTATCTTTTTTTCAGGCATCGATTTTATTCGCATTTATGTAAAAATTCTAACTATTACTATCAACTAAACTCGTAAATCGTATTAAATTTGATTTTTCTATGGAATCAATTTATTAGAAATAATCTACAATCACCAGGTAAATATTACTCAAATTAATTTATGTACATAGAATTTCATTAAACGAAATTCGAATGAACAACATATTAGCACATTTTTGAATGAATGTTTAAAAGTGAATTGGAAGATGACTGATCTAAACCACACAAAATGTCATACCATAAAAATCTGATTTATATAAATCATCTTGAGAAAATTTTCATCAATTTCTACAATGATTTGATCATTTGAAGTGATTGCAAATTAATTATGAGAATGTCACTGCTCAAATTTACGTGCATTAGCATGTTTTCCTTGTCTTGGCAGTTTCCTAGAGATGGCGTATAACTAGTTTCCTTGTTGCTATATATGTAAAATATATTTTTTCATTCTTCAGCAGAGTTCGCTATGCGACGAATCTAGTATATGGGAAAAAAATCTGATAGAGGGTGAGAGCTTTTCATGGAATGGTTACTCTAGCAATCGTCATACCAAGAGGGTCATTATATGAACTCGAACGTACATACAAATAAACAATCAGAATTAATACAAATCGATCGAGACTATCAAAAATATTTTTCAACGATAATATTAGTTACATACAAATATTTCTAGTTATCGTCGAATAAAAAATTTCAAAAATCAAGATGATCTTCTTGATTTGCAAAAATGACGTTAATGGCCAACAATACAAACAATATAAATATTAATACAACGACGAATAGTCGACCAAATACCACACCATTACCTCATCGAGATCTTCTGCATCCTAAAGTAGGTTTTTTTCAATAAATAAATAATATATATCAATATCAATAGTGAAATTTTTAAATTGAATATTTCTTTAAATCAATCTTAAATATTAATTAGTTCCAGTTCATAGATTTCCCTAATGTTCTGTCAAATAATAATATTTGTTTTCTTTAAATAAAAATTATTTCTTAAAAAATTTATCTTTTTGTAGAAATCAGCTTTGAGATTGGGTGGTGTTGGTACGACACAAGATAATAGTTTTTCATTGGATTCAAATAGTATTTATCGACAAGTAAGTGTGTAATGTATTGATTGATTGTTGTATAGTTTTTGTTTACATTGAATTGAATGAATCAATTTGCTTGAGGCAAAAACTAATCGATTCTTTTTTGTGTTTAATTAAAAACAATATTTTGTTTATTAAGATTGATTCATTTTCCAATTATTCTATACGAGAATATTAAGCAGGGAATTTTTTTTTCTATGATAAGAGGAGATTGTTTGCGTTGTTAGATTGATGAGACGAGTGGAGTTTGATGCGGTATGCATCTTTTCATGGTATATTTCTCGTTCTCTGTTGCTTCTGTATATTTACGAACAAAATCATGATTTTTCTGGTGTTTTTTAGCTTCTCTTTCTCTATTATATGGGTCTACAGGCTTAAAAAGCGTCGGCGTGCGTGTTCGTTCCTTTCCGCAGCCTCTTTACTTGACGCATGCTTCCATAGACACCTATTTTACCATAATCAAGAATCCTCTAGAATAGATAACAGAACGAGTAAAAAGAAAAAAAATGTCATCGGCAATATTCGCTTATAGCTATTGTCAGATTTAAGCAGAAGAATGCTTCCCTTTCGTACTTTCTCCTTATGTCCTGGGCTTTTTCTTCTTCTTCTTTTTCTTCTTCTTTTTCTTCTTTTTCATAATCAACTATACGTAGCAGTACAATAAACAATTTTCCTCGTTTCTGTACATATACTCGATAAGATTCCGTTTGTCGTACAGTCGATAGAGAAATAGATGTTGGCGTCTGTTGTTATATTAATTCAAAATTATTATCATCATCTAACACTAACAATTTAATTATGATTAGAATTTAAAACAACGTAAAAGCATTCATCGACATGCTTTTATTCTTGTAATATATATATGAGTGTAAGAGATAATCCAAAATGCTTATATCATCTATTCGAAATATCAAACAACATTCAGCTGATAGTGCTTATTCGACAACAACCGCTGTAAGTCTTCTTATTATTTTTCTTTGTCATAAGTGGATGTTTAGAATTAACAAAACAATAATTTGTTCTTCTCAAATAAACCTTAGATTAATTGAGTCGTTAAAGATTACAGGAAATTTGTAGTATACATACAGTTGTATTTCATATAGTTTCGTTGTCATACTAATAGAGTAAAAATGAGTTCTATTATAAAGAATTACGTTAGATCGAAAAAAAAAAGAAAGAATAATAAATGATCTGTTTTATTCAACTTATTGAATAAATCAAAACAGTTGGTGCCAAGAATTCTTTTTTTCCTTCTTTGAAAAAAAAATCTAACCAGAAAAGAACGTCGAATGATGTCGCCAATACACCATCGTATTTTTTTTGCTTTCTCTTCGTCATATAGTGTGATGATCGATATTGACATCATCACCAGGTTGTTGCTTTTGCTCTATCGAGAGACTCATTGACTAGTATAAAAAAAAACGCAGTTCTCATCTAATTGAAGATTTCTGTTCTGTTATACCATCTGTTACCGTTGTTCGAGCAAAAAAAAACGCGAGAGAGAGAGAGTGAGAGAGAAACATTGTTGTTTTGATAAATGTCAGATCGTCGTCGTCGTCGTTCTTCTCCTTCACGCTTTCGCTTAGCCCAACATCGATTTCTGGATGACAACAACCGATATCCCGGTAGTACTAATTCCCTTCATCAACAATTGTTATTACAAGCAGAGAAAATCGTACGTAAAATTATAGAAGTAAATAACGGGAACAAAAATAATAATCTATTAGCAATGGATCAACGGATAATCATTCGTATCCTATGGATAACAATAAAAATGAAAAATAGCTTTGACAAACAGACGCGCTTGGATACAGATTAATGTAAAACCAGATGCATAAAAAGTAAAAGAAAATAAGAAGAAGAAAACTAGATATATAATACTAATCAAAGACAAATCAGATAGAGATACATCAAATAAAATGGCAACTCTTAGTTTTCCATCAGCGGTCCATCGAGTAATACTGGTCTGTATTTTAAGTTTAGTTTGTTTCTTTTTTAAAAAAGAATTTCTATTATTTTTGACATCAGATGTTTTTTTTATCGAACGAATCATTGGATATTATCAGAAATCGTCGAATGCTTTCTGTTTTTAAGTATTGATTGAGAAATAGATTTTCGAAAGATGTCTATTATAAATATGACAGATATTCTCTATAAGCAAATGCATTGATCCATAATAGTGATTTAATAGATATTTATTTTCTTTTTTCGATAATATACATATATTTGTTAAGTTTGACCTTTTTTTTGTAGGGTTCAGCTGAATCAAATTATAGTCAACAATCATCGGAAAGTTTAGATGGTGAAACAGTTGAAAGAGAACGAGAACCAAAAGTACCAACCACCACAAGTGGTCTATCATCAATCAAACCTCGTGATCAAACACGCTCAGCAACGGATGCACTTGAACGATGCAAAACAAAACCTGTTGCTTTTGCAGTTCGAACAAATATTGAATATATACCATCACCCGATGATCTTTGTCCTATTTCCAAAGCAGCTATTGCTTTTCAACCAAAAGAATTTCTACATATAAAAGATGTAGGAATAACAATACAGAAAGAAATCGATATTTGATAATCAGTTTTTTCTTTTCTAATATTTAGAAATTTAACAATGATTGGTGGATAGGTCGAATAGTTAAAGTTGATGCTCCACTTGGTTTTATTCCAAGTCCAGCTAAATTAGAAATGATTCGTATACAATCAAATAGAAAAAATAAAAATCAACCACAATCATTATCAAATACAATACCACGTATCAAAGCATCGACACAAAGTAAATACGAAATTTTTCTTGCTCCTCTAGGGGAAAATAACACTTACTTCTCTTTTCCTAGGCCTTGATGCTATCGATCAGAATATTCCTGGATTTGGTGATGATACATTAGGCAATGATGATGATGGTGATAGTCTTACAAAATCAAAATTAAATATTAATACTACTAAAGATAAAAAGAAACCATTTTTCAAAAAGGTAAAATAAAATAGAAAATTATATTAAAAAAGAAGAATATTAGGTAAAGAACTATGCGTAAAAATATGTAGCATTAATAAATCTCCTGTGAATAACAATAGTCGATATATTGCATTTCACAGTTTGAATACTGTTGGGATTATAATTACTAACAGTTCTTTTTTTATTAACTAGAACTGCACTTCGTAAAATACAATCACTAAGAATAGTTGAAAAAATCAAACGTTTTTTGCCTTTCTCTCTTAGCTAAGTGTGACCTACACAAATGTCTCCTTAAAGACAATATAAGGGCTAATGTGCCCATCATACGTTCTTTGTCCTCGCATAACAAATAGCATCCTTCTATTGTTAGATCAAACGACTAACTGAATAGGACAGCAGATAATCTCCGATGATATTTTCTAAAGATGATTGAATTACCAAATAAACTTATCACTAATCAAAAATGATAAGAATAATATTTGAAATAGAAATTTTTCTTATTTGAATGTAAACAGAAACTAATTAAACAATGGATTTTCTTCTTCTTTTTTTTTGTACAGACTGTAAACATTACTCCTTATGATGTTGTACCCAATATGCGTCCTGTTGTAATTGTTGGTCCGTCTTTAAAAGGCTATGATGTAACTGATATGATGCAAAAAGCTGTTTTCGACTTTTTAAAACATCGTTACGAAGGTCGAATAATTATAACACGTGTAGCAGCTGATATATCTCTTGCTAAACGTGGTCTTTTAAATAATCCATCGAAAATTGCACTTATTGAACGTGGTACATCATCAAATGCTGGTGCTCACTCATCGGGAACATCATCAGGTACAGTAGGTCCCTTGGGCACAAACCGTTCAACTGGTATAAAAGAAGTTCATGATGAAATCGAACGTATATTCGAATTAGCACGAAGTCTTCAACTAGTTGTACTTGATTGTGATACAATAAATCATCCAACTCAACTACAAAAGACATCTCTCGCACCATTAGTTGTTTATTTAAAAGTTGCATCACCAAAAGTTTTACAAAAATTAATTAAGTCACGTGGCAAAAGTCAACATAGAAATCTTAATGTACAATTAGTTGCTGCCGATAAATTAACACAATGTTCTGCAGTATGTATATACAATAGTTAGGACGGGGCGAAAAAATACTAATTTTTCTTTACTTCTCTCTAGGATATGTTTGATTTAATATTAGAACAAAATCAATTGGAAGATGCTTGTAACAGTTTAGCCAGTTTTTTGGATATTTACTGGAATGCTACGCATCCAAAATTAGACGAAAGAAACGAAGCTATGCATGATTCAATACATGTGCCTCCACGTCCAACAGCCAACTTAATCGCTCATATACCACAAATAATTCCTCCGGGAACAGTACCTGCTATAACAACAACAGCTGCACGCCTTCTTCCATCATCACCACTTGTGAACGATATAACACAATCGCATCTATTACCTCAACGAACACCATCACAACTGTCAACTAGTAGATACGGAACTGGAAGTACCGGAGGAGGTCTTCTTCAAAGGAGACCTTCAACAATAACTCCTGATTATTATCGACAAGCACCACCAGCACAACCACCGTTGCCACAACCACCTGTACCTGCCTATGATGACGAACGTTTTGCCCATTATGAAATGGCCAACTTTCGATAGTCATCTAGCCGTTGTGTATTTATTTTATATTCAATAAGTGTTGATCACTTATTTTTGAATGCAAGCTCATTCACGATCGTCATGCTGCCCTTTTCTTTTGTTCTAGTCATTGTCGATTATTTTCTTCTGGTTTCAGTGTCTAAGATTGATTCTTAGCTCTCTTTTTTTTCTTTCACATTGACCGTCACTTTTTCTTGTTCTTTTTATCTCTGTGTGTATTTTTTTTTCTTTTGCAATTTGTACACGAATACATAATGACGAATTTTTTTCTCTCTTGAATGGATAATGAAGCAAAACGAGTTTTAAAAAAATCTAACATTCAAGTCTCTAACCAATGTTTATGTGCGACGATGGGGAAAATGCTTTTATTCATGAGTTTTATCATCAGGAACGAGAAAAGTAAGTGAAATACTATGGAGTATTTTAAATCTGGCTGTGCCAATCCTTTTTTCAACTATGCTCGTATGTGTACTCATTTATGGGGAAAAGTCATCTAAAATTTTATATTAAAAAGCCTTTTTCAATGGCAGCGTTTTTCTAGGACCCGATTATTTTTTGGAAATTCAATAGATTTCTTTGCTCTACCAATCATTTCAAGAAGACCCAATTCAGAGGCTACTATTTTACCAGAACCATTGTTTTGTTACAAGCTAACATTATTTTCTCAATTATTACATTGTCAGCCATTGAAAAATAAATAACAAAGACAAATTCTATGTGAAAGATAACGTGACACATCGAAACCCTTGATTTGTTTTCCAAAGGAAATAACATTCAATATTTACAACAATATGTTTGTTTTTTATTCGCTCACTCCATAGTTGATACTTTATAGTCGATAAAAATTATTAATTGTCAATCAGGGCAAAAACATGAAAATACAACGTTGAAAGATATGAGACTCCTATGATACATGATATACTATTTCATAATAGGAAAATAAATACTCCAAACATATTTTGCATGCAATGGCAATACAATAATGTATTTATGTAAAGTGCTGATTAGAATTTAGTTAGTTACAATGCAAGGATAGCAGACAAACAAACCAATAAAGATGTTAATATATAAGGTATCGCAACGGATTGAAGTTTTATACAAGAAAAAAGACTGTTTTTGAACTAGTTGAGTAATTGTAATACCAAGGATAATGCTTCGTGTGACCGATTAACATAAAAAAGCCATTGGAAATATGTTTCTAGCGTGATTTAATTTGTATAAATCTTCATTGATTATGAGAAATAATACAAAATAAAAATTCCGAATGCACCTACATAATCACGTAAGTCATAAATCCTTTGAATTTCTCCGTAGCTGATGAAATGCTTTGGCATTTTTGTTTTGGTAAGAATTGCATGATTCAAATATTCTTTTGAAATATAAGCATTATCCAAATGGAAATAAAAATCTGGAACTTTTCCTCATCGTAATTGACGACAAAAATCGATTGTCGACTTTTCTAAAAATGTATCTTAGTATCATCTGTTTGCTTTTATTTATTTTTATTTGACATTCCACGGATCATCTCGTTCTTCAGTTGTCTGTAGTCAAAATATATTCAATAGCAATCTGTGTATCAACAGAGTTGACTTATTTTCATCGATACAACATGATTTCTTTTTCTTCTTGATCATCTATTTTCCGTTAAATGCTTTAATGTTGCTACGTGCAATCCTTCGTAATCAAAGTGCATGCAGGAAACAAATTGTAAAAAAAACAAGAAATAAAAGATTGGTAAAGTGCACAGAAACAGAATAGAAAGTGTCGTGATATTGGAAAATTGAATGTATGTGTCATTTAAAAGAAAGGCAAATAGTGTAAGCAGTAGCACATTTTTTCCAATAGTAACAACACATAATCGGTTTCATATATTAAGGGTGTGGTGAGTAAATTATTAGAATAATTTTAAAAGCTAACAGTTTGTGGTAGGTTATAGCAGATTCAATGAGATCATACATTGATTATAAATAGATAGTCGCAGTGTATTGAGCTGGAGATGTAGGGGGAAAGAAACACTGGGAAAACTTTGTTCTAGAACGAAATCTGGTACTTGGAAAACAGCAAGTTGTTTTGAACCTGTTGATATGATGGAATAGAAAAAAGACAACAATCAATATACACATTGATGTTAAACCTAAAAGATGGATCGTTTCAAGCGGCAGGATTATGGATTCGATTGTTAAAGAAACAGTTTGTTACTTAAGTAACGATTATATGCGGAGAGCGTCCAAATTCCATCCGGGGGTGTAATGCTTTCGTTCGAGTGTAACCTATACATAACATTTGGTCTTATGATGCCATTTATTCTCATCACACCTATTGCCTTTATCTTTCTGTCCTTTACATTTGTGTTTATCTATCCTTCTTCTTCGTTCTCTCAAATGGTTGAGTATTTAAGCGTGTGCTTTATATGTAATCGGGGCGATTTATGATTTGAAGAGTTAAATAAAGTGTAATACCATCAGCACAGGCATCTCTTCTATCTAAAATCGTTACATTACTGATCACTAAAATCAACAAAGCTTAAATAGAAAAAGTCTTGGGATATTCTTCCATGCTATGAAAAGTGATTGTTATTGCAAATATTGGTATTGAAGGAAAACAAGTTCTGTATCCTTGCCCTCTAGGAAACTCGTGTTTCCCGCAAGATATCTTAACTATGAAAGCGATTGATTTCTATAAAGATTCCTATTGATTTAATCATAGTAGAGGATGGAACGTTTTTTTCAAGTACTATATTTTATGAATGATTGAGTCATAAAAGTTTATATTTATTTTACAGTATTTTAAGTTTCCATCTTGATTGATATGGATCACACAAGTATTCTTAGTGCCATCTATCAAGTGACAGTACTGATGAAACAAACTGTCAAAGATGTTAAAGCGAATGAACAACTAATGCATACGACTTGTTGAAAGAATCAATGCTATTTGTATGGCTTTGAAATCTGTGAATGATCGAAACTTGCAAAGATTAGAACTTCTAAAATCTTTGAGTAACGTTCGCATTTGTGTTGAGGAATTTGTTACGTTTGTAAATCAGTTTGAAGATGACAAATCGTGGTTTATTAAAGTTCTACTTGGAAAGTAGTTTGTCCTTGTTCGGTAGTCCGTTGGAGTAATCCATTCTGAAAATATTCGAATTTCCCATTCTTACTTCAGATATCCTACGTCTTTTATGGTCACTATTTATAATGATCTTGATTCTACCGTGTTCATACGGTGGTCAATATAAATCGGAAGCTCTGCTTACCAGTTGCTGTCGCTCTCTGGAGTCTATTTTTTATATTTGATAGTTCAAAACTAAAATTCAAACAACTGAATTTTTACCCTGCTCTGCCCTGTCCTGCAATTTGCCCTGGCCTACCGTGTCCTGTGGACATCTCTGGTAGACAACGGCATCGTAGTATGAGTCGTATTAATTTATTTAGCTCATTACGAAAAATATTAGAAGTCCTCGTGTACAAATAAAATGAAATGGCAAGAAACAAATAAATGGTCAATGATGCCAAATAGGCAGCAAATTTTTCTATTGATACTCGTTCGGTTGATTAATTTTTTATGTTGAGTGTTGCAGCGTTGCAAAAGTAAGAAGCCGTAAATGGAATTTTTGTAATGATAAATGTGATTATTTGAACAAAATAATACGAGTAAAACCTGACGCTCACGTCTCTGTTCCTGTTCCATCACATTGGTATTGAATCCTTTGTGCAGATTAGTAATGACGTGATGACGCTCCCGTTTCACAACGAGATTGTGGTAGGTCACCAATTCAACAGACGATCATGATTGAAGCTGGCACAGTACATCCAACAATAAATGTAAAAAAAACTATGATAGTACAACAAGGGAATATTGTCAGTGAAATCTACGAAATTCAAATTTGAAGTATTATAGATTAGACTATGGACAGGTGATACAATTCAGATAATTACAATGCCAACTAATGTACGACGCGTTATATTCATTTGAGCAAAATATTTTAGACTTAAATTGCGCGAAGAAAGAGCACATCAATCAAAACTTGCTGCAACTACCTACCAACGATACATCATTGTAGTCGATTGAGTTATGCATATACGTATTTTGTAATAAGTAGGTGATAGTAGACTAGCATGTTTAAGATTCAATGAGTATAAAATAGTTCCGATGCCAACAGACATGTGAATAAGCATTGTTACAGATACTGCTACCATATCTGTTCAAAAAGAAACCAATTGTTTAGAAAAACGACTATTGAATTTTGATTTTTTCATAGTGAATAAAAACTGACTTACATATGCAACATGTTACTGTACGAAATTTCGGGGGAGAACACAGTAGCAATATATTGAGACAACAGCCGGTAATACCAAATGCCAGCAATATTGAGTACATAAAAGGACTGCTTTGTTTTTCAATGCTGCATAATATTGTAAAACATGATACTGACGAGTTAGACGTATTAGTGAAATGTAAATGCGTTAATTATTATTGGAACATGAGGCGTCGGATTTGTTAAAAAAAAAGACGTGATTATTCCGATATAGTTGCATTCTTGTTTTTATTTTCAATTCCATCCTTTCGATAGCAGGTGCACTTTCTCATGGATATTTCAGTTAATGAACAAAACCAACTGGCAAGGAAGATGAAAATGGTTGGATGCGATTAATCTGTATAAGACATAGCTACTGATTAGTTTTTCTGATAAAGTCAATTCTATATTATGTTTCTATCCGCTATCAAAACAAAAACAGACAATTTGACGAATACGTGAAGTATTCTCTTCTGCAAGATTCAAATATTATCTAAATCACGTTTTACATGGTAATATAGCTCGTGCTTACTTCGTCGTTTTCAACTCTCCTCATTGTGTCGAAGTAATTAACTGATAACCTAGAACGAGTCTCAATATGTTAAGGCATTCTCTTGGACTGTTTATAAACACAGTCCCAGTTGAAAGCGCGTAAATGTTGATGTATCATTGTGTGTGATATTCAGCGTTCATAAAACGTCAACTTCGAAGGTGAAAAATGAGAAGCTCACTCTTACTGTTGTGTATCTACGTCAATAATCAATTATAACAAGAGCATCATTTTCTATCAGATCGCATTCTTGATTCATGTGATGATATCGCCACAGCAACTAGTTATCTATGTAAATGAAATTCAATTTATCTTTCAAGCCTATTCAATCAATACAAATGTTTCGTGAGATTTTCAAATTATATTTATTATTATTATTCCTCTTGAAGTTAGAAATGTTTTACAATTTATGCTTTATTGGTTTATCGAAACGTTCGGAGTAGTTCCGACTGAAAATAATGAACGAAAAAAAACTCTTTACCAACTCAGTTATAGCTTTTTCCATATCGTCATACTTTTTGCGTTAAGTGTCTATTTGGTTGATGACTAGATAATCTGACTTTGTTGAATAGCCTGCATCAAATGAATCAAAGATGTGTCGTCTATATAGGCTGATGCTTCCTATGTTTTCTTTCTTTTCAAGCTTCACTTCTCTTTTTTTTCTCTCTTCAAACAATAAATAGTCATTATTAAATCAAAATAAATGCGGAAACATCGGATTTGCTTCCGATTGTTATGTGTACTTCAAAAAGCGAAAATGTACATCCATTTTTTTCTATAAGGCTTAGATCTCATCAAGATACATCCCTTCTCACTAAACTACAAGGAGAAAATACAGGCATGCTAAGTTAGCATGGACCACACTGTATGCAACTCTATCCAGTGGTCACTGACTCTACTCTCAGTGTGATATAATATCTTTAGAGATCACAGAAATTGAGCTCAGATTCGTGTTCAGCTTCGAAAACTGGATAAGAACAGTTATTTTTGAATGGTTTTGTGTTTGTATCTAGCAGGATTACGATCGTAAGCAACCTCATGAATTTATAAGAGATATATGATAGATACAGGCATCAGTATTTTCATAATAAATCATCAATAGTAATAGCTATCGAGTTCGGGTTTTTACCTTTCGATAGTCTTTTTGACTAGCAACAAAACCAGGCATTTGAGAAGCTCCCAAACTGCTGGTCATCTGAGACATATCTAGGCAATTTGGTTTCTAGATGCAGTTTTTGTGTATTTTGAGACCTTTTCCAGTCAATGTTTCGTTAAAAAACTACAATTTTTTTCAAAACTAATATCAGATTCAAAATCAGCGTTAAAAACTGAGTCGATTTATATATGTTGTGAATAATTCTGAGGAAAAAAGTTTTTTTGAAAAATCCCTGCACTCCCCCTCAGGGATGGTCTGATCAAAAATGACAATTTTTTCGATAACTCAACCATTTCTTGACGGATCCTTCTCATCTTCAAACGCGACCGAGACATTGATGAGGCTGAACTGTGTAGAAAATTTCATCATAATCTAACTCTCCTTTCGAAAGTTATCGTATAAACGGCCGGATGGCCGGACATACTGACCGATTCTAGAGTGTACTCACTTTTTGAGTACACAAAAACGAACGCTCTTTCAAACTAGATAGGTTAAATCGAAATCAAAATTTTTTTCCCGGCCGACCTCCATAAAAATGTTCGGTTTTCTCGAGGAATGACTGTTAAATCGCTATGATTGTAGAAGGCAGAAAGGAAAAATATCGAAAAGGGAAAATGTCAAAAACGAAAATGAGTGGTGAACGTGAACATGTATGATCGAGGATGAGTGTGAGGGAGATCGTAGTTCAACACACTATCATTTTCAGCATTTCTATCTGTCAAAATTTGTATTTTTTTCTTTTTCGACATTTTTACTTTCCGCCTTACATCAATTCATTAAATCTGGCATTGAATTTATCTTAAAAAATATGTTTTCATATTCTTTTGTTCGCTATGAATTCTCTTTCTATTTTTATGAAATATTGGGACATCGGGTGTTGTTGTGGGTGCATGTGCGTGGGAGGATGAGGATGCGTGTGCTTTCCTTCCTACTCCATTGATTCACGCTGACACCCACTCACATCTATCCACGCCCCCATCCAGACTAATAGAGTATTCTTCTAGGACTACGATGGGCCAGAAGTCTTTTAGAGTTTTCTCAGCATCATTCAGTCCTACTCGATGGCAAAGCATGGGCTCGAACCACTCATGACAGCTACCTAGGTTCCCTCATTAATAAAAACCATACAATATGGTGCTGATATCCATTTATAGATTGTCAAAGACTCCAACGCAAGTTTTAATTCGGTGGTCTATTCAACATGGGTTCATAACAATTCCTAAAACAGGTCAAGAGTCAAGACTAAGATCGAATGCGGATGTCTTTGATTGGTCTATTCCCGATGAAGAAATGAAATTACTGGTAATAAAAGAAAAAAAGGCATAACCTCAAATTTTCCAATTTATCATTTGTTTGTAGGATAACCTAGGTGATCACCAATGGTCGTGTACATGGGATCCGACCAAGAATAGTCTCGAAGAAGCTGGCCTTCTATAACTCTCTTCTCAACAGCTACTAAAACAATTCATGACTAAGATTTCCGTATTAAATGGATTGTGAATCATTTTACTTTTCTATACTCGTCATTTAACTAATGCTTCCATTATATATAAATGTGACGGGTGCCCCATAATGAATAACCATCTAAACAAGGCCCGCGGCGCGCATTTTATTTAAGGAGGCTTGGGTAGGCTCAGATCAAGGGGGAAATAGCGGACTCCAATCCAGTGGAGTCTAGTGGAGTCCAATGGAGTCCAATGGAGTCCAATGGAGTCGTTTGAAACTCTGTAGAGCACTTCAAGTATATTATAGATATATAATACACTTGTATATTGGCTTTGCTTCTCATCACCTGTTATATAGAATTAAACAGATACTAGCTCCAATTTTGAGAAGGACGCACAGTATCTGTGTACCATCCATTCACAACACATTGAGTGAATAAAAAAATTACAGCAATCTAGATGCAGTTTTTGTGTATTTTGAGACCTTTTTCAGTCAATGTTTCGTTAAAAAACTACGATTTTTTTCAAAACTAATATCAGATTCAAAATCAGCGTTAAAAACTGAGTCGATCTATAGATGTTGTGGATAATTCTGAGAAAAAAACGTTTTTTTGAAAAATCCCTGTACTCCCCCTCAGGTAAAGTCTGGTCAATAATGACATTTTTTTCGATAACTCAACCATTTCTTGACGGATCCTTCTCATCTTCGAACTCGACTGAGACATTGATGAGACTGAACTGTGTAGAAAATTTCATCATGATCGAACTCTCCTTTAGAAAGTTATTGTGTAAACGGACGGCCCGACGGACAAACTGACCGATTCTAGAGTGTACTCACTTTTTGAGTACAGAAAAAGCACGATTTGTTCCGCTTTATCTCTTTCATGTACTATTCCAACAAAAAATCTAACTTATTCATGGCTTTATTCGCATTGGATCTTCTCAGACAGATAAAAACAATTCAAATTGCATGGAAACTTTCAAAAGAATCTAAATTATTTAAAGCTTGAAGGTCATAATAACTCTTTAGTAAATGCAAATACATGAATCTATTGTGTTTGGATATTCTGCGTGATAACATCAATCAGTTTTAATTATTTGTAAAACATTAAAAATTACATCTTTTTTTTAGGATTTGCAAACTTTTTAAAAGCAATCAATCTGCATAAAAGAACGAATAACATCCACAATGATCTATCACAAAAGTAATCTGTATACGTGAAGTAACATGTAGAGTTACGATTACTGGTATTTCGAATTTTTTTGTCAACAAATGATATAACGTCCAATATTTAGAAAATATAATTCCAAATAATGAATGCTTCTTTTATTTATTAGAACGGTCAAATAAAACACCGGAACTAAATTGTTTAATTAGTTTAATGGTAGACAACAATGAATGGAAAATAATAAGTTATCTACTGAAAAAGTTAGGATAAGGATGAGAACAACACGTTCAAAGGTACTATAGAGTTTTATGTTATACAATACAAAACACTAACAATAACAACATTCAGAGAAAAAAATACACCCGCTCGAGTGAGCTATTAATACAATAAAATATTTAAGAATCTTTCAAACTAACTAATATTTTATTTGCCCAGCAATTATAAAACAATATTCATCATGAGAAAATTTAATAACATTAATTTCAAATCAATGTTTAGTTGCTGCTCGATTTTGCGTTTGATTTGCAGCTGGTGCAATACGTACACTCCGACGTATGCAACCACATCGTAATATAAGTCGTACTAATTTCTTTAGTTCATCACGAAAAATACTAGAAGTCATTGTATATAAATAAAATGATAAAGTAGGAAACAAATAAACGCTCAGTGATGCCCAATAAGCAGCAAATCTTTCTATTGTTATTCGTTCGATTGATTTGTTTCTGATATTGAGTGCAACAGCATTGTAAAAGTGAGAGACCGTCAAGGGAATAATCGTTATGACAAAGACAACGACTTGAACAATTAATATTAGTAAAACTTGACGATCACGCTTTCGTTCGAGTAATTTGACATCACTATTGTTGCGTGCATGAGGAGTCACCATATTTTGACGACGTTTTCGTTTAAGAACAAGATTATGGTATGTTAAAAATGCACAGATAATCATGATTGAAGCTGGTAGAATACATCCAGCAACAACTGTAAAACTACTATGATAGTATAATAGTGCAGTATTGTATGTAAAATTATTTGAATTCATATTGGCCGTATTATAGATAAGATTATGCATAGGAAACACAATCCAGGCAACTATGATTACAGCAATAGTACGACGAGCTATATTCATTCGTGCGAAACTTCTTAAACATAAATCAGTTGATGTAATAGCATATCGATCAAAACTTGCTGCAACTAAACACCAACGATACATCATTGAAATCGATTGAATGATATAGGTGTGTACTTTGGAAAAAGTTGCTGATGGTGGAGAAGAATTTCTAAGTTTGAGTAAATATAGAGTGGTTCCGATGCCAAACGATAGATTAATTAACATGATTAAAGATGCTGTTGCCATATCTATTCAGATGAAATCAGCTGTTGAAAAGTCAAGATTCTTTAGGCAAGAAAATAATTCAGGGCTAGATTTTGAACAAATCTTTTACTATCGTGCATTGACTGTGTTTTAGCTAGTTTTTAATAAATTAAAGCTTACTTACATGTACAACAGGTTACTGTCCGAAATTTTCGTCGAGAGAACAGTAGCAAAATAGTAAGTGAACAACCGGTAACGCCAAAAGCCAGAAAGGCCGAATAAATGTAAGGAGCAGTTAGTCGTGGAATCATCGCTAATGTTCTAACCCATTGTGCTGGTGGACGAGACATTTCAGTGCTGTCAGTAGTTTTATATTTTGAAATATTCGAATGCTTAAAGAAAAAAAAAGATTTTAGTTTATTTTCGGAAAAAGAGAGAATACTTCTGCTTTTGATTTGCGCAATATTTATGTAAAACTAAAGATTTTATTGTGTGATAAGAAAGAAGAACTTGTTTGTGTATGATCTTGGTTTTCCAAAAGTACGAAACTCACATGTGTTAATTTAGCTTCATCGTACCAAGACAAAATACGTTCATTTGATTTTTTCCTACAGTAATACTCGTCTTGCTCTTGACTGCATAGAGCTAATAAAAACTTGATTGTAACGGGAAATTTAACGAAGATAGATCTTTAGCATTCTTTTACTACTGGTGGCAGTATTTTTCTTAATTCAAAATTCAATGGTATCAGCCGTTGAATTATCTTTCATTCATACTAAGAGAATATGCGCTGTGAGAATAAAAAATTGGCTGATGCAAATATTTGCAAGATTGCCTCAAAACTGATTTTATCTTTACATAGACTGTTTGTTTTCATATGTGAAAATTGGTGAAATTTCTCAAGTAGTTAAATGACGCCCCAAACTAGAATCATTCTTACTTACGTTAGCTCATACGAACATTTAACTTTTTATTAGAGCTTAGAGATTCTGTAGGAATGATCAGGACTCATTTGTTCTACATCATTTCTTCAATTGAATTTTATTGGATGATCAAAGCTAGAATCAATTGAATAGTAGACTGCTGGTGCTTATAACAACAATACAAACGAGATGACGAAGTCTATGGTATTTTTAAAAGCTTATAATTGTAGATAGGTCATATCGAGATGCAATCAATAAGTTAACATCGATTTTCATTAACCAAATGAAGGTATTTTCTCATGAAGTAGCAAATCTCGTATAAAAATAACATGAATTCTATATTCATCATACATAAATGAAAAGACAACAAAACTGAGTTATTTGTATTTATCAGAAGAATCGATTACTTACACAACCTTGAAATGATCTAAACCTAGTAAATGACAAACATTATTTGTGTTTGAAAAGTATTACTAGAGCCGAGTAATGACTATCATTTTCTTTCTCTCATCTTACCCTAATAATGCAAACGACTTATTTGTTATCCTTATAATTGATATCTCAGTAGAGATTAAACGTGACAAAACTAAACAACTGATACGGAAGAAGAAAACAACCTTGAATTTAGATAATTTTCTTATTTGCGTCTTGTTTTTTTCATACTAATAATATTGAAAAACATCATTTCATTTCCTTGTTTTTTTATTTTTTCTACAAAACTTGTTTTGACGTCCTTGTAAATATTTTATTGTTCTCATAAGGATCATTTAGAAGTTATTGATAAAATTGATCTATCGTATACACGAGAAAACAAGACATAAAAATTACCAATTAAATTATGAATAACTGTAGGAAATTGTTTTGCAAGATTATTAAAATTAATAGAAATCTCAATGATCAACAGTTCAATAGTCAATATCTGCGTATGAATAGAATTATGAAAAAAATTGAAAATATGTTTTTATGTAATTCAATAAAAATAGTTTAATAAGAAAAGAAAAGAAAAGAAAAACACCCAAATGTAGTCATGGTATCGGACTTGATTTTCATACATTCTTCAATGAGAAATAAAAGCAGAAGAAAAAAATCTCATTAGAATAAATTTTATTTCGTTTATTTTTTCTTAACATCAATGAAATTGAATTACAGGTCAACTATTCAATTCAAGTGTGTCTTTTTGTAACACAATAGAAAATCTGGCACAAATATTTAGGACGATCCGGTCATAGAATCAACGAAAATAAAGTGTGTGCTACTTCAAGTTGCTTATCATTTTGATTTTGTTGATGAATATTGGTTTTGGCTCTTTGTTTTTGCTAAAGATTAGTGCATTGAAATACTCCTATTGAACAAGTATGACGTTGGAATGATTTTCAACTCAAATTCTTCGCGATAAAAGTACTTTATATGAGCAATAGTTCCGAGCAGGAAACAAAGAACTAAATGTAGAAAAGGAAGTAGCTACGGGCACAAAAATGGATTAAGCTACACACGCTAAAAGCAAAAAAAGGGAAAAATTGATGACTTCGTTCATCACCGATACCATGCTAGTGCGAAACAAGGTATGTCTTAAGTAATTAGTAGTCAAATGAATTCAGAATTTTCCATCTTTAACGATAAAAGAACCTTTCGAATTGAATCACCACTGTTTTTCTTTTATGTTTTGAGAAAATTTTATATATGTGTGTGTGTGTGTGTGTTTGTTTTATCGATTGGAATTTCGAACAAAAATCATTTTATTATGAATGTTGACGCAGTCAAGGAAGAGAAAAAGAGAAAGCTATAATTACATGTCGCCTTTTCTTTCAGTTGCAAAGCAGAGAAAGGTTTGTCTCAGCGTTGCAAGTGTTTTACTTAAGCAGAACGATCAATCATCAATCAAGACGCACATACAATGACAGAAATAAAGTAAGTCTTTCTGAGACTATCAAAAAAATAAAGTTTTTCAAAAGAAAATTTTCGATAGAAAATCAAAAATATTAACACATAAACAATTAGAAGCTATTCTAAATACTGATCATATTTGGCAACATTTAATTAAAGTTGGCTTTGTAAGTTTTTTCGTTTCTCATCAAACAGTAAAGTGTGATTTTTCTCTATACAATAGATTGATAATCGCGGTGATGTTATTTCAAAAGTTCAATCGAAACGCCGTCTACCAAGACGACATACCTTAGATAAGTAATAGAATGTTTTTCTTAGATATTAAAAAGAATTCATGCTGTGCTTATTCTGATTAGTAAACGACATCATATAACATATATAAGTCAATCAACGGTTCGATCCGTTCCAAAGTGTCCAGTTCAAAAACATTCAGTTCGTCAATATATTCTCTCATTGCTATGATTATTTTCGTCTTTCGATATACTCCAGGATACAAATGACGAAAATCAAAGTCCGCCGTCTAATTGTAGTCCGACAAGACGAAGACTCAAAAGCGCTTCGACCGTTCAGTCAAAACAAGTAATTATGTGCACAACATTTCGCTTGAAAAACAAAAAGAACTTTTTTTTGTTTGACCAGACAAACAAGACGGCAAATTCAGCACGTTTTTCATCATCTACTCAAGCCACATTTATAGAGAATGTTTTGATTCGTCGCGCAGTCAGCCCGAAAGTATGATTATGTTAAAAATTTCTCAGTTTTTCTAGAGAAAGAAAGAAAGAAAAATTGTGTATTCTATTTTAATGACGTCATTGTCAGACGGATAGGTTATTGATTCAAGTTGACGGTAGAAAAAATTGAGCATTTTATCTCACGTTGATTTACAATTTCTTCGAAAAGAGAGGAAAAAATCATACGAAGATATATTCATCTCTGTTACGTTATATAGAGAAAAAAAAGGCTGATTGAAAATCATCTAAAATTCGTAAAATAAAATAAAAAAACTGATATTGACATTTTTATCATGCAGATAATGCTAGCTGAGAATCGATGTCTCGTAATAATGAAATATTTTGGAGAAGAAATGAATATTGAATATGATCGTACTTTGTTTATACCTCAAGATGATGAAATTATTATTATGCAGCAACATTGTGGTGGAGAAAATCTTATGGTTTTTAAAGGTTTACTCAAACGTAGAGGTAATTTTAATCCTAAAATTATTCATCTTGAAAGATTTCAAGATGCATTTTTCTAGATGAGTTTGCATTTGAATCTCGAAGACACACAGATTATCCATTTGCATTAGCATTCTATGTAAATGGTGTTATCAGTAATCGTCTATCGGTTTGTTGCGAAAATAGAGTTAAAAATGAAACGCTAATCGGAGGAAAACGCTGTTTATTCTCTATTCTGAGTATTGAAAAATCTCGTCCATGTCGAAAGTATGTCGTTTAAAATAAATTGCATGATGCTGTTTAAAATGGTTTATTTTTATTTTCTATTCAAAAGATGTCGATTTGAGCAACGAATGGCAAAATTATTCGAAGAAAAACCAGAACTAAAAGTATATGATACTTATTTCTAAAATTTATTTTTTCGCAAAAAAGAACATTTATTTAGCCTAGAAAAAATCGATATGATACATCGACTAAGAATCGTTCAACAAGTCGTGAATCAAATTCTGCCCGTACAGAAAATTCCTGTGATGCCGGAAGTTTACAAGAAAAAAAATCGGATGTATCCCGTTCAAAATCAACTGTATCGGATAGCAAAAATGATAAGACAAGTGAATTTCCTACGCTGCAGTCAAAATCAATCAAATCGGATGACGAGGCTTCGCAAAAAAGTTGTTCTCCTATATCAAGCTCGGAAAAAATCGAAACTAATAAAATTGACAATGCAAAAATAAGTCAATCTCCTACATTAAGATGGAAACCAAACGAATCGGATAGTGAAAATTCAAAAACACTGTTGCCTCCTATATCACGTTCAAAAAAAAATGACTCTGATACAATTGATCATACGGAAACAAATGAATCTGTCACATTACCTCCGAAAACAGCTGAATCTGTTAACAACGATGTTAGAACAAGCGGATCTGTTACATCGAGTTCTAAAGCCGTTGAACCTGATAAGAAAACTCGTCTTTCAACAAATACTTCTCCGTTATCGAACTCAAAAATACTTAAACCTGTTAAGAGTGAAGATTCTGATATAAATGAATCTCTCAATTCCAGTATTGGTACGAGTGAACCCGAGAAGAAAAATCTTCTCGGCAAAACAGCACCTCGTATATCAAGTTCAGAATCAATTGAATCTCTCAATTCCAGTATTTTTACGAGTGAACCCGAGAAGAAAAATCTTCTCGCCAAAACAGCACCTCGTATATCAAGTTCAGAATCAACTGAATCTGATACGTCAAGTTCAGAAGGTGAATGTTTAATCTTTACTTCATATATTTTTTTTTGACTATTTTATCTATAGACCCACATGAACGAACTAGAGTCCGCCCGAAAACTGCGGTATGCTATTTGCTTTTTGCAAGACAATCTAAAAACAAATTTTGATGTATACAGATGAGAATTCTGTATGTATACTACTCTGTAGCAGTTTTGAAGAACCCACTAACAGATTAGTAAAAATAGTTGTAATTTTTAAATAGCTGGATCCCAACAATCGCTCGGTTATGAACAACACTCTTGTTAATCTTTAAAAGATTCTGCCAACAATTTTTGAATCCTTTATTTAATTCAATTTCTCATGATTATTTTAGCCCGTCAATCAACCAAAATCAACGAGTTCGCCTAATCGTAAATTATTATTTTTAAAATCATTCTTTTCTTTAATTTTTATTTCTTTAATTTTTTAGTCTATACCGCAGATTTCGAAGAAAATACTAATTCAAGCTTTTCAAGTTCTGTAAGTTCTCTTTTTTTTCAATTTTATTCATATCTCATCGGTCACATTTTCTTAGCATGATGACCATAAATTGGCAGTACCTGCATCGAATCCATCTAAAAATCAAATTAATAAAAGTTAGTTCTAATTCAAACATCTTTTATTTTTAAAAAGAAACAAAAAAATTATTTTTAGCGAGTGATCTAGATCGTGACTCGACTGTTTCGTCTGAAACCGATGAGGATGAAGAAGAATCAACAAGACTCGAAGATTGAAATGCAAAATTCGTACATACAAACTTCAGAAAAAATACTGATAAAATACAGCAAAAAAATTAATTTTTTTGAAAGAAATAAAATAAAACGGATGCCATTTGATGTATTTCTATGTAAATATTAGTAATACGAGTAGATTGATATGGCACAAGAATCCATAAAATATCTTTTATTCGTTTTTTCCAAACGCGCTAGCAGCACTGAAATAAATAGATATACGTGTGACAATAGGGATATGTCGCAAAAATTAATTACATTTCGATAGTTTCAAAAGTGACAATTATCTAATAGATTTTGCTAATCCTTCAAATAGGGAATGAATTTTTTTTTAATTTGAGAAATGAATAGGCTATTTATTTTGGTTTTATTAGAAACTATTATTAGAAATAATTGTGAAAAAGATCGTAGTTGATAAAATATCTGAATCATTAATTTTGCTTTTTTTATATCTGAATTTTGATAAAACTCATAGTATCCATTTAAGATCATTGTATAAATTAATATTGCTCGATGATTACTATTGTACTTATCTCATTATCGAAGTATTATTAAATTTTCCGAAAAGAAAACCTCATTTTCTTTTTTCTCTAACAACGTCGTAGCAAAATATTTTTAGAAAGAACTCATATCTATTTTTCTACTAATGAACGTTTACCGCATAGCTATTCAGTTTTGAAGACCTGCTGAGAATATTCATTCGTGACATTTCTGTGCCACTTTCTTTTCAATCGATCTTATCCTATTGCGCAAAAAAGAATATCTGCAGGACATGATTATATTCAAAAGAATACTAATATGACGTAGTTATTTATTGTCGTAGCTACATTGATTTAGATTGTCGATGTTGCTGAAGATTACTTTCATCCACATTATACACTTCAAGTATATTTAATTATCTTTTTGAATCGATAAACAAAATAAAGACATATTGTGATTCGCATAGAAAAATTCACGAGAACAAGTGCATGAATTTCATATATATCTGGAAATCAATTATTAGCCGAAATCATTTTCCAGCTAGTTTATCCTTTATTATATATATCTATCGACACTACTGTTATAGCACACACGTGGTCGAATTATTTTCCCTGTATTTCTCTCTCCCTCTGGTATGATGAATGACCATGCAACACTTCTTACGATCATGCGATGATATCTTTTTATCAGTAAATTCAACTAACGATTTCGAACCTTACTTTCTTCGACGTGTAAACTTGTTTATCTTCTTCTATTAGGCAGATAATTTAAATGCAGCATGTTTCATATAAAATAGTGTAGAATCACATAATAAATGTGTACGCAAGCGTGCAGTACGCACAACGCACAACTTTTCAACCAATCATAACGTAGCTCGCTTGTTTCTATTGTTAGGACGAAATATGCAACGATTTTTTTCTCTCAAAAACATTCTATTATGACAAATAAGAAGCCTTTCATCAATTCATATTTCTTTCTAAAACAAACAATTTTCTAGTCATATCTAAATAGCAAGTTCATATTTCATGTATGGCTTAGTCAAACATTTATGAATTTAAAATAAATATTAGCCCTAAAGAGGGCTGTTGGGTTTTTAGTTATATCTTGATGTTATGTTTCTTTTTGAATTGATATGAAAGTCAAGCACATTTAGGCCTTGTCGGCTGCTTTACCACTTGATGATGGTTTGTCAGCTTTTTCGGCTTTCTTTTTTGATGGTGCAGCTGCTTCACGTGGTGTTGAAACTGTACCTTCAGCTGTCTTCTTTGGTAAAAGAATAGCTTGAATGTTTGGTAAAACACCTCCTTGAGCAATTGTAACACCAGATAACAATTTGTTTAATTCTTCATCGTTTCGGATGGCTAATTGAAGATGACGTGGAATAATACGTGTTTTCTTGTTGTCTCGGGCAGCATTTCCTGCTAATTCGAGAATTTCAGCCGATAAGTATTCGAGGACAGCACCCAAGTAAACTGGAGCACCAGCACCGACACGTTCAGCATAGTTACCACGTCGAAGAAGACGATGAATACGACCCTATTCGAAAGATAGGAAAAACGTAATTTAATAGGTTTCATTTTCAAACAGTGTTATAACTTACAACTGGGAATTGAAGACCAGCACGGGATGAGCGGGTTTTCGCCTTGGCGCGAGCCTTGCCACTACCTGCAGTTTTACCACGTCCAGACATTGTTAAATTTGTTTTTTACTTGACGAAAGTGAATAGAGAATGATTGATATAGAGAAGGAAACCGTGCATCGCCTTCAACATATATATGTCCATGTAGTGGACAACTTTACGAACCAATCGTATTAGAACATTAATGATTGGTCGTTCAACGTACAAAATAATGTCGATATAAGAACGAAGAAATTGTCTCTCTTCTTTTCATTCGTATCTCCACAAAAAGCTTACGTTCAATTCTTTCAACATGCCACCAAAGACACCGTCAAAAGGAGCCAAGAAGGCCGTTACAAAAACATCAAAAGGAGCTTCTGGCGCCAAAGCTACTGACAAGAAACACAGACGTAAACGCAAGGAAACCTACTCAATCTACATCTACAAGGTACTTAAACAAGTTCATCCAGATACAGGTATTTCGTCAAAAGCTATGTCAATTATGAATTCATTCGTAAATGATATCTTTGAACGTATCGCTGCTGAATCAAGTCGTTTATCTCATTACAATAAACGATCAACAATCAGCAGTCGCGAAATTCAAACAGCTGTCCGACTTTTATTACCTGGTGAACTTGCCAAACACGCTGTATCTGAAGGTACAAAAGCTGTTACCAAGTACACAAGTGCCAAATAAGCAACTTGCTTCGCACTAATTGGTCCAAAAAAACAAACCCAAACAGCCCTCTTTAGGGCTAACATATCATATATTCATGAATGTTGTTTTTCGTATATAGATAAACTGAATATTTGCACAAAAAGAGCAGTTTTCGGAATGAGCCTTTGTTCATAAAGAAATGCTATACGTAACATGGTTACTTCACGCATTCCAGTCCTATGAATTAATTTCTTTGCACAATAGAAAAGAATAAACTTCACGATATACCGTCGATAGGACAATGCGTACATAAAGTATAATGTTTTCTTTTTTGATAGTTCTAATTTAGATAAATATCGAATGTAATGATGGAATGCATTCAATTTGAATAAACACGTACAATAAAGATGAAATAGTAGAAATGTGCATATTTTTTTTTTATCTAAATTTTTGTTTTATAATCGTCAGAATTTTATGATTCATTCATAGAGCAGTACGCGTTCGTGTTCAAATGAAACTATCGCAACGAATGCTCGAAGCAGCATTGAGTTTATTTCGAACACAATTGTTTCTTTCTAGATAGAATATTTCGATACATTATATGTATGTTTGTTTATCTCTCTATTCGTTTAACAATAGTATTGCATGTCCTTTCATGTAAAACAAACAGCTGACTTCATTTTTTTTCTCACTCTCAATCTCGAGTTCTGATTCGTTAATAACGAATGTTTCTTAACTGACCAACGAGTGAATGGACTGTCTTCATAGTATATAACGAATGCCTATAGATTATTGAAGGATAACTATTACTAAAAAAAAAGAATAATAACTTGAAAAGAAAATGTCCGGTCGTGGTAAAGGCGGTAAAGGTTTAGGCAAAGGTGGTGCTAAGCGTCATCGTAAGGTACTTCGTGATAACATCCAAGGTATAACCAAACCAGCTATTCGTCGTTTAGCTCGACGTGGTGGTGTTAAACGTATCAGCGGTCTTATCTATGAAGAAGTACGTGGTGTATTGAAAATTTTCTTAGAAAATGTTATTCGTGATGCCGTCACGTATACTGAACATGCTAAACGAAAAACTGTTACAGCCATGGATGTTGTGTATGCGCTCAAACGACAAGGACGTACTTTATATGGTTTTGGATCATAAATGAATTAATAACAAAACGAAATAATTTACCCAAACAGCCCTCTTAAGGGCTAAAAATGGCCATTATTTATTCTTTAAATTCATAAATGTTGGATAGAGAAATAAACATTATTAAATTGTTTGCTCATTCAAGTGATTCTACGATCCAATACAAAACTAATCGATACATGCAGATAATTGCACATTAAGTGTTGAGTTGACATCAAGGAAGCTGCAAGAAATCATTCTACTATTTCAGATAATGATTATCATCGTCCTAAAATTTATTAGGTAAAAAGAAAAGAATTGTTTCCTCAGAATGTTGTCAATCCTTCGCAGTTTTTTGTTGAGATAGTGATGGTTCTGTATAATTACTCACAGTTTTCCTTTTTTTTGAAAGACTCGCAGTAGAAAAGAAAACAGGATGAACTTTTTTTTACCCGAAAAAAGCTATGTTTAGACATCTTCATGCTGCTTGCTATTATCCCCCACAATTAATGCTTTTGCAACGATTGTTGCACTTCAGCCTTGTTAAAAGTGCCTCAAATTGTTCTTGAATACTTTATTTTATTACCATTGTACTCACTCAAAGTCATATTGTCATTCAGCATTTTTGTCATATGTAGTCTCGTTTGTATAGTAAACGGATCGATATTTTTTCTTTGCTTTTTTTTAAGTGAATGCGATTGGATTATAAATTTGCTCTTTTTTTTGAATGTTTCGTGCTGCTCGGACAATGTTATAACGAATGATAAAACAGTCGACTGTATAAGTTTATTGGTGCGAAAATATTTTTCCTATGAAAAAAATAAGAAGCACGTTCAATCAAAATGAATGTTTGAGTATGTATCGAGCCAACATGATATTCTATTGAAGTGTTTCAAATGAAAATCGTTAGCTATTTAAGTTTTAAAACCATGGATTAATTCTAGAAAAAAAAATGAATTGAAATATGATTCCTACAAATTAATTTCTAGTTGTCCTTAAGAAATTATGGAATCAAAATATTAGAACTACATAAAGTATATATTGAGTGATAATTCTAATTCAATGTTCAATTATAAGTCATCCGCTTGTCTTAAAATACAATTCACTGTTTTCTTTCTCTACACGAAGTCATATAGTTCGGACATGTGCACCACACTATATATTGACATTTTAAATAAAATATTCTCCTGTTGAAGAAGTATGATTTTGTGTGGTATTTATAGAACACTCAAAACGATATATTATGACATTGACGTATCCTTTACATACAAAAAAAGGGATTCATTTTTTTTTAATGAAATTTTGATGGTAAAAAGCATCATCAGTATGAATAAACTGTTTTTTCTTCTGCAACGTATTTTAAACGAACAACTTATTAAAAAATATTACCTCAAATGCAAAACTCAAAACACATTAATGAAATAAGCGATAGAGAGAATTTCTTACTGTTTCATTCTTGTGTCCCGAAGGAAAAAATAAATGTAATTTACTCGATCTTATTCAGCTTGTAATTGTATTTCATATCACACAATTGAAGCCACTAGTTTGCTTTAGAATATACACAGAGAAAATACGTGAGTATTTAAACGATGCTATGTAATCGACTTCTTGTTTCAATAATCTGTATAACACTAAGAACAACATCTTATTTTTCTCTTCGATCAAAGTATTTCCTTTGATTTCTTCCCTGAATAGATTAAATGGCAAAGATTGTCCGGATGATTTTATAATTTTAAAGAAAAAGAACTATGAAAAATGCTTAAATGTCATAAGCATAATAGTTGGAAAATCATGAAGATGGTAACTCCAACGAAAACTTTTGCAGTACAATGGTAATATCGCTGTTATTTTGTTGTGAAATTTTACCTTAGATTACATAATTTATAATTTTGAAAATCTTTCTAGATATTTTACTAAATGATATTTTTCGATGAACACGATTATCGGGTTTTGATTTTATTTCTCATTTAACATATAGTTGAATAACTGCATGCTATTATTTGATAGTTTGATTTTTACAAACGTGATCCAATTAGAGATGCTGTTTCAAAATACATATCAATATCCTATTCAACCATCGATGACTACAAATAAAATGCCTTATCAAACCGCCAGCAACCACGTGCAAGAGCAATATTAGCAATGTTCCATTGGTTCCATTGAAAACAGCGTAAATATTTTTACATTGATCATGCTTGATTATTGTCTCTGTTCTAATTAATAGATTTGCATCAAAAGTTCTCTGGATTGCATTACCAATTGTGATTGTGCTTGGTTTGACGGCAGCTACCACAGTACCCATCGTTGTAATGATACTAACATCTGGTAAGTTTTAAAGAAAGAAGTTTCTTTTCAATTCGAAATATAATAGAAGACGTCAATGCATGTATGAAAAGTCTAATAAGGTCATCGAAAATTTTCCTAAGTCAGATCTACATAAATAAAAGATGCTAATTGGAAATTGTCATTAACGTTCCATTTATTTTAACTTTAGAAACAACTACAACAACAACAACGTCTGATACAAGTACATAGATATCATCTATATTATTCATTGATCTCTGTATCTCTCTCTATTCATATAGCAACAACAGCTGCATGTGCAACAACATACTCTCAATTTTTTACAAGTGGTGCTACGCCATCAAGTGAATGTACAACATGGAATTCATTTGTAGCTGGTTTAACTTGTTCGAGTCCACACATCTTTAAATTTGTATGGTACAAATGATCCAATTGGTATAAACGTTACTAATGCAGCCGTTGCTATTGCCATTGCATCAGCTTTACGCACGGGTACTGCGCATAGTGGCTCATCGAATGGATATTCGTGACAGGTGGGCACTTGTGGTAGTGGCATAGAATTAACTGCAATACGTGCTACATGCAGCTGCAATCCTGGTTATATTATGAGACCATGTGTTGGTTATTCTAATTGGGGCGGTATTAATGGTGCAATGTGTACAGCAGCGTCACAAACCATATTCCTTTTTTTCCGATGAATAAATACAAAACAATGATATGAACATCAGTTATTTCATTTTTGTTTTTTTTCTTTTAATTATAATCTTTTTTTTCTCATGTTGTTTCTCTAAAACTAAAACCTTTGAAACACATATTTATGGATATAATTATCACGCTTTGTGTGATCTAAACCGAATAGAAATCGATGATAAACAATTCAGTATTAAGTCCACTATATTGACCAACGATTAGTCATCAGAACTGCACAATTAAGCAATAATGGAGTCTCTATCATATAGATCATCTAGGACTCTTTATGAGTGTGACATCTAACTTTAAAAAATTGCTATTCAACGATCCATTGGCTGAGAAACTATCGATAAATTGTATGCTAGTGGGTTTTTTGTGTTGTAATTTTTTTGGTTTTTTAGCCACCACTTCATTTTTTAAAATGGGAAAAATAAAATCTGTCATATCTTAATTTGAAATATTTTCTTATTTCACCACTCATTATGTAATATGTTAAATAAACGTTGTTAAATTATGTAGGTATACAATTATAGTTTTGTATCGTCGCAATTATAATTTTTTTATTGAAGTTTCAACCAAAACAATCCTTATGAAGATATTGTATATAATTCTTTTTTTTCTAATCTTCATGCACATGATGATTGGTATGAAATTAGAAGAAAAAAATCGTCTGCGTTTAAAAGTTCTTAATATGTTTCAACATGGATTTGGTTCATACATGGTATTAAACGATTTATTTTTAGTATTGAGATATTTAATCATAATGAGATTTTATTTTTTAGAAATATGCTTATCCTGCCGATGAACTGATGCCATTGAGGTAACAAAAAGCAATTAAATGCATGAATAGACATGATCATGAATTAATTTTTCTAGTTGTAAAGGTCGATATCGGGGCTCTGAGTTGTCACGTGGTGATATTGATGATGCACTTGGAAAGTATGTATTCTAAAACAAAAAATATTAAAAATAAAAATCGACTTTCTAATGGTTTTTTTCTTCTGTAGTTTTTCATTAACACTTGTCGATAGTTTGGATTCTTTAGCTGTAATTAAAAATGAAAATTATTTCATTGTTTTTAATGAAAATTTTATTTTTCAAGGTTTTCGGAATGTTTGACGAATTTGAACATGCTGTTCGTCGAGTTATTCAACACGTTTCATTTGATCGTGATGTTATTGTTTCTGTTTTCGAAACAAACATACGTATGGTTGGGTAAAGCTAGTTGATTTTTTGAATTACGAAATTGTTTTACTTTTTCTTGTTTTAGTGGTCTTCTCGGTGGACATATATCTGCAAAATATATTCATTTACATTATTCACCTCGGTTATCTTGGTATCGTGATGAATTATTAATTCTAGCACATGATTTAGCGCTACGTTTATTACCAGCGTTTAATACAACAAGTGGCTTGCCATTGCCTCGTGTTAATCTACGCTATGGTGTTGATTTAACATTATTAAAAAGTGATAGTGAACGTTTTACATGTACAGCCTGTGCTGGTACATTAATATTAGAATGGGCAACATTATCACGGTTAACAGGCAATTATTTATTTGAACAATATGCTGATCGTGCTATGTCGTATCTATGGGATAGACGACATCGAAAGTCGAATTTAATGGGTACAATACTTAATGTACATTCAGGCGATTGGATTGTACGTGAATCAGGTATTGGCGCTGGTATTGATTCATATTATGAATATTTATTTAAAGCTTATGTTTTATTGGGCGAGAAAAATAATGATTATTTATCTCGATTTGAAGAACATTATTCATCTATAATGTCGTATGTTCAACGTGGTGTTGCAATGGTTACTGTTCAAATGCATCCACCATATCGTTTAGTAAAAAACCATATGGATGCTTTATTAGCATTTTGGCCAGGTTTACAAGTTCTTACAGGAGACTTAAAATCTGCTGTTGAACTACATGAAATGCTCTATAAAGTTGTTCAGAAACATAAATTTCTACCTGAAGCATTTACAACAGATTATCGGGTACATTGGAAGTCACATCCATTACGACCGGAATTTGTTGAGTCCACTTATTTTCTTTACAAGGTAAATTATATATATATATACATGTCTTAAAGCATCGATTTTCCTTTCATTAATGATGATGACAGTATTTCATTTGATTATTGAGCCTATGATGTTAAATTTCGTACAGCGTTTGTTTCGAGTCGAACCCAACCCGAATGTCGCTTTCCTCTCCAATTACGTCTGAAAAGGTTCATATAGCTTCCTGAAGAAATTTAAGACTGATCGTAGTATTCGAATTTCATCTATCATAGATCAAATAAAACTGATTTAGTTTACTTTTTAATTCCAGAGGAATTCCTATTCTAACATAGATCAACTTTTCATAGAACTTTTTTTAATAATAAATTTCTTGATTGTTGTGTTTTTCAAGGCTACTGGTGATCCACATTATCTTGAAGTCGGTCGAACAATCATAAATAATTTAGAAGAACATGCCCGTGTACCGTGCGGTTATGCTGCTTTATCTGATGTTTCAACTGGTCAAAAAGAAGATCGTATGGATTCATTTGTATTAGCTGAAACATTTAAATATCTTTATTTATTATTTGATTCAACACCACATCGTTTTATTGATATTGATCAATTTATATTTACTACTGAAGGACATCTTCTTCCACTTAATATTTTATCATTTGATATAAATAATACATTAAAAAATGAATTCAATAAGATGACTTTAAAATCAGCACAAATATATGAACAAAACAATATTTCAATAACTATAAAACGAACTGAACGAAAAGCAAAAATGAATCAATGTCCAGCTATGGACGATCAATTTAAATCACATCAATATAAAGAAAAATTACGACAGAATATTCGTGGAGATCAAGATATGACAGAAACAATAATAACATCAACATCAAATAATATTGAAAAACAAAAGAATAAGTTAGTTAGAAACCTGAATGTATTCATAGTGTAGATGATTTAAGCATCTTTTAGTTAGAATTGAACAATCACTATTGATTCTTTTCTTGTAGATAAACGTCAGGTAGACATCTACAGGTTAAACTTGTTTGTACCTTCTTCTATCCTAATACTAATATATATATTGCATGGTCGAATTGAGTTTCGGTGATTTATAAGCTCTATTGTATATTCTTCTTGTTCTACACACTACTGCTGTAAAGAGAAGTTGATCGAATTCAAGAATTTAATTCACATAGTAAAACCATCAAACTACTCTTTAGAGTTCTAACTATCCCGATGTCTGTTGAGATTCTTCTCTGTTTGTTTATTTGTTTCTATCAATTTCTAATCTTTCTTTAGTACTTCCAATCATCGTCTAATTGCTATGGAATTTTCACCAGATAATTCTCAGCATTTATCAGAAATTACAAAAATGGGTATTCAAATTCAACTTTTGAATGATGGCCGTCAGTATTGCAGTTTTTATTTCCGTTTTAGTACTTCACGATTTTTGTTTCGTTTTATTTAGAAGTTCAATTAGTTCACATTTCATCCAGTGCTGAATCAATCGATGATGCTGAAAATGGTATAGTATTTATGCAAGAAATGATTGAATTGATGGAACATACGAATACGATGGATAATTTTCAAACTTATCATTCATCATTAAGTGTCATTCCATTAATGATTCCATCATTAGATAGACCAATGAAATTTATTGTTTATACTGCTCAATTTGGTAAACAATTACACAAAACTCAAGGCGTAAATATTTTATTTATTTTCATTATTTAGAAATATCTGTCTTTTTTCTTCCATCGTTTAGATATTTGCTCAATTATATGTTGTTCAACCATTTTCTGGTTGTTCAGAACTTTTATCTTCTCATTATCTATCTTTTCGTATTGGTATTGTTGGTCGTGGTGATTGTATGTTCATCGAGAAAGCCCGTCATTTAGAAAATGCTCAAGCTATCGCTGGAATTGTTATCGATAATAATCTATCATTGAAGTCTTCGACTGGTGCAATATTTTCTATGTCTGGTGATGGAAATAATGATGTAAATATTCCTCTTGTTTTAATGTTTAAAGATGAAGCTTTTCAATTGGTAAATCTTTTGTTAAAACAACCAAAATTAATTTTATATATGGGAGATGAAAATTATTTAATGGATAGTTTTTATCAACAAATGGATTATCTAAATACTTTAATTGGACCATTTTATCAAACTACAGATAGATGGATCTATGGACAATGGGAATTTTGTAAAACGAATATACAATGTTCTGTTGTACCAAAAAATTTAAAAGAATTAGAATTAACAATTAAAAAACAGACTGAAAATAGTATTGAAACAGGTAAACAAGAGAAATTTTAATAGCTTATTTTTTTAGTTGTATTCATCATTTCGCAATAGAAATATGACTGATCAAGTTTATTGATTATTTATACATATCCGATTTTTTAAAGCATTCGAATTTAGGTTTTCATAAACTCTGACTAGGACAAATTTATTTTTCATAGTCCCCGCGCAACTTCAATCCGTGAGATCCTATATCATTTTTTCCTCAAAAAATGATAAAATTACCTATTTGATTATTCATTGGTACTATGTAATTAGTTTTCCAATGCTGGTGGAGAGCTGACTAATATTTGATTGTTTACTAGTTGACATTGTTGCTAGCATTTTACATGCCAAGAAATACAAGAACCCCATAGGATACGCTATTTCAAATTGATTATCGCTGACACGAGTCATTAACGAAAACTTATAAGTGCGAATACTCTCATAATGTTTGAATTTTCAGCGGGAATTTTTCTGGGTCATTCAGAAGATCTGACAATCCTCATATCAACAGTAACTAAATTTAAATGTTCTATTAGATGATATTATTGCATTTTTTGTCGTAAAATAATAGAATCTCTCGTTAGAAAATTTACTTAAAATGTAATGATAACTGCCCTATATTGAAAGTGTCTAGAAGACTAATTCAAAATCAAATTAAATTCTCGGATAGAACCAAATGATAGACCATGATATAAGTGTAGGACGGCCATCAAATATATAACTTTTAATCGAATGACTTTAGAAAGTTAAAGGATAGGTTCGAGCCTATCTTTTGGAAGCAAATGATGTTTTGAACATGAAATTCAACTCTGAATACTCTGTTGACAAACTAGAGCTTCACTGATGCTTCCTTTTCTTATATGTTGAATAGAATAAACGAAACATTTTATTTAGACGATGAACCTTCTACTTTGGATGCAAATGATGAATTAAATACTATGGATAGTAACTCTGTAGTATTTGACAAACTGTTGGAAACAATTCACTCTATTGATGAACCTTCATTACATTATAATAGACAAGATGAAAATGTTGATCAACTGAGTGGAAAAACAAAACAGACTGAAAGAAACAAAAAGATGAGTAACACAACACTTCCATGAAAGAAAGAGATATTCATCGAATTTTTATCTATGATTTCCGGTGTTATATCTTTTTTCTCTAGTCCTTGAACTATTTGATTGAATGAGCTTTACTATGATACATAATTGATAATCGACATACAACTTTTCTTTCTATATTTTTGTTGTAGTAGTTGTTGTTGTTATTATTATTATTGCTGTCATTACTTTTAAAAGATGTATCGAAAATGAAAACGATTAATAAATATAAATATTGTCAATATTTTATGTAAGCATAAAAAAGATATTTATCATTATCATTTAGCACGTGATTTTAAATAGAGAATTGATAAAATATTCTACATAAATTTGTACGATAAGCATTTTTGGAAAGATGTTGTACTCAGATAGTAATTAGCACAAGTCATAATCAGACGTATTTTCTCACTTTTTACTTGAATTTTATTGTTTCATATCTTGTAGTGTTGCACCATATATGATTGAAAAGAAATAGTAGGAATCTGTTACTTCAGAGCTTTATCCATCGGCGATATAGGAGTTATGTGAAAAATGATCAATGTAGGCTACCAGAATGTAGAACATATCCCCGAAGGATGTGTGATTTTTTTGATGTCTAACACTAATCTAAACCAAATATTTTAACATAAAAACTGACGACCTGGACTAGACTACACACGATAAGCTATGCTATTATAATCCAATAGATAAATTAACTAGTCTTGTACATAATGTGAACTGATCCTGTATTATTTGTCACACATAATTCTCATTTCACCAATTGATGAATATCTAATATAATTTTTTAAATTATATTATCCTGTTGAGATTTTCCTATTGATACCAAGCACATCCTACAATCAACTGAATTCTCTCATGCTGCCAGCAAGATGTATAGAGAAAAATAGAATTCGAGTTTTCCCACAATAACGGGAAATACCACCGTCTATACGTACAAGTACGTAACAGAAATACATGAAGAAAGTATCAATGATAGTGTGCAATATACTGATATCTCTATTCTGATGCCAAATCTGAGAAACATTTCATGACACATTTTCCCATCATTTTAAAGGGAACAAACGTGCTCTGGAATGGGATTCTTGCCCACAGAGAAGAAAAGCATGACCTGTTGGGTTGGTACATACATGTATATAGAGTGATACGATATGCTTAGCTTCATAATTCATTCATCTATCGGATACAATCACAATCTTACAAAAAGTTCAACATGTATTTTTTTGGTTTGAAAACAAATGCCATTGTGTATACTCAATTGTTATTTATTGCATTATCATTTTTCAATCAAGCAAATGGTCGAGTAATTGAAGAACATGGTAAGTATAAGCATAGGTATAGATTCATCGAGAACATAAACTTGGAAACATTGCAGCTTTTATGCACCGAAAATCGACATGTGCGCTTGTTACCGGACATTTCATGAATAGAATCTATCTCAGCTAGAAATGAATGAGAGTTTTCCCAGCAAAAACATATCTTTTCCATAGCCACTTTCGATAGGTTAACATACTATGAATTTGTTGTTTCGATAATCAAAACCAGAACTAATCGAATTAGCTAAACGTGTGCTATTCTTTATATACTTCGTTCAAAATCGAACCGATTTCATTGAACTTGACGTTTACGACAGAAGTGAATGGTAGATATATGGCGATGAGAGCTGCGCCTATCCACTATCCTCAACTACAAGTCTTGCTCGTTCATTTACATAATCTTATCTTAATCAAAAGGGATTTGCCGATGCATGACCTGGGAGAATTGTTGTTTTTTTGTAATTCCATATTTTCACTTATTAGATCCTGAAATAACAACATTGCCAAACATTCATGGATTATCTTCACGTGGAATACCAGTTCATGAAGAATTTACTTCGATGCCAACAACTACAAACAAAGTCATACCATCAGAAGTACCATTCGACTTGGTCTCAACACAGAATGTACTTGAAGTGAAAGTAAATGAACTCTCTCCACCACACGAGTTCGATGATCAAGAGCCACATCCTGATACAGAGTTACTAGAAATCCAACAAAGACCAAGTCGACCCGTACAGATGTTCGGCATGAATTCAATGATGGCAAAATTGCCAACAGAAGATAGCAATTATGCAATCCATCCTACGGAGCCATACATGCTCGAAGATAGTTTTTATCCACCTGAGCACATCCATTCCTATGGAATGCTTACCCCAAAGCAATCCTATTTCTTCGATGATTTTAATGGTAATTATGACGAATATTATTAGCTACTAAAATAAGAATAACCAGCATTTGAAGATTTTGATTTCTGTTGATCACTATTGTTAAAAACAACAAAAGCATTATTAAACAAGAAATAACTGTAACCACCTTTATCCTTCCCAGTAGTGAACAATGTCACATGGAAGTTTGCATCAATCCTTAAAATTGCTTTCTTTTTTCTCAGCTTATTAATAAATATCTGAAATCCCTAATTGACGACAAAAACTATATTTTATTTTCTCTGGTTGTGTGTAAAGAGCTGTTTTGTTATTGAAATTCTTTTTTTCTATTAATGAAGTGATATAAAATTCATTTAGCGATTACATTGTTGAACTCACAGAACTGATTTGAAATTACAAACTCTAATAATTTTTTTTCTTTTATAATTCGGAAGAAAGATAACTATCTCGTCGAAATCTGCTAAAATCATTATGTTACTTTAGAAAATTTAATCATACGCCGAATTCTTCTGCTTATTGAATGCTACCTATGAATCATACGAGCTATTAAATATTCTAAAGATGTAATCAGCATGAATAATGATGATCAAGAAATTCATCTAATATCAATTATTTTAAAATTATAGGATTGACAAAAGAATGGAATCCATCTTGTTTATGATTCTCATACGACGCAAAGTCTAACCCATTGAATACAGTGGAGCTTGCATGTGCATACGTGTTAGCTATGATTATGAGTAGTCTAATAGAAAGGTTTTTTTTTCTTTAATTTAAATTCTCGAGTTTTAAATGACGATACTGAAATATATTGCTTCTTTATACGATATATGACAAGATGTAGAACGAATAGTATATCTGACGCGCATGCTTCAAGTGAAACAAGAACTATTATATATGTTAAACTACGTATTTACGGAGCCGTGACAAATCAACTGGAACAACATCGTGTGTGTGTTTATAGTAACATAATTGCGTAGATATGAGTAAAATATAGATGTAAGTGCTCTTCTCAAATTATGCTGATTCGAAACATCAAAAACAAGTTAAAAAATCACCAGGTTTTGTGGACACAGATCTACCTTCATTTTCTATCCAGCATAGATTATCATGATGAATAATGAATCGTTCTAGTAAAGGGTACCTTTCATTTTGGTTTTATCAAAGTTATTCTATATACCGAACATACCGTAAACTGTGGCTGACCTTTTTTCGTAGTTCTTAACTGATATCGCTTCGTATTTATTCTCTTGATTCAACTAAAATTTATTTTAGTTATAAATCATGTGTAAAAAGTAAACGTGAGAAATAGGAAAAAATATGGAAAACTTTATTTGACACTTGGCACTTGATAATACTGTATTCGAAAATCAGTGGCCAGAAATATAGGATAAATTGTAGCAACGATTGCACGAATGCAAGCACAAAAGTATAAATATTTCCACTCTCAAGACCAATACGTTGAATTCTATCGTTGATTATATAATGGCAGAACCAATCATCTCCAACGAACCGATTTATTCCAAAAAAGTCTTTGTTAAATCGATTCTTAACTTCGTTGTCGATGAGCCACAACCTTCACTAACTGAAATTGTGCATGATATTCGACGTATTCTAGATGCACATCATGTTATCAATCAATGGTATCTATTTTGTCTGGAAACAATCCGTTCTGAGTTTCAACTTTTCGCACAATTATCATCAACAAAATCATACTCTTTAATTAAATCAATATTTAAAGGTCTACAAAAATATTCATTTGTAAACGATAAAGTTGATAAAGTAACAGAAGAGAAATGGCAAGAATATCTATCGAGATGTGTATTTTCCTCGTCACGTCTGAATACCAATGCATAATAACTATATCGTCAGTACTTTTCCACGTTGCTCTCCTTTGAGAGCAGACTGCTTTCTTTTACAGTATGACTACTTAATGAAACAGCTGCTTCAAGTTGTGAATGACGTTGCCCTTAATAAATCCAATGTTTGCATTTCTTCTTTACGGATTTCTTTTTATTTCAGAAGTTGACTTTAAAAGAATTGCAGGACGTGTTGATGATGGTATCATTTATAATTTCAATCTTATGTTTAGCGACTTGTTAACTGCAGTGCCAAACACATGACCTGCTATACATTATTTCTACTATTTAGTTTTGACGTTAGTTCATATTTCAATATGATTTTTTTCTCTGTTGTTTTTCGTATCGAACTCTAATCTTAGCCACTCGATGCATGAAAATAAGACTAACCCAATAGAATCCTTATTGTTCTCTGAACAACTATTAGGGCAATCTTAAAGCAAAATAAAGTGTAAAACACAATGAAACTGCTGTCTAGACAGTGTCTTGTACACACTGTGCAGATAACCTAGGAGGCTCCCATCATAATATGTGAAAAAGAGGGGATGGTAAATAGGGAGATAGATATTGTTGTATGTTGCTTGAATTCTGTAACGTGTCTTATTTACTTTAATGTAGGGAGTTCAAAACTCACGAAATTTGATTGTTGATAAACGCAGTGGCAAAACTTCATTTGGCTTCATTATTTTGACTAATACTGATGAAAACAAAAGCACGAATACTAACCTTGATTGGCAGAGACTAACAAACAGATTATAGATAACGTAGACTTTTACGAAACAGTTTCCACATCAACTATTTTTATGAGCTGAAAAATAAACAATAATGCAAGTTTCACATTGTATTGACTTTTACATTTTATGAAGACGTACTAAGAAACAAGTTTTAAATCCTCTCTTGAAGCAAAGTTCTAACTGATGTTGGGTTTATTAATTGCATATAAAAATCCATCATAACCTTTTTCGCCAACAGTTCCCAGTGTTGTTGCTTCAATTGTTGGGTCGTCTCCAATATATTCTAGCAATTTTCTAACCCCGTCTATGTTTGAGTCGCTTTGATCTGGATCAGCTACTCGTCCATTACGTACTACATTGTCTACGATAATGACACCTCCCTTTCTAACTAATCGTTTCGCTTGGATAAAATATTCAACATTCGATTGTTTATCAGCATCAATAAAAGCAAGATCAAAACTAGCGTTTGACTTAATATTTGAAAGTGTTGTTATTGCAGGACCAACAATAATTTTTACTTTATCTGTCAATCCAGCATTGTCGATATTTATTTGAGCAATCTAAAATCAGATTGATGCTAAAACAAGTGTTTTGAATAATAAGTCAATGACTTAACCATTGCAAAATCTTTCGAAATTTCACATGTTAACAACTCACCATCTTCGGGAAGAGCATTAGCCAACCAAATTGTTGAATATCTATGTGATATTAACACGCAAAATGAATGAACAAGCAGTTTTTTTTATAGTAAGATCAGTGTATACTGTATATATAGCATACCCTCCAAGTGTTCCTATTTCGAGCATACGACGTGCTTGAATACTTTGTGCCAGAAGATTCAAAAATTTACCTTGAGCTTCACTCACTGCATAAGGTGGGAGTCCATGTTTTTCACTCAATTTCAATGCGGCCGTAAGAGCATTATTAGGAGGAATTAAGAAACTATTATGATAAATATCTGAACGTGTCCAATCTGTTTGACTCGTTGAAGTAAAAGCCATGATTCAAAAGGTAATTTATTATGAAATAATGTTCGCACCTGAAGAGAAAAACATGTACTTCGTATCTTATCTTTTTTTTTTATGATTTCATTTGTAAAATGCTGCATAACAATCAAAAGGCTATGTTGTCATAGATGTCGCTGAAATTCTTTCAAAAGCCGAATTACAGATAGCTATTCAGGTATCAACCATTACAAGTGTTTTTGTACAAATTCTTCTATCAATCATATAATTATCAGCTACACTGTACAGAGCGGTGACTTTACGTCAGCTCATTATTTTTGTAGCCCAATATCCACTTTCAGTATAACTACAAAATAATTGCAGAGTGTTTACACGCCCTCTAATACCATACTGATTTTAGATATTATTATTAAGTAATCTGACACACTGTACTAAATAAATTTCTTTTTAATATTGACTTTTATTCATCATTGCTTACTAGATAAATAATTATTCACCTAAGCCTGTTGAAAGACACACACTTTGCAAAAGATATCGATTAAAACGGTACACATCGGAACTGGAAAAATCATCCTACTTAGTCATCTCAACAAGAGGGGCTTTATTTTTTATGAAATATATATATATATATATATATTATGTAATTTGATTTTACATATTTATTTTCAATTATTGTACTAGTATAGAGACGCCTGCAAAGTAATCTATAGTACTATATAAGGCATTGAAAATGGATGTATTTGTCATTACTTGGTGAAGTAGCTGATACATGAATCTATATGCAGATTTAATTAAATGTAGATATTTCTATCGGATATTTAAATCAACTCTATTCGACTTTTTTCACATTGAGTTATTTCATGGATGTAAACGAATTTAATAGAATTATGATTAAAAACTGAATATATTTTACGTATTATTATCTTTTTCCTCCAATCAAAATTAGCTTTAAACATATTTGATTATTTTTCAACGTGAAAAAGTAATCAATGATTTATTATTCTTATTGAACGGTAGCCATCGTTTTTTACATTTCCTGTGTATATCTTCTATGTTTTTGATCATGTTTTATTGACAAAAATGGATCGATGTCATTCAGAAGAGAAGTATTTCTTCATCAAGATAATAGAGAGACTGAAAAACTATGATAAAATCATGCTTAAAAGTGATATTATAATGAAATATGGTTTAGAGTATTATAGTCGTCACATGTGACAGATCGTTAACCCCGATCTGTAAATGATATCCATTTCGATAGAGCCGAGTGAATTGTTCCTGGTCTCATTTCTTACTACGTTCTTTATTAATCGACTAATTCTAAATTCGATAATAGACGTAATGTATTCAATTCAAACACACGCACATACACACAAATCATTAAACCACGCTTATTAACATGTATTTTTTGTGTAAATGCATCATGGTACGTATATTTCTTTATTTGCATAACTTATGTGTGCGTCTTTCCTCACTCGGCTAACTGAGCAATGCGGCTTCTACAGTCGATTTCTTATAAATAAAATACCACGATCTATAATAAAGATATTTTTCTGATTGTTGAAACAACAGCTGATTCAGTGAAATCATAAAGTGATAGTTTCAAGTATCTCTAATTTCATATTTTTAAGATAATTTTTATGGAACATGTTGTTAACGATATATAGCGTATTGTTTGGCATTGCTTTTCTGATGACAAATCAAGTAATATCGATCAGCAGCAACGAAAACATCATCAAACAAACAGCAAGATCCGGTCCTGCTTCTTCTAGAAATCCTTTATTATTTGATCATATATTCATTTTAGTCATGGAAAACAAAGACTATAAAGATATAATAAGATCTTCTGCTTGGCAGTCCATTATTCAAAGTTCTGCTTCATTTCTTAATATGTATGCGATTACTCATCCATCTCAACCAAATTATATATCTATGATTGCTGGCTCGACATTGAATTATCAAAATAATGATTACTTTTCTACAAATGAATTGACAATTATTGATTTGCTAAATAAAGCTCAAGTGAGTTGGAAAAGTTATCAGGAAAACTATACGTCTCTTTCTACAACCACAAGTCCTAATTGTAACGATGCAATGGAACTTGAGAAAGGTTCATATGTTCGAAGACATAATCCATTCATGTTTAGTACATCAGTGAGACACCATACAAACGAATGTAAAAAAATTGTAAATGCAGATCAGCTAGAAATTGATTTGACAAATAAGCAGCTACCACAATTTTCTTTCTATACGCCAAACATAAAAAATAGTGGTCACGACACAGATCTCAATTATGCAGGTAATTATCTACAAAAATGGTTGGATATTCATTTAAATAATTCTGCTTTTACGAATGGCACCTTATTGATTGTGACGTTTGACGAAGATAATAATAATCCAGATCGAACCAATCACATAGCAGCGTTCATGTGGGGAATAGATTATTTGTATTCGGAAGTCAAAATATCCGGAACATTCAATCATTACTCGCTCCTGAAACTTTTCGAAGAAAATTGGGGCCTGGGTAATTTAGGTCGTAACGATATCACAGCATCTTCAATAATGAATATTTGGCGGCCAACTGCTTATTCCAATAATACAAATAATGATACGATTAGTACCAGCACACCTGTAACTAGTGCAGTTAGTCGTAATGACATCACTCTGAAGATATCTCTTATGATCTCTTATCTATTTATTATGATCTATTAATTCGAATTCATCGTCAATGAGTTCATATATCGTACTACCATTAAGTTTGAGTGGCTATTATAGAATGTTAAAGAAAATATACTAATAAACGTATTGTTGGCTATAGTCACAATTTCAATCTGAGTGACTAACAACTTTATTTAATAAGATGCCATCGATTTCTATACTGTTTGTTCTTTATTTTGGATAAAATTGAAAGGGAACAAAAGAATCGTCTTCCTTTTTATTTGAATATATTTGAAGCGCGCTCTGGACACGTTCTCATCTCGAACATGATGCTATGTAATAGTTTTGGAATACTTATATGCATGTTGATTGTTTTATAAAACTTTAAAAAGAAGATGATTCTACCATTTGTTGTTTGCGATGTAGTAGATGATTCTGCTATATAAAGATTTTTTCTTTTCTCTGGAATATAGTTTTAGTAAGCCTTCATTTAATTATCATCTGCAATAGGAGATTGTTTATCTTCGTAAATTAATTTAATATTCTGGCTTCGTAGCAGTCCTATATATCCTGTATTTCCTATATTTTAAAAATTTATCCTATGATAGACTATATTTTGAGCTTTTTTCCTATATTCCTATTTTTTTTTTGAAAAAATTGAAGATTCTTCTAAAAAAATTCAAAAAACTACTGATAAGTGTTCAACACATCATTTA